AATCTGGACCATGCCACCATAAAACTGAACTCTGTAAGGTGCTAGCATGGATGCCTCGCGAAATTAGGTCGGCGGGGTTATCGGCTGTGGGGATGTAGCGCCAAGCAGAAGATACTGTGATATCCTGTATTTCGCTTATTCTATTTGCAACGAAGGTTTTTAGCTTAGATGCGTCACTCTTTAGCCAGCCCAGAACTACACTAGAGTCACACCAGTGAACAATACGGTCAGGTGTAATCCTTAGCGAATCCACTACTGTTTTGCACAATCGAGCAGCAAGGAGTGCTCCAGAGAGCTCCAAACAAGGTATGGTTGTTGGTTTAATTGGCGCTACCTATGATTTAGACCACAGAAGTCGTATAGTAGCGCCATCGTTTCAGTTTTTGGACTTTAGATAAATGTAGGCACCATAATCTACCTGAGAAGCATCACTGAAGGTGTGTATTTCATCAGAAGTTGAAGCTTCGCAAATAACTTGGCGTGGAATTTGAAAAGTTATTAAGACAGATAGGCCTTTAGAAAACTCTATCCAATCATTTTTGAAGTTATTAGGTACAGGTTGATCAAAATCAATTTTAATTGCCATAATTTTTGGAGCGATAATTTAGCTAGCATAATAAAAGGACTAAGTAGACCCAAGGGGTCAAAAACTTTGTAGGCATTTGGCATAATGTACCCTTTGATTACTATAACGTCATCATGCGTAAGTGGCACATTTATAGGGAAATGTAGAGTATCTGTGTTTGGATTCCACCCCAAACCCAGAGTGCTTGAAGATTCACTTATAGTTAAATTATCTTGTAATGAATTAATAGGAGAGTTTACCAATGGTAAATTAGTTTTGTATTTGCGTAAGTTAAAACATCCCTTTTTTAATTGTGTAGCTACTGAGTTTTTTATGTACTGTAATTGCTCTATATTATTTGAACCCGTTATAAGATCATCAACATAATGATCACGCTGAATTATGGTTTTGATTAAATCATCATCACACTCCTCTCCAAGCTGCCATAGGCAGCGTGTACTTAAATAACTGGCACTTGCTGTCCCGTAAGTGACAGTATTTAACTGTAACCTTTTGATAGGCAAGGACTCATCCTCTCTCCATATAATCATCTGCAAGTTTCTGTCATCGGGATGAACTTCGACTTGCCGGTACATTTTCTCAATATCACCGGTAAGTAAATACCGGTAAAGTCGTGCACGAATCAATATGGAGAAAAGAGAGTCCTGTACATTTGGGCCTATCATCTGCAGATCATTGAGTGAGATACCGGAGGATGATGGTGCTGACCCATCAAAGACGACTCTCAATTTAGTGGACTCACTTTTGGCCTTAAATACAGCGTGATGACAAAGGAAGTATGAAGGACTCGGCAATAAAACAGGTGACTCTGAAAGATGCCCAAGAGCCTCATACTCCTTTATGAACTGAGAATAATCTTTCTTTAGGGAAGGATTTGTTCTAAAACGTTTTTCTAAACTTAGAAAGCGATTTTTTGCAAGAGTGTATGAGTCGCCTAAGCATTCTGGTGAGGCCTTTAGCGGTAACTTCACACAGAATCGGCCGGAAACTAAACGAGTGGTGTGTGTTAAAAAATGACTTTCACATGCCTTTTCAGTGTCACTCAATAATGACTTATGCGGAACTTCTTCCAACTCCCAGAATTTTGTAAGCATGTTATCAATTTTAGAATTATTTAAAACTTCTTCGTTATTTAATAAAGTATTACAGTGAATTTTGTTACCTCTAGCAAAATTTAAAGAGCCACCAATAAGCCAGCCTAATTTAGAATTTTGAAGTATGGGTTTATTTTTACCCAGTGGTTTTTGTTCACATAATAAAATATTCCAAAAGAGGTCTGCGCCTATCAGTAAGTCAATAGGGCAGAGTCGGTCAAAGTTGGGATCTGCTAATTTATATTTTAAAGGTATGTTTAACTGAGATAGACTTATTGGAGCCTTTGGCAGATCTCCTGTAAGTTTCTCTAAAACAAAACAATGTAGATTTTTGGAATAATTATGATGTTTTGATTTTAATTGGATAACACAACTTTCGTTAATTTTATTTATTGAATTATTTCCAATTCCAACAACGTTAATTGAAGTGGGTTTTGTTTGTAATGATAATTTTTGTTGCAATGATTTTGTAATGAAAGATGACTGGCTGCCTGAATCCAATAAGGCACGAACTGTAATTGCCTGTTTAGTTATTGGATTCAAAACTTCGATTAATGCGGTAGATAAAATAACATGTTTAGAATTATTTTCTTTAGAGAAATTTACAATGGAATTAAATTCCTGAACTTGGGCATTGTTGGCTTTAGTTGCTTCAACTGAATGCAGTAATGTATTGTGACGCTCATTGCACTGCCTACAAGGGCCCATGCGACATTCGCTAACCGGGTGACCTTGACGTAGACAGTTTGAACATAATTTGTATTTAGAAACATCGGATAATTTTTGCTCTATGGATTTAGATTTAAAATTTGGACAGTCGTATATTTTATGATTTTGGTCGCAAATTATACACTGACATACACTTACACTATGATTGCTTTTTTGTTGTGTTGTAGCATATGATTTTGTTTGAAATATGTGTTTATTATTGTGTGACTGCGTATACTGAGAAGGTTTTGCAATATTACTTTTATTTAAATTATAATTCATAAATTTGTTACGATTTGTAGACTCAATAATGTATGCCCTATCAATTAAAAATGATTTAAATTGTTCTAAGCTAGGAAAGTCGTCTAAGCTGTTACGCTGTTCTTCCCATTTTACAAGGGTATGGTTATCAAGCTTAGAAGAAACCAAATAAATAATAAGCGTGTCCCAGTGTTGAATGGGTTGACCTAGATTAGCTAGGGCGCGTAAGTTTTTGGTGATATGGTCCACTAAGTAACGTAAAGAACCCTCAGTTTCGCGCGTCAATGGCTGTATGTTAAATATAGATTTAAGGTGATGATTTATAAGTAAACGTTTGTTATTATATCGCGCATAAAGTAATTGCCATGCATCATTGTAATTGGCAGACGAGACTTCAATATTAGATATGACACGAGCTGCATCACCTTCTAGATAAGAAATAAGGTAATGAAATTTTTGAATACTAGAAATGTGTTCATTGTTATGGATTAAGTTAGTAAACGTATCGCGGAATTCTAACCAACGAAAGAATGATCCGTCAAATCTCGCAATCTGTATTTGAGGCAAACGTACACCAGGATCAGAATGATTGAAACCGCATTGAGCTTCATGAAACAAAGATTCACGTCTCTTTTTGTCTTGGTCATTTGTCTTTATTTCATTTTGTTCGTCTAAGCAAGGTTTGGCCATTGCAATACATAAAATAAAATCTTGCTCAATGCGCTCTCTCTCATCAAATTCCGATTCTAAATTATCTGCATTAATTAATTCGATCTGAGTTTGCAGCTCGTCATATTTAACAGACTGACTTTCGAACCTGCTGAGTTTTAAAGATAACTCAGCAACTTCAATAGTTGTCAGGGCAGGTTTCCTTGTAATTTTGTCCAAGTAGTTTTTAAATCGTGTGATTTGGCCTTTAACTGAACTACGCCTAGTTATTAATTCTTTCAGATTCTGATCGATTGGCTGTGAAACCGATAATGTAGTTGCTGGTAATGGCGTAGTCATTTTATGTTGAAAAGAAAATAAATAAAACAAGTAGAAAGTTGAATATTCTATTAAGCTACTACGATGTATGAACTTTCACTAATTTTGTATGTTTTATTTGTAATTAAGGACAAAAATTATAAGGAACGCCGTAAGTTGAAAGACATAAAATCAATTTAAATAGTAATTTTGTACGTATCTCACACTCCCACACTGCGGCGACACTCGTGAACTGGTTGTCTACGAGCAGAATCAGCTGCTGTCCCGTTGAATCAAGCCTTAGGCCCTTTCTATAGGCCCTCGAGAAGCCGGCCGTTATCACTTGCACAGCTGAAATAGTCGGCAAATTTTGCTAAATAACCAGTAATAACTAGCGCGATATGGATGGGGGACAATATTTAATTATATTAATTTAATGATTTTGTATTTATTTAACCAGATTATGAGAATAATAAGAAAATTTATATTTTAATTTTTTGTTGTAGGGTAGTCGTACTTTGCACAAGTGTAAAATTATATCAATGTGAATTTGATGTGATGTGAAAAATTAATGTGAATTTTGATGGATTTAATTATTGAACGAATTTTGATGTTGCCACAAGAGGCGTGTGAGATGTAATGAAAGAACAGTAAAAATATCAAGCAAGATTTCTGAGTACGGCGACATTGCTGCCACGAGTCTGGTAGGCGTTACCAGAAACAAATTACGAATATTATTTTTATTGAATCGTACAGTGATCCTAAAAATTTCAGTCCCCCAACAGGGTTCAATGTTTATACTTAATATATTCGTTACGTGTAAAATGTATAAAAGCCGATTCCCACCGGAATAGTAGAGGCTAGCAACGACGCGGTATGAACTTTCAGTGTGTTTTTTTTCTTTTATCAACATTGGTATGGAATGGAATTAAAAGACCAGTATCTCTCGAAACACCGCTCAAGTTTTCAAGGTTTTCAAACGATACTGGTATTTTATGTGTGTAGATAAATTTTAAAATTATCTCACATTGGAAGTGCTCGCCCCGTTGCTGCTGTTCGCCGCTATTCCGGTGTAATTCTTCTTTAAGACACTTTGACCTATGACAATAATAAAGAATTTAGTTGATGATTTAAAAGAGGTAGGGCATAGAGTTTGGAGAAGTAACCTCCACCTTACAGGAGACCCCAGTAAAATAACACCACCTTTTGATGGTTTTGTGTTTCTGTCGGTGAGTAAGGTTTCAAGGCTCCACCAGGAGTAGGGATATGGGTTAGGGTAGGCAACGGCGCGAGTGATATTTTTGATATTGCAAGCGTCTAAAGGCTATTGTGCCAGCTTGTTTGCCGCTTATAACATAAAAAATGATGATTTATTGTATGGCCAGTGTACGGTGGAATGCGGCGGCGGCGAACAGTACCGACGCGTGATGTGCCTTCGCGGCTCCGCCGTCGGCAGCTGCTCCGTCGACAAAGTGATCGACTCCACGCAGTCCTGCAACCTGCACCCCTGCAACCAAGGTGACTATAAGAATATCGCGGGGGTAGCAGTACCGGCCCCACTGCTCCGTCGACAAAGTGATCGACTCCACGCAGTCCTGCAACCTGCACCCCTGCAACCAAGGTGACTATAAGAATATCGCGGGGGCAGCAGTACCGGCCCCATTGCTCCGTCGACAAAGTGATCGACTCCACGCAGTCCTGCAACCTGCACCTCTGCAACCAAGGTGACTATAAGAATATCGCGGGGGCAGCAGTACCGGCCCCACTGCTCCGTCGACAAAGTGATCGACTCCACGCAGTCCTGCAACCTGCACCCCTGCAACCAAAGTGACTATAAGAATATCGCGGGGGCAGCAGTACCGGCCCCACTGCTCCGTCGACAAAGTGATCGACTCCACGCAGTCCTGCAATCTGCACCCCTGCAACCAAGGTGACTATAAGAATATCGCGGGGGCAGCAGTACCGGCCCCACTGCTCCGTCGACAAAGTGATCGACTCCACGCAGTCCTGCAACCTGCACCCCTGCAACCAAGGTGACTATAAGAATATCGCGGGGGCAGCAGTACCGGCCCCACTGCTCCGTCGACAAAGTGATCGACTCCACGCAGTCCTGCAACCTGCACCCCTGCAACCAAGGTGACTATAAGAATATCGCGGGGGCAGCAGTACCGGCCCCACTGCTCCGTCGACAAAGTGATCGACTCCACGCAGTCCTGCAACCTGCACCGCTGCAACCAAGGTGACTATAAGAATATCGCGGGGGCAGCAGTACCGGCCCCACTGCTCCGTCGACAAAGTGATCGACTCCACGCAGTCCTGCAACCTGCACCCCTGCAACCAAGGTGACTATAAGAATATCGCGGGGGCAGCAGTACCAGCCCCACTGCTCCGTCGACAAAGTGATCGACTCCACGCAGTCCTGCAACCTGCACCCCTGCAACCAAGGTGACTATAAGAATATCGCGGGGGCAGCAGTACCGGCCCCACTGCTCCGTCGACAAAGTGATCGACTCCACGCAGTCCTGCAACCTGCACCCCTGCAACCAAGGTGACTATAACCATATCGCGGGGCAGCAGTACCGCCCTCACTACTCCGTCGACAAAGTGATCGAGTGCACGCAGTCCTACAAGCTGCACCACTGCAACCAAGGTGCCTTTAACCATATCAAGGGGGCAGCTGAACCACCTCCACTGCTCCGTCGATATAGTGATCGAGTCCACGCAGGCCTGCAACCTACACCCCTGCAACCAAGGTGCCTATAACCATATCACGGGTCCAGCAGTACCGACCTCACTGTTCCGTCGAACCAGTGATCAACTCCACGCAGGCCTGCAACCTGCACCCCTGCAACCAAGGTGACTATAACCATATCGCGAGGGCAGCAGTACCACCCCCACTGCTCCGTCGATACAGTGATCGAGTCCACGCAGTCCTACAAGCTGCACCACTGCAACCAAGGTGCCTTTAACCATATCAAGGGGGCAGCTGAACTGCCTCCACTGCTCCGTCGATACAGTGATCGAGTCCACGCAGTCCTACAAGCTGCACCACTGCAACCAAGGTGCCTTTAACCATATCAAGGGGGCAGCTGAACCGCCTCCACTGCTCCGTCGATATAGTGATCGAGTCCACGCAGGCCTGCAACCTACACCCCTGCAACCAAGGTGCCTATAACCATATCACGGGGGCAGCAGTACCGACCTCGCTGCTCCCTCGAACCAGTGATCAACTCCACGCAGGCCTGCAACCTGCACCCCTGCAACCAAGGTGACTATAACCATATCGCGAGGGCAGCAGTACCACCCCCACTGCTCCGTCGATACAGTGATCGAGTCCACGCAGTCCTACAAGCTGCACCACTGCAACCAAGGTGCTTTTAACCATATCAAGGGGGCAGCTGAACCGCCTTCACTGCTCCGTCGATATAGTGATCGAGTCCACGCAGGCCTGCAACCTACACCCCTGCAACCAAGGTGCCTATAACCATATCACGGGGGCAGCTGTACCGCCCTCACTACTCCGTCGAACCAGTGATCAACCCCACGCAGGCCTGCAACCTGCACCCCTGCAACCAAGGTGCCTATAACCATATCACGGGGGCAGCTAAACCGCCCTCACTGCTCCGTCGAACTAATGATCAACCCCACGCAAGCCTGCAACTTTTCATTATCAAATTTCCAATATTATCGATATAATTGCCTTATTGTTTATAAACTATGTACAACTTATTTATTTCTGTTTTTATCACGCACACCACTCATTAAATAAAGTATTACTGTGGTTGCCAGTTACCGTATGAACATTCTTAAATCCATGACAGGCAGGATGATGCACGTGTTCATTTGTTGTCTTCGGGATTCGAACCCTGTATAATTAGGATCACTAACCGATATAACTTCTAAAATTCAACTGGGTGATAAAACACACATTTATTTCACTAAACTGTTATTTTAACTAAACAAAACTATTATTTTATAATAATATGTTAATAACAAAACTTCAACAAAGTCAATGTCTTTTTACAGATGAAATGCTACCGGTGAGCCCGAATTCTACACCGATAATGGACGAAGATTACGACTACGAAGACTGCGAAGAAGAAGAAGATTATCCAGAAGTAGGAGCCGAAGAAGATACCAGCCTCACCGTAAGAATATAACAACACTGACCTAATTTATTTGTGATTTTTGATTTGCCTGATAAGCAAAATAAATCAATTAACTTTGTTTAGAATTGTTAGTTTTGTCTTCACAAACTGCTGTAGCTATAGCTGAATTAATAATAGCGTTTGAAATTTATGACCTATTTTAATTTTCAGACTGACGACATGATGTTCAGTGATAGTCCATTCACAGGTATTGTTGTTAATAATAAATTATCTCTATAATTATTTTTTGCATTGCCTTATTAACAATTATATTGTATGTCTTTTCAGAACTTGAATCGGAATTCATAACTGATACAGGATCAGGTTTTAGTATGTTTTTCAATTAAAAATTGTTTTAAATTAATCAGATCGATTTTCTTGACTTTTAAAAATGACAATTGATTTATCTTTCAGGTACTCTGTATACTGAAGGATCAGGTTTCGGCAGCACTGATGCCACGTTTTCGACAGACGAAGACTGGTCTACCGTTGAAACTGGCTCTACAGATGAAACCAGTGACTCAAGTTTGGATACATCAGAAACCAGTGAAACGGGCTCTACAGTGACTGACTCCACTGTTACGGAGCCTACTCTCAATTCTTCCATTTCAACAGATTTGACTGCATCTTCTTCAAGCGATAGCTCTGAAACATCAACTGAATCATTAGGAACTTCTCCTTCATCTGATCTTACCGACGATACAAGTGTAACAGATAAGACAGGTCGAACAGAAACTACTGGATCTGAAACGAATGAATCGAGTTCATCAGAATCTGACAAAGTATCAGATTCTACAGAGGAAGCTTTAACAGCTGCATCTGTTTCTTCTGATTCTTCATCATCAACATCAACAGAATCGTTTGACTATACTGAGTCTGACTATACGGATCTTTCGACAACTGAATCCTCAACTACTGAAGAAACTGGTTCTACGGAATCCTCAGACTCGACTGAAGAAGTTACTGAACTATCCTCTTCTACAGAATCCGAAGGCTCCACGGAATCTAGTCCAACAGACGAAACTGCATCAACCGAGTCCGGTACAACCGAATCGAGTATTTCAACAGAGACAGAAAGCACTGTGTCTGATTCGAGTGACAAAACCACAGAACCTGTATCATCCGAATCAACAGAGACTGAATCATCTGGCTCTACCGAGGAAAGTACGGAAATAACCACTGAAAGTGTTTCTACTATTGAATCTAGTTCTACTAGTGAATCGGGTTCTAGTTCTGAGTCCGGTTCTACTACGGAATCTGGTTCTACTACGGAATCTGGTTCTACTACTGAATCTGGTTCTACTACTGAATCTGGGTCTACTACTGAATCTGGTTCTTCTACAGAATCGACATCTAGCACCGAATCTGGCCCCACTACGGAATCAAGCTCGACTGATGAATCTACTGAATTAGGTTCCACGTCTGAATCAGGTTCTTCTACGGAATCGGGCTCTACTGAGTCTGGAGCTACTACTGAGTCTGGTTCGACGGAAGCTTCTAGTACTGAAATAACTGAATCCAGCTCTGCAGAATCATCCGGCTCTACGGAATCTACAGTATCAGAGTCCACAGAACTAGCCAGCTCCACTGAAGAGTCAGGTAATTACAAAAAAACACATGATCAACAACAACAAATGGAAGCGCCACCATCATTGTATTATATATCTAGTATGTAGCATATAAATGAATAAAGTACCTATCACAAAATTCTGAATTCATTCAATCTAATAAAAATATTTTTTAGGTTCAACAACTGAAGCAGCTACTGAGGAAACAGGATCAACAGAATCTGCAGCAACGGAAGAGACTAGTGAAACGACCGAAACTGGTTCTACAGTCACAGAAGAAACCGAGTCGACAGTATCTGGAGCTACGGAAGGTATAAAGAAAACCATCGCATTAGATGTTAAAAATACAATAAATGAATAAATATTTCCAACACACACCAATTAGCCTAGCCTCAAAGTAAGCACTGTAGGCTTGTTTTATGGGATACTAGGGCAACGGACACAATACATACACTTAAACATACATACTAGTAAGTATTTATATATAAATGGATCTTAAACATCCATGACTGGAGTACAAATGGAGGATTCAAACTTGGGACCTCTCGAATAGGCGACACCTTGAAACCCGGAGTACAAACCGCTCGGCCACGGATGTCGTCAATTAATATTGTGACAGTTCAAATTTATAACATTAATCTTTCTCGTTAATGTTTCAGAAACTGTATCTACAGAAAGCACTTCAGAAGGTTCTACAGAATCTAGCGAAGAATCGACTGGAAGCAGTGAGTTTAATTTAATGATTTTATTATATTTTGTAATATAATTGTGACTGTTGCACTGTGATTTGAATACTTACCTAATATTTACAGCTCCATGGGATTGGTCGTCTACGATCGAGTTGATAACTAAGAAACCTAAATGTAAGCCTAGAATCGCTAAATGCATTAAGAGCAAGTTCGGATGCTGTCCCGACAAGAGAACTGCTGCAGCTGGACCATTCGACGAAGGTTAGTGTATATTAACTGATTAGTATAAAATTTTACTGTTATTATACTTTTTCTTTTGTAAAATTTGAGAAGTGTCTTTCACATGTTTTTATATTTGTGTGTATGTTATGACTATTTAAAGAGAGGTAGGGCATTTCAATTTCAAATTGGCAATAGATTTCCCGCTGGATTGAAGGGCCAATGTGGGAAATTGACCCACATTACTACTTTCCGGTGGTAATGTGTTTCTATTGTTGAAGATCCACGATTCAGGTCGGTAAAGGTGGGGTGGGTGGAGTGGGGTAGGAATGATAAACTCTTGCCGTGTCAGCTATATTTGCGTCTAGACTCTACTTATAATTTACATCAGGTAAGATGGTGTAATTTGCTATGCCTCGTATAAGAACAACTCTTTTTACCAGACTTACGTTTAATCCGTCCATATTTTATTTTTAAATAATTGGTAATTGTAATTGAAAACCTGTCGATTTCAGGATGTGCACGACCGCAGACTTGTGGCGAGACTAAGTTCGGTTGTTGTCCGGACGGTGTTTCTCCGGCGACAGGGCCTAAAGACAGAGGTTGCCCCGTGGCGCCATGCGCTGAAACTCTGTTCGGATGTTGCAAATCCGACAATAAGACTGCCGCAGAAGGAAACGACCAAGAAGGATGTCCACCGCCCCCACCGGCTTGTAAATCATCCAAGTAAGTGTGTTATTTACTTTCACGATATGTCATTTCTATTATTCACTGCTGCAAAGGACTTACACTAGACAGTATTAAAAAGTGGAAGCGAAATTCATGCCCTTTAATCAATTAAGTAAAAAATACCTGTAAACTACATAACGTAAAGTAACGCTATTATAACCCGTTCAAGGGCCAGTAAATTGCTTAACCCATGTAATGTTTACTCTCCGGGTTCATAATATATTTATTTGTAGATACGGTTGCTGTAACGACAGCAAGACGGAAGCCACGGGACCAAAGAAACAAGGATGTCCTGAAACAGGTACCATCTATAACAAGATCTAACAACAATAGAGATATGTTTGGTATAATCGAGTTAAAGACATCGGTTTTTAAAGAAGGCGAAGTGGATTGAGAAAGGCATTTTAGGTAGTTTGGTCTTATAGAAAGGTATCATTAAAAAAATATTGATCCTCAAAAAAGCAATTGTTAACCTAACCTAACCTTTAGGTTACTAATTGTGAGTATTTTTTGGTGGTCATTTGTAATTTTTTTCTGACGATTATTTACATATTTCTCTTTAAGAAATAATGATAAGGGGTTTGGAAATATTAATCAGAAGTGTCGACGCCGAAAAGTTGAAGAAGGCCCAGGTTAATATAGTACCTGAAATTGGTAAAGACTACGAAAATGTTTCGCGAATGTATGAAGTAAAAATATGTCTCAGCTTATCTGTTTGACAAAAAAGTGTAACTATTGAATTTATGTAAGAACACTTTAAAATACCTATACTAACAATATTAATACCTGATGAATGTATTAATGTTTCGTTGCCTAGTATCGCTGTCTGAACCCAAGAAGCCGCAGAGCTGCGCGAGCTCAGAGTTTGGGTGCTGCTACGACAAAGAGACGGTGTCGCCTGGGCCCGAGGGCGAGGACTGTCCCTGCAACGCCACGCAATATGGCTGCTGCCCTGACGGCGTGTCTACTGGTAACTGCTTTACTCGCTGTCTGAAGCCAAGATGCCGCAGAGCTGCGCGGGCTTAGATTTCGGCCATGTAGTACGGCTGCTGCTCTGACGGGGCGTGTCTACTGGTAATGGTAACTTAATTCTTTACTCGCTGTCTGATGCCAAGAAGTCGCAGAGCTGCGTGTTAGCTCTAAGTTCGGTGCTGCCACGAAAAGACGACGGTGTCGCCCGGGCCCGAGGGTGAGGGCTGCTCCTGCAACGCCATACAGTAAGTGTCTTCTGGTAACCTGCGTACTTTACTTAAACTGGTCAACAAACCTTCATTTACATAGAATAAAACCTAGATATTTCTTTGAAACTTTTTGATCAGCAATTTGTCTGAGAAAGTAACTTGAGACTACATGCTTACTCGTGTGACGCCAGAGTTCTAGACAGTTTGAATGCTTATACCATACGTCGATCGATGTCGTGGGAATTGGAACTGCACACCAGCTGAATACTGGCTCCCAGCGAACCGTATCTTAACTGCAATTTAGCTGTTAGAGTGCACTCAAAAACTCTGTCTCTCTAGAGCGTGGCCCAATAGAGCCTACCAAAAAGTATCCACTCATTGTAATTCTATATAGGTACGCAGATATGAACAGGCGTCGCGTCAGATAACTACAGCATTTTACAGTCAGTTTGAATATTTGTTGCACATTCCATATCTCCAAGAACTTATTACTAGTGGCGTAAAGGAAGGCGAGAAAGGGGAGGGTAAATTTTTAAGCTACCGATTGGATTTTCTATCAATTTTACTGTCTAGCCTTTAACTCGATCCTCGTCATTCAGCTGAAGGAGCCCAAATGGAAGGTTGCGTGATGTCGTGCAATTCTTCCTCGTACGGTTGCTGTCCGGACGGCGAGACTCCCGCGCACGGGTACGACAACGAGGGCTGCTGCCTGCTCTACGCGTTCGGGTGCTGCCCGGATAACTTCAAACCCGCCGAGGGACCGCGTCTGGAAGGTATTATTACTTATTTATTTATTTTATTTATTGATGTGCAACATCTTTTCTCTCGCGTTCGTGCAATTTGTAGGAGTAATTACGTGAAGTAGGACGGAAGTGTGTAACAGGAAGTTTGGGAAGCGCGCGCTATTTGATTTGATTTTAGAACATAATATTCAATTGGCTTATTCCTTTTTGTAGTAGGTTTTATTCCTTTTTTTACTAATATAAGGTGAGGTTTCAAATGTTACACATCATACGCGACTACAGTAATGCTCGCTCGTTATTTATTCTTTATTACCAAAATACAGTAAATGGCGGCATACCATAGGCATTCTCTATCATTCAACCAGTATGGGTGTATGAGACGGATGTTTTGGCGACAAAGTGCGAGCTACTAAAATTAGAGAAAAAAAAATGTTATCCTACTGAACTATACTATACTATAAAACGATATTTTATCTGATGTTTATCTAACTTATACAAAAATTTTCATAAAAAACACTTCTGATATAAGAAGTGTTTTTATATACAGTGGGTGCTAAAATTTAAGATGCCGCAGGGACCAACGGCTTTTATAGCATTGGCAAACTGGAATGCTGAAAAATCGGAGACTTTATTATAGTACTTTTAAAGGAAAACAATTCCATCATAAGTGATTTTTATGTAACTTTAATCGTTTACCCAGCCCACGCAACGTAAGCTCACAAATGGACTAAACCTATGTACCATTTACCTAAATAAAAAACAAACAAATACACTCTCCAGCTTTATGATATTAGTAAGTATATCTTAATTTCACGGAAGTTTTATAATTATATTATAAAGAAAGTCATTGTGTATAATACAAACCTGAGAACAATATTGTATAGTCTACATACACTACACTCGCTAATGCTTAATCTTCTCTACTTCTCTATAGGTACTATTCCTAAGATCTGATCTGAGTATAATTAAATTTGACCAAATTCCTTTTTTCATCATAGGATGTGGTTGCCAATATGCCCATTACGGCTGTTGTCCTGACAACCTCACCATCGCCCGCGGACCCAACAACGAGGGCTGTGGCTGCGAACACTCACAACACGGATGCTGTCCTGATAGGTGAGTGAATAACGCAGACTTTTTTGACACAATCTATCTGATTTCCTCAAGTTCTCCAAGGACGGTTCAACGTAGAAGTTTATGATGTCTTCATCTAACATAGCTTCCTGATTTCATTGGGTAAGAAGCAGAATCTCACTCTGAAGCAGATCACGACCTATTCGAATCAGGTAATTTTGTAAGAAATAAGAGAGACTAGATGAGGAGAAAATATTGCGCTTCTGTCCTAGGATAAACCCTAGGGTTTTCGCAACAACGTAAGCAAACATTGAGTCTATGACCAAGTATCTGCTGATCATAAGAAAAAGCGTGATTTCTTTGTGTCACTGTTATCTTACTGGATTCTTAAAAAAGATTTTTCATAAACCAGGCATACGGAAGCGTCCGGACCGAACTACGAAGGTTGTGACTGCAGTACATTCCAATTCGGGTGCTGCGATGACGGCGTCACCGCCGCCAAGGGGCCGGGTCGCCAGGGCTGCCTCTGCCAACAGTCTCAGTACGGATGTTGTGGCGACGAAAAGACCGCCGCCACCGGCCCTGATCAGGCTGGCTGCGATTGTTCCACCAGCAAGTTCGGATGCTGCCCCGATGGCGTCACAGCTGCTGCTGGCACTAAATTCCTCGGCTGTACTGATAAACCTGAAAATAGACAAGGTGAGCACAGCCTCAAGTCTATCCTTTGACTAAGAAATAAAGAATCGTACATACAAACATGATGCACATGAACCTAGAAAACATTACTCTCATTTCAGCAGTAGTGTCAAAACAGAATCATATGACTAACACATTAAGAGCCTGCGCTGCGTCAAGCGGGAGCACAGAGCGGGCGTCGGCTCCACGTGTTTGTTTCATGTTATTTCATGGATTAGTGCTACGTGAGGCGGGTCTCCCGCGCAGCGCTGTTCTATGAAATGTCAAAAAAAGTGCATGCGGAGCGAACGTCCACTCTGTGCTCCCTCCCGCTCAACGCAGCGCTGGCTCTTAAACCTCAGAGATCACACTTGGATTTTTGTATATAATAACTTAATTCAATCCATCCTCTAGCTTATTAATTTCCAAAAAATACTCACATGGTTCATTGATGCACGCTTTTACTTAAAAGCTAATCAATTCTATGATTTTTTTATGTTTGAATTTTATAATAAAATGGAAAGCTGTGGCCTAAAAACGATTGTTTGCCACCTCCGTAAAATAACATCATCGTCAAAATTTGTTTGCAAAAAGATAGTTTGTTCTTACGTCCGACAGTAGTTTGCTTAGTTTTCAAAGAAACTTTGATAAGTCTATACGTTATGGAGCTATCAAAAATTCCTGCTTAGCCCTCTATCCCTATGTATAAGTATGACTGCTGCTGCTAAGTTCCAATATTCTACCTGCTCAGGAATACTGTTATTCGGTGCTTTACTTACTTATTATCTGTAATTTTAGCTGCATGCGGCCTGTCTACGGACCGCGGCCCGTGTACCAACTACACGGTGCTGTGGTACTACGATATAGAGTACGGCGGTTGTTCAAGATTCTGGTACGGAGGCTGCGAAGGCAACGACAACCGGTTCACTTCTAAGGAGGAATGCGAGGATGTCTGCGTACAACCTTCGCCTAAAGGTAGCGTTATTATTATCATCATCATCATCAGCCTATGAATGTCCCCACTGCTAAGGTATAGGTCTTCCCTATGAATGGAATAGGGAGATAGAGTCATGATCCACCATCCGATGGGTGCTAACAACTGCAAAAGCAGCCGGGCTTATTTTGCCCCATCCAATGCGAAAGTTGCTTAGCTTCAACGATCGCAGCCGAAAGCGCTAACCACTTGTTCCATGGAGCTCCTAATATTATCATCATCATTAGGCCGTATTTTACAATCAGGCGCCCCGGGGCACTTGAGATTAGATTACAATATTTCCCAATTGATGGAATTAGAAGAAAGGGCCATTTCCTACGATGGGGGTCAGGCCTGAGGTGGGTGCCAACAAGCGAAGATGTAGCCGGAACTTACGGCTTCTAAAGCGTAAAGTTGTAGCTGCAACAACTCAAACTAAAAGTTGGTAAATTAGAATGCTATAACTGGACAATCCCAAGAACCTTAATTGATTAACATACTACGTTGAAAAACACTCTCCCAAACGGATGTATTTTTTTTAGAAAATTATGACCCGTTTTGAAAATCTAAGTTCCTGAGTTTTTCGCGGATGTTTTTACTAAGTAGACTAGTGTACTAAAGGAACTTTTAATTTTCTTCCTTCTTATTTAAGTTGTAAGTATATATTCCTGATATAGGGTCTATCGTAAGTAACAAATGATGAATTGTTTGTTTTGTATTCATACAGAGGCGTGCAACCTACCGAAGGTGAAGGGCGCTTGTACTGGCTACCATCCACGCTGGTTCTACGACGCAGAGCGCGAGCACTGCGGACAGTTCATATTCGGTGGTTGCCTTGGCAACGCCAACAACTTCGACACCCGGGAACTCTGCCAGAAGCACTGCGAGCCCGCCAAGAGTGACGGTCAGTTCAACCACAATATTCTATTGATCCCATAATTTAATAAAGGAATGAAAATTCGAGCTCCTGGACTGGTACTTCTGGAAGAGTAAAGAACCTGTAGTACCAATGGAACTATTGCGATCAGGGGACGGTAATTAGTGATGTGATGATAAACTTGGAATATGAATGCATAAAGTACTCATTTCTAGAGGTGCCCTACGATTTCACCGGCATTAATTTAAGGAAACAGGTTATAGTAGGTCAACCTTAAAATATTGACATGTGCTGCCACGGACTTTTTTATAGAAAATTTAAAGCAGAACCATTCCGTCATACATGGTTTTTATATCACTTTTACCGTTTACGCAGCGCACGCAACAAAAGCTCTCAAATAGAATATATTTTTCGTTGGTGCTCCGCTCCTTTTGGTCGTATCCTTATGTTTTATAGCCATTAACTTTCCTCGATAAATACACTATCCACTGAATCAGACTTCTCGTGGCATGCCCGTTCAGAAAGTGTTTTACCAAATGTCTATAGACCAATGCAAGCTGCCCATCGACAACGGCCCTTGCGCGGGCAACTTCCCTCGGTGGGGCTTCAACGCGGAGTCACGTCGTTGCGAACAATTCACTTGGGGAGGATGCGGCGGGAACACCAACCGGTTCAGCTCTGAGGCTGCATGTCTGCATAGATGCAATCCGCCCGGCGTGCCGCAACGTGAGTATCATACGCAGGGAATGACTAAAATCACATGATATACCCAAACTTATTTGAATATGCTTAAAATTATAATTATGATTGGTATTGCTACCATGTATCTACCTTTTTTTTTGTGAGTCTCTGATATGTAGCCACTGTTGGCAGCGCCATGATCACGGAGTCTTTATTATTTATGGAGTACAAAGTTAGTTTGATTTGAAATCATTGATCTGAATCTGTACCCACCGTCAACATCAGTATCAAACACTGTTATCTTACTATCTGTGTTATCTTACTAAATTGGTTATTCTGCTTATCATGTTCAAGTATATATTCAAGTAAAAGATGCATCTAAGTAAGTGATCTGTACTAAAGTAAAACAAATATTTTCCATCGACCGAAGGATCCAGATGCAACTTTCCCCTTTTGGATTTGAGATTTTAAATATACCTATCATTTATCTTTAGATATATCTAAGTAAACAAACAAAAGACTCTTTATTTACTAAACTCATAAATAAGAAAACATTAAGTTGAACGTGATCTTAAAAAACTTACGTAGAAAACTTCAATTTTAACGAATAGATCAGGTGTTGTGCCTTCTTTGGAAGCTCAAACGCTTTTTAACAATAGTCAATATCGACTAAAGAATAGTAGGGAAATGCAAAAATTACCTACTCTTCAATTCTAAGATTTGCTTCCTCCAAACTTTTCATCTGAGCATGTTGTTTCCTCTCTTCTTAACCTGTATATAGCATGAATTCTATTATTATCTGAATAACTTTTCTGTTTGTATGGTTTGGTTTCGGTTGTAGTTAGATCTAACTGGTTTCTTGTCCCTAATGGATATTGGTGTCTTTGTTGTCGAACAACAATACACAAAATGAACGTCATGAAATTATGTTCATAAAACACATTGAAAGATACCAATTCATCTATGGGGGAGGGGTTTTACTAACCAATAGTTGCACAACAGCTGAATGCAATGAGCCGCAACATGCCGGCAACTGCACGGATAAAGTGCCTTCCTGGAGCTTCAGTCCTACTGAGAATCGCTGCATGCCATTCTACTACACCGGCTGTGGGGGCAATCGCAACAGATTCGATTCCGAGAGGACCTGCGCTGAGAACTGTCCAAGCTCGTATGGTAAGTAAAATGAAAAAATGTCAACAGCTAGAGAAAATTATCTTGCGAAATTCTACGACTAGATGTACCATTTACAAATGAAACGAGATATAACATTTTAACGACTACCACGGAAGTTAATAATGAAACTTCTTTCAAAATATAGGATACGGTGCAGAAAAATCATTTTGCAGGTTTGTTATGTAAAAACATTTAGTTGAGAATGGGACTTGGGAATGCTTGCTTGAAATTTAATATGTTTCGCTTTTGTAATTAACATAATCGTCAACAACTCTTTTAGTTCTTTCTTAGATATCTCCTGTTCTTATTTATCTCATCTATTTAGCATGATTGTCTTTTTCTGTACCCAGAATAAAAAGATGGATGGGTTGGGTGTAAATAAAAAAAAACGTCATGAAACATTATAGCCATTAACGGGATTGTTACCATGTACCTTGTTTCTTATGAGTCCCAGATATTTTGGCACTCCTGATCACGGAGTAACAGTATCGGAGACTCATAAAAAACAAGGTGCATGGTAACAGTCCTATAATAGCTATAAAGCATCATGAAGTCGATATACACCTAATTTTTCGTTTTGATTATTTTGCAGTAAAAGAAATTTGCACTCTACCTGCTTTGACCGGAGAGTGTGCTGATTATTCAGAGAAATGGTACTACGATACAGCGATCAAGAGGTAAGTCCACACATCTGTTTAATTATTTAAATGAATAAAGATACATAATATAGTTTTCGTAATATGGGTCTTAGTTGGTATATTGTTATGTAAGGTACCGCAGGATTCATCAGAAATGTTAATAACAAAACATATTGAAACAATGAGGCTTTAACGGTATCAGGTGCCGACAGTTCTACTATGGCGGTTGCGGCGGCAACGAGAACCGTTTCTCCACGCAGCAGGAGTGCGAGATCCAGTGCCGGGAGCAACCCGTCACCACGACAACACCGCGCCCTACTCCGCCCGTCACTACACCTGGTAACATTTACTGATATTACTGTCTATTATTAGCAATGGAGCTGTTTCTCGACGCAGCAGGAGTGCGAGACCTAGTGATAACAACTACTACACCGCGCCCTACTCAACCCGTCACTACGCCTGTTAACAATCACTTTCACTATTGTCGGCAATGGAACCGTTTCTCGACGCAGCAGGAGTGCGAGACTTTCCCCGTCACTACAGCGGGCAACATGTACTGATATTACTGTCTATAATTAGCAATGGAGCTGTTTCTCGACGCAGCAGGAGTGTAAGATCCAGTGACAACAACTCCTACACCGCGCCCTACTCCACCCGTCACTACGCCTGGTAACAATAACTTCAACTATTGTCGGCAATGGAACCGTTTCTCGACGCAGCAGGAGTGCGAGACTTCGCCCGTCACTACACCGGGTAACATTTACTGATATTACTGTCTATTATTAGCAATGGAGCTGTTTCTCGACGCAGCAGGAGTGCGAGACCCAGTGACAACAACTACTACACCGCGCCCTACTCCACCCGTCACTACGCCTGGTAACAATCACTTCAACTGTTGTCGGCAATGGAACCGTTTCTCGACGCAGAAGGAGTGCGAGACTTCCCCTGTCACTACATCGGTAACAATTACAACTATTGGCGGTAATGAAACCGTTTCTCAAAACAGCAGCCCCACGAATACACCGCGACCTACTCCGTCCATCACTACACCTGGTAACAATTTCTTCAACTATTGTCGCCAATGAAGATGTCGGCGATTCAAACCTAATGGCAGCTGTAAATAGCACCGCTTTGCTGTCTGAGAAATATATAAAAACTATAACTTTTACTTGAAGAAATAAATTTCCATTATAAATCCCGGTAGCATAATTGGGTCGCATATTCTCATGGAAGGGTGTCCCAGAATCTAGCCTATACCTTCCTCAATTAAAATTTTCCCAGAAACATTTTATCGTTAAAAAATGAATTCAGACCTACCTACCTCTTATCTTCTGATGAATTTTGTTTCAGCGTCGTCCGTGGAAAATGTATGCTCTTTACCATCGATGACTGGAGAGTGCGATCGGTACACCGAGAAATGGTTCTTTGATACGAGCATCAGCAGGTAAATTTTTATTTATTTTTATCCTGAATTTCATTTCCAATAATCGTCACTCATTCGTGTTACTCATAGCTAGCTATAAACACTCTTTGCATAGCGCGATAGATTTCTTGTAATCGTTATAATTGAAACGAATATAATGGGCAAGATGCAATAGGTATATTTTTTGATTTTTCTAAAACGTTTGATTGCGTTAGTCACGACACATTATTGAGGAAATTGGGGGTATTATGATCTAATAAGGCCGACTGATTTAATAGGGGCACTACTAAATGAGTCGGCCTCATTTAATCATACTTTTCTGGTCGAATATAATAGTTGTTATTAATAAAACTGAATCCGCTGGAACCCTGCTGGCTGGCTGGTTATAGGCGTGCCTCAAGGATCAATATTAGGTCCTTTATTATTTTTAACATATATAAATGACCTAAATTTTTTCGCCAGACACTTTTAGCTCTGCGATAATTTTGATTATTAGATAATTAGAAGTTATTTAATTATTGTAACTTTTACCTTATTTAAACGATAACTTTAACGAAGCTGTATTAAAAAGGCACTTAATTACCATGAGCGCGCTATTTCCACAGTAGCACTTTAAATAAGCTAAGGGTAGTTTTGACCCCTGAAATTGATCTGGCATCTTACAAAATATAATAATAGCCTTCAAAATATCATAGAAAAATATCAGGTCTCAGACTGCATGTTTTTGTGTTGTGTTATGTGTTTACTACATTAAAAGTGTCTGGCATTAAATACTGCTGACAAAATATGTCCGGCAGTATTAATGTCAAATTGTTTATATTATTCTCTACAACATAGCTAGGAATCAGTAATCAGAGTGTAAGTAAAGTAAGTATGTTTTTTACGTGCATGTGCCACCCGTCACCTGAATGTTGGCCCACAGCACAAGTTAGCTAGTATGTATACGTTCATTGTACACACTAATACTACTCAATTATCTATATATTGTCCACGAGAAAATAAGTAAGGTCCGTTGGTCTTGGAATCTTACTTCATAAAGAATGCCAGTTGTCTAAGCCTCCCATCAGAAACTTTTTGTAGCATTCTCGAATAATAAATTAAGCTAGGTGTCACCTATGGTACCGATTCCGCCACGCTCCCACATGGGCGTAAGAGGGTACCGGTGTGTTTTAGTGGGTAGGACCGGCGCTGTGTTCCGCGGTGGGTGAGTCCCACACACGCGGTGCGCCTCGCCAGCGCACGGTATGGTCCGTCAAAGATATCTCATCGTAAAAAAAGGTGTCACCTACGGTATCAAATATACCAAAATGATGAAATGATCACTTCCCAACGTTCCCAGGTGTCGTCCGTTCTACTACGGCGGATGCGGCGGCAACGGCAACCGGTTCGAGAACCAGCGCGAGTGTGAGGCGAGATGTTCCCCGCCCGCCCCAACGCCGCCCACACCACCGCCCTCTACTGGACAAGGTAACTTTAGTTTCTTTTATTTATATATAGTTGCACATCTCTAGTAGTAGCATTTTCATCAGCTTATTATTGACATTCCACATATTCGTACTAATCGACTCGCTTCTACATTTGCACGGTAAAGGAATAGGATTAATGGTATATTTCCGAAAACATGCAATTGAATTTATTTCAAATCTATAATACTTAGCATATAAGTATTTTCTGGGTAATCGTGCTCCTTGTCAGCAATTTAAACAACATCTATGAGGACAATGCTTTTCTATCATTATAAAAGAGAGGAAGAAGGCGTTTTTTATTCATTTAAACTTACCATAATATGCTTGCACTTTTCCATTTACCTGAAGTCAGTTGATTTTTTTACGTCACTATCCTTTTTTTTCTAATTACATTTCGAGCACATCCTATTCATCACCTTAATTTTAAAGTCGCACTTCCATAAACTGCACAATCATAACCCGCACACAGAAATATGTTTCCTGCCCATCGACGCGGGCCCGTGTACCGACTTCGTCTCGCGCTGGACGTACGACAGCGAACGTGGATCCTGCGCACCCTTTAACTACGGCGGCTGCGGCGGCAACCAGAACAACTTCCCCGACGAGGAATATTGCCGATATATCTGCGGGAACATACAAGGTGTGATATCATCATTATCAGCCTATTAATGTCCCCACTGCTGGGGCACAGGCCTTCCCTATTGATGGAATAGGGAGATTGTGCCATGGCCCATTACGCGGGCCCAGTGCGGATTGGCGGGTGCTAACGACGTACCTTCCGAAGCACGGATGAACTCGAGATAGAAGATTTTTGGTCACACATGCAATGACCGACCACTGCGAAAGTTGCTTAACTTCAACGATCGCATCCAAACTCGCTAACCAACTGCGCCATCGAGTTCCTCATCCTTATAGATGTGATATAACTGGCCTTTATTCTTAACTCCTGCTACTATAGTTCCAACTTCTACTACGGCGGCTCTAGCTAATCTTAAAAGGACAGGGCACAAAATTAAAAAATATGCTGTTGACCTCACTCAACAACTGCCGCGGCAACCAGATAAACTTTCCCGACGAGGAATACTGCCGATATACCTGTGGAAACATACAAGGTGGGCTATAACTGGCCTATAGTCTCAACTCCTGCTATGGCAGCAACCAGAACATAATCCCCGACGACGAGTACTGCCTATATACCTGCAGGCAGTGCCGTACAGGTATAGTACACATAACATACAAGGCGCATTAACTGAACATAGATTTTAAAAAAGTAAAATTGCACCAATAACAAACTTTCACGACCCTAATAAAACTCATAATCATTATGTAACGGTCATCATTAACCACCTATTAATATCACTACTGCTTATGGATGGAAAAGGACAAAGGGCCATGACCCACCACACGAACAAAATGTGGCTAGTGGGCTATAATGATAGCAAATGACTTTCGTGGCTTTCGAAACATTGAAAAGCTCGAGCGTGGAATTTTCGGTTTGCCATTCTGTGGCAGAAAACTGTTCAACAGTTTTTAACGTTTTTCGATATGATACCATCTAAAGTCATAGATATTTATTGTGTAATATCCTTTGCAGACATCTGCCAGCTGCCGATGATTCAGGGTCCATGCGGAGAGTCATTGATGCGATGGTTCTACGACCCCGCCTCAGATGCTTGCAGTCAGTTCACATACAGCGGCTGCAACGGTAACGGAAACAGGTAAATAAACACCTATAATACTTACGGTGAATTCATTCAACTTAAAGTGCTACGTTTAATATTATTACATTATTTGTTTATAGATTCGAGTCTCGGCAAGCATGCGAAAGTCGTTGCAGAACTGGCCCCGCTGCCCCTGAGGTTCCTGCTGCTGTCACTAAAGCTACCACTGTGTCACCTGTGAGTAGACCAATTTCTTTATAGGACAGGTTTCCCTCATCAATAGGGCACCGTTTACGGGTCTATCGAATATTCGTTACAATATTCTTTCAGATAGATAGTACCGATAGATCCTTTTGTTTTATAAAATACACGTTAAATGCTAAAGACAAGTCCCTGTTTACGATCATACTGTCTATCCTTTAAATACACATCATGTGTTTTTAAACCCCCCATGTTTATATAAAATCTTTCTCCTCAGACCGGTGAAGGCTTATCCCCCGAATGCCTTGCATCTTCCTCGCCCGACGAAGAGTGCTTAGAGGAGGAGGCCGGGCCGGTGTGGTACCTGGACGTGTCGCAGCGCGCGTGCGTGGTTCACGTCAACGAACCAACTGGCGCAAACTGTCGGCGAGCCGGCGTCTTTGACAGCGAGGAGGCTTGTGAGAGGGCTTGTGGAGCCTTTAGAGATATCGGTAAGTTATCCATGATCTTGAAGGCCTATCCCCCGAGTGTCTTGCATCCTCTTCTTCCAACGAGGATTGCGTAGAGAAGGAAGCCGGACTGGTGTGGTACCTGGACGAGTCGTGGTTTACGTCAACGAACCAACTGGCGGCAACTGTCGGCGAGCGCCTTCGAAAGCGAGAAAGCTTGCTAGAGGGCTTGCAGAGTGTTCAGGGATATCAGTGAGTTATCCAAGATAGTAAAGACTTATCCCCTAATTGTCTGGCGTCCTGCTCCCTTGGCAAAAAGTGCGTGGTGTAGGGAGTAGTTCACGTCAACGCAACAACTGGCGGCAGCTGTCGGCGAGCCGGCGCTTTCGACAGCGAGGAGGCTTGCGAGGGGGCGTGCGGAGCGTTCAGAGATATATTGAGCCTTGAGAGTAACCTGCAGATATTGAGCTATCCACAAGAATCAACTGTACCTGAAAAAACGTCAATACAGATGAGACGAGGTATATTAGAAACTGTTTAATACAAGTAGCACGCTGACTCAGTTGGGAACCCAACAAAGCGCTGTCGTGTTTCACGTCAACGAACCAACTGGTGGAAGTTGTTGGCGAACCGACGCCCCTCTGTAGTGCTTGCGAGAAAGCGAGCGTGATATATTAGGCATAACTGGATTAAATGTATCAAGGATCAACTTGAAAACCAAAACTTTAATAAAGGTTTAGTTGCAGTGATTACAGGGCAAAACAACTGTACCTGCGAAGAAGTTATACAAATAAGACGCAGATTTGGCTAGGGTGTTGCTGGCTAGTTATATAGTTTTACATCATCATCATATTTTAATATCATCACGGTTAGTGCCTGCTTTCCCTGTAGAAAAACGGGAATTCCTATCAAGGACGACTGGACAGAACCTAAAGATTAGGATTAGGTTATGACTGCAGCTGTAGGAGCCAACGCCTTAACATATCTTCCCGAACACAGTTGATCCTAAGACAGACTATTGTGAAACTTGTTTAATTTCCAAAATATTTTATGAGAGTTTTACGTACTTCGATCTAATATGTGTTTTTGTGGTTATTATTCTTATTATATTACATTGCAACTAAGCCAGTTTTTTCTAATCCGTTGCAACTTGCAAAACAACGCTAATAATATTTTCCTAGATTTATAATAATCGTTTTACCTCAGACGTATGCCGTTACCCCGTGGACCCGGGTCCATGCCGGGCCGCAATACCGAAGTTCTTCTACAACCAGACCCTGGACGCCTGCGAGCCCTTCAACTACGGTGGCTGCCACGGAGGACCCAATCGCTTCTCTACTGAGCTGGAGTGCCAGGACATCTGCAAGGGCGAGAAGGGTCAGTGCCTATACTTAAAATAGATCCGTATCTATCTTATCTTAGAAACGTGCTACACATTGCAAGATCAGCGAAGCGGCTGCCACGGAGGACCCAACCGCTTCTCTACTGAGCTGGAGTGCCAGGACGTCTGCAAGAGTTTGAAGGCTCCTTAAAGTAGATCCATATCCAGGGGCGTATTTACGCCAGGGCCAAAAGGGGCAATGGCCCCTGGCAAGGACTGCGAGGAGTGGTTGTAAGATCTTTCAGGAGTAGCACAAGTCATACAAAGGCATTCGTTGCTTAACTCTATTTTGATTTCATTTACTTATCTAGCACACCCCTAGAGTGCAAATCGTAAAAGGGCTCTGGGCGCCAGATTTCAAAATACGCCCCTGTCCATATTAATCTAATCTTAGAATCGTGCTACACTACTCATTGCAAGATCATTGATGATTACAAAATATAAACATGAAGGCAGAAGACCTTGGAAGACCAACAGCTAATTCGAAACAGAACAAATAACTACAGTAGTAACAAATAGCCAATTATAGGTCCTCGTAGATAACAACAGATTAGATTATTAAGGACGCACTATTTAAACACATTATTTTATTTATTATAAATACTTATCTCTCGCTATCCCAGATCCATGTAAGAAGACGCCGAAGCCGGTGACCTGCGTGGACTACGAGGTGACATGGTTCTTCGACGAGGCGCGCGACGAATGCTTCTCATACGGCTCCTGCGACCACACAGACACTAACAAGTAAATTTACATAAGTATTTTATCATTATCAGCATAGGCTGTACATGTACATTAATAGTAATGTCCCCACTGCTGGGGCACAGACCTTTCCTTTAAATGGAATAGCGAGATTGAGCCGTGACCCACCACGTGGGCGTGGAATGCGGATTGGTGGATGCTAACAATTGCAGATGAAGCCGAAGTGCCTTCCGAAGCACGGAGGAGCTCGAGATAATAAGTTTTTGGTCACCCATCCAATGACCGACCATAGCGAATCTTGCTCGAAATTACCACGATCGCAAGCCGAACGCACTGCGGTTACTACGCCGGGTTTCATGGTGTCGCCTACTCGAGAGGTCCCGGGTTCGAATCCCGATGGGGGCAGATGTTTGTGTGATGAATACGAGCATTTGTACCCCACTCATGAATGTTTAATATATATTTCTATATAAATATATTTATAGTCTGTATATGTACAATATATGTATTCTCTCCGTTACCCTAGTAGGTATCCCATAACACAAGCCTTACAGTGCTTACTTTGGGGTTAGGCGAATTGGAGTGTATTGGAAATATTTATTTATTCGGATAATCCTACTTACCTCTACCTACCTCTGTAACTAATGAAGTTTTTCTAGAATAACGGGCACCAGGTGGCAGAACAGAGACGAAAGGTCTACTTATCCGTCAAATCGCATATGTTCAGAAATCAGAAATTTTATTGCGTTTCATGTGGTAAATAAGGTCTCACATTATTATAAGGTACAAACACATGAGTCCTGTTAGGACATAACAATATTGAGCTTATAGCTAATATTACATTTATATTAAAATTCTCATAGTCCATGGTTCAATTTAAATGAGGGTTTTTTTGGAATGACAGGCAGCAGGTGGCAGTACTGAGACGAAAGGTCTAATCATCCGTCAAATCGCATATGATCTCATAGTCTATGAATCTGGTCTATGTAGTTGGCGTTAAAAACTTCATACAAAAGACCTCACGTAACAGTGGCGCCAACTGGTGACGTAAATTTTCATAAACACCCTCATTAGTTCGCGCCAAAAAGTTCATACAAAAGACCTCATGTCCCAGTGGCCCCGGTGACGTGAAATCTAAATAAACACCCTCATTGTTTGGTCTAATGTAAGGTTCACGAGCCGGGAGCAGTGTGAAGGGCAGTGCCGTCGCGCGCCCTCCGCCCCTCTGCTCACCACCACTACGCGCTCGCCGCCGCCCTCTGAGGTGAGCTATCATCATCATCAGCAGCCTATTAATGTCCCCACTGCTGGGGCACAGGCCTTCCCTATGGATGGAATAGGGAGATTGGGCCATGACCCACCACGCGGGCCCATTGCGGATTGGTGGGTGCTAACGACTGCACATGCAGCCGGGACCAACGGCTTAACGTGCCTTCCAAAGCACGGAGGAGCTCGAGATAGTAATTTTTGGTCACCCATCCAATGATAGACCACTGCGAAAGTTGCTTAAGTTCAACGATCGCAACCGAACGCGCTAACCACTTGCGCCATCGAGCTGAGTTATACACCACACTATCACATCCTTCGACCGTACGACGCCTTTTTTTGTGTCTGGAAAATGCCCTACGCATCCTTCAACCACCAGGGGAGCTAGAAGAACTGTGTGGAGAAAAGTGGGACTCTTCCCTGACCCCTTCAGCCAACACTGGAGCTCGCTGAAGTAAACAGGGCCCTACCTACGCCCTGAAGAGGGCCACTAAAAAACAGGCAATACTCCTGCACCGTCACCCGGCACGCATTATGAGGACCGCGGTCCCCCTAGTGCGTGCCGAGAGGGCGGGTGTGGTCGCGGCATCCGTCTCCGAATGGCCGCGCAGTCCGTACGACGCCCACTGCTGAGCATAAACCTCCCCTAAAACGCACGCGACCACTAGGCTCGCCAAGCACAGTCGAATTGAATTGCAGAAAGTTGCCTCCTATTTCATTTTGACGCAGAGTAGCGGATGCGCGCCACCGTATTTTATTATTTCTTTAAGTACGAGTAGTTATCGCTTGAAAGCTCACAAAAATCTTTTTATAAGTAAATCAGATATAAATATAATGCTTTAACTCCTTTTTCTTATATTCTTCTTTTCTTCATGACTTGGATGAAGGATTAAGATGAATAAACAATTCGATTCCATGAGTTTTTGCGAAAATTGGCATTCACATCGCACAATTTTGGTGAAGGATTGTAAAGTTTTTCTGAATATTTACTCACCTAATTTTACAACTTTAAATTATTTATTAAAAATATATTGTTTTAAACTTTCATGGTCACTAACATTATAGATATTAACGGGATTGTTACCATGTACCTTGTTTTTTATGAGTCTCCGATATTTCGGCACTGTTGCAAGCGCCATGATCACGGAGTAACTGAAGTAATTGCGGGTAGATGTTATTGGCAGACATATCGGTCTACCCTCTGACGTCGTCTTTTACTGCGTTCGATACTACCACTACCATTGGTCACATTCTCACTATTCACTCGCATTTGTTCCCGGCACACAATACTCACAGTATCAGATCGCGGAACGACACTTTTTTGATTTTTGCGGTTTTTACACATACGAACCACTGGATTCCACACACTAGACAATTTAAACCCATCCTCACGATTGAAATTCTTGTGTTTGGTTATTTCAATCGCTTCCCTGACCAATCTTGGTATGTAGTGGCGTTCTGTCGAGATAATTTGTGGATTATGGAGCTCAATCCAGTGATTAGGACCCGAATCAATTAAATGTTCCGCGATGGCTGATTTTTGCGTATCATTATTTCTGACTGCTTTAATGTGTTCTTTCATTCGGCACGCTATTGTCCGCTTCGTTTGGCCAATATAAGAACTACCACAGCTGCAGTCGATCTTGTATACACCAGGTTTCTCCAAGGGGAAGTTATCTTTAGGAGACCGTAGAATCTGTGATACTTTTTGTAAAGGAGTGAAGACAGTATTCAGTGAGTACTTATTAAGTATGTTAGAGATCTTGTCTGTCACTCCTTTGACATATGGCAAAAATAGTGGTTGCCTGTCTACTTTGTGTTTCTGGTGTCTTAATTTGTGTTTGGGTGGAAACTTTCCCTTGTATCCGTTATTCTGTAAGACCTGCCGTACATGCTCCAACTCTTCGTGCAGGTGTTCCTTGTCACATAAGTCATATGCACGGTTCGTCAGTGAAGTGACTACAGAATTTAGATGTTTAGGGTGGTGATGCGAGGAGGCGTTGAGATAACGGTCTGTGTGTGAAGCTTTGCGGTGAATGGAGTGACTCAGCGAACCGTCATTCCGCACTCGAATCTTTACATCAAGAAAGGCCAGACTTCGGTCTTCTTCCATCTCATATGTGAACCGCATTTTGGTATGGACTCCATTCAAATTTGCCAAGTGTGCCAGTTCATACGTAGGTGAGTCTATCTGACTCACAATCGGACGTAGCGGCACATGTCAAAGCCATATGTCAAAGGAGTGACAGACAAGATCTCTAACATACTTAATAAGTACTCACTGAATACTGTCTTCACTCCTTTACAAAAAGTATCACAGATTCTACGGTCTCCTAAAGATAACTTCCCCTTGGAGAAACCTGGTGTATACAAGATCGACTGCAGCTGTGGTAGTTCTTATATTGGCCAAACGAAGCGGACAATAGCGTGCCGAATGAAAGAACACATTAAAGCAGTCAGAAATAATGATACGCAAAAATCAGCCATCGCGGAACATTTAATTGATTCGGGTCCTAATCACTGGATTGAGCTCCATAATCCACAAATTATCTCGACAGAACGCCACTACATACCAAGATTGGTCAGGGAAGCGATTGAAATAACCAAACACAAGAATTTCAATCGTGAGGATGGGTTTAAATTGTCTAGTGTGTGGAATCCAGTGGTTCGTATGTGTAAAAACCGCAAAAATCAAAAAAGTGTCGTTCCGCGATCTGATACTGTGAGTATTGTGTGCCGGGAACAAATGCGAGTGAATAGTGAGAATGTGACCAATGGTAGTGGTAGTATCGAACGCAGTAAAAGACGACGTCAGAGGGTAGACCGATATGTCTGCCAATAACATCTACCCGCAATTACTTCAGTTACTCCGTGATCATGGCGCTTGCAACAGTGCCGAAATATCGGAGACTCATAAAAAACAAGGTACATGGTAACAATCCCGTTAATATCTATAATATTTATTAAAAATGCTGTTTTACTGTATGTTAGGCCATATTAGTTCGAACTTGATCCATTTATGGTCTTAATCAATAACAGAAGCCGTTTTATCGAATCTATTACATATTTGTTGACCAGACGGTAGAGGAAGAATGCCGCACGCCCACTGTTCTGGACACTTGCAAAAGTAACCTGGTTGCTTACTACTACGACTCGCGCTCGGGCGGCTGCCTGGCCGCGGAGCTTGGAGGCTGCGGGCTGGCGCTCGCGCATCCTACCGAGGAAGCTTGCCTGAGACGCTGCGGCGAGTTCCGCGGACTTGGTGAGTCGAGAATTTTAAAATGTACTTAATTCTATGCTCGAAGATGATGATGATGTAAAGTTAATTCTGGGGATACCAAGACACAACAAGGGCACAACCTCCACTGCTTGCGATTGAACATTGACATTTGAAGTGTATTTGGGCTAAATCAGAGGTTCCCATACTTTTTTGTGTCGTAGACCCTTTGCATGTTTTTAGGTTTTGGGTAGACCCCTACTTACCTGATATTGATTTTTTGTAAATTTCTATCTGGAGGGAAGTTAGTGTAACAAGATGATACTGGTTTATCATTATGTGCAGGTTTATACAACTTGAAAATGTATTGCGACCACAAAGCGAATGCCTACATCTTACAACTTACAAATTTTTATAAACATATAGGTATATAATATTTTTTATTATTTCATAGGTACTTTTATAAATAATGTATATGTCTTTTTAATACGAGATAGCATAATACAAGTAAATAGTACTATCAGTGTATGTTGCGATCCATTATTGTGGACCCCTATTTTCATTTCATGAACCCCTATATTTTTTTTTCGCTGACGTAGACCCCTTGCAGGTCATCATAGAACGTAGTATTCATCTGGGACGACATATACTACCACCAGAGGAAATCAAATATCTAAAAGCTAGAAACGTTTTGTGCTTCTTGGAAGCTTTCGAGCTAAAAGTGATAAAAATCTGAATAAATCCACGAAGGCATCATCAAAAACAAATTTAAAAAAATAGAAAGTTCCTATTATCAATCAAGTCGTGAAGCAAATGTGTAAGCGACTTGATAAGCGAGCGGCTTGATAAGCTCGAAGATAGAGATAGTAGACTCGTTTGGTATACAATATATAAGGTGCGTGCTTTAGCTCGCAAAAACGACAGAAAAACATTGGATATGCAAAACTATCAGTTTCTACGAAAAGAGACCATATTATGTTCTGTTAGAAAACTTTCCTGGCGTTCAGAGTTCATACTAACGAGTTTAGTCTGTGGAGCGAGACAGCATTTCACTTGAACTGGTCTTTTTATCTGGCGTTAAGTGTATACGGCCATATACGAGATATCATCTATACACATATAATACGGCCCCAGTCCCCCTAGCATGACTAACAAAACGCGATATGATAAAGCGATTTATCGACATTCAACTGTCAAACTCCATTGTAGTTTGACAGATAATATCGATAAATCGCTTTATCATATCGCGTTTTGTTACTCATGCTACGGGGGCAGGACAAATTAGAAAAGTAATTGTAGAGGATAGGCTATTGTAACATCACCATAATACCAAACGAACAGGCATCTAACAAATTCACATTTTTTCAGACCCTTGTCGATCACCGCTGGACGTGGGTCTGGGCGGGGAATCAATACCGAAGTTCTACTGGAAGCAGAGCTCAGGCCGCTGCGAGCAATACGTTTACAGTGGGTCAGGCGGCGGGCCTAACCGATTCTCTACCATCGACGAATGCGAGCAAACCTGTGGACACACCGGACCCGGTGAGTTGGGTACACGACAGTATGATCCTTCGAGACTGATAAAAAAAATCTGAAAAAAATGTTTCTTTGTCAACCGAATATAAAGGCACATTATATCGCGTAAGCAAATTTATTAATGATGTACGTCCATATCAATTGTAATAAATGTAATAATTCAATCTAACGGATGTGTTTTGGTTGGGGTAAAAGAAAAAAAACACGAATTTAAGTCTCTTTTGTGTAACAAGCCTCCCAATGGATTTGATATATGTAAGTTAAACCTGTATTATTTTTGGTGACGGTATTAACTGACATTCTTCCGTTTATTTTTCTATCTCTATCCATAATCCACTTGAATGAAAGTACTACTTTCACAATTTCCTAATCGGATTCCATCTTACTTTCTTAAGGCTTATAAATTTTATCTTCGTAACCTTTAAAAAAATAACTAATATTTCATCGAGTTGTGAAAGTGGTTTACCTTTTATCGATTTTTACACATAATATTTTCTAGAGTAGAATAATATCGCATGGTAGAATCACACACAATCCATTGACTACTCAGTAGCTATGCGCTTACGCGTGAATGGAACAAATTACGCTACTGGTAACAGCGCCAGCTTCGAGTAGTAGGTATTTTTATGACATAAAAGTATACCCGATGTATCTGCGCAATTTCAACTACTGATTTTGACCAGGAAACTAATAAGCCTTGATCAAGATAAATAGGAAAGCGAATGTGAACAAAGAAAACGTAATGATATTGGATGAATGGAATTTCCTAAGTTTGACAAACTTGCGAAGAAAAAGTAAACACTAGCAATCAAAATCATGAATGGAAAGGAGGCACCAAGTCTTGGTGAAGTGTATGATGTAAACGAATGCCTGCGGGAAGTATCGCTCTAGATTCAGGTATGTCTAATAAAAATATAATGAGCTTAGATGGGGTTATGTAGTGATATAAGATGAGAGAGATATAGGGTGAGACGACGTGGAAGCAGTGCACGGGAGTTCAGTGTCTACCTAGCTAAATATTCTAAGTAAGACCGTATAAATCTAAAATGTTCAAATGAATCTAGTGTGCTTTGCAAGTGAAAGAAATAAAACGAATGGTTACGTGGTGGCTGGACTTAATTCTTTGTGTTTAACATTGAGGGAACTTTTCAGTAGTAGTAGACTATGTAGCGTATATCCAGGTACCAAACTTCTATAATCTACAGATTGAATAGGATATAAATGTAATGGAATGGATGAGCAAAACATCGTATGTTTGGCAAATGAAAGCAGTGTAAAAACGAGAGTGGATAGACACAGCTATGAAATGAAAGAAAACGTGAACTTCTCCGCATAATTCGTCCGATAGGCTGAAGACCGGAAGGCGTTAAAAACGAGAGTGCTGGTTGAATACAATTGAATGTGAGAGAAAATAGAAGCTTCCCGCACACTTCGCCCTATAGTGCAGCATTACGCAGCCAATAACGGGTAGTCCCCGCATACTTCGTGGTCAATAACGGGTAGGGGGCTGGGCGTAGAGGCGGCGTGCCTGGAGCCGGTGGCGACGGGCGCGGCGTGCGGGCGCGGCACGCAGCGGCGCTGGTACTACAGCGAGCCGGACGCCGACTGCCTCGCCTTCGTCTACGCCGGCTGCGGCGGCACAAGGAACAACTTCCTCTCCCGCGACGAGTGCGCGCGCCGGTGCCGACTCCTGCCTGGTACTGCTGCCCTGAGCTTGTCGCACCATTCTACCACATATGGTCTCAATACTTGTGACGCAGTCAACCCGCGCTGTGATGCCGTGTTGTTCTAGCCGCTTCGATTCCTTACCTCGCTGTGATGCCGTGACGTTCGAATCCTTAATTGTATTGGACGGTCCCTAGAATTGCTGTATACTCGAGCTCCAATGCGGCTGTAACATCTACTCGAGTGTTTGTGTCTTTGTCCGTCCGCTTCGACCATTGTAAATAAATGTAGGCATGTGGTCGTTTCATTTTGAACTTCTGTTAATACATCTTGGAAGAAATTATTACATAAATTCCTCTTTCTGCTGGAATCCATAAACTGTGTCCTTGAAAAGAAAAACATTCGTCATCGTCGTTATAATTTTTCTGTGATGTGCATTTTCATTGTTTGCTTGCATTCTGAATCCTGATTTTCCGACTGTGTGCTTTCATGAGCAGTACTTGATTTGTGTTATAGGTTTAAGACAGAACTCGTTCGCCTCCATGAGGTCTTTGAATGGTTTGTGATCGTCTACGCTCATCCTCGCACTGCTTTCGCACTCGCTTGCTCTTTATCGCACCAGCACACTATACTAAACATCGTTCGTTATACACCTCATTAACTTTGTTAAACATATTTCTATTAATTTACTTCTTCTTTTTATCTTAGTTTATTTGAATCATTAGGTGACATATCTTATTTAAGAATTCAAATTTTCGAAATAAAACTTTTCAATGTAGATTTATTAAAACCATCATATTTTAATGATGATGACTGGACGTTTCAGGTCTCTTTCTCTTCCTGACTTGAGATCCTGGAACCTTCAAATAATTCTAAAAGCACCCAGAATTTTTGTTTACAAGTGTACGAAAAAACGTTGCACTTTAAAGTTCTAAATATGCTACTCCAAATGCTAATACAAAACCAACTTGCAGAGATCGAAAGCAACGAAGTTCTACCCGACTGTGATCGTTTCAACGATGAGTGCGCGACGATCCGCTGCGAATTTGGCGTACAGCGCAGTCGCACTAGAGACGGCTGTGAGCGATGCGCGTGCGTGCAGGTCGAGGTGGACTGTACCTCGTTACAACGCGAGTGTGACACGCTGAAGTGCGCGTACGGACTCGAGCGTACCACTGGACCTGATGGCTGTGATAGGTGAGTGTCATGAGTGGAGGCAGTTAGGTGCAGATTTTTTATCCTTACCACAATACCCTTTATGACTGTGAAGGAAATTTCGATAGCTTAAAAGGAGAGAAAAAATAAGTAGTGCTCAATCCACTGCTGGCATATATAATTTGCAAAAAAAAAAGAGAAGACCATAATATTTAACATTAACAAAAAAATATTACTTCTAACATTAAAACCAAAAAGATTAGAAAACATTAAATATGTACAAAAGAGAATATTTACAATAGGGTATTTACAAAAGAATTCGTAACAATGACAATATATGCGTGTGTGGACCCCAGTAACGCAGTCAACCTCATCTTAATGTCTACTCCGTGGAGGATTAATTATTTTACAGCTGAAATGGGATAGCAGAGAGTAATGATATTATTTGACCACTACAGCGTTCAGTAAAAAGACAGGTAGTTTGAATGGCGGCCGAAGTTGAAAGAATATATTGAGGTATTTCAGGTTATGATCGGGCAGGCTTTACTCCGCTCCACCTGATATTTTGTGGTGATACAATCCCAGACGCGAAGATAGTTGGTCAAGAAGTGTTAAATACCACAGCAGCCTTTCTCACTATGCAGCAGCCTGCCTGCAGAAATGCTTTTTTATTCCTCCTTTAAAAGAACAAGCTAGATTCTTAAGATTCATGACAGAATCGTCGTAAGAGGGAATGGTGATATATTTTATACTCTTTCTCAGGTGCACTTGTCTGAAGCACCCGTGCGAGGAAAAGCAATGCCCTATCGGTGAACGCTGCGTGGCATCTGCATACCGTGACCCCGTCTCGCAAGACCTCTCCTACACTGCTGACTGCCATCAAGGTATTTTCCTTATATACCTTATAAGGAAATAGATTTGACTTTAATCCGGTTTACGGATGTACAGTAATAATTTTAGATAAATTATTATCACATATAGATTTGAATTAACTGTAATATATAAATTAATTTGACTTTACAAGAGGTAAGGATATCTTGTAAAATGCGATTGTTGTACTTATAAGAAAATTGGAATATATTTGATTAACACACATAAAACTCAGGAATAACTCATTATCGAACGCAGCAGCAGAACAGCTTTACTTAAAAACCACCCACACCAAAAATATACTTCCAACCATACTCGACCTTAACAAACTTCTACTTCTTATATGTATAATTCCACCGAGATTTCCAATTACCCAAATATTCACCAGCCACGGCTACCATAAGGAATACTTCTTTAGATTTAAGGTTACTACTGACAATCTCTGCCCATGCGATCAAAAATCTGTTCAATCACTGAACCATTTGATTTAACAATGTCCTCGGTACGCCGCCTCACAAAACGACTTTCTCATAGCCACAAACAATTGTCTTGATCCCTACAATCTCCACCTATTACTTCAGAAAAATGCTTATGTTGAAGCATATTTCAAGCACGCTTCTACTATAATACACACACTAAAAGAATTTAATAAATAACCGTCTTACCTCAAACCTCAACTAAATTAAAACTGTACCTAAAATACACATAAACAGCATTGTTGAAGCATGGTGTACACCAAAAGCACCGGCTTCCCAATGAAGAGAAGAACAAAATAGCTCATTATTAAAAAAAAACTAACTAAGGCTTTTGACAGCGTTGAGCATCAGATGCTGGTGTTAAAATTTTTATCACTATGGAGTCAAGGGCTTAGTCCAAAAAATGCTACTATCGTACCTCAGTTCTAGAGTTCAAACTGTAGATGTAAATTGTGTAAGTTGAGTCAGCTGGATCTCATGTAAAAATGTGCGTCACCCAGGGTTCGATTTTGGGTCCGTTCCTATTTTATGTAATAATAAATATTATAATTATTCTATCCATTACGTTCAGTGAACAAGCCAGGCTCGTGTCCGGTGGAACAGACGACTGTAGAAGGGCAGTGCAGACGCGAGTGTAACGACGACGCGGACTGCCGCGGCGTGGGCAAGTGCTGCGCGCGCGGCTGTAGCCAGCTGTGCCTTGCGCCCGCCGGCGACGTATACGCGCCGCCTACCACCACCTACTCTCCCGGTATTTATACACTATTGACAATCGCTGTCACTTAGCAGCACTTACTGTGTCAGTCAGTACATTTTTTATGTTTTTGGTATTTGTACAGATTATACAGTTCACTCAGGGCGAGTTATATACAGATAGATGCGGGTAGATAGGATTGTTGGTGGCATGGCACCCGCCAGTGACTAACACCCACCACCTTACATTCTCATCGGGTTGCTACCAAATTCTGAAACGAAAAAAGATCAATTTATGTTCAAAACTCTTCAAAGTTAAACAACATCGTGACCGTAACGATTGTGATTTTGCTTGTGTTTTTTGCAGGTGAAAATTATAATTGCATTCACAATAAGCCCCCCTGAAAAAGTTATCATATGAAATGTTTAAATAAGATCGTTCCATTACAAATGGATATTAAATAAGTTCCTACATTCCCAGAACTACCGCAAGCGCCGCAAGCAAACCCGGTGACGGAGCCGGAGGTGTCGGCGACGGAGGGCGGCAAGGCGACGCTGCGCTGCCTGTTCCACGGGAACCCGCCGCCCAAGATCACCTGGCGACGCGGCGAGATCACTGTACGAAACCATCATTTACTTAGATTTAGTTTATTAGAAGCTGAGTCGATCGAATCTGCACGAATCGGGTTAAGAAGAGCTATAGGTGTTCTGCGCTATAGGTGTGTAGGTGCATCTAAATATGAGAAGCTGTACGGTAAGCTTCGTAAGCAATGGTCATAGAATGTTAGCCAGATTTTTTTATCTGTAACTCCATCGTGCTTCGAGAGGCAGGACCCTGCTTCGTCTGCAGTCTTTATTAGCCCCTTAACCGCATTGGGACCGTTTGGTGGGTTATGATGTCCCATCCTCCATATCTCCATAGGGTAGATACCTTAACCATCGCACAAAAAAACCCTCTGAATACTGTGTGTATATCGGTCAGCAAAAATCAAATTACGTAAAATATTATTTCCAGAGCTTCATGGGGTAGGCACAAAATATACATTTTACACAAGTAATTCCTTGGCAAAATATCATCAAGTTTTTTAGTCAAAGAACTACTTACCTGCATACTTAGTAAGGTGTTACCTGTGAATAGGGTTACCATCCTTCTGGATTAGGCCGGATATATCCGGACTTTTAGACGTTGGTCTGGACTTTGTCCGGAACATTAAATTGTCCGATTTTTTTAAATTACACTGAATATAAACAATGAAAGTGCATATGGATTTAAATACCATAACATTGTAACTTAGTGGATAATGGTACCATTTGGTAACTAAAAAATCCGGACTTTTTTTTAAAATGTCAGGGTTTTTGTCAAGACTTTTAAAATTCCTAAATGGTGACCCTACCTGTGAACAGATTGACGGCGACGTGGGCCGCTACCGCCTCCTGTCTGACGGCGCTTTAGAAATCGTATCACTGTACCGAAACGACTCTGGTGTCTACATCTGCGTCGCTGAGAACGTTCATGGCGTATCCCGACAGGAAATCCGCCTGCAAGTTAACGGTAAGTACTTTCCGTGTCTTCCAGCAAAGTCCCGTTTTGAAGAAACATAAGGTTATGTCAGGTATCTATAGGAAAAGCTGAGCAGTTTATAGCTTCCAGCTGATGGAAAAGTATTCGAAATTGGCACGAAAGCAGCTCTTCATAGTACCGCCAACATCAAATGTATCGGATGTTAATTGCAATATTTTATTTGCGCATGTGCTCAACAGATGACCCTGGTTTGACCATGCAAGTAATACAAGCATATTTGTAACAGAATGAGCTAAATGAATCGGTATGGGAAGTAGAAATTAACTAAACATTAGAGATTTTAACTGCTTGGTTTTGGTAGTTTGAATAAAGTAGACAGATTTTAGAAATACAAACAATGACACTTCACGCAGTACAAAACTCAATAATTTTAATACATTAGTACAATAGTAGTATTATTTAAACTCTGAATTCGTAAGAAATTTTGTCGTTCATTTTGTAGTACCGTGATGTGTTATAGTTTTATTGATGCAAAGGAGGTCATGATGGTGGGTGCATTGAGTTTAATATCAAATAGCCAGTTTATTTCATTTGAAATAGTAATCTACCACAGAACACAGACCTCTTTCTGTGGTAGATATCTATAATATCTACCACAGAACAGCATTTGTGGGTTCACTACCATGGCCTTGTACGCAGCTTCACTGAGATATCTGTGTTCCATTCAACTCTGCTTGTAGTAACAACGAATAAACTTAGTAAAAAGATAAAAAAGTTTTATTGCTTTTTATACCGGAAACACATTTTATATCAGAGTTGAATGACGCAGCGAACAGTTACGCTGAATTGTGCTAAGTTACTTAGTTGCATTTAGATACAACAATAATCTTTTGAAAATAACCAATCTTCTTATCTTTCTTTGCTAACTGCTCGTCCCTTCCCTGAATTGTTATCTTGAGCTATTGTTTTTTTTACTCGTTTAATCTCTAATGTGTCACTGGAAAACAACTCGAGCGACCCTTAAACGTGCTGTCACTGCATACTTCGCGATAACCTTTCTATTTGTCTAGCCTTGGTAACCATAAACGGAAACGTTGTTAATCAACGGGTAGTTTGTTTACCAGATGAAATATAAATAAGAATGCAAATCTAAGTCGATCTTCGCGTTATCCCATCGATTGCTTTGACCCCTGTTATCAATAGACCGTCAAGTTTGTATACGTGTCTATACAAAACAAGTAGGTAGATATCGTTTCAAGAAATCGTCCATCGCGGCGGCAGTGACCTCTCAACTCTGCACTGATAATGATAGAACTTGAGATATTCTAATACAAATACAGTTGTAAAGGGGCCGTCCATTAATCACGTGATGTATTTTTGGCATTTTATACATGCATGGTGAGGTTTATTATTAACCCCCCCCCTCCCTTTCACGTGTATCTTTTTAAGTATCTACAAAGAATCTTATTTTCTTTTATATTTATAAAATGCAGGTATAAGTAAGCATCATCTAATTTTATAATAGAAAATTAAAGACTACAATAATAACGTTAAGAGGTAGACAGAAAGTTTGCAGATTGTTTTTGACTGACATAAAAAATATGAAAGAAATGCGAAAAACTTTTTTGCATCAATACATGAACATTATTTAATGAACAGTATCCTCGGACCACGGAAATACACGTGATATATTAATTACTACATTCCCCCCCCCCCCCCCTCTTGTGATATTTCGACCCCATTCGAGTCCCACGTGATTAATAGACAGCCCCAAATGACGAGTGTTTCTTTATTTATTTTTTATAAAAAAACTTTTTAAAAGTCTATTTGAATGTAATTATCCTTCATTCGGCACGATTAATACTTGGTTTCCGAATATATGAAACTTTTTAATAGTGTCCGACCGAAACTGGTTTTCCGGCCGAAACCGAAACCGAAACCGAACATTCGGCCGTGGCTTCAGTTTCGGCCGAAACCGAAACCGAAACCGAAACTCACGTGGTCAAGTATAAAATTCCTTAAAATACTGAAATTTGGTCCATTTTACCGATTATTCTGCATTAATTAGGGCATGAAATGGAAACACAGTATTTTAATTTTGTTCTTATCAGTTATTTAATATAATATAAAAAATATTAAAAAAAAATACAAATAAAGTTCTCATAGCAAAAGGAGATTGCTCAGCTTCCATACATGTTTGGCCTAAAGACCAATAATCATGAAAAATTGTTTCCTAGATTAGAAATTATATATAAATTACTGTAAAAACTAATATTATTGACGGACACCCATGAGAACTTCTATAAACCATATACACTGAACATATTAAAATAATAAAAAACAAATAAGTTATATAGTAAACTAGGGAAATCAAGCCAAGTACCGAAATTATGGATTAGATTCAGGTATATAGAGCATGTAGATTAACAGATAGTTGCCTGTTTTTAAAGTTAATGCATAAGAGTAACTTTTAAAATCAGGTGTCATATATGCATTTCCGGTTACAATAAGGTACTCTGTGACAGAAACTGTGTGATGATTGTGAATGAGCCACAGATTAGAGAGAATTTTTAAACTCTCGTTAACCAAAGAAAGCTAAGAGGTTTAGGTTATATAGCCATATATTCAGTAGCTTCATTTATTTGTGATTGTGTGTGTGATTTTTAGTGTATCACACCTTATAATTTTTATTTATTTATAGTCAGGCAACGTAGGCTTATAGATAGATACCTTAAAGTCTAAACAGATTATAATGTGTTTATGGAGGTGTTTAGCGAAAAATGTATGGCAATAGACTTTATGATGTCGCCTACCATCATAATAATTGTCTGAGCACATTTGCATGTAGTGAAAATGATAATATAGATGTGGATATTAATACCACAGTGTAATAAAAAAAATATTTATTTTATTGATCTTTACAAAATAGATTTGTTTTTATGTTATTTAAACAACTTCGATCAGTCTTTGGCTGAATGTTACTACACCCATAGCCATTAAAATGATTCATATGTTTTCCAAACCGGTAAAATGAAAAGTCCTTTTTAAAGTGAATATATTATACAAAGGTGTCCGTTGAAATCTAATGACTGTAAATTAAATTACAAATTACGCCAAGAATTACCGTGTGTCAATATTTTTTGTGCATTTGGGCCAATTTGAGCAATCTCCTTTTTATCAGCTTTATCAATAATCAAATCACTAATTTTTACTGTTTCATTAAATACTAAGTATTGGTATTTTGAAATCTTATTAATACTTTGGTTTGTATTTGTACTTAGAAGAATCATAAATCTCTTAGAAGTTCCATCATAACATAACCTCTAAAGAATGTTTGCATCGGGCGATAACGCACTAAGTTGTGTGTGCTACGGAGCTATCCGAACGGCGCACGAGAATTCCTGATCAGGGCCGCCAGCGTCCGCCAATGCGTTGCCGCGAGAAACGAAGTTAAGCGAGCCTGCACGACAACTTCCGCAATCAGTTTCGGTTTCGGCAAAAGTTTCGGCCAATTTTGGCCGAAACCGAAACTGCCGCCGAAACTTGATTTTTGGCCGAAACTCGGCCGAAACCGAAACCGAAACCGAACCTTCGGTCGGACACTACTTTTTAATAAGCACTTCGCTTGTTTTACTCTGGATCATTGATTTAGCCCTACTTGAATACCTGACCGATAAGATTCCAAATATCTGTAAACTAGTTCGTATCTTCGTAAATATTGCTTAATCCGTTAAACAACAACTTTGCGTTAACTTTATTATTTTTACTTAAATATCAAAAATCTAATTATTCATACTCTACCTTAAACGTATTAAAGACAAAAAAAAATTAAACGTTACATATAAGTATTGATTGAAACTTAAACAATTTCCCGTCGTCAGTCCGCAATCGTTCGCAGTCAACAGTCTTTTATCTATCGCCATTAGCACAATTAGCGTTTAAACGCCCCAACGTATCGTCCACTGGACTGGAGCAGAGTGACAGCAATAATGGTCCCGCGCGGTTGTCTCTCGCTGATTCTGGCGCACGCGCTTCTTGCCGGCGCGCTCGCGTTACAAGGTTAATCAAACACATTAGTGATTAAAGATTTTCATTACTAATGCTTTGGTTGTTCCTGTGCTCATAAAAAATATTGACCTAACACTGTTTTATGCTAATACATCATAAGTTTACCAATGAACACAGGGACCGCCGAAACATACCTAACCCCATTTGTACCTGTCCTACCATCTTTCGCTAAGTAGTAAAAGCTAACCGCGAGTTTGTGGGCGAACCGATCGCGCTCAAACTCGAGAGTAGAGCTACTAACATCGGGAGTGGTTAGATCCGGTGGAGGCGCCGGTGGGCATCTCGGGCGATAGCAACGCCGTGGTGACGGGCGAGCTCGGCCGCAGCCTCAACATCCGGTGCCTGGCGTACGGGCATCCGGCGCCGTCTATCTACTGGTACCGGGGGAGGAACATGCTGCCGTACAGTAGTCAGCAGTACGAGGCGCGCGGGAACGTGCTGCAGATCAGGCGGTTGTCTGTGGACACTCTCGGGGAATACGCGTGTCAAGCGTACAACGGCGTGGGCAAGGCCGCCTTGTGGACGGTCGTGGTGCGGGCATATGAAACGGACGAAGAACGGGAGAATGAACTCCTGGTGCCGCGGGAACGGCCGCCCACGCCGACCCGTGTTCAGACCATGGCCACTACCACGCTAGCGCCCGAAATCGACGTGCCCGTTTACACTGGTGAGATTGATGTCCAAACTGCCTCTTGAAGTTGCCTAAGGTTTTGTTTACTTGTCTATAGTGATCCGCTAGGTGGCTATTTTATGAAGTATATATAGTATAAGTAGTTGTATATTTTATGAAGAATTTTTAAGACTATATTATTTGAAACTCTCATTGCACGATTACACTTGGTCGTTAGCCCGAATACATGTATTCCATTATCGAGTACGCCCGTATTCGGGTAGATTTCCTTTTGTTTACTCGACACCGTCTTTCAGCTTGTATTCCAGTGTAAATATTGCTTCGGGTGCCCGAATTTGAGTAATGTCTTTCATGCACTCGATTACAGGCTAACGACCAAATGTATTTGCGGCATCAGAACTGATTGCGTTCTTTCAACGAGTGATTTCTACATCGTGCAACCCGACCCCCTATTGGCTACTTTAATTCCTATACCAAGACATACTTCCGTTTGCCGTTTAAAAGATACTTCAAAAAGTGATAAGAGTTCTAGTTAGACAATCAGAACACTGAGTTATTTCTTACACTTCGCCATCTAGCGAATAATAGATATTCAAGTAATACAGCATTGATTTCATTGACGATTCAGTCCACAATAATAATGTTTTCTTTCCTTCCTTAGGTTTTAAATTAAGATTCACGCTTTTTTACTTAGAAATATGCTACAGTAGACAACTTGTAACAGCAGTGCATGTTGCATGGTATATGTTTTTGCATGGTTTACATACTTATACAGTGCTATTTTGGTGACGGTAATTATTATTATTTTATAATTTCTTATTCATATTTTATTATTTGGGACGTTTTAAAAATTTTAGTAAACATCAAGCTCTGACCTAATTGCTAATCCAAATATCAAACACATAAAGGGTGGCAAATTAGCATATGGTAAGCTACCATAACCTATTATAGACGCTTACAATACCAGAATATTATTTGCGTGTTGCCTACACTGATTATTTTCGCACCTGCACTTTATTTTAATCTTATCAGGTGGGCAGATTAAACAACCCCTTAAGTGTTCCAATATTCCGGGTTCGTTTTCCGATACGAGTAAATAAACTACTTAAATTAATCAATAGACATATTTTTTTAACCTCTATAATCTTAAATTGCTGGTTGGTCATTTGGGTTCCGTTTCGAAAGGGGGACAAAGAAAAGGCTAAAAAGCTCTTATCATTTCAACGGTAATAATAAACACCTGGAATTTTCAGATAAGCCGTGTTACGTGGTCGTTATCTCTGTAAATAAAAAATCAAAACAGACCGTAAAAACTAAGAAAATACGTATTCTTTTCTTATATCTAAAGTACATTTTTAAGTCTAATAAACATTTGGTGTCGATACCATGCCAATCCAAGCAGTAAGTACCTAAATGGTAATTCAAATCTATCAACAAGCATCTCCTGTACAAAACAACAATGTGATAAATATTGTAGTAAGTTACGGAACCCTTCGTTTATGAGACCGACTTGAAGTTGACCGGATTGTATTACTATCGTTGTTTACCATTTTAGTAACGCATAATTGCTTCACCTATTTAAGTTCCGTTCAGAGCAATGGTATTATCGTAAAGTTAATGTAGATTTTGATTTTGTTTTTTACTAATTATTTGTAGATAGATACTGTTATGAAATATAAGTGAGTATGTTTGCACTTATGGTCTATTAGTAATATTTTTATTTTATTTAATAAGAATTGCATACAAAGGCTCGGGTCTGTAAAAGTTTTTATTAAAGAAAGTTTAATTTGTCTCAGATGAGTACCATTATTTACATATTTATTAGTTTTTATTTCAAAGTGTATTAAGTTTATTTTACAAATAGAAACATTTTTATTAAAGAAAGTTTAATTTGTCCCAGACAAGTACCATTATTTACATATTTATTAGTTTTTATTTCAAAGTGTATTAAGTTTATTTTACAAATAGAAACTACTAGTATCTCGCAATAAATATCTTCAATCCCAGAACATATGATTTCTTTTCGTATGAATTGCATTCATAAAGAGATCCATCACAGCACTCATCGAAGTCGATTAATCTTTTATCATAAAAAAATGATATCTCTATCTGAGGGCTTTGATTTATTTGAGATTTATTAAAAGATTGATACTTACTATACTGGCATTTGTCAAGACGCCGCGGCCGAAGTCGTCGAATTAAACTATCTCTTTCACAGTCCCTTCAATAAACTTACGTCTCCCATGGTGGTCTGGGAGCGAATGAAAAACTAGAATGCATTAGATAAGATACTGTCTTTCCAATGCAGATATTTAAAACCAATCAATCAATGGACAATTGGACATATATACGAAAACTATTTTATGCGAAGGCCTAACACACTTTCAACGTTAACACAATGTTTCGCTAACCACCTACAGTGGCGGTGAACACGTCGATCCCTCTGAGCTCTATCTCGGCGGCGGCGGGCGCGGAGCTGAGTATCCCCTGCGACGTGGAGGGGTACCCGCTGCCTGACGTGTACTGGACCAAGGATGGCGCCAGGCTCGCATCTACTGACCGGATAGCACTCACAGGTACCTACATACTGACCAGCATCCCCTGCGACGTGGAGGGATACTCGCTGCCTAACGTGTACTGGACCAAGGACGGCGCCAGGCTCGCATCTACTGACCGGATAGCACTCACAGGTACCTACATACTGACCAGCATCCCCTGCGACGTGGAGGGATACTCGCTGCCTAACGTGTACTGGACCAAGGACGGCGCCAGGCTCGCATCTACTGACCGGATAGCACTCACAGGTACCTACATACTGACCAGCATCCCCTGCGACGTGGAGGGATACTCGCTGCCTAACGTGTACTGGACCAAGGACGGCGCCAGGCTCGCATCTACTGACCGGATAGCACTCACAGGTACCTACATACTGACCAGCATCCCCTGCGACGTGGAGGGATACTCGCTGCCTAACGTGTACTGGACCAAGGACGGCGCCAGGCTCGCATCTACTGACCGGATAGCACTCACAGGTACCTACATACTGACCAGCATCCCCTGCGACGTGGAGGGATACTCGCTGCCTAACGTGTACTGGACCAAGGACGGCGCCAGGCTCGCATCTACTGACCGGATAGCACTCACAGGTACCTACATACTGACCAGCATCCCCTGCGACGTGGAGGGATACTCGCTGCCTAACGTGTACTGGACCAAGGACGGCGCCAGGCTCGTCAGCATTACAGAAAAGGGAGAAGTTGTTTTTTTTATAATTGCACATTGCATCCATGCTCATCAATGGATTGGGTCGAAGTATCTTTAAAAAAACATAAATCCAGCAACAACAAACCGTAAAGGTCTAATATAATTTGGTATAAAATAAAGCATGAACCGTGCAGTGTGCTAACAACAGATATTTTTTTATAAAAACTTTTTAAAAAAGTATTAGTTTATTAGTAATTTTCTATGTACCATTTCACAGATGCCCGTCTGACGATATCTGCGCTGACAGTGGAGGACAGCGGCGTGTACGGCTGCCACGCGCGCAACGACTACAGCTCGCACTCCTCCACCATACAAGTCAACGTGCAAGGTGATCACACACTATAGTACAAAGACATTCGTGTTCTGGGGCTAACTCCATTTTTTTTTCGATTTATTGTAATTATTTTGGGTACACCTGATAACAAAATATATCTTGTCAAACTGAGAACAGTTTGTTGGCAAGTAACTGCGCTAAAACTAATCACATCACAAATCCTACTACTATCTAAATAAATACAAACACGACATATACACACCAGCAGCAATGCGACAGTGAAATCACGCATAACATTCCACATCACCGCAACAATATCTTATAAATAGTTTTCAGTAACATACTTTTCATTTTAGATTTTAAAGATTCTTTTGTAAACTTATGTAGTATCCCTCTGATTAATAAACGAAGAATAAGCTTGGATTAGTTACTCCATGTTATGTCTCTGATCATTGAATGACAAAATGGCGTTTGAGTGACATGAACAAAACGACGTCACTTGTTTATGCTTATCCCTTGTTTATTAATGAGAGGGACAGAGAGCAGTGGAGGAATAACCTAGTAGCTGGAGTAGCATATGCTACAGGTCCCGTGCACCAATACATTGTGACCACATAAGTGTTTTTAAATAAAAATAACTTGGTATCCTATAGAACCAATCCAAGGGCCCCTTAATAGAATTTGCTACACGCGCCGCGCCAGCTTATCCGGCACTGATAGAGCGTGGACTAAGCGTACTTGTCCAAGTAGGCCTCCCCGAATAGAGGGGATTGCGGTCACGGTGAAATGTGATAATCTAGAATATGGAGAATTTCGCCACCGCGCCAGTGTGAACCAAGCATGACAACACCAGTGTGAACCAAGCATGACCACACCAGTGTGAACCAAGCATGACCACACCAGTGTGAACCAAGCATGACCACACCAGTGTGAACCAAGCATGCCCGCGCCGAAAGAAGACACTTAATACTGGGCAGTTAAGTGAGAGAATGCACCATCTCTTCGGCGCTCTCTCTTTCTAAAGAGTTGTTATTGTTGAGTTGAATTACATGTGAATGTTACTTAGTCCATTAAGATTATACCACACGAACCGGTCATTACGATGTTCATTTTCCTATAAAAAAAACAATAAATATGAAGAATTTACAGTAGTTCCTTTAGTATAACTTAATAGACTTAACATTTTTGTCACAGGTCTGTTCATCCCAGTTCACTGCACGGACAATCCGTTCTTCGCCGACTGTCAGCTGATTGTGCGAAGCAAGTTCTGTAATCACCAGTACTACTCTAAGTAAGTTCGCCTGCAAATACTACTTTAAAATAGTTTATAAAATGTAGCAATAGGTATCTGTCTACCCCAGTGGCTAATGGATAATACTTGTATGAATAATTATTTAAATAAATGTTTATCTGCCCAGGTTCTGCTGCAAGTCGTGTGTGGAAGCTGGACAGCTGAATCCTCTTGAAATGGGAACGCAAGCGGACGAGGCGTGGAAGAAGAAGAAATAAATTCCAAATTGTTCCGCCGAGGGTCGTTGACCGATACAATCAACAGAGGCTTATCGTCATAACGTAGTACATGGCTTAAATCAACCAAAATTCGGTCAGCAACCCCTGGAAAGTTTCACCAGTTCGATATTACTGAAGTGCCATAAACTAAATGTTAGCATAATTTATATCAAATGTATCTCATGTTCAAAATTTACAAAATTATTTTCAAGAATTCATGAATATCATTTTTGTTTTCTCAAGTTTAATTGTGGCAAAATAGATAGTCCTACCAATTTTAATAGATACTAATGTAGATAGGCGATTATTGAAATGTAAATAAATACTTTTAAAATGTCACTAACAGTTCCATCTGTGATGGATTACTTAAAGAAAAATATATACATATATATTCATTTTATAGATCGGAATAGTCACAAAAATTATAGCAAGTAAATTATTTATTTCTTAAGATGTTTAGATGCAATGCTTAGGATGTAAATGATAAGGCGAAGTCAATATAGGCGATTACGAAGTCATGATATTTTGCTAAGTGGTTTTTCTATTGTGACAATGTAAATAGTTAACAATAAAGCGTATTAATAAATTTTAAATTCTGATTTATTTTTCACCTTAAAACCGATCCGAATTAATTTAGTTCTATCGAAACAAACCTGCCTTAGTGCCTGTCCCGACGTCACGACGTCTCGTCAACGTGAAACGGCGCTGGTAATGTTGCAAATTAACGACCAGATGCCGGAACTCGAATTTTTGACAGCTCCGTAACGTATCGCATCGTCAAAGTTTCTATGTAAACTAAGCAGCATCTAAGTGTCGCCGCACACGGGCCACCGGCCACAACCACAAAACGCCGCCACCGGCACATTTCCAGTAGTTTTCATACATTTTATATGAACTCAAATTACTACTACTAGAACTACTAGGTACTAGAAAAGTTACGAAGTGCAAAAATATAAAAAATAAATAAAAATTTATTAGATCTAAAAGAAGTATATTTTATCTAAATACATTATTTTATTTGTACTTTTTCTCTTGCTCATAATTAAACATATGAACGGTATGTATTTTTTTATAAACAGAACCGAATGGAGTCGGCAGTGCCGTCTTTGACCTATTTTAGGCCCTGGGCATATTAGGATAATGGGGCCCCTATGACCTATGGTTGGTGATTTAATAGGAACTAGGGACTTTGATCTTAGGGGGGCCCCTATCGATCGCGGAGCCCTGGGCACTTGCCCAAAGTGCCCACTGGGAAAGAGGGGTCTGGGAGTCGGCATTTTGTAATGCCGACTCCCAGACCCCTGTAACTAACACTAACTAACACTGTAACTCTTTGTAACGTATCATCATTATTAAAAAGATAGATTGAGATCAATTAAGAAAGAATTACATAAAATTTGTTACAATCATCAGAAGCAAGCAGCAATCAAAGCTTGCCAAAGAAAATTTAGCTTTATCTACAAAGTAGCAGTAGAGTAAATTTTGAGCACGTAAGAATTGAGTGCCCAGTAACTGATTGAATTTTATTTATTTATAGTTACTCAGCTAAAATTTTGTACGTAGTTCTATAAATTACCTTGTAATCAAATATTATTTTCATCAGAACTATAAAATCGTACCCTCTGGAGTCCCCCAAGGTTCGCATTTGGGGCCTCTTCTATTCATTTTATATATAAACGACATTGAAAACTGTGCCAAAACTTGTAATAGACTCATTTACGCCGATGATGCAAAATTTTATAAAATTATTCAAAATGTAAACGACTGTATTGAATTCCAAAATGAATTATCCAATATATTTGACTATTGCTCCCAAAATCACCTCTATTTAAATTTAGATAAATGTTCTGTTATAACATATACACGTAAGCACAATCCCATCTTTTTTGAATACAAATTTAATGATCATAATCTAAATAGGGTTGAAGAAATTAGAGACCTAGGAATAATAATGGATAATAAATTGACCTTTAGAAATCACTATGACCGTATAATTCAGAAATCATATAAACAACTTGGCTTTTTATTACGGGTCTGTAATCCATTTAAGAAAGAACTAACCTATAAAACACTTTATTTTAGTATGATACGTTCAATCTTGGATTTTGACTCTGTTATTTGGAACCCTTATTATGAATGTCATAGTAAACGGATAGAAAAGATTCAAAAATATTTTGTAAAAACGCTTGCATACCGAACTGGATCAAACTTTACCTCATATGAGGACTGCATTAAAAAATATAACATTCTCCCACTTAGGTATCGTCGACAGCAGTTCGACCAAATGTTTCTGTATAAAATATTAAATAGCTGTATTGATTCCCCTAACTTGCTTCAAAAAATTAAATTTCAAATTCCCACAAAAAGTGTTCGTCGCACCAACCGGTTATTTGCCATTCCCAGATCTAATCTAAAAAATATACAGCAAACGCATATTTACAACGAAGTTTGACCGCATATAATACATCATTTGCAAATATTGACCATTTCTCAAATAGTGTAAACCAATTTAAGCAAAAGGTATTTAATTGTTTGTTCTCTATAATTTAGGTATATTTTTCTTATGCGAACTATAGCTATTGTGAATATCAAAAGCAATGTCAATTTAGAATTTTGTATTTCATATCATTATATAATCTTAGCGTTCCGTGTAATATTGAAAAAATAACTGTCTAGTACTTAATATTAGCACTTAAAACCTTAATTTTTAATTTTTGTTCCTCTGAAGTATTAGACTTATGTCTTGGCACTCAAGGTCTATAACTTTATTTACTGTAAAGAAAAATTGTATCGATGTACATGACTGTTTGTTGTCCAGAATAAAATAAAAAATAAATAAAAGAATTATTAAAAATTGTCAGATATAGTAATATGAAAATTGAGGCGTTTTGTACGAGAGCCCACATTCGATGCGTAGTAGCGTTCTAATTACAACAGCTATTTTATCCTTCTGGCTACAATTTTTTAAAGGTCATGCTAAATCTTTATATATACGAAACCTACGTTTTTCACTGTGGCCTCTCGGAGGGCACGCACATAAAAATTCGTGCTTGGGTCTCTGGTTTGCACGTTATGGCAAAGAGCTGTGCAACATTTCACGTTGACGAGATCGTGACATGGAGATGTGGAAAGGCACTAAATCTACTTCCTTCTAGTTGAAGTAAAAAAAAACCATCACCAACCCACCGGCCTGTCCCTAAGTCTGAGGCATTGGCCTACACTACGAATGGAATAAGGAGAATAGGCCATGTTAACGACTGTAGTACCCACAGCACGAACCAATAACGAATTCTTTCTCAATACACGTCAAATGTCAAGAACTTATGGAACATTTTTTTACATTACGAACGTGGCTGAGCTTTTAAAATTTCCACAAAAAACTTCTTACATCTGACGCGTATCGCGATCGAATTCAATTATTGGCTCGTGGTAAAGGTAGAGGTAGTCTTATCTAAATCTGAACGCCCCTCAACATTTGTATGGTACGTTTATGAGTGACCGAAACGTGCTGCCACGTTCGTGTCCAGCCGGCGACCAAATCAAATGAATGACCAATGACTATACCTAATTTGAGTGTTGCTAATTGTGCATGTAAGAGCAACAATGGAGAGGCGTTCAGTGTTAGATTAGATGATCTCACCAGATGTAATCAGGACTTCGCCGCATATCTCGAAACACGGCAAAATAAAATATTGCCGCCATATTGTCTTAATTGTACAGTCGACATATCAAGTGACCAAAAATGTCGAATTTCCTCAATATCAGAAAATGTAATCAGTTGGTAACTTGCTTTCTAGCAGTGTAGTGTAGGTTTTCTATGCAGAAACTTGAGCATTCATCTACTTTTTCATGTAAACATACCTATAAAATCTACCTTTTGTGATTGTTTCGCTCGATGGAAAAACAGCTTTTTTGCAGCAGCAACATGAATTCTATGTTAGGTGGTGATAGTAAAGCTATATAGCCATCACATTTTATTGAGACTGATTGTAATATCAAAAGAGGGTAGCGCCTAGCACAGTTTACTTAAATATCACAATATCCAGAATCTTTATAACTTGTGTATTTGAAAAAACAGTTAAACAAAAATAAGGACTGGGTTTAAAAAATTAAACATAAAGTTGAGATAACATAAATTTTTATTTACATTCCGAAATTCACAGTCAAATATAACAAGAACCGTCCTACATCAACTGACCTGTCACTGAAATTACAACGAGAACACCCTCGGCCTCACTTATGATTTTTATATACAATCATTCACATTATAAACGAAGTAATTTGGAGCGCCGACCCCGCCGCGAGACATCGATAAAATCATATTATTGTCAGTACATTCGTGTAATAAAATCATAATCGATAAAACCGCAAAAGGCTAGGCCCGTACGTAATTCGACTACCCGAGGGGGGGTCGGTCGATAGGGTCGAATCACATCGATCCGGCTCGACGGACCACCCCTCGTCGCACTCTACGAGAGCGAAATTTGAATACACACACAATCATAATAATTCTCAGAGCTGATAAATTAAAACACGATACTAGTTTATATACATGATATAATATATTAGTGTATTGAGACGGAAGCCGCCGCAGACCGAGGCGGTCTCGTGTCGTCGGCGCGCGCTATACATAATCTAACACCTTACCGGGCGCCGCGCGGGCCCATTTTAGTATCACAATACGTGTTAAACTAAAGAGGTCCCACCGAGTCAAGGTGGTCCGATATCCGTACAAAACGGTTTTGCCACATTCCTAAACCGCATGATTTTAAATTACAAATAAAATATGTATGTGGCTCGATTGCAGCTTCCCAATTTACACAAAACAAATGTATGTTTAAAGAATTAACTTCAGTCACATTTAAGCAAGATTATAATGACATAAGAACTTTGATTGATCTCTAAATCCCACCACTCAGAAAGATATGTCTAAATATTTTATGGAACATCATTGGTTGAAGCGTGAAGGATGTGAACACATGTTGCGTAATCAATCTAAATGAAAAGAGAGAGAAACAACAATTGGATATAACAGAGTACAACTGAATCAATTGTAAACTTGTTCTGTCTTTTGCCAGTATTACAAGAAACTTTGCTTTTCTTTATTTCGATCTGACGTGCAAAATCAAATCATCAAAGCAAGCATAATTCATCAATTTATAGATTCACATGAATTTGTAAGGGAACAATGTAAAGTGACGATAATATTTTCATCTCTCTCTCTCTCTCTCGCTGATCACTCACGATAAAAGTAGAAATCTTCAGAATCACAACGTTCACTAAAAAAACATTGATTTCACGATAGCTCAATCATATAATTTAAGTGTAGCGCAAACGCAAAGCTGCAACCTTCGCCAATCTTACTCCTAAACCTGAATCGAGTCGGGAATATGGCGAAACGGTTCCGTCGTCATCCATCGAAGCACGTCGCAAGCTACGCAGAGTGTAGTGATGTGGCGAAGCATCAGTCGAGCACTTGCGCCACGATCTTCTCCATGTCGTGGTCGATGTCGTCGGGAGCAGGAGTCGGGGCAGGCGCGGCGGGTAGAGTGAAAGGCTCGTCTAGTTCCTCTAACCCTCGGGGCGCTGACAGTTTAGCTAACTCCTCTTGTAGTTTTACGTAGTGCCGCTGCGGAATGGAAGGGAATGTTTAGAACCAGTACCCTTAGCACGACTTCGAGCTATCGATTAAAACTATCATAGTTTTCGTAGTTGTAAATAATGTTTCTATGGCCGTATACAGAAAGAAAGCCGAAAGCCGATCGGCGCTTATCGGCGCCTGTCGGCGCCGATCCTTCCTACATAAAGGAAGCCGATTAAAGCAGATCAAGCAAAATGTCGGACTCATCGGACGATGATTTGGTTTTGTTAGAAAATGTTTATTTAAAAATGCGAAAAACAGCTATACATCCTATAAATAGAGAAAGGAAACGTTTCGGAGAATACCATCAAAAATTTGTAAAAAAAATTAAATTTGATGAACAAAGATTTTATACATATACAAGAATGATTCAAGAAACATTTTATTACATTTTGGATTTAGTGAAAAACCGTTTGATGAAAAACTGGGGCAATTGGCATAAACAACCAATCCTTCCAGAAGAAAGACTTGTTGTCACCATTCGGTAAGTACAAAACAAATAATTTTAGCGCTTAGTTAATAAAAGATAAAGTTATTAGATTTATAAAAAGATTATAACTTAGATTGATTTAATCTAAGGATAATAATTCAAATACAAATTATTTATTATTTGGACCAGCGCGTGTCGGCGCCGGTCCATAGAAAAAGAATCAGCGCCAATAGGCGCCGATCGGCTTTCGGCTTTCTTTCTGTATACGGCCTATGTCTATTTTTGTGAAAACTAACCAAATAGGTATACTTAAAATTTAAGAAGACGCAAATGATTTAATGGTTGTATTTCAACACTGTTTATTTGTATCGAAACGAAAACAATAAAAACAGTACCCTTAGTAAGAGTGCGAGATTTCATCGAATTCAAATAGTTTAATTCGATCTAGATATACGTCAAATATGTAGGTACTGATTTTTAGTTCTCGTTACGTTCGTTGTTGCGCTGCTGTTCAAGTTTCCATACAAAATTTGAAAGCGACATTTCGCACTCGCAAACGTAACGAATTCGAAATTGGTTCGTGCTAAGGGTACAGTAATCAGAAACCTAGACTCAGCCTGACTGATTTAACTAGGCGTAAGAGTTTGAGTACCACGATAATGGCAAAGCATATCGCGAATTTTATCCAAGATTGCACATGGCTGTGCCATAATAAGAAAAAAAAACTTATTGTTCTCTATAACCAGCCATTTCTGAATTCTAATATTACTGTTATTAAATATATTATATTCTATCTTTCAATTTTATCAAGAATGAAAATAGATAAACTTTTCAAAGTGATATCCAATTTAAACATCGACCAAAGTCGCGTCAAACAAAGTTTTTATCATAAAATCGTTTAAAAAATCAATTATGGAAACCAGCGTTACACGAGAAAGGGGTCATGTAAAAAAATAATATGATCATTAATGCCATGTGCATTAATGACCATATTAGTTTTAAAGTGCGGCCAATGAATGAATACGAATGTGACAGGTCGTGTCAGTTCCTCAGTTAACAGAATAGTTTCGATCTAAAAAAAAGAGGTCCGGAAGGCACTGACACGACCTTTTAGTAGCATAACGCACGAACCGCCAACCGCGGCGGATGGCGATCGCGCGGTAATCAATTTATATGGCTCACACACGCGGTTCCGCGGATACCAGTGCGTTGATGTACGTATCCGTCGCGGTTGGCGCCTCGTGCGTTATTGCACTTAGGGTCGCATTCTTTATTTGTTCGTAATTCAAATTAAAAAACCACTATTTAGTCTAGGCTGTTACACACACCTGTGAAGGTAGAGCAGCTACGCCACCGATTCGCAAATCTATACAATAGGGTTTTTTCTTCGTTTATCAGCTAGATTATCAAAAAGTATTGGACAAGTATATTTTTCTTTTTTCACATAATATAAACATTGCAGAGATATATTGATTTGAAAAGTCACATGAAGTCACGATTGAGTACACTTATAAGTGAAAATTCACTCAAAAGTGACGTCACGAGCCCCTACTCCCAAACTTTGACGCGTTATAACTGTAATTTTTTGGTTGATTGCCCAAAGAAAAAATACGTGTCCATAATTTTTTGATCATCTAACTGACGGACTAAATAGAACTGAGAATTTCGATTACTGTACCCAGTCATCACCCCTATTATCAAAACGCATAATACAACTGTAATTTTTAAATGGCAATTTACCTTGAGCGCCATGAGGTTGAGCTGTATGGTGCGCTGCGTGCGCTCGTCGCCGCTCTGCCCTTCGAGCTCCGTGATCCAGTTGGCCACCGTCTGCATTATCTCGTTGCGCTTGATCCAGAAATGCGTCTGGATAACCTTTGGATAAAATCAATCTTATAAAAATCACCTTCTATCTGAAGACCTCCTAAAACACTTTAACAACAACCTAATAAAAATTAAATAATTTAAAAAAATCAGAAGAACACGTAATCAGATCCGCCCGCGCGGGTCGAGGGGCAAGGTAATGTTTTCACTCTGACGTTTTGACATTAAACTTATGAAACTTTTGTCAAATTTGACATTTGTTGCAACCTGGATCGCAGTTTTTGAACCATGCCCTGTGTATTATATTTGTAGAGAAACATGTTTTAGAAACAAAGTTTTGTGGATGTGTTTTTATTGTATGTTCTAGAAAAAACTTTTGCCGGATCCCGACTGAACACCAACATTAGGCTAAAATAAAAATACTATCATATTTGTTTCTCAAATAATTTTCACCATTACCATTACAGTGCTATTCCGTACTTGGCTGTTCCTGAATCCGTGGCAAAATAAAAGATCGTTTTTTCTAGAGGTTTCAAATCTGGGACAGTTGTAATTACCTCCTTGAAGCAGGGCTCAGGGCTGCGCAGATGGTCCAGCATGGCCCAGCGCACGCAGGCCTGGTAGATGTTAGAGTTGTACTCCAGCGAGGCGCTGGTGCCGACGCTCGTGCCGCGGCTTCGCTCGTACCCAGGCTCGTTGAAATACGGCTCCGGGACAAGGATTAACGACTGAATCGACACTAGCACCTGACGAATAGAACGGTTGTTGTGACAGACGTTCAGACACTAAATATTCTAACAGCATCTAATACAGAGTTCACACGCGGCGAATTGATCAATTTTTATCGTTCAATTGCTTTTCTGTTTGTTCAGAGGATTCAAATAACATACGATTTAGCAGTTGATCAACTAAAATCGAACCCGAAAACCTCGTGTGAACTAGGTATAAAATTCTAGATCAACAGCTTGGCTGCTTCTAATTTTCGGTCGATCATCAGATGAGCTCACAAAGCACCTGCACTAGAGATGGCATATTAGGGCATTGCTTGTGCCAAGCTTATGCATAAATAAGCGTGTGACAAACTCTGAAATGTCCACGTATGGCAATTCATCATTTCATCAAAATTTTCATCCATTCTTACCGAAATGTTCTGACGAGTCCAATCATAACACGGCTTACTTTCCCCACGCACCACCATTATTGGCGATCACAAACAAAAATTGATTAATATGCCTGAAACGGGTGCCTTGTGGAAGAGCGACTTTGACGAAAGTTGCTCGATTTTTGAAGACGGAAACTAAAGGCAATGAAGTCAATTACGAACATAAAATATATTTTACAGTATATACGATAGACATCATCAGGATCATTTAAAAAAATAAAATTTCAAAATATTTACTGTCAATTTGTAAACTCATCAGGTGTAGTTCCCAAAACTAACAGACTTTTTTCTATTTGCAAACGATAATAGTTGTGAACGTTTTGGTACAGACTCCAATGAAGCTTTATTCCCAATCTCTTAAAACCAAAACACTTATAAAAAGGAAAAAAAACCCTATCCCACTGCCATACCTGCAGGAAACTAGAAGTGTGCGCGTTCCACTTCTCCTCGGGCCGTCCGTGCCACGTATTGAGTACGGAGAGGCACACTTTGCCGTCGTTGTAGAGGTTCGGGTTGAACCGTACTGAATGCCTTCCCGTCGTCTCCAGGTTGATGAGCATGGGAACAGCGGGGTACTCCGCCGGGAAGTATACGTCTAGGACGAAGCAGCCATTCGCGTACGGCGTGTCAGATGGGCCGGTTATTAGCACCTGTTTGTGAGAAATGTAGGTAAGAAAAGTATTGTCACAAACGCTCTCGAAACAAAACCGCGAAAATACTAGAGACCGAATGTATCAGAACACCGCAGATCGCGATAAAGGTCGAGCGGTGCGGCCCATTGTAATATGTGCCTTATACAGTGCGGCGTAAGGGAAAAAGTGCATACATCTGCACTTGTTTACAAATTGTGCGCGTTCGCTACGTAGGTATAAGTAGGTACTACGCACTCGCGGATGCTAGTTAACTCTCAAATTTACGGGTATTTTCTCCGATTGGCGTATATAAACGCGATCGGCGCCGCGCAGAGACAGTTGAGTTTCAGCAGCGATTTCGAAACGAATACAAAAGCGATCAAAGTGCAACAAGTGTTCAAGTGCGATTGATTAAAGACTTGCATAGTGAAAAACAGTGTTTAGTGAGTGTATTGTGATTAACATTGTGTGTTAACAGTGTGGTGAATAAAGTACTGTCAAGCGTGAACTGGCATATAATTTCGAACCCCATCCCGACACGTAACAGTACGATATAATGGAAAGTAAGTTCTTAAACTAAACACATGGTAAGTAACATAATAAATTGACCATTACTACTTACTATACTTTGTGTGTATTTTAAGCTATGCCATTGGTAATCTTTTTAAGACCGCTCAGCTCCGTTTCTTTTTAAACGCAAAAGATACAAAACAATACTGATTAAAAAATTAATTCTTTGGCCATCGATTGATAGATGATTAAAGTAGATATTCATCAAGATTTACGTCAATGAAGTAGCAATATAACCATTGTAAGGTTTGATGTGCATTGGAACAACGGAACAACGGGGTTCTACTCCGACGGGAAGTAGACGTCGAGGATGAAGCATCCGTTCGCTTACGACGTCTCCAAAGGATCGGTTATTAGCAACTGTTTGAGAGGAATAGAGTATTACCTACAATAAATAAAAAAATAAATAGTAAAAAAGAAAGCGAGTTGCAAAAGTTGTATAAATTGTTTTTGAAGTAGCAAAATTAAAATATACAAAAACAACCTATTACTGTTTGTGAGGAGTACTGATTACTTATTTTCTCCAAAAACTTTGTATGCTTATACATTCGTGAAACATTACAAAACACATAATATACGCAGATCGATCAAATGCTGCTGCCCTCCAAAACAATATTTACTAACCTTCATAACGTCCAGCCTGTCAGTGTCCGTCCTCACGAACACCGACGACGAGTAAGACAGTGGTAGGGAGGTAGCCAACGTCGCAGCTTCTTGTGCGAGTCGTTTCATCCGCGCGGGAGCTGCGCGGGCGCCGGCTGCTCTCACCGCGCCTTCGAAGTGGTACGGGACCGTGAAACGGAACCCGCTTTCCGGGCACTCCGCTATCATCTCGAACGTTTCTGTTGGATTAATGTAGGTGTTATATAAGATCGAAGTACCAAAATAGTAAAATATAGTTGTCAACTTTAAATTTATATTGACAATGAGTTAATGACATTTTTCCCTACTAATACACACACCGGCACAATTAGGGGAATACAAAAAAAAGGTTGATTTTTTCAATGAATTTATTTTTAATATTTTTTTGGTCTTCAGTAACACATCACATTGCCTGAAAATAACTAAATTAAATCAAAATAAGCTACAAATTACCAGGTTTTAAAGAAATTAAACGTTTATTACGAAAACTTGTAAAATAAGGCACTAGGAGTGTTAGATTTTAAATTGTTTTTTTACAAAATTAACAAAAAAATCTTAAAATTAATAGCGAGTGTTGCCTCCACAGGCTCTTAGGAGAGGAGGACGATACGAATGGATACGATTTCCCATACTCAGAATAAGACCATCGATCATTGGTTGAGGCAAATTGTTCCACTCTTCCACTAATGCCTGTTTCAGTTGTTCAACATTCCTGGAAGCTGGATTTCGCTGTCGAACTCTTCTTCCCAGAATATCCCAGGCATGTTCTATAGGGTTCATGTCCGGTGATCGCGCTGGCCAGTTTATTTGACTAATGCCAACCTCATTCAGGTAGGTACTCACGATACGCGCCGTATGGGGGCGCGCGTTATCGTGCAAGAAAACGAAATGTGGGCCTATAAATGGGGCAAAAGGCATGACATATGGTTCTAAGATCTGTGTAACGTATCGCTGTGCAGTGAGAGATCCGTTTTCAATAAGCACTAAGTCTGTGCGAGCTCCCAAACATATGCCACCCCATACCATTACTGATCCTCCACCATATGCCACTGTTTCTGTGAAGTTTGTTGGATTATATCGTTCTCCACGATATCTCCACATCCTCTCCCGTCCATCCACGAAATAACACAATAACGGCTCTCATCGGTGAATAAAACGCGACTCTACTCACTTGTCCAATCCCGGTGCGCACGGGCGAACGCAAACCTTGCTACACGACGAGCTGGCTCGAGTTTAGGTGCTTTTGCTGGCACATAAGATCTTAAGCCAACTTCATTAAGACGCCTCCTAACTGTTCGTTCACTAACATTAACGTTTCGAACTTCAGCCAGTTGATTTCGGGTCTAAACCGCGGTCTGTCGACGATTTCTCAAAGTTAACAAGGTGATGAAACGGTCATCAACGGTGCTTGTAGCCCGATTTCTGCCTAGTCCTCGCCTCCGCACGTAAGATCCTGTCTCCCTGTAGCGTTGAACAACGCAATGAACCACCGAAGTCGATACTCAAAGCTCGACTTACTGAGCGGTACGTATGCCCCTCTTCGATCATGGTTACGGCCCTAGCCACTGTAGTTGCTGGCAAATCACTCATTTCGTATCGGGGATGTGTACACAATTTAAAAACAAACAGTTGAATGAGCCACAATCACTATGCACAGGACCCAACAAAGTTCTTATCAGAAGCAATGCTAACGCTAAGTGTCAGCAAATTCTTAAAGTTCCATAAAAACAATTCTCACACATAAGTGTGATATAATAATATATAAGATAATTCATAAGAATTAGAAATTTGTGGTCGAGTGTATTTCTAGAGAGGGTAGTAATACATAAATAATACTAACTTGTCAAGATATCCGAAGGTATTGAAAAAAATCTACTTTTTTTTTGTGTTCCCTTAATTGTGCCGGTGTGTGTATTATAAATGTGAAAGTTTGTGTGCCTGTATATTTTTTTTTAATTTTATGTTTGTTACTCCATCACGCAAAAACTACTGAATGGATTTGGGTGAAACTTGATGCACATATAGTTTATGGCCTGGATTGGCACAAGATACTTTTTATTCCAAACAAGTCTCAGATTCCTAAGAGATTTTCAAAAAACTAATGTTAACACGGACGAAGTCGCGGGCGTCCGCTAACCGAAATAATAATAATAATAACGTTTATTTTATTCTCACCACAATACAAATATTTTGTTATAGACATAAAATGTTATTTGTATTTACAGTAATATATTGTGGAGAAACTGGTGTCTAAACTGGGCAGTAAACTGCCTGTATAATAAAACACCAGGCCCCCAGCCCATATCCCTGCAAAATTATTAAAATTTATGATAATCCATTTAACAAAACTGCTTAAGTTTAAATGAAATTATTATTAATTACAATATGAAAAATAAGTTTGTAAGGTAAGTGTATATGTTGGATTGTGTGTATATTTGTGACTTAGTAGGTATATTTTCGCAGTTCCAGTGTAGTTACATTCTAAATTAGTATGTTATGTCTCGGCTTCATCATAATTTAAATTCAGAAGCCATGCAATAATTTTTCGCTTAGATTCTACTTTTGTGTCTGAATAAATGTTAATGATCTTGTTTGCAAAGTTGTACATTCTACTACCTTGATAACAAAAAAACCTCCTCGCAAAAGAAGTTCGGAAGTACACAGGAGGGACAATATTAAAGTGCCTTCTACTGACAGAGGTAACAGGTGTATATGGTGTCAAAGAATGCTGTCTAAGAATGGTTTGAAGTATGTACAACCATAGAACCCCTGCCTCAGCATACAAATCAGTAGTGGGAAAAAGTTTTGGCTTAAACATCATTACTTTTAATATTAATCTCTGGGCTCTTTCGATTTCAATTAACTTAGTTTTTACTGCTCTGTCCCATGATGTTATACAAAATGAGAGTACCGACTGGACCAATGCAAGATATACTGATCGGACAGTTTCAAAATCCGCCACATGTCTCAATTGTTTAAATATATATGTAAGTTTGCGAATTCTTTGCGACGTTGTGTGAATATGCTCCACAAATGTGAGATTTCTATCAATAGTCACGCCAAGATACCTTATGCTCGTGATGCTATTGATTTTATCGCAGTTACACGAAGGTTGCGGAGGATACGAACAGGTATGAGCAATTATAGTATTTTGCATAACGGAAGGAGGAGAAGCGCGAAGTGAAAAGGCAATGTATTTAGTTTTTTCGGAATTCAGGGAAAGTGAGTTGCTAGCAAGCCAATGCAGAACATGGTTAAATCCCTCTTGCGCCGCTGAATAAACATCATCCCAAGTGCCTCCGAAGAAGGTAAGTGTAGTGTCATCTGCATATGAAATTATCCTACAGTTTCTCAACTTTAACTGGCATAGTTCATTTATATAGCAGAGAAATAGTGTAGGCCCAGTTATGCTCCCTTGGGGAACGCCGTATTTTATCGGTAGCTCATTACTGATGTAGTTCCCAATCTTTACACATTGTACACGGTTAGACACATAATTCTTAAAGAGACCAAGTTGTTGCCCTCGAATACCTAACGTGTTAAGTTTATCTACTAGAAGCGGTAAAGAAACGGTATCAAACGCTTTACGAAGGTCTAGAAATATTGTTAGACACTTCTGTCCACTATCTAATTTTCTAACCAGAAAGTCAGTAAAATCATGCACCGCGTCTTCCGCAGACTTCCCAGCCTGAAATCCATACTGTGTTTCCGCCAATAGCTTATGTGTTTCAAGGTAATGAATTAGTCTCTTATTAATTACACGTTCAAAAACTTTAGAGAGAGAGGTGAGTACAGATATTCGCCGGTAGCTGTTGACGCAGTCACGATCACCAGTACCAGCCTTAAAAATTGGATGCAGTATGGCTTTCTTATCTCCCTATTCCATCCATAGGGAAGGCCTGTGCCCCAGCTGTGGGGACATTAATAGGCTGATGATGATGATGTTGGCTTTCTTACGTGACTCTGGATAGAATCCCGCTTTAAGACAACGACTGATGAGATCTGTGAGCGGTGGAGTTAAAATTTCCACACAGCTTTTTAAAACCCTGGCAGAAATCAGATCCCAACCAGGTGCGCAATCACTCCGCAGCTGCATAATAGTGGATTTTATCTCTTCTTGGGTGACATCTATCAATACAAAAGACTGAGATTGTGAAAATTGGCGCTCAGTTCTTAGTGGTACAACATTACTTGGCATTGTTTCCGCTAAAGTTTGACCCACACCTGCAAAGAACGCGTTCACACAGCCCACCGAAATCTGTTTATTTTCTTTGAGGCTCAATAACTCAAATGGGACTGACTGTGACCGAGACGAGTTAGTAATTGTTCGTATAGATTCCCACAACTTTTTTGAATTATTTTTGTTTTTATGAAGTTCTTCTTTTTCATATATTTTTTTAACTTTATAAGATTTGTACAAAAGTTTCTATACCTCTTAAATGTTAATTTTAAAATTTCGTTTCCTGGTTGTTTTTTCAATTTAATGTGCATTCTATCTCTATTTTTTATAGATCGTAACAAGCCCGGTGTCATCCACGGTTTTAAACACATCTTTCTTTTTGGAATAATTTTAATCTGTGTATTTTCCTTAATTATTTTGGATACTAAGTCTATGAACAAGTGTGTAGCAGAATTTAGATCCTCTGTGCAGTAAATAGACGAAAAATCAATTTTAGAGCACTCAATCACTATTTTATTATAATCGTATTTCGTACAAAATTGTCTTTGCGAGTGTTTTTTACTGTTTCCCTTGGTTTTCAAGCAAAACAACACAGCCTCATGATCAGTCACTGTGGTCTCTAGTACAAATGTAAATGATGGTAATTTTGTTTTTGTCATAACATGGTCAAGGCAACTGGAATTTCTTGTTGGGGCATTATGGGCGGCTAACAGACCATTATATGTTAAAATATCTAAATAGGCCAACGAATCCGAGTGTTGTTGTAAAATATTGATATTAATATCACCCACTAGTATTAAATTTTTGAATATGAGTAACTTTTCCAATAGACTATGTAGAGACTGTAGAAAAGAATCCACATCCCTAAAACATGGAGGTCGGTATATTGAAACTATAGCAGTATCAGTTCCTAATTTAGCCACTATACAATTTGCACACGAAACCAGGGGCTCCTCAATCTTGAAGGCGTATTCACTTTTTGTATATACAACCACCCCATCGTTCTGATTATAGCTACGGGAGGTCTTAAAATAACCTGGTAGAGTTGGGATGTTTGTGGTTTCAGAAAGCCAACACACTGACAACACCACAACATCGCAATCCATATTTATTCTAGCTATTAATATTTCTAAGTTATTAAAATTACAGTTCAGGCTACGAATGTTTTGCTGTAGGATTTTTAGATGAAGATGTGGCTGTGCTATATATGAAACACAATTTTCTGGTTGACAAATTATTGTTTCAGATAGCTTAAAATCATCTATATTTTTAACTAATTCATTAATACACGCGAATTTTATTATACAAAAATACCCAACATCATTCTCTGTGAGCAATTTTGACTTGTGAAAAATATATTATATAGTGTACAGAGGCCTTTATCTAAGATAGATAAAGGCCTCTGTTTATAAATATTAGTAGGCTTCTTTACGAATCTTATTATCGTGAATTTGTGTGTGTCTTGTTGAGTATAGTGTACATGGTGCTTATGATAATTATTTAAAATAACTTGAACATGATTAAAACTACAGGAACAATATAACACATTAAGAACTACAAAAATAAAATGAGACAAATATTTTATCAGCCAACAGTAAAAAGAGACTAGTTTCAGCATGCACTAGTCACGACATGTCCAATCTTTCCAATTCTTCTTCGGAAGTCACATGTATGACATCATCGCCTTCCGATTTGCGGAGATATATTTTTCCGTATGATACCAAGCAAAAACGGTAGTTATTAGTGCTCGCAAATCTCCTTGGGCTCGAATATAATTTTCTAGTATGATAAGTAAATCTCTCAGAAATATAGGTTGGTGAAGGGGATCCATTTATTTGCATATTAGTTGTAGTGAATTTATCCTCATTATTACGATTAAATGATCTAAAAGTTCTTAATAATTTCTCCTTTATCAGTATGCTATTAAACTCGGCCACTATTGTTTTGTTTCTGTCTGTCTTAATCCGATAAATATCATGTATGTCAGAGATATTTATATGTATATCAAGTGCTTTCCCTATATTCTGCAAAAATAAGGTAAGATCTTCTTTTTTTTCCATTTGTTTAATAGGGACATTCCGGATTTCAATACAACTAGAAAACTTATTTTTTTCTATCTGTTCGATCTTTGCTTCTAACATTTTTATCTGTTTATTAGTTTGTATACGTTCTGATTCTAGCATACCTATTTTTGTCAGTAGCTCATCATATTTATTTGACATAAAATTAATCGACAACTGAATCTCTTGATTTTGTTCCTTTATGTCTTTAATAGTACTCAGTAAGGTAGTGAATTTAGCGTCCTGTTCCGCCTGAAATGTAGAAATCATTGCCATAATTTCTATTCTAAACTCTTTGAATTCTTCGTCGCTTCGCTTACGCTTTCGGATCTTATTACCCTCGGCCGCAGAGGATGAATCGTAATCACTCGCGACTGACGACGCACCGACCGCCACTGCGCTCGCGCCTCGGTCGGTATTCGGCTCGACTTCGTTTGTTGCCGGCACCACTTGCGCACGGCGGGGGGAATGACGTAACGGCATGCTTTAAATTTGCTGTACTAGGCGTCAATAATCGTTTGGAGCTAAACTTAAGCGCGTGGTTAACGGGCAGCAAGTGGAAGGGGCGCAGCGTAGTAGGAAGCGCAACACAGTAGGTTTTATCAATGAGAGCGCGCGTTGTTGTCTTGTGTGCGCGTATGCTGCAGCTCCTAACACGCGTACGGCCCTAGTAGCACGTTCAGGGTAGCAAAGCAGACAGATAATGCAATGTCACTTACAGTTGTATTTCTAGTTATTTAACACCTTCCTCTTGTTATGAAGCCCCAGTACTACCGCACTTTGTATTATAAAATTATTAGTAATTTATTATTTTCATTTAATTTTTAACAAGGATTTTACTAAAAACACGTCTGAACTAGACAGAGATCCGGGGGGAAGGGCTAAAATATAGTTGTTTACTTCATATTTTTATTGACAATGACATTATGTATTTTAACTTCGGATATTACAGGAAAAAATGTTAAATTAGATAGCACAAATAAAATATATCACAGAACCTGCTCAAAATCAGAACAGGCTTCAAGGTGAAAAATATCCGAATTTAATACTTGCAAAAATCCATAGACATAAAAAGAATGGCTTGAGTATTCCTTAGACATCTTTCATAAAATACGAACGCTACCGAAACTGACCAGTAGTTTCTCTTGCGGCTTGGATTCGTTTCTTGTACATTTTTCTGTTAGACACACGAAATATCTCTCTCTCCTTCTAATTAGCAATTACATGCAACAGATATTGCCCAGTCTATTTTCTATGCCTATAGTACTCACCAAACTGCATGGTGCACATAAGGCCTAAACATCGAGCCTCTCTTGTAGCTCCGCGGTGGGTGCGCGACGTTTCTTTCACACTTTTCTGTGCGTGGGTTGCAAAACATAGCTTTCTCTCTTCTTAAAGAGAAATGAATTTCAGACCAATATTGCCCTGTCCGTTGTCTTTGCCTATATTGTATTTTTTTATACAGCGAGGTAGGCATTTGCCCAATTTGACAAAGTCCAAACGCAAAGATAGCTGGTACAGCAGTTATAAACTGCTACAACAACCATCCTCACCTTGCCGGCCTGCAAAAATGCTTCTTCACGCCTCTCTTAAAGGACCCCAGATTGTAGGAAGGAGGGAACTCGTGCGCGGGCAAAGAATTCCACTTACGAATAGTACGACAAAGAAATGAGTCATGAAAAAATATTGTACTCACCGAACTGCATGGTGCGCATAAGGTCCAGGTATCGAGCCTCTCTTGTAGCTCCGCTTAGAGCTCGCGGCACCCCCCCTCCCTCCCCGCCACCCTCACCCTCTGTCCGGCACACTAACGCCGATGTCGCCTAAACAAATGCATACAAGTTCATTAATAAACTTACCCTACACAGTGGCACAATGGCACAATTAAATTTAAAACTATATCTAACATCAGTCTCTCCTTTTCATTTTGTATAGAAAGTGACACAGATATGCTGTTGTCAAATTGAAGTTAAGGTTTAGAGAATCATGCCAGAATCGACACCAGTTTTATACTGTACTCGGTTTGTGGGACCGAGTTAGAGGAACATTTTCTTTATCACATAATCGTTTACAAAAAACAAAATCATTTTACGACTTCATTAAGAATTGATTAATTGATAAACAAGTGCTTTCTAAACACATGCGGGTTACGACACTAAAATACTTAAAATTAAAGCAAAATTTGCACCAACCTGAATGTCTGCTATGAGCGCTGCCAGTCCTTCGTCCTCTTCCGATAATTCTGAATTACTAGACGTGCTAAATCTTTGGCTATATGTCATTTTACCGAATAAATTCTTTTTACTCATCCTGAAACAAAAAGATACAAATCAATGAAATCATAATGTTTTATCTATTGCCTTATTACGAGATATCCTTGATTTTCAGCAAGCCCCGAAATACACAAGACGTTAAATCATGGAGTCCGAAAATGTTTTACCGTCCCTTTGAAAGAACTTTCGTAAGCAAGCTTAGCAATCCCCTCAACTTTCGTCAATCCATGACAAATACTTTAAAATTATTATACAATATTCATAGGATACGAAATCTAGTTATTATGTACTTCCTCCATTTTTGCCAAGACCATTAACTTATAACGTCATTGCGCCATCAACATTCTCCACACGCGTAACATACCGCTTACATTGTTAAGTCTACAATCGTTCGATCATTACGTCATCAACTTTTTTGCACGGGCCGGACAGTCGCCGCTATATTTTACCAAATAATATTTATAATAATTGTAATATAATAATTTAGATTTTTATATAATCAAATTGTAACCCTGATTATTTTGTAAAAATATTGTATACCTTGTAATAAGATCGAAATGTAGTAACACAAAACTATTTACCTAACACCAATTTTCTGTACTACCTACATTTCATAATAAACGTACAAGTCCGAACTGAACCTCAGATCACAGGCCGCAGCTGCAGACTGCAGGCGACACTACGAGTTTCTATGAATCTCTATGAAATTGATTACGAGCGCGGCGACATGCCCCGGCTGCACAATGCATATAATGCACGGTCAGCCGCAGGCGCTAGCCGCTGTGTCGCCTGCGGTTGTCGCTTGCAGCCCATTGCGGAATTGTACCTTAAAGCATTTGAATTTATAACAGCGCCGGCACGGTACGTACCGCAGCTTGGCCGCGTAGGAGTTGGTAGTGCGGGACATCTGGTGCAGCAGTCGCGGCAGAGGCCGCAGCGCGCCGGACAGTCGCCGCGAGCGCAGCGCCAGCAGCGCGCGCGCACAACGCAGCACGCATACGTAGAGGGGAATGTGCCGCGACATGTCCAACACTGGTGAAAAATCACGTTTTTCTTTTATTATAGAAGGTTCGGTTAAATAAGCCTACCCATCACATAGCTACAAGCAAATAGTAAAGTGAGAAATAATACTTCATGTAATTTTTGACATTTCAAACACATTTTGTCAACCAATGAAAAAGTTAAATGATTGGCCACTTCAAAAGATCATAAAGTAAAAATCATTTGTACGAACAATCTTTTACTAAAAATTTACTTATAGGTACTAGATAGAGATCATCACTTCATCTTCATCAAATAAATTAGTTCTTCATACAAGTATACATCGCCAACAAATCGAAATAGAATCATAAATAACAAAATTCATCAGTTTGCAATTTTGGGGTAGAAAATGTATCAGAAAAAATCTGTTACTTTGGCATCTATTAACCCAAGTATAAAGACTCCTCCTCTCGAGACTTCTCTCTAGGGTTCATATATAGGGTTCTATTACAAGAGTGAGCCCGAGTTATTTCTTAGGTACGAGCATAATATGGCGGGCACTAGCGAGCTGGCGGGCTACGAGGTCGATAGACTCTAGGGGCAGGTAGTGAGGTTCGGAGTCAATGACGACACTAGTGGAGCTAGCAAAAGGCGCGGAGCTAGGGCACTTCTCACCGGTGTTCATGTGTGATGCAATTGCAAGAGTGGACATACCCGAGTCATTTCTAAGGTAGGAGCAGATGGCGGGCACTAGCGAGCTGGCGGCGACAAGGTCGATGAACTCTAGAGGCAGGTGGTGAGGCTCGGAGTCGGTGGAATCGTTGGCGTCGGTGGTCGAACTTGAAGCAGGCGCGGGGGGAGGCTCCTCCTCTGGGGAGTTCTCCTCGGGCGGCCACTTCTCCCCGGGATTCATGTATGATGCTAACACCTGGCAATGATGAAAATGAGCTACTTAAAAAGACCTTGTTAATCTTATTCCAGTATTACAGCGGTGTCTCGGGGCTATTGGCAAATAAAAATTTGGAATAGATTCGGTAAAGAAAACCTTGCAGAAGTAGGTAGCTTATTTATTTATTTTTTTATTTATTTATTTACAAAGAGCTTTTATTTCTAGTGTACACAACAGCTTTGGAATTTTATTTGTGTTACTTTTATAACCAAAAATGTTCGACATTTCAAGAGAAATCTTATTTGTTTTTATTAGCTTTAATATTAGTAAAATTAGTTTTAAACGAGGATTTTGAATAGATTGTATTCTATAGTTTCGACACGAACATCAACTTTCTAATTCATCGTCATAGAACGAAATCTTTTAAACGTTTTTATTTTATTCATTATCCTCTAGAACGCATTATGTAAATCTTTCAAAGAAAATTTGCCTAAACCTGAATCAGGAATTTCGAGAGCCTTACTCAGACGTTCGGGTTTTTTCATTAGATAGTTTCGGAACCGAACGTTAGGCTCCTTTACATTCTGAAAAAATAAGAATAGTCTGCGCCTCGTTGAACATTACGAGTGTAAGGATGTGCATTTAGGTCTCCCAAATCAGTATTTTTGATGAGGAAACCTTTATATGCGCTCAGCCTAAAACAGTGTCTCTTAAAGTATGTTTCAGTACAATCCAATAACTTTAAAGCCTATTCACCTGCAGTAAAACAGTCACATGTTCCTACTCAGTCCATACTCGACGTTCAAACGACTGCTGCGTGGAGCCCGTGCTGCCCTTTGACCAATACAATTGGCTCTTATTTAAAGCCAAGTCAAAGAATATTTACCTGCAATAATACAGTGACATGTTCCTCCTCAGTCCGTTGCCGTACTAACGCTTGCTCGACGTTCCATGACTGCTGTGTGGAACCCGTGCCGAAGCCTGTGCCCTTCGCCCAGTACAGTTGGCTCTTCTCTTCAGACTTGCCCGACGAACCGTTCGATGCTTGGCTGTTCTGTTATAAACAAAACAGATATCGGTTTCATTATAGTTTTATTAAAGCATTAAAATACATTCAAAAAAGATAAGGTGATAATAAAGCTTCAGAAATGAGTTGCAATGACATCATGTAATAGCGATAAGTGCCATATTCACGTCACTTGAAGCGGGCCTGAGCACAAGACAACTAGGCAGGCGAGTACCAGGCGAACAGCGCCGAGTACTAGTAGAGCTCGTCTCAAAGCCTGCGCTTCCGAGCTAGATACGTCACCGATGCCTTAGTGTCTAGCGCTTGGTATGTTTAATATATACTCACGTCACTGGAGGCTGGACGGTGATGAGTAAAGACAGATAGGCACGCGAGTACAAGGCGAACAGCGCCGAGTGCTAGTAGAGCTCGTCTCAAAGCCAGAGCTTCTGCGCTGGACACGTCACCGGCGCCCTCTAGCAGTCGCGACACCACCAGGAAGGGCAGTGTTCCTAGCGACCACGCCCCGCCTGATGAGCCCGACCCGCCGCTCACTACTATGCTGCCTGCGTAAAAAAAAACAATCGGACGTTAGTTTGTCAATTTTTTACATAGTTATAAAAATTTTCAATTTACAATCAAATAAAACGCAGCTATAAAGACGAAGACAAGAAGAAGAAGACACTTAAAATAATTTCAATATGATTGAGTCTCCGAGCTCACAAAACTCTATGGAGTTGAGTCTATCAAATAAACTCAAGAACTTTAGTTTTTTACAACACCATCACAGTTTGTCTTCTTGGCAATACGAAAAAGACTTACTGATCGGCTTACTGTGGCCACTACTCCCACACAGTAGAGGGATTTAGTGATCGACTTCTTTACCCGCTCACGTGTTCCTCACTTCCTGAGGCGTGAAGAAGCATTCCTGCAGACTGGCAAGGTGAAGATGGTTGGTGTGGCAGTTTATAACTACTGCACCAGCTATCTTTGCGTCTGGACACTTAATATCAGGTGGAGCAGTCATTTGCCTACCTAGCTATAAAAAATAGGTAATGAAGTCCTTATTGCGGTCGCAGCCCGCCAGTATACTTACGGCCGTCCTCGGTGTGCGTGACGCCCAGCAGCAGGCGCAGCAGATGCACGGCTCGCGCGCCCTCGTCCAGCAGCGCGTCGGCGTAGCGCGACAGCTTCAGCAGCAGCCCGAGCGCCGCCAGTGCGTGCGTGGGGACTCCAGCGCATGTGCCAGTATACTTACGGCCGTCCTCGGTGTGCGTGACGCCCAGCAGCAGGCGCAGCAGATGCACGGCGCGCGCACCCTCGTCCAGCAGCGCGTCGGCGTAGCGCGACAGCTTCAGCAGCAGCCCGAGCGCCGCCAGTGCGTGCGTGGGGACTCCAGCGCATGTGCCAGTATACTTACGGCCGTCCTCGGTGTGCGTGACGCCCAGCAGCAGGCGCAGCAGATGCACGGCGCGCGCACCCTCGTCCAGCAGCGCGTCGGCGTAGCGCGGCAGCTTCAGCAGCAGCCCGAGCGCCGCGAGCGCGTGCGCGGGGACTCCAGCGCACCCACCATCCTCCACGCCTAGCGCGCTGCTGCCCGAACTGACTCCAAGCTCCACCACCTCCTGGTAAGGTTAATCAAGTTTTTTTTTGTAGTCATTTATTTCACATACCCTCGACAGTTTCACTTTTTATAAAGATTTAAAGATGCAGGTAGTACTCAACCGTGTGAATTGCCATGGCAGGGATGTACAACATTGACTATATGTAGGTAGGTGCTTATATTTGTAATAGTAACAAATTACTGTTCAATTTGGACGTTACTATACAAATGATTTTTAAGGGCTTTGAGTGGAGCGTGAAAGATTTCGACATCATGGCATATCTCATTGTATGCATCTTTAATTCTATTAGTACGAGTTCGAGTATGTAGGGACACATTTTATTTTGCTGGGTTGACGAGATTCTATTCCCTACGTCATGTCTATACTATACCCAAATATTTCGTGTGTTTCTTTTAAACAGCACAAATTTGATAGATTTCTTTTTCGAGAACTTTTTCTACAAACATCTACCACAAATATTGTTTTTTAAGAAAACTTAATGATTATTATTTTAGTGACACACTCAATGAGTTCGATTAAGCCAGTAGACAGAAAATATGACTGTAACAAATTTTGACTACTGTTTTTATTCTTTTTTTGAATGTGTATGGTGTTGGTCGCAGATGACCTTTACAGCGTCACCGGGTTTGGGGACGGCGAGATCCTAAGGGGACCTCAAGCTGAGATTGGGGAGTGCCTCTAGAGGTATTCCAGGCGGATGGCATCTCCCCAAAGAGGGTATGACTAATGTGTGTGTGTGTGTAGTGTATGTACAGCGCGCGGAGCTCACCTCGTACGGGTCGTCCAGCTTGACCCAGTCGAGGTCGTGGTGCGGGGGCGCTGCGGGCGGCGCGAGAGGCGGCGCGTGCGGGCGCGGCAGACGAGCCGCTACTAATGCAAGCCCGCCGCAAGCACCGAACTCACGCAGTACTAGCCCGCTGCACCGCGCACGGGACCCGTCCGCACCGGTGCCGGCGCTGGTGGTGCTCGGACTCGGCTCCCATGTCGGGCCGGACCACACTTCTGTGTAGGTGAACAAACGATTCAAATGGTGGCAAATTACTCGCTTCAACAAAGATTATGATTTATGCTATCAAGAGATCAATTTTATAATGCCAGCACTTACAAAATAGCAAATACGAATAGCCGAGAGAAATGCCGGCATTATACATATCAATACACATTCACTGAAAAATTACGGCAGAAGCGGCGGATTTCGAATTTCTTTTTTCCATAATTTTCAAACTGAATGGTTTTTTTACCCCAAAACTCACCCCGCCCAATCCGTTCTGTGGTTTGAACTGTGCGTTGGTCAGTCAGTTAGTAATATATGTCTATAATATACAGAAGACTTTTTGAAAATTTTTGACAATATCAAATCACATTTCGATCTAGGTATAGGTAGCAACAAACTTCTTGAGCAAAATCACAGACAAAATAAATTACACAGTAGACGCTTAATGCATAAAAACAGCTACTGCGCATGCTTCCTTGTTGATGTCGATGGTTGATGCTCAAGAACTTTGCCGGGGTGTACGTTATGCTATTAACATACCTCCATCAGTATTAAGATGTAATGTGAGTGTGAGATGAGGTCCGAACACATGAGGCGCCGCTTCCACCAACTGCGCCAGCGTCGTGTGGCCAGGAATAAATCCTTCTAGCCCAGGAACTTGTACACGTATCGTCGTTTCTATTAATTCTGTGAACAACAATATAACGTCAACTTGGAAACGAAAGACTCGAAGTTGATGGGGTCGGAATAAAATTTATTTATTTCAAATGAATGCTAACCTGCCACCATGCAGACAGAGTAGTTTTGAATACTTCTAAATATGATAAACTATACTCTGTCCATTATATTATTATCTTTTTGACAGATCGATCAAAGTAAAAATAGTGACACCCTATCACACAACTAGTTCGATTTAAAGCTATAATCGATATTATGCTAGAATGCATTAAGGCCGCAGAATAAAGCTAATAATCTAAATAGCTAAGCATGCATTTACTTCTCACCATCGGTAACAGAGAGCACGGACGGTTCATTGTTGTTTTTGAGCTGTCGTTTCTTGTGGTTCTGCTGTTTGAGCGAGGTGTTCTTCACGTCTTTGACGCGTTTGTCTTTGGACGCACTGGCGGCGGCGAGGCTGAGTTCCCATGCGTCCGCTACGGTCATTATAGCGGTGTCTGATGCACTGCGTAGTATCGAACCCACGCCACTCGATGAAGGGTTCACGCACATTTTGGCTGCGTCGTCCACTATTGGCACTAAAGGAAAGATTACTTTTGAGTTCAAAATTGAAGAACGAGATAACTTTATATTGGCGTTTAATGTGTAACAGTTTGAATAGCCTTTTTTTTTTGTCTGGGAAATGCTTTACGAATCCTTCAACTACCGGGTGAGCGAGAAAAAGGTATGTGGGACTCCTCACTGTTCATTTCAGCCAGCCCTTGGACCGGATGAAATGAGCAGGGCCTTACCTAACGCCCTAATCAGGGTCACTAAAAACCAGAAAATACTCCTACACCGGTCACCCGACATGCATTGCAATTAGCAAGGTCCCCCCAATGCGTGCCGAGAGTACGGGTGTGGTCGCAGCAACTGTTTTCGACTGGTTGCGCAACAGTCTGAATAACCTAGGTAATATGAAGTTGTGTGCCACGCTAGCGCTAGAGCGTCTTGGATCTGCGTTGAGCGGAAAACAATACTACGAGACGGGTTAGGATCTGCCATTTTGGCGCCACAGCAATCCCGTAAGGGGGCGGTTGGCCACCCACACCGGCGCCGCGCGGGATAGAGACACGGCCGGGGCCGGGCGGGGTACTCACGCAGCGGGCGGTGCTCGGCCAGCAGCGCGCGCACGGTGGTGGCGAGCGGCAGGGTGACCGTGTGCCGCGCGCGGGCGGCGGGGTGCGGGGGCAGCGCGCGCGCCCGCACGCCCCCGCCCCACACCGGCGCCGCGCGGGATAGAGACACGGCCGGGGCCGGGCGGGGTACTCACGCGGCGGGCGGTGCTCGGCCAGCAGCGCGCGCACGGTGGTGGCGAGCGGCAGGGTGAGCGTGTGCCGCGCGCGGGCGGCGGGGTGCGGGGGCAGCGCGCGCGCCCGCACGCCCCCGCCCCACACCGGCGCCGCGCGGGATAGAGACACGGCCGGGGCCGGGCGGGGTACTCACGCGGCGGGCGGTGCTCGGCCAGCAGCGCGCGCACGGTGGTGGCGAGCGGCAGGGTGAGCGTGTGCCGCGCGCGGGCGGCGGGGTGCGGGGGCAGCGCGCGCGCCCGCACGCCCCCGCCCCACACCGGCGCCGCGCGGGATAGAGACACGGCCGGGGCCGGGCGGGGTACTCACGCGGCGGGCGGTGCTCGGCCAGCAGCGCGCGCACGGTGGTGGCGAGCGGCAGGGTGAGCGTGTGCCGCGCGCGGGCGGCGGGGTGCGGGGGCAGCGCGCGCGCCCGCACGCCCCCGCCCCACACCGGCGCCGCGCGGGATAGAGACACGGCCGGGGCCGGGCGGGGTACTCACGCGGCGGGCGGTGCTCGGCCAGCAGCGCGCGCACGGTGGTGGCGAGCGGCAGGGTGAGCGTGTGCCGCGCGCGGGCGGCGGGGTGCGGGGGCAGCGCGCGCGCCCGCACGCCCCCGCCCCACACCGGCGCCGCGCGGGATAGAGACACGGCCGGGGCCGGGCGGGGTACTCACGCGGCGGGCGGTGCTCGGCCAGCAGCGCGCGCACGGTGGTGGCGAGCGGCAGGGTGAGCGTGTGCCGCGCGCGGGCGGCGGGGTGCGGGGGCAGCGCGCGCGCCCGCACGCCCCCGCCCCACACCGGCGCCGCGCGGGAGAGAGACACGGCCGGGGCCGGGCGGGGTACTCACGCGGCGGGCGGTGCTCGGCCAGCAGCGCGCGCACGGTGGTGGCGAGCGGCAGGGTGAGCGTGTGCCGCGCGCGGGCGGCGGGGTGCGGGGGCAGCGCGCGCGCCCGCACGCCCCCGCCCCACACCGGCGCCGCGCGGGAGAGAGACACGGCCGGGGCCGGGCGGGGTACTCACGCGGCGGGCGGTGCTCGGCCAGCAGCGCGCGCACGGTGGTGGCGAGCGGCAGGGTGAGCGTGTGCCGCGCGCGGGCGGCGGGGTGCGGGGGCAGCGCGCGCGCCCGCACGCCCCCGCCCCACACCGGCGCCGCGCGGGAGAGAGACACGGCCGGGGCCGGGCGGGGTACTCACGCGGCGGGCGGTGCTCGGCCAGCAACGCGCGCACGGTGGTGGCGAGCGGCAGGGTGAGCGTGTGCCGCGCGCGGGCGGCGGGGTGCGGGGGCAGCGCGCGCGCCCGCACGCCCCCGCCCCACACCAGCGCTACTCGCACGCGCTCCCCGGACACCACCAGGCGCAGGATCAGCGCTCGCGTGAACCCGGAGATGCCCTCTGGACCTACAATAACCGGAACATTTATTCATTAGAATGTCATCTCCAGTCCATATTAAAGAAAACTGAAGGAACTAGCAACAAACGGATTTAGGGGCTATATGGAATGCAAAATGGGGTTCTATTCGTTTCGCTCATTTAAATTTACGAATAACATTCGAGAGCGATTTCCTTCCGTTCTAGTCTCGTTAAGAACTTACGGAGCGACTTCCACCCATGCATCGCGACCACAAGACCGCAACTCGCATAGAATATAGAAGCGATCATCGCTCGCTGGGTACGCGGTTGTTTGCGGCACCCACAGTACTAGCGTGCAAGCGCGGAACGCGGTCACCTGCAGTCGCAGTCGGCTTCGTCTAATCTTTTCTTGTTAAGTTTACCAACGTCTGTAGAAACGCATAAAATTGCGGTCCTTGAAATAAAACAGTTCTACAACCGCCCGCGATCGGTGCGGGTAAACCCGCGAGTTCTCAGCCTCAATACTCACTACTTATAGTACATAATCAAAGTTACTTTATTTAAAGCAAGATCATGATGAGATCAACATAAACTCACCTGTACAGTGTAGTGATTCTAATATCCTATGTAGAGTATGTGCAAACAGTTTTTGATTAGCAGGATGGCAAATGTTTAGTTCTGCAAACAGTCGGATTGTGTTCTCCTCCAATTGAGCATACTGCGCACCCTCCTGCCACGTGCTACAATAAAAATAAGATCTTAATCAAATATTCTGATAATGAAGATATTAGATCCGTTATTTATAACAATCACTTTTTTAGAATCTGAAGATTTTACTTCAAAAATATCACGCCGCGGTCCGGGCGTCATACGAGATTATTTAGATTTAAAAAATCTAGGACAACAATGACTTTTTGGGAATCAAAAAGAAAAAAAATACAACCAATTTCAACTATACTTCAACACTTTCAAAGCGTTATCACTAAATAAGCAGTCAATTTTTACAAATGCTATATTGAGGAGCTCGATGGCGCAAGTGGTTAGCGCGTTCGGCTGCGATCGTTGAACTTAAGCAACTTTCGCAGTGGTCGGTCATTGGATGGGTGACCAAAAATTACTATCTCTAGCTCCTCCGTGCTTTGGAAGGCACGTTAAGCCGTTGGTTCCGGCTGCATCTGCAGTCGTTAGCACCCACCAATCCGCTCTGGGCACGCGTGGTGGGTCATGGCCCAATCTCCCTATTCCATCCATAGGGAAGGCCTGTGGCCCAGCATTGGGGCCGTTAATAGGCTGGTGATGATGATGATTTACAAATGCTATAAACAGAAAAATAAATAAGATAGCGTTCAAGTATGCTTACCTTTCAGCTGGTCTAGGATAACACAGCAGCATGAGTAACGGCTGCCAAAAGCACGAGCCGGCAGTGCCCAGCCAATCCTTCAACCGGCGGTCGGAACACAACGCCCGCAAGAACTCCACTAGTTGGCACACGCTCTTCATTGATGGCAATTCTGAAATTAATGTAAGAATGATGGAGCCGAGACTAAAAAGCTTAATTTCTATTTCTAGATTATAGATTGTATAGAAATTATAGATTAGTAAAAACTTCAAACATGAGCAAGATGCAATGACATAAATGTTCGTCTTTACGGTGGTTGGGCCAGATCTATTAATTACTTCGCGGTTTGCTGACAGCAGTTTCTTCTTCTGGAATTATTCTTAGAAAAAGAGAGATTAAGGTATTTCGGGGGCGGCATGATTTTATCGTGTAATGATTTCCGCCAGTGACAGGTATTTCAAGATCGACTACTGCCGCTTTGATTGACTGACTTGTCTCTATTAATCAATTTCTAACGCCATGTAATGAATTTTCAGCTGGCAGTAAATATAAGAGTAACATTGCTGAATGATCAATCTACAGAAGATTCCTCCAAATAATTTCTAACTATGGTAAAAGCTGTGTTCCTGACGAGCGGAGCTTTAATTTCTTCCAAATTATTGTAAGCGGTATGAAGTTTGCCGGGTAAGCAAGTTATTTTTTGAAGTGATAGATGACATTTCTTTTGGGTTGGGTTAATGATTTATTCGGTAGATATTTTATCAGAGAATTTAAAAATCGACCCGCTGTGTTTTTCATGGCAATGTCTTCATCAATGCAACCCACCAGAAACAAAAATGAAATGACTACTGGCTTATGTAAAAAAATAATTATAAAAATAAATTCCAGTATTTTGTTTCATAAATTTAACAACTGTGAAATTTTTGTACCTTATATGTTTTTTGGCATGAATAAAAATTATTATTATAGTCTTCAGCTTAGTCAGTTGGCTTTGCCCAATAGACAGATCTCTCGCGAATACTTAAGAGCGTTTGTTGCGCTCGATACCATCTTTGATACAATCCGTATTAAATAGGCAAAGATCGCTCATCAAGGATTGTGAAAGCAAGGCTATTTGCTGGTACTTACTTGCAGCTCCTGAATTCTGTAATCTCATTTCGTTCCGCTGTCTCATAAGTAGGAGAGTTTTGTCAGAAAGTTTCTTTAATTTGGTATGGTGGGCTTTAAAATACTTGGTCCCCACCGTACGGATAGTATCCACCACCGTGTTGTTCACATCGTCCTCATCTAAGCTGTTCTCAAAGGATTCGATGCGGTTTTAAGTTCGAGTTGTGCAGGCATTGTTCGGAGCGTAGACTTTATCATTCCAGATCTTTCGAGCTTAATGTTGATATTCAATGTGCCTTGTACTAACCGGTGATCGCTCCCCGTTGATCACAGAGACATCATTGAATATTAGCTCTTTTGTCGACATGATAAAGTCGATCTCGTTTCGGACTTTGCCGTCCTGACTCATCCAGGTCCATTTTCAATTTTGGGGTTTCCTAAAGAAGGAGTTTATCATATAGAGGTTCTCCTTCTCCATAAAATCTCCAACATCTGTCCTTTGGCGTTCCGTTTGCCCAACTTCAAATTGCTCCAATCTTAAATCATCACCGCAACGCTTCCTCAACCTTGCGTTAAAGTCCCTATCACAAGCGTGTAGTGTGTTTTGTAGCTATGCATGCCTTTTGTGATCTCCTCATACATAGCTTCCACTTCGTTATCTAGGTGCGTTGAAGTCGAAGCATAAACTTGTATGACATTCAACGAACATCGTTTTGATATTCTGAGAACCAGGTATGCTACCCTGGTCGACAAACTTCCGATGGTGATCACGTTGCGAACAAGGGACTTGTTGACGATAAACCCGACACCGCCTAGGGACTGTTGATCGCCCTCCCCATAGTATAGCAATTTACCAGAATTGAGGATTATCGAGTCATCTCCCTCTCTTCGGACTTTAGATAAACCAATCATATCCCAGCGTCTCTTATCTATTAGACAAGTCCGTCCGTCCGTCTGTGGTGCTGTTTCAGCGGCCAAACCGTAAGAGATAGATAAAGAGAATGTTTAAGTTATAAGTTAAGAATAGTCTGATAAGACTACAAACCGGATTTGAGTAACGTAGCACTTCCGGTTTTCGAGAAATCACGAATTTCAAACGAAACCACACAAAATCTCCGAAGTTCTCAATTAATTAAATACATGTTTTGGTGAACATTTGGTTCACTGGTTTGCTAGTAACGTACTAATAGCTCCTTCCAACTCTATTAGCTTAGCGTCGGTCCTCGGTGTGCGCGTGTTGTAGGTTGCCAGGTCGAGTCGTCGTAGGCGGTAGCCGGATCTTACCCGGGGATTCTTAGCACCCCTTGCCCCGCCGTTACCATAACTGCTACCATGGCTAGGACTAGCAGGGCTGCCGGATACTAGGGGCCGATCTTCACTTGGCTAGAAAGTGCGAAAGGTACTCGCCATTAATGTTGATGCCGCTTCCTTCGATTCGATCAATTCGACCCAATCCAGAAATTCTCAATTCTCGCTGCAATTGGATAGAATTAGAGCTCTGGATCTGTAATCGGACTGACATAGTGGCGTTTTTTAAAGGTACCTTAATATCTCGACATACCTGTAGTCTACTTGGCACCTTTGGAGAGACTGTAACACCGCCCGGGTCTCAATCGAATCGAAGGCTTTCTCATAGTCCACAAACGCCAAGAAAAATGGCAGATTATACTCTTCGGTCTTCTGTATAACCGGCCGTAGTGTATATATGTGGTCAATGGTTCTATGTTCAGGAGGTCACGACTTCCATCGTCAAATCTGCGTGCGAGACGATTCGTAATGACTCTCGAAAACCACTTATAAACATGGGTAAGAAGCAAGATTGGCTGGTAGTTTTTAAGAGTGCTTTGTCACCTATCATGAAGAACAGGAAAACCTCACCGCTGACCCATGTTTCTGGCATTCTGCCTTCGACAAGGAGCCGATCTTTACTTGTGCTAGACATATTGGGGGGTTTTGTCATAATCGCCACGCTTGGCAGGCAGGTTGGCTATCGCAGTACAGCCAAGATATTGCAGAGACGCTGCTGCCCGTCTTCTGCAGGCTGTGCTCCCTTAATCCCCTTTTACGACACCCATGGGACGAGAGGGGTGGTGCTACTCTAGGCCGGCATATACCCGGCAGCATTATATAAGACAGGCTCAGAAAGTTGTAGTGCAAATATAGCAAATCGGTTAGTTTCTAATAAAATTTTGTAGTATGCTGAGCTCAGTCTTAGATTCCGGAACTTTTCGGTTGACTAACCTGTTTTTATGGGACTCCTTTCTTCCTTTTCTAAATCAACCATGGTGACATCTTCTGAGGAACTTAGCTGCTTCTTTATTAACTCCAATTTTGCTTCACTGTACTCTGCGAACAATGATACCAAAATTATTATACAATTGTATTGAATGGAATAAAACAAAACTACTCAAGTTGCTTCTTTTCCTAAGCGTCTAAGTGTCTATTGGCGGATAGATTATTTAGGTAACTTTTATTTGTCATAAATTGGCAACCGGTTCCTATAGTTCTTGGACAAAGGCTGATCCAACCAATCAATTTCCACTGTACACGTACAGAAACGCAACCCCACCAAAAGGTTGTGTTATTTTACTGTGGTCTTCTACAAGGTACAGGCTCCCCCAGACGCGCGCTAATTTTTTTTCTCGAATCCGAATTTGATGTCAGATGCTGTTTTTGAAATTTCCGAGGTCCAGGGGTGACGGAATATGGGGGGTGGGTTCACTTAAAACATCGAAAAAAAGGTTTCATTTTTCCGCGTCAGGGTTACACACAACATAAAAAAACCGGAATCCGAATTTGATATCAAATACCCCGGATTCGGGCGATAGTCTCTAATTCATGGTTTTTAGTCTTTTATATTTCTCTTACCTGCAAGCGCACGAACGACAGCGGCGGGCAGTCTAGATCTCAATAACGCCAAAGTAGCGTCAGGAGACATCGCAGCTGCAGCCACACTCTGCAACTGCCATCCACGTAATCTCCAAGCAACGCTACTATCACACTCTTGAGATTCCACCATAGGCACCGCAGACACTTTAGTATCGTCCGTCAGACCCTCCATACTAAAAAAGATGTCAGATTAATAAATTATATCGCACGAAAGAAACAATCACATTACAAAATAGGACAAACCTCTCTACGTGATCTATCGGTATGTCCATTTGTTCCAGCAACATTTTGAATAATTCCGGCCTAATATAGCACATTGAGCACAGAACTGAAATAAAAATAGTAATATGAGTAATGGTGATAGTATTATTAAAAAGGTAAGTCGATACTCTCTACAAAACTTATTCTTACTGGCATCTAGAGATTTCTTCAGGAGACTGGATTCAGGTACATCTTTAACCCAAGTGTAGACTAGTTCGAATAGATCGTCCGTTATCAATTCTTCTAAGTTTTCTAAAGTCTTCTCTTCTTTTAAACTCCATAGCACCTGTGAAAAATTATTGAATAAAAAAGGGTTTCAAAACACAGTAACCTTTTTTATAACTTGCACTCCAACTTGAAACACAATCCATAGTGGGTTTTTTATTTACTTCATAAAATATCATAACTTTAGCCCCCCTTATTAATAAACGAAGAATTAACTTGGATTAGTTACTCTATGTTTTATCTCTGTTCATTGAATTACAAATGATATTTGAGTGATATGAACCAAACACGGTGTAACTAATCTAAGACTATTCTTCGTTTATTAATAAGGGGGTTGGAGTCGCGACTGTTACGTAAAACGGTATGCGTGAGCGCGGCGGAGGGCGGCTTCTGTTCCCGCAGCCAGGTCTCGGCGATGGCAGACAGCCACAGCAGGTAAGCATGTCAGAATGATTTCAGTAGTATTGTGTCACTATGGCTACTCCCCTCCTGGCCGCGTCGGTGGTGTTGCTCTATGGCTATATGTTACCGTGGCGAGCGTATGCGTGAGCGCGGCGGAGGGCGGCTTCTGTTCCCGCAGCCAGGTCTCGGCGGCGGCAGACAGCCACTGCAGGTATGCGTGGACAGCACCGCTCGGGCAGCGGCCGCACACTTGGCGGATCAGTTCACACACGCTGCTCATGCTGCCGCCCCCACTCGTGCCCGTGCCGCTCGCCCCGCTCGTGCTGCTGTTCGATACTTGGAATTCTGGGAAAGAGATAATTTGTTGAAAATATCATCATCAGCCTATAAATGTCCCCACTGCTGGGGCACAAACCTACCCTATGAATGGAATAAGGAGATTGGGCTATGACCCACCGACCACCGGGCGGGCGACATTCTATTTTCTTTTTTCAGAATGGAAAAAATAAACGTTCGGTTCGGACTTTTAACTAATAAAAAAACAGAAATATCTGCACTAGGCTCACGTATTTCCGGATCATCATCATCCCATTTCTAAGGCACAGGCCTTCCCTATGGATGGATAGGGAGATTGGGTCATGACCCTCAAGGCGGGCGCAGTGCGGCTTGGCGGGTTCTACCGACTGTAGATGCAGCCGAAACCAATGGCTTAACGTGCCTTCTTAAGCACGTAGAGAGCTCGAGATAGTACATTTTTAGTTACACATCCAAAGACCACTGCGCAAATTGCTCAACTTCAACGATCGCAGCTGAGCGCGTTAACAAATTACCTTATCAAACTCCTCGAGTTGAAAATATAATTGATGTCAGGATATTCATAATGGTATATCTTAAGAAGTTACAGTCCGTTTTATCATATAGTGTGAATGTGTATGTATCGCATAGCGTAATTTTGTTTTTGTTTCTCATCCGCTTTGAAATGAGGTTGTTTATGAAAATGTATGGCGCCACTATGGAATGAGGTATCTTTTTAAATGAAGCTTTTGGCGCGGAATAATCGAATGAGCATTCACTGATATTGATACAGACTGACGATATACACAATTTGAAGGATGAGTAGACATTTCACCTCACATGCTGCTACCTGGAGTCCGTCATTCCAGAAAACCATCATTGCAGTATACAGTATCCTCAGCACAATTCATTACCTATCGGATTCGAATACTTGAATTCGATCTAGATATACTTGCAAACTATTCGAATTCGATATTGGTCCATGTACAGAACAACGAAAGAGGTTAGAAGGGCCTAGTGGGTGGGGTGGGCGCGAAACAGTTATATGTGAGCAAATGCTCATAACTTGACCGAAACTTGGTTCTGATTGCGTCGTTGCTCTCGGGTGTGAGCGCTGATTAGTTGGATTGTTTGATTTCGCGTCGTTCGATTGGATATTATCTATTAGTTACTTTTATGTCCATTGTGGTGTTATACAATAAATAATATTATTATTAGGTGGAAGTGTAGTGGGGACGAGCCGGCGACATTGGTTCACGTACAAACGGTCAATGCTCACCCTTCTAACCTCTTTCTCCCTCATTAATAAACAAGGAACAAGCTTAGACTAGTTACGCCGTGTTTTGTTCATGTAACTCAAATGCCATTTGTGATCCAATAGAAAGAGACAAAAAATGGAGTAACTAATTCAATCGTAGTCTTCGTTTATTAATAAGAGGGTTTGTGTTCTGTGGGTCCGTGCAAAGGGTGCAGTACTGACCGTGCGCGTGCGCATGCGCGTCCATGTTGAGCAGCGCGGCGAGCAGGCGGGCGGGGCCGGGCGGCGCGCGCGCGGCGGCGGCCAGCAGCGCGTGGTGCGCGTGGTGCGCGGCCGGCCCGCCCCCCACCACGCACGCGCACAGCGCGCTCACGGCGCCCGCGCCCGTCAGGCACTCCCAGCGCGCGGGGCTGAGGCGCGCGCGCGAGCACGCCGATATCACGCACGCCCAGTTATTCCTAAACCAAACCAATTTGGGGTTACACACTTTTCTAAATCTCCACAATATTTGGATCAAAATAAACGAAATTGAAAAGAACTGTGTAGTTTTATTAAACTGTGATGAACTCAACGATATTCAATACCCTAGCTAGATAAACCACGTGCGCAAAAAATATGTCCCAATCAAGAAGTACTTGAGTGGTGTTCAAGTAGCATAAATAATCAATAATAATCGAAAATTTCCGCAATATACTCTTCTACGAAACGCTCATATGGATCTGCTTAAAAGAAAACAAACACAGATTCGGGGAGAAAGCAGGAGCCACTAGGAGCCGCAGCTGCAGCAGCCCCATATTTACGGAGTACTGGACACCCAATACTAACACGGCGAGGGCGGCGCCGCATCTGCAGCAGCCCCATATTGGCGAAGTACTATACAAACAATACCCTCGCGGCCATGTTGGAGGGCGGCGGAGGTATAGATTCGGGGAGAAGGCAAGAGCCACAAGGAGCCGCAGCAGCAGCAGCCCCATATTGGCGGAGTACTATACAGAACATACTCACGCGGCGAGCTTGGAGGGCGGCGGGAACAAATTCGGGGAGAAGGCAGGAGCCACAAGGAGCCGCAGCAGCAGCAGCCCCATATTGGCGGAATACTATACTGGCAATACTCACGCGGCGAGCTTGGAGGGCGGCGGGCACAAATTCGGGGAAAAGGCAGGAGCCACTAGGAGCCGCAGCTGCAGCAGCCCCATATTGGCGGAGTCGCGAGGGCGGTAGAGCCGAAGCTGCACCGTGGAGCACACCACCGGCCGCGCCAGTGCCAGTCGGATGAACGTCATGCCGGTCGTCACTTGAGGCGGCCCCAGTGGCGCCACTGTGCCGCCGCAACCGGCTTCTACGCCCACAGCGCCTGGGCATGCTGTCAAGAAAATACGTGTTCAGTAAAAGTTCAATTCAAACTTATCAATGGTTGTGAACTTGACAACGAGCAAGTGGATACCCTTTGCACACATTAATAGCGCTACCTGTCTAACTGTCAAACAAACTTAGGCCGATAAATGTGAGAGCTCATGTAGGTATCGACTACACCATCGCATTCTATGTTTCTAGGGAGTAGTCAATTTGATCCTAATATATACATAGTGAATAAACCAAGCGAGACTAGAATCAAATTGACTACCCTCTAGAAAGAGACAAAAAAATTGTTAATACTATAGTCACATCTTCCGTTTTGAGGTAGCTGTTGATCAACTCATAATAAAAAAAAATGCAAGTTTTTGACCTTTTAGTGAAAGTAGGATTAGTAAGATTTGTAAATAAATCAGTGTTCTTCAAGTATTGTTTTTTTAATGGCTTCACAGACCACCTTTTAAGAACTACATAATATATAGGGTGTAGTGTGTCGTATACTGACTAGCGAGGCTCGTGAGGTGCGGCTGCAACTGAAGCTCGTGAAGCAGCGCGGCGTAGGGCAGCGTGAGCGTGAGCGCGAGGGAGGTGTCGTCGGCGCTGAAGAAGTGGTAGGACCAGGCGGCCGCCCGCACGCGTCTCGCCGCGCAGGAGCCGCGCGATCCGCCGCCTTCTAGGAGTACGTCCGCAGCCTGCGCGGTCGGGTTGCCGCACGATACTGTGCCTGCGAACGAAACGCTTTTATAAACTACTAGCTGTGCCCCGCGTGTTACCCGCGGTTTATTAGGGATTTTTCCGGCAGTAAAACGTAGCTTATGTGTTAATCCAGGGTGTCAGCTAACTCCATACCAAATTTTATTAAAATTGCTCCAGCCATTTAGAAGTGAAGAAGTAACAAACATACACACTCACAAACTTTCGCCTTTATAATATTAGTCTGATTACTAGCGATCCGCTCCAGCTTTGCAAGGGTAAAAATCTTATTTTTCCAATAGAAACATTGAACCCCCGTTTTACCTTTTTAGGGGGTGTTTTGGGACATCCTTTTTAGCATTAGAAGAACTATTTCGAACTTACAAACAACTAAATACAAGATTTATAATACGAAAATATTATATCAACAATTTTATCGTCATTTTGTATACAAAAGTTTAATTTTCTTCCTTTCTAATTGATGAATCTACTTACATAACGGCGCAATATTGACAAGCCCATTGGCGGTCTCGATGACCGGGGGCTGGCTCTTCTTTCCGCTGGCGGGCGTGGACAGATTCACCAGTTGGTGTGGCAACTTCAGGTAGTTCATCAGCGAGGACACTAGCCCCTGGCTGTTACTCGGCCCCGACTAGATATAATAAATTGATAAAATAGTGGTGTCGATTCTGGCATGATTCTCTTAAACTTAAAGCTAAAGGACATTGGGCAAAAATGTATGGACGCTGCACCCACGTCCGCCACGGCTTAAACTACATTTGTTTGAAAGGTATTATAGTCGAGATCAGATGATCAGGCACAGATGTGCCAAAGCGCATCAAATTCCATCCCGGGGGTCTTAAGTTAAATATGTACAAGTATAACGAACGAACACTAATGAAACAAGGTAATTAAATTAGTTAGTTCGACCTTACATAGGGTGCTCAGGAATTATGGGAGTACTTCACAAGGTGCAAGGGTGCCCCCTTATGTTATTCTGCCGCGCTAGAGTGAATCCAAAAATCCCCGCCTGGGTTGGGTTTTTTTAAACATTCTGTTCGATATAGTAAATTGTCTTCTATGTAAAACGGAGCGACCACAGATTATACAAACTTGTCGACGCTTCGGAGAACACATGATTCCAGTTCATCCATACTAATTGACAAAACCATTAATAGTGTTCCAATATCCAAAGCGTGTTAGATAAAAATCAAGAGCGCACAATCACAACGAAGTAAGACGAGTCGACTATTTGCAACTGCAAGTCCTTCATCATCCGTAAACCGTTTTGAAATGTCTAGGTAAGAGCAAACGCAGAATGGTCGGCAGGCTTTGTCGTATATCTGGTTGTATAATACGATATGGCATATTATTATGATTACCAATAATATAAAATGAAGGTACTAAAAATGAATTTATTCAGCTACTTAAATATGATGTATCATATCTATTGACTACCAGGATATTTTTTACAATGTAATATCTTTTGACTCCCAGGATATTTATTTTCGGTGTCATAATAAAAAAGGCTAGTTTTTCATAAATCTATCGATTCATACTAATTACATTGGTGGCGGAGCTTGGTGCGTTTTGCCCATTGTCATTTAACATCAGTCTCTCCTTTTCATTCTGGTTAGAGAATAACAAGGATACATTGTTGACAAATTTAATTTTAGGTATAGACATTAGTGTATACTTCAAATAGGATAAGCATACTTCTTGTCCAAAAGAAAAGTAGGGCTTAGTAGATTTTCCGTTCGAGTTGGAGCGCCCGTCTGGGAAAGTAACCTCTGACTAACAGAAGATCACAGTAAAATAACGCTGACATTCGGAGGTATTCTGTTTCTGTCAATGAGTAAGCTCACAGGGCTCCCAGATAGGGGATTGGGTCAGGGTAGGCAATGGTGCGAGTGATATGTTTAATATCGCATACATCTATATGCCATGGTGGCCGCTTACCATCAGACAGACAGGCTATACGATTGTTTGCCACCTTTTTAACATTTAAAAAAACATCCTTAAAGATGGTTGGTACCAGGCTATTGTGTAGGATAGGGCTTGTGATCATGGGGCTTCGGCTGTTGCTATAGCTTATTTTTTTTCTGACCTCCGAAGGTTTTCAACCTTCCTGTCCTGTTTTATTTTTGCATTGGTTATAACAATATTAAAGAAAATGATCGCGATGTATTTGGAAACCTTCGGTGGTAAGAAATAACAAAATGAAATTACAAGCTATAGAAATAACCAAAGCAATCTCGATAGGCGGCAGGCCACCAGAGTATCCAATACGAAAATGAAGCATCACTTTTGAAACCAGGGAATAAACTTTTTTTAGAGTCTATTCATTAATTAATGATTATAGCCTATAGTCAGTTCAGAACCGTTAAACAAGACTTGCGATCAAACTGAACCAGAATTATGCGGATGTAAAAAATGTTATTCACTAACATTCGGCCGACGTTTCTTTGCCAACCTTTTCACATAAAAAATAAAAACACATAATTTACCTGATGACAGGCTGTCAATTTTTCAATAGCTAATTCCAACCCGCCTGCCTCAATGAACGCCGACAAGGCTTCGGGCTTGTCCAACAGCCGGATAATTAATTGCTGCATCGCTTGCGACAGATGAACTATTTCTTCTTTCCCTGTTAGAGGCATCTTATTTAAAATTATAATTCTGGTATGTATGCCCAAAAGGTGGCTTTACTTGGCTACTCGTGTTTGCTATTTGTAAACTTGACAACAGTATGTCCTTGTAATGCTTTATAAGGAATGATATGGACAGACTCATGGCATTTTTACTAAAAGCAAACACGAAAAGCCAAGTGAAGTCCCGTCATAATGGGGATGACGACAAACTTTTTTTCTTCGTCTATCAGGCAGGTTTATCAAAAAGTACTGGACACGTATTTTTTATCTATTCACTTAAAATCAAAACATTACAGTGACATATTAATTTGAAAAGTCGCATGACGTCACGTCTTGGTACAATATTTACTTAGTAAAGACGTTTTGCACTTTATCTCTAGAATTCTAATACTCACTCAGAAACTCTATGAGACTGCTGACCATGGCTGCAGGGTTTGCAGCCACATTGGGTATGGTGGCCACAAGCCAGAATACCTCTTCTTTCAGCGAAGAATATTCACCTGATGGCTCAGAGCTCATACCTTCGAGAAACAAAATAATATAAAAACTTTAAAAGAACTAGCAAAATTTTGGTTCATGTGGCTGCATGAATAAGGCATGCATTAAATATTTTTTCTTAATTACTCTGAATACTACTACTACAACTGAGTTGTCAGACTACTAAGTCTGACTATGAGAGTAAAAAACATGGCCTTGTCGCTTTTTATTGTATCATAGACTCAAATTGCATTCCAATAAAATATTGCTTCAATCTGCAATATGGTTACCTCACAATATTTAAGTTTCAGTATGGGCTATATTATAGTGTAACACAAAGAGAAGTAACAAAATATCTTACCGGAGTTCAATAATAGACTGTTCATTCCATCGCACATCGATAAAGTTTTGTAGAATCTCTGCATTATATGTGGATGTTGCAGCACTGTGAACATAAAACAACCATAAATATATTTTTATTTAATTTGTCGAGCTACCTTTGAAAGACTTTTATTGAGCGTTTGATAAATAAATAAAGTTTCGTGCATTAACCCGTAAAAACTAGTTTTATTTAATGAGTGATGTGCGTGAAAACCTAAGAAACAAATCTCTTATCTATTAGACAAGTCCGTCCGTCCGTCCGTGGTGCTGTTTCAGCGGCCAAACCGTAAGAGATAGATATAGAGAATGTTTAAGTTATAAGTTAAGAATAGTCTGATAAGACTACAAACCGGATGTGAGTAACGTAGCACTTCCGGTTTTCGAGAAATCACGTGATTTCTATTTCAAAGGAAACCACACAAAATCTCCGAAGTTCTCAATTAATTAATTTTTTTTTTTTTGCTGAACACATGGTTCACTGGTTTGCTACTATAAATATATTTAAATCCAGTTCGCCCTACGTGCGGTAAATACCTGTTTTGTAGAAAATTAAGATAAATTTTAAACATACCAGTGTCAGCATGGCAAGGCGTACGCGCAGCCTGCTGTTTTCTTTCGTCTTCCACGTTAGTGGCTTCCTGTTGTTGTGCTTTACTCTCGTCCGTTTGTGATTGTTCACTCGATGAGCTTGGGCTTGACGCCGACTGCGGAAGGTAGTTTTGTAAGCATATCATAGTCGTTTTTTCTTCACGTCCCCTTTGAAAGACTCCAAGAATCAATTTGTTGGGTTAGTTAGGTATGGCCCAATCAACCGATTCCTGACCCACTTGTCCGATATTTCGCTTAAAATGTCAAAACAGACAAGTTTTATTTTGTAGAGAATGCGTAATAACTTTTCTTTTATATGCGTAAATAACTTTTCTTTTTCTCTTTCAACATTCACAGAAACGTGTGATCATATTTATATGTAAATCTTTTCCAGTGGTGCTACAACGGCGTATTCGCACCAGAAAGCGCAGTATCGATATCGAGCGGTTTTCGAGGCAGTCGGGAGAAATGCCTAGAGGAGGCTTATGTCTAGCAGTGAACGTTCATCGGCTGATGATGATGTTAGTTTATCAAACAAACTAGAGGTGCCCTACGGTTTCATCCTCATGAATTTGAGGAAAAAGGTCATAGTGGGTCACCCTTAAAAGATAAGACATACGCAGTACGCCGGACTTTTTATAAACGGACACACACGTACTATTTTCTGATTCAGTTTTCCGATCCGGAATTCAAAGGGGCTCGATGGCGCAAGTGTTTAGTAGTTCGGCTACGATCGTTGAATCTAAGCAACTTTCGCAGTGGTCGGTCATTAGATGGGTGACCAAAAATTAACTATCTCGAGTTCTTCCGTGCTTCGGAAGGCACGTTAAGCCGTTGGTTACGGCTGCATCTGCGGTCGTTAAAACTCACCATTCCGCACTGGGCCCTCGTGGTGGGTCATGGCCCAATCTTCCTTTTACATGCAAAGAGAAGGCCTGTGCCTCAGAAGTGGAGACTTAAATAGGCTGATGATGATGATCCGGAATTCCGTGCTAGGCGCACGGCGCAGATTTTTCTTTTTTTTGAGTTCAAAGAAGAATCCGAACCGAATCTTAAGTTTTTCCATTTTGAAATAAAAATTTAATGCCGCCCGCCCAGTACGTCGGCAAGTAGGCCGGACAATAGTGTTACTCACTGGAGCGGCGTGTGACGCGGGCGCGGCCGGTGCGGCCAGCAGCTTCCTGCAGTAGTGCAACAGCTGCGCCAGCACCGCGAGTCGGAGCGGCGCTCGCCTGCCTACTGCCGCACCGCCCAGTACGACGGCAAGTAGGCCGGACAATAGTGTTACTCACTAGAGCGGCGTGTGACGCGGGCGCGGCCGGTGCGGCCAGCAGCTTCCTGCAGTAGTGCAACAGCTGCGCCAGCACCGCGAGTCGGAGCGGCGCTCGCCTGCCTACTGCCGCACCGCCCAGTACGACGGCAAGTAGGCCGGACAATAGTGTTACTCACTAGAGCGGCGTGTGACGCGGGCGCGGCCGGTGCGGCCAGCAGCTTCCTGCAGTAGTGCAACAGCTGCGCCAGCACCGCGAGTCGGAGCGGCGCTCGCCTGCCTACTGCCGCACCGCCCAGTACGACGGCAAGTAGGCCGGACAATAGTGTTACTCACTGGAGCGGCGTGTGACGCGGGCGCGGCCGGTGCGGCCAGCAGCTTCCTGCAGTAGTGCAACAGCTGCGCCAGCACCGCGCGTCGGAGCGGCGCTCGCCTGCCTACTGCCGCACCGCCCAGTACGTCGGCAAGTAGGCCGGACAAACGAGCTTCCGACCCACCAGACCAGCGGCCCCCGCTGCTCTCCCGCACCCATGCACATGATAACTGAGCTGCGCGCAACGAACAATACATTGGTTACTTTCATTGTTAAAATTTGTTAAAAAAATGGTCATCAACGAATCAGAAATACAAACTGCGCTTAAAAGTAGTTCATATCATTTGTTATTCGTTACTTGTTATAAAAATACTATAGGTGCTGTAGTAGGTGGTAGGGGTTTACATATTACATTAATGTCAAACAATCATGATTAACAAAGTGGCATGGCTATTCTTTTCAAGAATGTTTGAAGCTTAAAACAATTTAATTTAATATGTAGTTTTAGACATAATATAATATGAAGAAACCGGGCATTGTTTTGTAACCAAAGATATTCGACTCGTCTGAAACAGCATGGCCTGCAGGTCGTAAGCGTGCCCCGCGTCGCCAGCGCGTGAGTAACGTACCGACAGTGTGTATGAGCGCGGCGGCGTGCGGCGTGTGTCGCGCGGGCAGCAGCTGCAGCATGGGGTGCGCGAGGCGCAGCAGCGTGGCCTGCAGGTCGTACGCGTGGCCCGCGTCGCCGCGCCACACTAGCGCCACCATGCGTAGCGCCGCTAAAGCACCGCATGCTCCCCGGGCGCACACCACGCGCGATATTACGGAGTGCAACGCCGATGCCGCTCCCGCGCCTGCGCCTATGCTCGCGCCGCCCTACACAAACATAATCTCTTATACCATCTGTCTTACGTAAGAAAAAACTGGAACTAAAAAGAACTGGAAGAAAATTAAATCCGATTGGTAAAGAAAAAAATGGATGTTTAGAGTTCTATTACAGAAATTTTGACATTGAAATGGGTCGTAAATCTTTGACAAATAAGAACACATACAGCAAAAAAATAAAGTAGACACCACAAAGAAAAACCTTACGGAACGAAAGGTGTACGATAAAAAACCTTCCGAAAATATTTATAATACGGTAATGAACCGCTACACTTTGACCAAAAGAACTACCATCGAATTTGTTGTTTAATAAGGATTCAATAAATTTAAAAATGTGTCAAAATCACTTACGAGATAAGGTTCCGAGGAGACAACAGCGCCGTCATTGTTGACATTCATCGTGATGAACTTCACCACCGCTGGTACAAAGTGCTCGCACTCGAGGATGACGCGGCCCATCGTTTGGGTGCTACCTTCCATCTAGTGCAAGCAATAGTATGTTTTAAAGGAAAGTTAGATAAGCACATATTTCTGCGGTTCAGCAATTGAACCAACAAACTTTAAACTACGTAGAACTGGTTACAACGACTGATTGATTGATAAAATCTCGCAATGCATCTCATGAGAGCTGGCAAAGGAGATGAAGAGAACCGATCTGCCCGACCTGCCGTTACTATGGTTTTTCTTTTCGAAATCGCGGCACACGATTGGTATACCGGAAGTATACATCGGAAGGGTTAATCACAATGATTTATCTTTTCGTAAACAAAATAGCATTTTAAATGAAAGATGGATCAGGAAATTTGACTTTTTGTAAATTTTAATGACAAAAAAAGTATTTATTGTAATAATGTAGTTTATATTTCTGAGAGAATTTTTAACATAGACACGGAGTGACTTAGTGTCATTGGCTATAGTAAGTAAGAACTAGAGATGTACACTTCATGAATCGAATCGGTAAAGAAGGGTTCAATATTTCTTATTACAACACTCTCACTAAATTTGAACCCGCTTGAGTTAAATACATATACACATATTTTAGAATATAAACAGAAATTTGAACTGAAAAACATAGACTTAAAACATAACTAAGTTGACAAACTTGATAAAAATAATTTTAAGTTTAATACATGTCTCTACAAAAAAAATTTCATCATACCAATTTTATTCCTAAAATACTGAAACTTGTCTCTAGGCATAGCTTTGGTAAATATGTCAGCACTTTGCTCTTTAGTACAACCTTAATTTAAATCTATTTGTTTTTCACTGTACTTTTATTTAATGAAATTATACTTCACATGCTTGCAGCGTTTGTGATAATCCACATTTTTAATCAAACAGATTGCACTTTGACTGTCAATATTTAAGCATATAGAATCCTGATTAAATTCACCAACATCTAATAACATTCTTTTTAACCACAAGGCTTCTTTTGTAGCAGAACAAGCAGCCATGAATTCTGCCTCTATGGTAGACAAAGCAACACTTTGCTGGCGTTGCGTAGCCCATGTTATAGCAGCTCCATTTTTTATGAACACATACCCAGTTAATGATTTTCGAGTGTCAGTGTCTTTAGCAAAATCTGCATCATAGCTTCAATTTTATTTTTCTGGGATGATGTATAACTCAGCCCATAGTCGATGGTTTCTTTTAAATATTTCATTATTTTCTTGACTGCGTTCCAATGAGTGTGATCAAAACAGTTAAGATATCTGCTTACCAGACTAACTCCATACATGATGTCCGGTCTGCTTACTACAGCCAGATGCATAAGTGAGCCGACTGCCTCCCGATATGGAATATTCTTGTCCACAGATTCAGTGCTCTTCTCCAGTGTGGTGTGTGGGTCTACTGGGATATTATTACAATTAGCATCTTGCATGTTATATTTAAACAATAACCTCACAATATATTTTGACTGATGAATAAATATAAAGCCATCAGATTTTTCAATTTGCAATCCTACAAAGTTGTTTGGATCACATTGTTTTATTTCATAATTTAGTTTTAATTCATGCATTACTGTATTAAGAGATTCTTTTGATAAAGAAAGTAGAAGCCCGTCATCAACATACAACAATAAATAAACTTTGTTATTATTTACATTTCCAATATACAAACACCTATCTGCATGACTGTTGTTGAAACCAAATTTCTTTAGTGAGCTGTCAAACTTTTGGTTTCAACACCGTGATGCTTGTTTTAAGGCCATAAAGAGAGCGATTGAGTTTACATACCATATTCGAATCAGCATCGAAACCTTCAGGTGGTGACTGATAACTTCTTCTTTGACATCATATAACAATGCAGTTTTAACATCGAACTGAATTATATTTATATTATGTTGTGCTGCTTCTGAAAGTAATACTCGAACTGAATCATACCTCACTGTAGGAGAGTATATCTCTTTATAATCAATGCCTTGTTTCTGGCACATAATTAGCACATAATCTTTTATTTTAAAGACCCATTTACAGCCAATTATTCGTACTCCTTCAGGTTTCTCAATCAATTCCCAAGTTTTATTCTTTGCATGTGCCTGTAGCTCTTGCTGAATTGATTGCTTCCATTTGGCCGCGTAAACATTATCAATTGTCCTGTCCTACAATTTCTTCTGTACACATATATGTATTTCCCTGCATTTTGGACGTTCTTGTTTTAGATCTTGTAGTTACATTTGACATTAATTCCGAGGGATCTATATTTATTTCTGGTTCATACAAAGATCCTTCATCTGAGTAAAAATCATAGTATATAATAATCATGTTAATTGACATATTATTTTATTTTTATTGAGATATTTATTAATTTTAATTATTGAAAATTTAATTTAATTTTATAAATGAATTTCCATTTCTATTATATTTCTACTGTTAATAAGATCAATTGAGTAAGTTATATTGTTAAACAAATGGAATCAGATGACATTTATGCATAATTTGAGATTTAAGTGGTTTAATACAAATTAGATTCCTTATATAGGTACATAACTGTTTATTAATTAGATGCTTTTGTAATTTTTATCTTTAACTGTACTGTATATTGCGATACCCTGACAGGGTTCATGTTAGGTACTATAAGCATTTTGTAACCATCGATGTAACCACATGAGTGCAATAAATTGAATTGAATTGAATTGAATCATCACTGGATTCATCTTTAGTATCTTCAGATAAATTCTGTAAGGTTGTGTCACTGTCAGGAATACTTTCAATTAAAGAAGTATCCTCACAGGTATTTGGGGCTGACTCTGATAATGGTACGAAAGCATAACTTCCTTTAACTGAGCTTTCTAGAAAAATCACATCTCTGCTTATAATATTTTTTCTTGTTTTGGGATCTAAAAGTCTGTATCCTTTGGTTTGTTTACTGTATCCAATAAATATCATTTTATTTGACTTAGAATCTCACTTCTTAGCTTTTTCTTTTGGAACATGTACCATTGCTTCACAGCCAAAAATTTTCATATGTGTGATATCCGTCTTTTTACCACTCTACATCTCTTACGGTGTTAAAAAGGCTAAGGCTCTTGTTGGACATCTATTTGTGATATAAGCTGCAGTTGACACAGCTTCAGCCCAATAATGCTTTTGTAGTTTTGCATTTAAGAGCCAAGCCATTTTGTTGTGGTGTAAAAACATTGGGAGGTTTGATGTACAATGCCAGATTTCTTGAGTAAAGCTTGAAATTCATTGCTTAAATACTCAGTTCCATTATCTGTGCGGAGAGTTTTTATTGTCAAATCCAGTTGATTTTCAACTAATACTTTAAATTCCTGAAATTTTTGGAATACTTCACATTTACTTTTTATCAAGTATATATACTTTCCTGGTCAAATCATCGATAAAAGTAAGGAAGTAGCGAGCTCCTCCAAGAGACGGTGTCTCCGTTGGACCACAGACATCGGAGTGAATAAGTTCTAGCTTTCCTTGTACTCTGGAACCCTCTGGGAAGGGAATGGAAATTTTGTCTGTTTCCCTTCAAGACATGAGATGCATATCACTTTATCTGTATTTTCTAATTTGACTCCTACACTTTCTGACAGTTTATTCAAGTCTGCAAAATTTAAATGTGCCATTCTCTGATGCCATAAATAAGAATCATTCTCTGTTGAAGCAGATACGTATGCTGGAATACTGTATGTAACTAGCCTGTACATATTATTTATCATTTTAGCAGCTGCGACTTGCTTATTTGCTTTATTCAGGATTTTACAACCTTGCTTGTCAAATTACACTTGACAGCCACTTTTTATTATTTGACTGACAGAGAGAAGGTTGGTGGCCAACTCAGGACAAAGAGAACATTCCATACCTTGACAGTATCCAACTGGCCTTGCATGTTGACAACATTGAGATTTATCTTACCACAGGCCTTCACAACTAGCTTCTAGTCATTAGCTACCCTTATTGTGGAAATAGGGGGAGTTCATTGTCATATGCATTGATGCGTCAGAATCAATGTACTAATTATTTATTTATTTTTATTTATTTATTTTATTTATTTATTTGACATACCATCGACAATTTCACAAATTTCAATAAAGATTTAAGATGCAGGTAGTACTCAACCGTGTGAATTGCCATTGTAGGCATGTACAACATTGACTATATGTAGGTAGGTACTTATACTTTTAACAGAAAAAAATTATTGTTCGGTTTGAACGTTACCATACAGATGATTTTTTAAGGGCTTTGAGTGGAGCATGAAAGATGTCAAGATCATGGCATATCTCGTTGTATGCATCTTTAATTCTGTTAAACGGTGAAGCTAATTTTGTTTTAAAGGGACAGTTAACGAATGATTTGATGGGTTGGCGGGGGATTTTTCTGGGAACCTTTAACTTAATTTCCGCAAGAAGGTCATGCGCAACAATATTGCCGTGAAGTAATTTGTGCAGAAATAAAATGGCCGCGGTTTTTCTACGCTTTTCTAAGGTATGAAGTTTAAAGTATTTGAGACGAGTGTGGTAATCCGCACGGTAAGGACACTTCCTGTCTTTGAAAGCAAGAAACCTCGTAAAATTACGTTGAATTCGCTCGATTCTATCAATGTGGACTCGATATTGCGGATTCCAGACTTGGGAACTGTATTCTAGTATACTTTGCACCAAACTCTTATACAAGCATAAAATTGTTGCGGTGTTATGGAAATTCTTACATAGGCGTTTCAAGAAACCCAACATTTTTAATGCCTTTGCAACAATAACGTTAATATGTTCAATGATTCCGAGCTTTTTGTCAATTACAATGCCCAGATCACGAGTCGAACCCACTTCGGTTAGCTGTGCAGAATTGATAGTTTAGATAGAAGCGTTAATGTTTTTTGTCTTTCTGGTAAATTTTATAAATAGACATTTACTTGCGTTAAGAGTCATACCGTTGTCTACGCACCATTCCGATACCGAGTCTAGATCTTTTTGGAGTAAAAGTATATCTTCCTCGTTTTTAATCGGTCGATACAACTTTAAATCGTCGGCAAAAAGAGAGCAGCTGCTATACCGGATTTTATTAGGGATGTCGTTAATGAAAACGAGAAACAGAATTGGTCCCAAGATCGAACCCTGAGGGACTCCCGACGAGGTGAGGAATGGTTTCGATTTGTAGCCGTTCACAACTACCCTTAACAACCGATGCTCTAAGTAAGAACGGAGCCATAGCAGTAGGGGTCCATGAATTCCGTAACGCTTCAGTTTCATAAACAGTATATTGTGGTCAACCTTGTCAAACGCACTGCTAAAATCTGTATAAATGGAATCTATTTCTACGCCAGAGTCGATTGATTTCGTTAGTTCATTGACATACGAAACAAGATTGGTTGCTGTTGATTTATTTTTACAGAATCCGTGCTGGTTTGCATGAATGATGTTTTTAAAATGGGAAGTTAAAAACGGGCATATAATTTTTTCAAATAACTTTGATATTGCATTCACAATAGATATTGGGCGGTAGTTTTTAACGTTATTATTATCACCTTTTTTGAAGACTGGAATGATATTAGCCTCCATAAGCAAATCCGGAAAAACACCCGTAGCAATGGATTTAGCTAATATGATTTTAAGTGGCAGGGCAATGTATTTAGCGGTTCTTTTAAGAAATAGTGGCGGAATGCCGTCAGGACCTGCTCCTTTACTCTCGTCAATTTTGGATAAAATCTTAGTGATCATTATTGTCATTGTTTATTGTAGCAGATAACACATATCTAGAATCTGTGTTTGTGTTCTGTTCCTTTTTCTTATTTCGACACTTTTTACTTATATGCCCATATTTATTGCATACATAGCACCTTAGACTTTTACCAATTTTATTTTTGTCTTGAGCTTGTTTGACACGCTGATTTCCCTTGCTTTTAACATACAAGTTTTCACTTCTTTTATACTTTTTACTTTACTTTTAAGCAATGAACAGGTGGGCTGGGCCCATAACCTGTTAATTTGAATGAAAGAAAGTATTTATTGTAATAATGTAGTTGTTCGGGATGTACCGAAACTAAAATACTGATAAAATGATAAACTTGATAACTTGATAATAAAGTATATTTTGGTAACTAAACAATAACTTAAAACAATACTAGTTGATATAAAAATTATTGTTATGAATGAGTACGCGCACGGCTTACTTGATAGCTAATTGCGAACTAACTTGTAAGTAATTGACGATTATTGAAAATAATAAAATAAGGTCAATTAGTAAAATGATGAGCGGGCGAAATGTACGTAGCTTGCTCGTACAGTAGTTATATTTCCGACAGATTTTTTAACATAGTTAAATTAGTAGTATTATATTAATATAAATAAATTAATTAATAATTAGCTATAGTAAGAACTAGAGATGTACACTTCATGAATCGAATCGGTAAAGTAGGGTTCAATATTTCTTATATCAACACTTTTTTTGATAATTGAACACTACTATAAAAGAAGAAATGGTGCAAGTTTTTTTTTATTTAATTTTTCAATGTTCAAAATATGATCCATTCTGTAGTATACGAATTATAAATTTAAATTTTTTTCATCGTGCACCGCGATTAAGAAAAGATCAGAATGGCGGGCGGCGCGTCGATATGCCAGCTTCCATACAAAAAAAGTTCGAACCCCTTTCTACACCCCTTTCTAATTGAGAAGTTACATAGCCAGTTTCGTCACCCCTAACGTCGAAATGTACTAAATTAAGCTCTATTTATTTAAGTTTTGTAAATAAAATTGGTGGTGCGTCACTTTTGGTCATGAAATATTTATTGCTTCCTCTAGTCTAGTCCTCCTCCTCCGCTAGTCCTCCTTTTTAAAAAGTCGGAATTAGACGGGCCATCCAAAGTGATTCATTTTTCTAATGTTTTGTGACTGATGAACAGTGAAATGCAATGTTCGAATAGAGGCATCACTTTTCATGAAAGCTAATATTCCATTTCTCGTGGAATTCCTGCGTGAACATCATGTGTGTCAATTTATTTAATTAAAGAATAAATTAAATACCCAGAATGTGAACAATTATTACTGTGAATGCGCTGTCACTGTTTAGACGTTTCACTTGTCGTTTGACAATCGGGAGCCAGAAGCTTTCATGGCGAAGGCTAATTCCGATGAACATCAATTTAGACATTTAATTTTCGGTCTTTCATCGATGAAGCGTCAAAAATGAACAGTATTATTCCGCTTTAACGTAAAGTTAGATGTTTTTCTTACCTGCAGAGGTAAAGTGGTAATCCATGCCAGCGCTTGCATTGATAACACCCAGCATCTGAGTGATATGTTTTCTAATCTAGAAGAAAATAATGAGTTAGTAAATAGAGCGACTCTTCACATTTGTGTAAAATTTTATTAAAAAGCATGAATTAATGAAGACTTTTATAAACAGTTTATAATTTTCTATTGACGTTTCTTAATCTTCAAGTATAACGCGTATTGTAAATAAATATAGGTATAAATATGACTATCTAATGGAGATTTTGTAACAACGGTGATGTCTGACCGGTTTTACCCATAAACAAAGAGAATGAACTGAGCGTTTCCTAAACAACTAGGTATATAAGTGTGAAGAGACTCGAAGATTGGCTGTTCTTTGTCAAGATATAATAGAAAGTTATCAATTTCATTACAGTGTTGTTCAGTCTTTTCCCACAATTGTATTTTGACAAGACATTAATTTATATTGAGAACTAAGAAAATGTTTGTTATAAGCAACAAATCAGAAATGATATAGAATCATCACTCTCTAAAAAAGGCCGCAAAAACATGGTTCCAAAACTCATAAAACAAAACTTCAATAATAACGCGACACACACACACGCGCACAAAACAAATAAAATATCTGCAAATGAATACGACTATCCATTCATTGGATAATATAATATCAAACGGAAATCCAATCCCATGATCGGCGTGTTGATCACAGTTTTTTCGCCCCGCCCACTTGATCACAGTTCGCGTTAAACCACTTTTTAGCGCAGTTCGTATTCCTTATACTTCTAATTCGTTCGTAATAAAAGCTTATTATTTGAACGCCCAAATACGGGTACAGACGTGCACAGTGAATGCGTTGACGGTGTCGGAGGCGAACCTCACGCGCGGAGCGTCGGCGGGCACGGCCAGCGTGGCCAGATCAATGTGAAGGGAGTCTACAATACTGACGTGCACAGTGAATGCAGCAGTGCGTTGACGGTGTCGGCGGGCACGGCCAGCGTGGCCAGATCAATGTGAAGCAAGTCTACAATACTGACGTGCACAGTGAATGCAGCAGCGCGTTTCCGGTGTCGGAGGCGAGCCCCACGCGCGGAGCGTCGGCGGGCACGGCCAGCGTGGCCAGATCAATGTGAAGCGAGTCTACAATACTGACGTGCAGTGTGAATGCAGCAGCGCGTTGACGGTGTCGGAGGAGAGCCTCACGCGCGGAGCGTCGGCGGGCACGGCCAGCGTGGCCGGATCAATGTGAAGCGAGTCTACAATACTGACGTGCACAGTGAATGCAGCAGCGCGTTAACGGTGTCGGAGGCGAGCCTCACGCGCGGAGCGTCGGCGGGCACGGCCAGCGTGGCCAGATCAATGTGAAGCGAGTCTACAATACTGACGTGCAGAGTGAATGCAGCAGCGCGTTGACGGTGTCGGAGGAGAGCCTCACGCGCGGAGCGTCGGCGGGCACGGCCAGCGTGGCCAGATCAATGTGAAGCGAGTCTACAATACTGACGTGCACAGTGAATGCAGCAGCGCGTTGACGGTGTCGGAGGCGAGCCTCACGCGCGGAGCGTCGGCGGGCACGGCCAGCGTGGCCAGATCAATGTGAAGCGAGTCTACAATACTGACGTGCACAGTGAATGCAGCAGCGCGTTGACGGTGTCGGAGGCGAGCCTCACGCGCGGAGCGTCGGCGGGCACGGCCAGCGTGGCCGGATCAATGTGAAGCGAGTCTACAATACTGACGTGCACAGTGAATGCAGCAGCGCGTTGACGGTGTCGGAGGCGAGCCTCACGCGCGGAGCGTCGGCGGGCACGGCCAGCGTGGCCAGATCAATGTGAAGCGAGTCTACAATACTGACGTGCACAGTGAATGCAGCAGCGCGTTGACGGTGTCGGAGGCGAGCCTCACGCGCGGAGCGTCGGCGGGCACGGCCAGCGTGGCCGGATCAATGTGAAGCGAGTCTACAATACTGACGTGCACAGTGAATGCAGCAGCGCGTTGACGGTGTCGGAGGCGAGCCTCACGCGCGGAGCGTCGGCGGGCACGGCCAGCGTGGCCAGATCAATGTGAAGCGAGTCTACAATACTGACGTGCACAGTGAATGCAGCAGCGCGTTGACGGTGTCGGAGGCGAGCCTCACGCGCGGAGCGTCGGCGGGCACGGCCAGCGTGGCCGGATCAATGTGAAGCGAGTCTACAATACTGACGTGCACAGTGAATGCAGCAGCGCGTTGACGGTGTCGGAGGCGAGCCTCACGCGCGGAGCGTCGTCGGGCACGGCCAGCGTGGCCAGATCAATGTGAAGCGAGTCTACAATACTGACGTGCACAGTGAATGCAGCAGCGCGTTGACGGTGTCGGAGGCGAGCCTCACGCGCGGAGCGTCGGCGGGCACGGCCAGCGTGGCCGGATCAATGTGAAGCGAGTCTACAATACTGACGTGCACAGTGAATGCAGCAGCGCGTTGACGGTGTCGGAGGCGAGCCTCACGCGCGGAGCGTCGGCGGGCACGGCCAGCGTGGCCAGATCAATGTGAAGCGAGTCTACAATACTGACGTGCACAGTGAATGCAGCAGCGCGTTGACGGTGTCGGAGGCGAGCCTCACGCGCGGAGCGTCGGCGGGCACGGCCAGCGTGGCCAGATCAATGTGAAGCGAGTCTACAATACTGACGTGCACAGTGAATGCAGCAGTGCGTTGACGGTGTCGGAGGCGAGCCTCACGCGCGGAGCGTCGGCGGGCACGGCCAGCGTGGCCAGATCAATGTGAAGCGAGTCTACAATACTGACGTGCACAGTGAATGCAGCAGCGCGTTGACGGTGTCGGAGGCGAGCCTCACGCGCGGAGCGTCGGCGGGCACGGCCAGCGTTGCCAAAGACCAGGCACCGCCGCCCCACGCAGACCCGTTCAACGTCAGCCATAGCGCCACCACGTTCTCCATGAATGTGCAATCCATCTGACAAACAAATGCACGCGTCTAATCAACCATGTAAATGATGTAAAACTGCTGCTTAGAATTTTAGCTGTACAATGTATCATGAGAATTTTTGGGCGAGTCTAGATGCCTTTGATGACTATGGCCATATTCAATCAGTTCCATATCGAGTTTTTAATTATACTTAGTAAAATAAACAATTCCGTTTGTTAAATTATGTATGTGTATGTATCAATTTATATTGCAGAGCTTAATGCTACATTTGAATTACTTCTTTGCAGTAAAAATCTAAAACAAATCAACAAACAACACGCACTAAATTAAATTTATTATGATAAGCAAATTAGCAAAGGTCCCAAAAATCAACCTTTTAAACCTGCGTGTGCGTCAAGGGCGGATGGTGCCACGTGGGAGTGGCCGCGGAGGCAGCAATGGCGGTGTCAGAGTATGCGCTCTCATGGCGCGCGCTAAGGCCCCGTCAATGTATAATAGTACAAACAATAAACAAACTTTACCTGCGTGTGGAACTCGAGCACGAAATGTCTGAAGACATCGTACATAGTGTGCGTGAGCGGCAGGTGGTGCCGCGTGGGAGTGGCCGCGGAGGCAGCGGTGGCGGTGTCAAGAGTATGCGCTCTTATGGCGCGCGCTAAGGCTCCGCCCGTGGTTAATAGTATAAACAATCAACAGCTTACCTGCGTGTGGAACTCGAGCGCGAGATGCCTAAAGACATCGTACAGCGTGTGCGTGAGAGGCGGGTGGTGTCGCGTGGGAGTAGCCGCGGAGGCAGCGGTGGCGGTGGCGGTAACAGGCGCGGGCGGTCGCGGCGGAGGTGACGGAGTATGCGCACGTAACGCCCGCGCTAAGGCCCCGCCAGTGGCTAACAGGGCCCGCCTCGCTAACGCCTCCGCTGCCGCCCCTGCGCCGCCCGCCCCACTCTCCACCCGCGCGTCGCAGCATACAGAAACCACGCTACGAAAAGATTATAAATTAAATTCTAGCAGTTTATAACTGCTGTACCAGCTATCTCCGACGACGACCTCCGTGGCCGAGTGGTTTGTACGCCGGGTTTCATGGCTGTCGCCGACTCGAGAGGTCCCGGGTTCGAATCCCGGTGGGGGCAGATGTTTGTGTGATGAATACGAGCATTTGTACTCCAGTCATGGATGTTTAATATGTATTTATATAAATATACTTATATATGTACAGTATATGTATTCTATCCGTTACCCTAGCATCCCATAACACAAGCCTTATAGTGCTTACTTTGGGGCTAGGCTAATTGGTGTGAGTGTCGGAAATATTTATTTATTTTATTATTATTATCTTCGCGTTTGGACTTTATCGTCACTTAACATCAGGTGGGGTAGAGTCATTTGCCTACCTTGCTATAAAAAAATATATATCGCAATTAGGCCACAGACCCTTTTTGACAAACTTCAAAAAGAAGCTTCTCAATGCAGATATTTTTTGTCTGATTAATGACTCCACCACATCTGGTATTGAGTGGAATTCGATTGTGTTACGGATAATCATTAGGGTAGAGCAAAAGGAAGGAAGCCGGGAACTAAAAGCTATATTAGAAAACAATATTGAGCAAAAAATAAATTTAAGTGAACTGAAAGCGCCAGCTGTTAAAAGATAATCTGGCTTTATCTCGGATTAGGGCCTAGAACTCTGGTTACATGGGGTGGTGGGATGCCTTGGCAACCTGGTCCCTTTTCTCCGACTCCATGGAGCTTTGGCCATATCTTCGATTATGACAATAAGTACAGACTGAATTTTAAAAGTATACCTAACTATAACAAAGAATGTTCTCAGCTTCTTACAAACAAAAATATATTTCATATTCTTTAACTGTAAATGTACATTAAATTAATAAACTACCTGGCACTGTTGTCGATGCAGGGTTTACTCCTGGTCTCTTTCTTGACAGCATCTAAGAAGTACTGCTCCACTTTCTCCTCAGTGTCGGAATCATCTGATTCAGTAACTTGCGTCAGTTGTTCGTCAATGTCAATGTCTTTAATTGAGTCTGCAACAAAATTGTAAATATCTGTTGATACCTTGTTTATAATGGGTTTAAATAGGTGAAATTTTCTTAACGTTCCGTCGCATATATCTCTCTTTAGAAAATAGTAGTAGTAAGGATGAATGATTTCGAGCACATTCACTAGTTTAATGAAGTTCGCGCAAAACATCTTCCAACAAAGAAACCACAATTTTGTGACAAATTTCCTATGATGCCAAGTATGAGTGATTTTTTTTTATGTTATAGGAGGCATACGAGCAGACGGCTCACCTGATGGTAAGAGATCACCGTCGCCCATGGACACTTGCAACACCAGGAGTATCACAAATGCGATGCCGGCCTTTAAGGAAGGAGTACGAAATGAACGAAATGAAAAAAAAAATATGTGTAACTTCCACTTTCTTTTCTTGTACACATACACACGAACCCGTACAAGCACCGGCACGAGGGCCTAATACGGATTGGTAAATGATGATATTTGATAAATATGATAAAATAAAAACTAATCGCAAAACACAGTATGGATTAAGTATTTAATGTATGTTGATACGTATTTTAATTAAAAAGACATGAAACTGGCTTATATCAGCTGAACTACTAGATAAGAGCTGGCTTTGAGTAACAACCTCGAAACAAGTTTAAGCAGTTAAAGTCAATACTTACGCAAAGCGGGTACGAACTGTATGTTATAAAGACAAAAGATTTAAATGTATGCACACTTGTCTTTTGAGAGCAACAACTTTAGTGCCTATAAATGTTAACACTGTTTACTGCAGTTCCTGACAAGAATTGGTAATCAGCGATTATTAAAAAACTACTTTTAATCAAAATATATTATATATATATGAAATTTCAAGCTAAGAAATTTAGAATGAAATGACATAGGGAAGCATATAGTTAGCAATAACACCAGGTAAGCTCAGTTTGTTCCGTTTCTTGTTATCACAGTGGAAAGGATGAGTGACTGTTAAGTTACTGTCCACTTGTCGCCTGTCAAAATATGAAAAAACTCAGGAATTTGTCCTAACCCGCACAAATTAAATGGCTGTATAAAAAGTAAAACTATAAGCCTAGATAAATAAAAAATTAAAAATAAATAATGCCCACATATGATTGCCGACGGAAAGGTGTCGTACAAATTGCAAGCAAGAAATACTACTACTCTCTCTCTCTCTCTAATTGTTTTAAACTTTCATGGTCAATAACATTATAGCTATTAATGGGATTGTTACCATGTACCTTGTTTATTATATGTCTCCGATATTTCGGCACTGTTGCAAGCACCATGATCATGGATTAACTGAAGTAATTGCGGGTTGATGTTATTAGCAGACATATCGGTCTACCCCCTTACGTCGTCTTTTATTGCGCTCGATACCCCAACCACTGGTCACATTCCCACTATTCACTCGCACCTGTTCCCGACACACAATACTCACAGTATCAGATCGCGGAACGACACTTTTTTTATTTTTGCGGATTTGGAACTAACGAAGCACTGGATTCCAGACATTTGACAATTTAAACCCATCCTCACGATTGAAATTTTTGTTTGGTTATTTCAATCGCTTCCCTGACCAATCTTGGTATGTAGTGGCATTCTGTCGAGATGATTTGTGGATTATGGAGCTCAATCCAGTGATTAGGACCCGAATCGATTAAATGTTCCGCGATAGCTGATTTTTGCGTATCATTGTTTCCGACTGCTTTTCTGTGTTCTTTCATTCGGCACGCTATTGTCCGCTTCGTTTGGCCAATATACGAACTACCACAGCTACAGTCGATCTTATATACACCAGGTTTCTCCAAGGGGAAGTTGCCTTTAGATCTTAGAAACTTAACTTAGAAACATTTAATCGTTTCGGGACCTAATCACTGAATTGAGCTCCATAATCCACAAATCATCTCGACAGATCGCCACTACATACCAAGATTGGTCAGGAAAGCGATTGAAATAACCAAACACAATAATTTCAATCGTGTGGATGGGTTTAAATTGTCAAGTGTCTGGAATTCAGTAGTTCGTATGTGAAAAAACCGCAAAAATCAAAGTGTCTCTCCGCGATCTGATACTGATCGAGAACAGGTGCGAGTGAATTGTGGGAATGTGACCAGTGGTAGGGGTATCGAGCGCAATAAAAGACGACGTAAGAGGGTAGACCGATATGTCTGCCAATAACATCATCCGTGATCATGGCCCTTGCAACAGTGCCGAAATATCGGAGACTCATAATAAACTAGGTACATGGTTACAAGGTTAATAGCTATAAAGAAATACTAATAAAGCTAAGTCAGCACACATGTTTTAGTGCATTATTTACTACAGTGTGTGTACATCAAAACTAAAGAACTCAGGTGCTCACACTGTCAGCTAATTTCGCATTATTAATAATTGTAAAACAAAATAAAAAATAACAATTTCAGGCCTCAACTGCAAAAGCTATATCTGAACAAGCGACAAACAGACCATCGCGTTGGCGCACTGCTATCTTACTTGATGTACCTTGTTGGGCTACTTTGGGCTTGCTAAAGTTGCTACTCTTCGCCAGACCAAAACTATCGGCTAACGCATCTGCAAACAACATTTTTGTGGATGAGTCTGAAAAGAAAGTGAAGCAAACTGAATCCATCCAATCAATACGTGTCGTCAATAAAAGGTCATAAGGCCACCAACGAAATTACTCTGACAAAATAGTTCCTGCGCCGTGGGTATATCACATCAATGGACAAGAAATCTGCAAAGTTTGGTCACTAGGGGCGCTGTAATCGCTTGACCCAAAACTTGTATCAAATACATAACTTATTATGCTTATATTCATTTTAAAGCTTTTTATAAAACACATTACAAATGCCGCGTTGTGCATTTCTTGGTTGTTGTGAGAAAACTGCATGCTTACCGACTAAAGTATAATTTTATATGTTGCTTTGAAAGGGGGGTAAAAGTGAGCTGCTGTTTACATCATGGTATGTATCTGGGAAAGGTAATTTCATCTGGGTGTCTTCAGTTTGATCAGAAAAAACTGCACCAAAATTAAAATTGCGGCCTCAAGACTGTAAGAAAACCCAACGTTATACTTCCCATTTTAGCCCGAGGTAACCTAACTCTATGAGATGTCTGACTGATGCAAAAATAAGATAGATTTGACTAATGAGCCCACTAAAAGTTACTGAGATCCATGAACTATTAAAATAATCATGGAAAATGCATCTATGTACCGAGAATGAGCATTCTAGCAAAATAATAGAAAGAGTACCTTTCTACTAAATCAGCTTTTCTGCCTTGCATAGATGCACCACTCTCCTTTTCAACTCTGTTTTCAGCTATATTACAGACCATGTTGAATACATTTTCACCACTTATTTAATATGTTTAATAATAAAACAACACGTGCAAAATTAGACAGCTGCAATATTCGGCTGTGGTTTGGGTCAAGCGTTTGCAGCGCCATCTATGTCGAGCTTTACGGATACTTCTTCATTTTCATTTCATTCTAGGTTTAAACGTATCACCGATCGACCACACCTTTCTAAGTAAATAAGAAACAGTTAAGGTAGAGCAATAGAGGTTGACCTTAAACAGGTAGCATCGTCCATCTGATTTCATATTCCAAAATAACAGAAAAACTTAGAACATTTTATTAGTATGAAATTAAGAGTAACGGTACCTAAATTCAGTCAGAGAGACATTTCCACGTTTCAAGATCAGTCATAGGCTGTATACAGAAAGAAAGCTGGTAGCCTACCAGCGCTTATAGGAACCGGTTCGCGCAGGTAACCGGCGCAGGCATTTCTATGGACGAGCGCCGATAAGCGCCGAACGTCGCCGACAAGTTCCGACAATCTTCGACACGCGTTGGTCAGCGCTGGCACCGCCCTTTGAAATTAATGAACAACTACGCTTCAATCTGCTTCCTTTATTAACTGTTACCAGTAAGGTCGGCTTTCAGCTCTCTTCTGTATACGGCCATAGTGTGAAAGATACTGACCTGCGACAGTGGCACCTTTCGGTCGATGCGAAGGGCGCGAGAGTCGCGACGATCCGGGCGCCGACCAAGCTTCGTCGGTCACGCTCGGTGTACTCCCACTACTATTGCCACTCTCATACTCCACCAAGTCCTAGGCAAACATTTCTAGATCAGAGGGTGTTTTGTCTTACTTCAAATACTATTAAGATCCCTTGACGTACTTGAAAATTAAATGAAGTTGGCAAGTGTGCATAGTGATTAATAAGAGTTGAAATTATATTGAAAATTGTGTAGTTAGAAGATCGAATTAGATCGTCGAACAAGGATCAGAAGACATTTTTTTTTATAGTAATATTGGTTGTATAATTTGATGTTTAAATTTCATGTATGTTTTGTTTTATGTTTCAAATTATAGAATATGAGAAAGTTAATTTTGTTTGTGTTTTCGCTGTTTGTCTTATCAGAGAATGTTTCTTGAAAACACAAACGTACTGGAATTTATTCAACAAAGCAAACAAATATTTCCAAACGTCAATTCTTTCTAGGACATTTCATCACTTCAAAAATTGCATAACATAAATTTAATGTTGTACAAACAAAAATTGTGACATTCCGCTACACAACAAACTGACTTGAAATCAATTTATAAACGAATTGCTATCGTTTTACCTTTCTTATACTTAATATTTCGTTATGACTATGATTCCCACAAACTACATAAATTGAAATATTATTACATATTTGCTTTATATTTAAATAACATACTTTGACGCTCTGCTAATTTTTAAGGGATATTAAGTCGTAAATCTGTTTGTGTGTAGTTCAAATAATCTCTATAGTAACGTTACGTAGTATTTTTTTTTTTATTTCAAGGACCATTATGAATATACAGGGTGTTATAAAAATACAAATAAAGCTTGAAGGACGTTGAAGTACATCAAATAAGGAGTCTTCTCTTATTTTCTTAAAATTTTTGCATGAAGTTTTAACTTTTTATAAAAACAGTTATTTTTAATGATAAATAAAAATATCGATCATTTTAAGACACGTCACTAGTTCGGGGAGCATTAAAAATAACTGTTTTTATAAAAACTTAAACTTCATGCAAATATTTTAAGAAAATTAGAGAGGACTCCTTATATGATTTACTTGAACGCCCTTCAAGCTTTATTTTTATTTTTGTAACACTGTATATAGTCCAAATAATAACCGTGCCAAACTAATTATTCTTGATGCCTTACTAAGTGTGTCCTACGACGATACAGAGATGTTGATGTCCTTTTTAAAATAAATGGTACCTTATCTTAGAAGTATATTTTAATTTATGGTATATTATACAAATACAAAATAGTTAACCTAGTTCAGGCTTTATAAATATAGTAGTATGAGTTACATATATTTTGTTATTTCTAGAATTAAGTAATTTATTGTAATCTGAAATTCAACAGACATTTACTACTATTATAATAATACTAGCAGTCCCAGCGAACTTGGTACCGCCATAAAAAATAGGGGTTGGTGGTAGAAGGGTGAAAATTCAGGATTGTATGTATTTTTGTATGATGTCCAAAAAAAATTAAGGTTGGACCACCCTTAACATTTAGGGGGATGAAAATAGATGTTGTTCGAATGTAAACCTACTGAATATGCATATAAAATTTCACTAAAATCGATCGCGTCGTTTCAGAGTAGTTCAATTACGCACACCGTGACACGAGAATTTTATAAATTAGCTTATTTTTAATATTTTACCTGCAATAGGGTAGTCAGCGCGTGCCTAGGCCAAGGCGGCAGAGTGACCGCGAGCCTGGCCAGGCCCAGTATGCTGGCGGGGTCTAATAGACCCGCACCTCCGCACACTGCACATAGTCGGCCTACAACCTGTCCCGAACATCAACTACACTGAATATAGGTATTTAAATGACGTAACTTTCACATCAAAGATTTTATAGCCTGCGCAGACAAAAGTCCATCGTTTGCGCAGGCCATTAAGGTCGCTTAAAAACGTATAAAGACAAAAAGTGCCTGAAGAGGCACTTTTTGTATTTTGTATGTATGTAATATATTTATTCATAAAAAGTTACACTTTCATTTAAATCATGCCCCGCAAAACTGCTTACGCAGTTTGACTGCAGGTAACTCGCTTTATATAAACATAGCTTATAAATTATTAAATTAGGTGATATTAATACAATTAATTTACGTAATAAGTTACAACGTATTTAACAAGTGTTTTTTTAATAAACTTTTAAATTTAGTAAGTTTAGGCTCACGTCTTATGTCCTCGGGTAAACTATTGAGTAAGTATGGAACTCGTTTTTTTAACGTTCTATCTCCATAGTAATTTTGTACCATAGGTATTTCAAATTTACCTTTGGACATTGACCTTGTGCCAGTTTTATGTTGCACCAAATTAGTGAAACGATCCTGTTTACTATGATTGTTTACAAGTAGAAGGTATTTATGTTTCAGGCTAGCCGGTAAAATTTTACATATTTTATATAGTTTAGAGTAATCTCCTTTACATTGATTCTTTGTCTTTTTATTTACGAGTAATTTTAAAAATCTTGTTTGCAATGATTCTATTTTATTTATGTATGTTTTAAATGTTAATCCATAGCAATCAAGAGCGTAACCAATTATGGAATCCACTAGTGCAAAATATAAACATTTTAGTATTGGCAATGGAACTTTAAAACTTAAATGATAAAACTTTTCCAGTAATACTCTTAATTTTTTACATACGTATTCTATGTGAGAATCCCAGGAAAAGGAGGTATCTATTTTTACTCCTAGGTAATTTACACAATTAACTTTTTCGATAGGATTACACTTGCAGTTAATTTTATTATTATGGAAGCAATCAAAGTCGTGTGCAATCAGAGGAGGCGGATTATCAATAGAACGTAAATACGGGGAGTGAATAATTAGCATTTTTGTTTTGTCTGCGTTTAATATGATGCCGTTATCATGTGACCATTTAACTACCGCATCCACATCCTCTTGCACCCGGCGACACATTTCCGCGAGGTCTGTACCAGCGCTCAGAGTACAAAGGTCATCGGCAAACATGTGGGCGGAGCAGTGACGTAATACTCCACAGAGGCTATTTACGTTTATACTGGCCGGTTAGAAATGGTGAATAGCAAAGCACAAGAACTGCTTTGAAGTATATTTTACACAACTCTCGAGATCCGAAAAGATTTATACACCTTATATTATGGTATATAGTTAGTATGAATCTCTAACACCATCACTGTTCCGCTAGCAGAGATTGCTTACGACCTTAATCCGTTTGCTATTTATGGTCATGCAGAGTAAATAAATAAAGGTTAAATCAGCACTACAGAATTGTGTTATTATGTTCAAGTCTTCTGTAAAATGGAGAACAATTTAACAGGCCAATTCTTTAATTCAAGAAAAAAACTTTATTTTACCCAATATATTTTTCATAAGGAATGAAGTAAGCAACACTCGCGTGAAATCGTCGACTCTCTAGAATGACAAAAATGGTGTTTAACATACACACGAACTTTAGCAGCACGTTCGCTTCGTCTTTTTCAAACTCATATCTTTTTACAGTTGAACAGGAGAAGCTCAGACCATTTTCCTCATCTATGATTCTAAATTTGTATCTAGTATACATAACGATTTAAAATAACCTAGCCAAGAAATAGTCAAAATATAGGTACTCACCTTAGCGCACAATAATAACGCGTCGCCATCCGTAGAACTATCAGCGTACAGCATATGCTGAACCAGGGCGGCGCCCAGAGCAGACGCTAGAGAAGCGGGTAAAGGGCGGGCCGTTCTGACTTCGACGCCGCCGCTTTCAGTCTTACTGCTGCTATCGCTTCGTTTACCCACCATAGCCATGCGCGCTTTCAAACTGAATCGGACGCGCTGCAAAAGAATTGAATCGTAATCTATTTGCCACTGATTACGTTAGGATGTTTTCAGAGACCCAAGAACGAATTTTGTCATCGTCAAGTTTTATATGGAAGGAGGCAGTTTATTTTTACGCCCGGCAGGGGCGCTGCTTAATTTTCATAGAAACTTTAGACTGTGCGATCTGATGACGGAGCTGCCAAAGACTCTTATATATGTTAGTCTTCAGAGCGTCAATTCTGCTAAAGTAGTAGTGTATCCCATCGACTGTGTAAACGTGTGATTTCTGCCAACGTCAAACAACCCCTGTCTGTGAAAGTGGCGGATTTCTGCCACGCAATATTATATATTAACATTTAGATAAAGAAAAGATAAATAGAAATAGATGCAGAAAACATTTAAGATTGATTTAAGACATAAATGAAGACGGATACAGTAGAACTCGAAATATAACAGGGGGTTGTGATGGCCATTTTGCTTACTCAGTTGAGAGGGTAGCAATGGTTATTGTTTTTAACACAGTTGAGGGGGTATCAATGGTTATTGTTTTTTAACACAGTTCTGGTAACTAAATTACAAAAAAAAAAAACAAATATACTTGCTTATTTTTTGTTATTGGATTGTATTAAACATTTGTTTTTTTTTTAGTTGTTAATGTATCAAAAAAAGAATATCATTGACACAAATTTATTAACTAAGCAGAATCGATACTGGAAAAAGAACCCTCTGTATTACAAAAAAAAACGATGAAACAAAATATAAATACTGTATAGTTTTAAACTTTCGAACAAGCGAATTTAACAATAATTCAAAGTGCGAACAGCACTTTATGTAATAAGATCAAGCGAGGGCTACTTATTATCACTTTACTATTAGAGCTGAGCGACGCGAACGTTCATGATGTGAACCCTAGTATGAAAAGTTTCGTACATAGATTTACAAGTTCGTTTCGCTTCTCTCTCACTGTAAGCCGGACTTAATGTAATACCCTGCTTGTGAAGTTCTCCCACCACACCTGAGCCCTTTATATAGGGTCAAATGTCTAGGGCAACAAAAAAAAAACAACAAACGGTCACGACTCTTGGTGGAGTCCAAATCGCCTGTCTTTTGAATAGGAGCTGTTGGAGAGTTCACGTAACATCCCTTCTCAACATCTGACGCGCTGGAATTTTCACCCCTTTATTCTACCTCTTCATACGGCCACCCCTACATGCTAACAGGCAGTTTAATATTTTATTCCTCATCAGAAACGTTACACGAACCCTCCAGTAGATTCTGTTATAGACTGACGATTTTGATGGCGCCAAAGTCAGGTCAGTCACGTTCGGCCCTACATAAAGGGTTTAGGTATAGTGAGAGTTCTTCCCAAGGTGCAAGGTTTCCCCCTAATGTTATTCTGTCGCGCTCGAGTAAATCGCAAAATCCCCGCTTGGGCTCCCCTACCATAATGTAGGTACTGCAAGTTGCTGTGTCAAATCAAAGTAATGTCTCCATTTCTGTTCTATATTTCATAATGTCTGTCTCCATTTCTGTCCAATATTACACACATTGTTCACCACTCACATTCCCGGCAAACTTATTGAGCAAGGATCATAGTCAAGGAAGCCTGCGGAGTAGCAATTTTCCATACAAAAACGTCTACTGCGCAAGTTTTGTTTGTCTGTGGTTTTGCTCAAGAAGTTGCCGGCACCTACCTGTTGATCTTCTATAGCGACCTGTGTGCCTCGCCTGGCGGCTTCCAACTCCTGCATCTGGTGAAGCAGCTTCTTGTGCAGTTTGCGGCGGTGCAGCTTGCACTCGGTGGTGCGTGGGGAGGATGAGCTGGAAGATTCACCTCCACCGCTGCCCACTCGGCCGCCCGTCACCCAATCCCACCTATCAATCATTATTCCATTATTATTGACGACCTTCGTGGCAGAGTGGTTTGTACGCCGACTCGAGACGTCCCGGTTCGAGTCCCGGTGGGGGCAGATGTTTGTGTGATGAATACGAGCATTTGTACTCTAGTCATAGATGTTTAATATGTATTTCTATATCAGGTAGGGGTAGGTTAGTAGGGGGGGTTAATCTATTAATCTTCTGAACGGATTTTGAAAATTCTTTTACTAATAGAAAGCCACGTTATTTGTGCGAGTCAGACGCTAAAATTAACCCGAAAAATTAAAAAACGCGGATGAAGTCGAGGGCGGCCGCTAGTAATAAAAATAATAAGCAAGTTACAATATTTTTAAACAGATGTGACAAAAATAGAGACAATAGACACTTAGTAGCTTAAACATTGTAAAAGGTGGCTACTGTTGCTAGTGGTAGGATAACCTGTATAAGAAGCAACAGGAAATTATTCAGAGGGCCTATACTTAAGTAGCTTAAAATTACAGTTTAATTCAGAAGATGAAATGAAAAAAAATGCCCTTGGAGCACGCATGTGTAGTCTACTTTACATGTAACCGAGGTTGCCTTACGCGACTCGTTACATTAATCTAAAAAAAAGGTAAAAAAGCATGTGGACCGATCCTATAGACGCTTGCGATACAAGAATATTGCCTAACCCGACTCCATCCCTAACTCTGTAACTAGCGCGGTGAGTAGCGCGGCAGTGAGAGCGGGCTGCGATTGCAAGTATATAACTACGGAGATCACATGCACTCACCTATTATGCCGCGGAGACGAGGGAGACGACGCGGGCGTGGCAGCAGCGGCATCTAGCGCGGCAGCGAGCGCGGTGAGTAGCGCGGCAGTGAGAGCGGGCTGCGGTCGCGGTGCTCGAACTAAGGCCAATGCGCGTTCCGCTAGTGCCGCAGCCACGCCTTGCTCGGGGTCCGCTTGAGCGAACAAGCTCTTACGGCACATATACATCACAAGGACCAGGCATCTGTAGAAGAGAAAACAGTCATAAAGTTAGCTGTGGCAAAAAGTTTTATAAGAAAAAAAAATGACTACGAACTCTGATCAGAATGAATCTATATAAGGTTTTGAGAATCAGAGAACAATTTTTTTTTTGCTTTTTCGACGAGACGAGAGCTAGATTATGTTAGCGTGTTCGGTTTGTAATCGTAGAAGTTCAATTTATTACCGGGTATAAGACGATTGACCAATATTTATTATCTCGAGCTTTTTCTCTCGGTTGCATTTGGCATACTTAGCATTTCTGTGCTTCGGAAAGCTAATCAAACCGTTTTACCCCATCTACATCTGGCGTTGTAAGGGCCCACAATCGCGTATTGGGCTCGCGTAGTGGGTCGTAGCTCAATCACTATACTATATCAGAAGGGAAGGCCTATGTTTCCGGTGTACCTGTCAAGGGCCGATGTAGGGCCCCCAACAGCATGTAGTACTCTTTTTTTTTGTGTGTCTGGGAAATACCTTACGCATCCTTCAACCACTGGGGGAGCGAGAATAAGGTATGTGGGACTCCTCCCCGTTCCTTTCAGCCAGCCTTAAGGCCGGATGAAGTGAAAAGGACCCTACCTAACACCCTGAATAGTGCCACTCAAATCCAGACAATACTCCTGCACCGTAACCCGACACGCACTATGAGGACCGCGGTCCCGGTAGTGCGTGTCGAGGGGATTGCTATGCCTGTCGCTATCGCTTACGATTTCATTTTGTTATTTCTGACCGCCGAAGGTTTTCAAATACCTCACGCTCATATAATTGAATATTGTTATTACCAATGCAAAGGGAAAAAAAACGAGCTAGCCTTACAGTAGTCGCGTATGATGTGTAGCATTTAAAACCTCACCTCTAATATAGGTAAAAAAGGCAATAAAACCTACTACGAAAGGTATAAGCCATTTGAACATTATGTTCTAAAATCAAATCAAATAGCGCGCGCTTCTCAAACTTCCTGTTACACACTTCCGTCCCACTTCACGTAATCACTCCCACAAATAGCACGATAGCGAGAGGAAAGATGACATCAAAAACAAACCAGAAGCATAGTAAGAAAAGTGCGAAGTTTCGAACGAAATTTAGTTTTTCGTTGAATTAGCGTAGGCCTTCAGGTAACAGTGTGTAGTACCTGTCCAGGGCCCGCGGCGGGGCGTCGGCGTGCGCAAGCGCAGCGGCTAGCGTATCGGCGAGGTAGGGCCCCCACCAGCGCGCGCTGCCGCACAGCCGCGCCACCAGTGTGGCCAACGCGGCGCCCGCGCGCCCGCCACACTCCCACGACACGGGGCACACGTTGCGGCACCACGCCTCGCCTACGGGCTCATGCGGCTGGTGGAACACAATAACACAAACATATAAATAAATATTTCTAACACACCAATTAGCCTAGTCCCAAAGTAAGCGCTGTAAGGCTTGTGTTATGAGATACTAGGGTAACGGATAGAATATATATACAGTACATATATAAGTAATATTATTATATATTATATAGAAATACATATTAAACATCCATGACTGGAGTACAAATGCTCGTATTCATCATATAAACATCTGCCCCCACCGGGATTAGAACCCGGGACCTCTCGAGTCAGCGACACCATGAAACCCGGCGTACAAACCACTCGACCACGGAGGTCGTCAAGTTGAATCTAAAGAAAATGTTACTAGAAAAAAATCCACGCAGACCAGGCAGCAGACGGGACGAGTCTGCGTGGGATTTTTCTTGTAACATTTTAGATTTAAACATCTAGCAGTTACATGCTTAAAAAATAAAGAATATAACACAAACATTATTACGAGCAAACGGCAAATAAAAAACATGGCGAAGAGTTAGCGTCAGCTAACACCGAAACGCAATGCAGCGCACACATTTTAATAGAGCCACTCAAAACATAAAAGGGGTATTTCACCGCGAACGGAGCGAGCCCATTAATGACTCTAGTTTACCTCGCAATACAAATCTGATTTCTCCAGCAACCAAAAGTCGGGCGAAAATGACGATGACAGTAAAAAGAGTAAAAATAAGTGAAATGATAAAAATTACTCCCAAACTCTTCCACAGTGGAAAAGCAATCCTATTTTAAGTACACGAACACCACTCCGCTAGACATCCCTAGCACCATGCGTATTCTGAATTCAAGCAATGAAATTGTGTATCTTTTCGTGCAATAAATAAAGTTACGTTTTGAGGCACTCTATTAAAATATGCGAGCATCGTCGCGTCGCATCGCGTTTCGGTGTGAGCTGACGCTTATTATACTGAGTTTGCATAAAATAATCACAAAAACTAGTAAACGAACCTGAAAATGCGTCTAACGATATGACCAACGAAATAGGAGTCAAAACGAAAGCGAAACAAATCCACTTCAAACACCGCATCTTTGCGTTCATACTGGCGAACCGGCAGAATCAACCAAATCAGTAAATCACGTTGCCACCATCACGCAAAAAATAGTTTACTGCATATTTTGATCTAGCGTAAACTCACTTCTGCCTTTGCTACTGCCTCCATCGACGGAAGATTAATTCCTACCGACATTCGAAAATCAAAGAACGAAACCCTAACGCCACTTGTAATTCTAAATACATTTTTTTATGTTTATGCAGGCAAACATTTAATTTTAGCTTCTTTTATTTTACCGTGAAAGAGCATACTACTGTGCTGCAGCTAATCTCATATAAAACCATCCTCAAAAACAGCTTTTAAATTTAATGAATAACGACTGAATTAATGAACCGAATAATAGTGATATCCCAAATAATTAATCGATGTTTCGCGATGTATTAATGCAAGATATACGCAAAGACTTCACCCTCAAAACGCAATCACACTTATATTATTAAGGCGAAAGTTTGTGAGTGTGTATGTTTGTTACTTGCACGTCTAAACGGCTGGAGCGATTGTAATAAAATTTTGGTATGGAGTTAGCTGACACCCTGGATTAACACATAGACTACGTTTTACTGCGGGAAAATATCCCTAATAAACCGTGGGTAACACCGCGGGGCACAGCTAGTATCAAATAAAATTAAGTTACACTTACCACATCGCCCAATTGGAAGAAGAAATACAGGAGCATGTCCACAATATTCTCACTGATAACTGTCAGTTTGTCCGTTGAAGCGCGTTCTAGCAATGCTTCCGAGGTTATCTTTCCCTTGTTGACCATTTCTAAAAGCTTGGGGTTGCAATCGGGCGCGTTCTGCAGCTTCTTAAGAATATTGTTGCATGTATGCATCTGCTGCTGCAGCTCTATGCACTCCTGGTATGCCGCTACTACATTGTGATCCGTGTCATTGGCGATGTTCAAGTAAGCCATCATATGAGCGGCGTTGCCGTTGTAGAGCTCCAAGTAGGGATTGAGCAAGTCCATCAGTTTGCCGGTTGCTAACCTGCGAGAGATTTTGAATGTTCTAGAAATGCTGCTTTAACAAAAATGTTACAAAAAAATTTGATTTTTACGGAAATTTGAAAAGATAAATTTACTCCGTTCATTGAGAGCCCACTTACCCACATAACACAAGACTATCCTTGTCTTTTGAAGCGATTGGGTGTTATAGAAAACGCTCCACTAAATCGTTTCCATAAACAGAGTACTAATCAATATGTAAAACGGATCTTAACAGTGCTGAAGATAGCTAAGAATAGACTGATTATTTAGCTGGGCTTTACAGCTAAATTATTGATTACTATAAAACTTCCATGAAGTAGTTTTGTTACGCATGAAGCTTTTCCTTACTTGCCAGTTAAATTAAACCATAATATTCGTAAGTCTCACCTAAATCGGCAGGATAAATCCTGTTGCAGTGCGTTGAGTGCGTTTACAGAGGGTTGTACGTTAGCGATTTCTGCGATCTCACCGTAGAACCAACCGAGAGGTATCTTGCACTTCATGGCCGACATTCCGTACCGGCCTATCGTCGTTATCTGTTCAGTAAAAACGAATTGTAAATATAAGCAGTTGAACAAACAAACCTGTCCCTACGAAATCAAAAGTTCGCTTTAAATTATTCTACAAACAGAATCGAGAAATAATGTGTTACTAAAAAAATATTATTTAATTGGGTATTGATTTTCTATCAAGTTTATGTTGAAGCTTTAGCCATCAGGAGCAGTTTTGAGTATTGGTTTTTACAATTTTATAAAATAACAATATTATAGGAATCTACAAATATCGGAAAAAAAAAGTCACATTATATTTATAATTTTTATTTTTAGCATCATCATGCAGTTATGTAATTGCTTGATGTTTAAATCTAAAGAAAAAAATTTCTAGTTATATTTTCTTTAACATTATATTTCTTAAACTGAGCCAAAAGAATGGTCTATGAAGCCTCAACTTTCACTAGAAACATACTAAGTAATACAGATCACATAAATGAATTACCTTCATATATCGACAGAGCGGAGGTGGCTGTATATCCGTGAGTACCAAGTGCTTCGTTGCAATGTCAGTAGCGAATGCGAGCTTGACGCAATCCGTCTCCTCCCCGACCACCCAGATGTCAATGCACAAGGTCACCAGGTCAGAGCACGAAGGTATTATCTGAAAAAAATATCTCACTATAGTAAAAAATCAAAACATTTATATATCCTTAAGAAAATGCGTGACGCCCCTGGGTGAGAGACGACGTTATGTAGGGCACCTCCCCCAAAATCCGCTCCACCACCAGCGTGTGTTGGGGATGTAGCATTGTTGCTGCCTCTGACATTATCAATAACCACCACGTCAGTCAGTCTCATAGCGTGGCCGAAGTCCAGCACGATGTAGCGGCGAGCGCCTGAATGCATCCGCTCCACCACCAGCGTGTGTTGGGGATGTGGTATTTTTGCTGCCTCTTTCATTGTCAACAACTCATCACGTCAGTCAGTCCCACAGCGTGGCCGAAGTCCAGCACGATGTGAAGCGGCGAGCACCTGAATGCATCCGCTCCACCACCAGCGTGTATTTTTGCTGCCTCTTTCATTGTCAACAACTCATCACGTCAGTCAGTCCCACAGCGTGGCCGAAGTCCAGCACGATGTGAAGCGGCGAGCACCTGAATGCATCCGCTCCACCACCAGCGTGTGTTGGGGATGTGGTATTGTTGCTGCCTCTGACATTGTCCATAACTCACCACGTCAGTCAGTCTCACAGCGTGGCCGAAGTCCAGCACGATGTAGCGGCGAGCGCCTGAATGCATCCGCTCCACCACCAGCGTGTGTTGGGGATGTGGTATTTATGCTGCCTCTTTCATTATCAACAACTCACCACATCAGACAGTCCCACAGCGTGGCCGAAGTCCAGCACGATGTGAAGCGGCGAGCACCTGAATGCATCCGCTCCACCACCAACGTGTGTTGGGGATGTGGCATTGTTGCTGCCTCTGACATTGTCCATAACTTACCACGTCAGTCAGTCTCACAGCGTGGCCGAAGTCCAGCACGATGTAGCGGCGAGCGCCTGAATGCATCCGCTCCACCACCAGCGTGTGTTGGGGATGTGGCATTGTTGCTGCCTCTGACATTGTCCATAACTCACCACGTCAGTCAGTCTCACAGCGTGGCCGAAGTCCAGCACGATGTAGCGGCGAGCGCCTGAATGCATCCGCTCCACCACCAGCGTGTGTTGGGGATGTGGCATTGTTGCTGCCTCTGACATTGTCCATAACTCACCACGTCAGTCAGTCTCACAGCGTGGCCGAAGTCCAGCACGATGTAGCGGCGAGCGCCTGAATGCATCCGCTCCACCACCAGCGTGTGTTGGGGATGTGGCATTGTTGCTGCCTCTGACATTGTCCATAACTCACCACGTCAGTCAGTCTCACAGCGTGGCCGAAGTCCAGCACGATGTAGCGGCGAGCGCCTGAATGCATCCGCTCCACCACCAGCGTGTGTTGGGGATGTGGCATTGTTGCTGCCTCTGACATTGTCCATAACTCACCACGTCAGTCAGTCTCACAGCGTGGCCGAAGTCCAGCACGATGTAGCGGCGAGCGCCTGAATGCATCCGCTCCACCACCAGCGTGTGTTGGGGCGGCCGCGTCACCAACGCCGCCCAAGGGATGTTGCATTGTTCCTGCTCCTGGCATTGTTGACAACATCCACTATTACTTTTAAGAATATATACGTCATAATAAAATATTGGAGTAAAGCTCAAAAAAGTACGGCCAATTCAATAATCCACCTCCAGTAAAAGTTAAATATAGCCTGTCTGGTTATGTTTCTTAACAGCAGATTTTATTATAATCTTAAAAAAATATCTCGGCTATAGAGCTCTGATAGGCCTATCTCTTCCTGAACTTGATTATTTAAACGGCCCGTAAATTGAATCCAACATAATAAATTAAAATAGGGTCATTATCATTTTGCAGACATGCACTACGACATTTAATCTCATCTCCTAAAACAACCTTAAAAAGTTTCTCTTCGGAGAACTCGAGTTTCTCCTGAGGATCGCACTCCATCAGCGAGCTCTCGACGTCCTCCAAAGAGTCGGGGTCCTGAGAGGTTTGCTTCGTCTGACCTTCCTTCACGACCGACCATAACTGTGAACGAAATTCAATGATTAAAAACGCGCGAATGTCCAAAACAAAATCAACTAAAATATATGAAAACAAAAGTTGAAATAAAAAAATTTTGGTATAAGTAGTTTATTCTGTGTCTTTAGTTCACATTGGGTCAGTCAATTAAATCGGTGTGATAATATTATCCACTTCAATTTATACAAGAGAGCTATCAAAAGCTCACAAAGTATGTAATTCTTAGAACTACATACTTTGTGAGCTTTTAATTACGAATTACGTCACATATTTATAGTCTTTAGAAAAGTGCTTTGGACAACTAGAGACAACAACTAGTTCAATAGCCTGTGTACTCAAGGCAAGTATTTGAACAAGAGGGATAACTAAATGAATAATTCATGTTTCTACTTCCAAAACACTTCTAAAGATTGGAATGCAAATTATACTTATAGGAACGACTAAATTACGCCTTTTTTGAAGTCAAATCTTTAGTAAAAAATTTAATTGTTTCTTATGCCGGCACTTCAGATTGCTATACATATTTGATATTTGTAAACTTCTCAAGTCTTTCCCTTTCACTCTCTATAGACTATGATAAAAACAACCAGTAAGTCAAGCTGTCAAAATGACAAATCTCAAATACATGCCATGCCATGTGAAATGCCTACATAAAAATGAATTTTCTACGTAGATACCTGATTAGGATCAGCGCCTCCGAAACCGCCAGGGAACGAGCTGACCACGGCGGGGTGATGCCTCGCCCCGGTAGACTCCAACTTCGTACCGTCAGACGCCACGTGACAAGTCACGTGTAACGGCATTGCTTCACTCAACCCCGCCCCGAACACTCCCACGCCGTTGTTCTGAGCCCACGCCGCTACCGATACCGGCGGCGTCTTCGAGTCTGTCGGGGAAGCTACGTAAAATTAACTATATAGCAACAGCAACGAATTAGAAATGGTATGGAATACAAGCTACGCTAAAAAGTGGTTCCACGCAAACTACGAACAAGTGGGCGGGGAAAAAATATACGATCAACACACCGATCATGCGATTGGTTGGGATTTCGGTTTCACACTATCTTACCCAATGAATGGATAGCCGAATTTATTTGCAGATATTTGATTTGTCAAATTATTTTGTTTCGTTTTTTTGCGTGTCGCGCTAGTATTTAAGTTTAGTTGTACGAGTTTGGAACCATGTTTTAGCGGCCTCTCTAGAGTAGAGAGAGTAAAGCTTACATAATTTCTAATCGTTGTTGCAGAGTTGTTTACTTATGACGAAGTTATTATAATCTGTATCAGACATGTGGAGTGTCTTTGAACCTGTCCGCCAAGTTAAGCAATAAAAACAGAGAAGTGACGCATTAACACAGACGCAGCAACGCACGACGTCGCAAGAGTGTAGGCATTATTACCCAACCTAAATTCCGAATTATGACATTTCAAATGTTCGCGTAAAGCACGTGCCGAATCTAGTGCATCTATCAATGGTTCAAATCGAAATGAAACGAGCCTGATCCAGTAGTGTATGTGGGGCATTCCACGTGAAGCGGACAGGTAAAAAAACTCGATGTTTTCGATTTCAGTAATATTTGAGTATGTTCTATTTATACTTATTATTGATACGCGTACCAAATATTTTTGTGATATAATGACTAGTTAAAGAGTAATGGGACTGTGAAGTTTTCGACAACCGGTTGGCATGCAGTACTTCAAAGCCGATTATGGACTCATAAAATTATATATTAAAATAACTAAACCACTGGATTTCCTACTTTATTTACTGGGCTTTTTAACTGTGTTTTTGGAAAAGAAAAAAATATTTTTTTTTCGGAAAAAAAATCCAATTTATGTTTTTTTCCTTGATTTTCATCAAGTTAGACCATTTACTTTTTTTTAATATTCCTATTCCTATTCCTCTAGCCATTCTTAAGCTGCAAGGCAGCGCCATCTCTTCGCATTATAGGTAACCCACAATGTCAAATGAATACTTTTACAAGTATTAAACATTTGACAAAAGAAATAGCAATTATAGTTATAATTTTTATTTCTTTAAAGCATGTATTTAAGATTAATTCTTAATAAGAATGGCTAGAGGAATTTTGACGCGGTCCGTGAGGGACGCAGTAGCATAATTGGTCAGTGCATTCGCCCGGATTGCGAAGGGTGCGGGTTCGAGTCCCGTCTGCCGCCTGGTCCGCGTGGAATTTTTTCTATGTATTGGTTTATTAAAAATCTACAAAACATTCCGTCAAAAGTGATTTTATTTGATATACAGTTTGATGACTAATCGCGTACAAGCGGCGGTCAACAGGCGCGGCGCTGGACGCCACCCTTCGGCAGTATTTTCAGTCTAGCTCCTAATCCACTTTCACGCCCATTATGAAAGTTGGCACCAATGTTCTATACAATATTAGCAATTTATATAAAAAAAAATAAAAAAAAAGTAAATGGTCTAACTTGATGAAAATCAAGGAAAAAAACTTAAATTGGATTTTTTTTTCCGAAAAAAAAATATTTTTTTCTTTTCCAAAAACACAGTTAAAAAGCCCAGTAAATAAAGTAGGAAATCCAGTGGTTTAGTTATTTTAATATATAATTTTATGAGTCCATAATCGGCTTTGAAGTACTGCATGCCAACCGGTTGTCGAAAACTTCACAGTCCCATTACTCTTTAACTAGTCATTATATCACAAAAATATTTGGTACGCGTATCAATAATAAGTATAAGTAGAACATACTCAAATATTACTGAAATCGAAAACATCGAGTTTTTTTACCTGTCCGCTTCGCGTGGAATGCCCCATGTGTAAGTGACTTGCCAATATCAGGTGGTAAGTTGAGCAAGTCTTTGAGCTGGCAGTTGGTTTTGGCACTGGGCGGCGTGCCCGAGTCGCCGGTCAGTACGCTCGTGTAAGTTACGGGCGTGGAAGTAGCTATCCAGTGCGTCCATCAATTTTTGAAGACGAAATGAAACGAGACTGATCTAATAGTGTATGAGTAACTGACTTAGCAATATCGGGCGGTAAGTTGAGCAAGTCTTTGAGCTGGCAGTCGGTTTTGGCAACCAGGCGGCGTTGCTGAGTTGCCGACGAATACGCTCGTATAAGTTACAGGCGTGTAGGAGCCTATCCAGTGCGTCTATCAATGTTTCAAGACGAAATGAAACGAGACTGATCCAATAGTATATGAGTAAGTGACTTACCAATATCAGGTGGTAAGTTGAGCAAGTCTTTAAGCTGGCAGTCGGTTTTGGTACTGGGCGGCGTGGCCGAGTCGCCGGTCAGTACGCTCGTGTAAGTAACGGGCGTGGAAGAACCTATCCAGTGCGTCTATCAATGTTTCAAGATGACATGAAACGAGACTAATCCAATAATGTATGAGTAAGTGACTTACCAATATCAGGTGGTAAGTTGAGCAAGTCTTAAGCTGGCAGTCGGTTTTGGTATTGGGCGGCGTGGCCGAGTCGCCGGTCAGTACGCGCGTGTAAGTAACGGGCGTGGAAGAACCTATCCAGTGCGTCTATCAATGTTTCAAGATGACATGAAACGAGACTGATCCAATAGTGTATGAGTAAGTGACTTACCAATATCAGGTGGTAAGTTGAGCTAGTCTTTGAGCTGGCAGTCGGTTTTGGCAACCAGGCGGCGTTGCTGAGTTGCCGACGAATACGCTCGTATAAGTTACAGGCGTGTAGGAGCCTATCCAGTGCGTCTATCAATGTTTCAAGACGAAATGAAACGAGACTGATCCAATAGTATATGAGTAAGTGACTTACCAATATCAGGTGGTAAGTTGAGCAAGTCTTTAAGCTGGCAGTCGGTTTTGGTATTGGGCGGCGTGGCCGAGTCGCCGGTCAGTACGCGCGTGTAAGTAACGGGCGCGGAAGAACCTATCCAGTGCGTCTATCAATGTTTCAAGATGACATGAAACGAGACTGATCCAATAGTGTATGAGTAAGTGACTTACCAATATCGGGTGGTAAGTTGAGCAAGTCTTTGAGCTGGCAGTCGGTTTTGGCACTGGGCGGCGTGGCCGAGTCGCCGGTTAGTACGCTCGCGTAAGTCACGGGCGTGGAGGAGCCGCGTCCTAACTCAGGCACTTCCGCTGCGAAGATCGTACGCTCGAGCGGCAATCCGTACAGACCGAACCTAGGAGGAGGAGGCTACAGTTAGAATAAAAATATAAAGTTTGATCTGGAAAAGTTGAATTGTCATTGTGGTAAGCTTTTATTTAGCGTCAACTGCGCAGTCAGTCAACCAGGGCCCCATCTAGAGGTGTGGAGGCCCTGGGGCAATGAAGGAGGGGGGCCGCCTATTTTCTATACCCACTTACGATTGCACCCGTCGTACCCCCATTTCCGGCTAAAATTTCGTTATTTTTCTCTGTTGTGAGTCGAAGCCCCGCCTACCCAATTGAAATCTTAAGGTTCATCTGTGTTGTAATGTTAATGGTTCATTTATACAGAAAAATATCGTTTGAACAAAGAACTTAAGGAAAGCCGTATTAGCTTGAGAAATATGATACCGCATAACAGAGCAAAGACACTTGGAAAACAAAATTATCCCCTCGGCTGTGTAGCCACCTACTTTGTTTTTCATGGCCGGAAAATCAAAATGTTTTCCGGCCGATTTTCCTCTTATTATTCGAATTCTACTGTACATCCAGGCTTCATTTATGCCTTAAATCAATCCTAAACAGTTTCTCTACAAACTTATTTATATACATGTAAGATTTGTAAATTAAAAACCTTTACTAAATATGATAAAACAAAAAAAAATAAGAACTAAAAATAATTTTCTCATCTCGTGGCAGAAATCATCCACTTACACAGCTCAGGGGTTAAGATTTGGTTTTGTACTAGTTAATCTACGTCATAATTACAAGTTCAAAATTTGTATGTAGCTGTAAGGTTATTATATTACAAACCGGGCCTTATATTTCGCGAGTGGTGGGTCATAACCCAATCTTCGTTATTCCATCCCTAGAAAAGGCCAGGTTCCTCAGAACTGGGGACATTGACTAATCTAATGTAGTCGCGCACAGTCTGGATCGTCCGCCTGCTGGGTAGAATCATGACCAATAACCGTGGGGACAGCAGTTACCTCGCGCGCAGCAACTGATGGTACACGTCGGCGCGGTCTCGCAGACAGCGCGCGGTTCGTTCCAGCAGCGCGAGACAGTTCCGCACTAAGTCTGCAGCTGCTGCCCGTTGGGTAGTATGCTGTGCTAACGCTGCCAACCAACGCAAAGCACCAGGTGATTCGCAAGCCCCCAAGTATGGTATGCACGCGCTTACGCTACTCATCAGCGTCTGTTCGAACGTACACTTCCACGGCTTTGGAAGTTGTTTCACACCCCTGTTGAGAATATCGCTTTATTAGGTATTATATTTTAGATTTGAAATGGCCTTATTTAAATACAAAAATATAGATATATATTATTAAAAAAACAAGTCAATACTTTGATAAAGAAAATAAACAATAATTATACTCACTCGCTAGTGATCAACATAATCTTGACGCATTTCTTGGCGACACTTCTGTTTGAGCATAAAATGCAATTCTTAACGAGGGCATCGGTGTGTCGCTCGATAGTCCGGACGCATTCGAGTTGCTGCATCTCCACGGGATTGCTTGCTTCCTTGCTTTTGCCTTTCTCTGATTTCGCAGTACGCATGCGTTGCAATCTAATTGATACAGTCCAAATGAGTAAATCTAATGCCAGTTTACGTTTTTCGGAATTGCCGCTGCCAACGGCTATCTCGCAGAGCGTGTTCAGGAATGCATTCGACTCGAGCATTGCTATTCTCTGCTGGCGCTCCATCGGCACATCAGAGGGTGGACTGGCGCGAACAGTCAGCGAGATCTGATGAAGCCAATCACATCCTATGAAGCCAGACTTCTTAGAACCGTTATCACTAGACTTAGCCGGACCTTTCGCCATGTCTTTCGCAGGATCAAATAAAGATTTTATATGAATTAGAAATGTTCTGCCTCTTGCCCTATGAAGCCGAGGACTTGTCAAAATCAAAGTACCAGATTGCTGCGTCAAGTCTAATCCTGATGATAAAAGCAACGGTCCAGCTAGAATCTCAGCATTGTGCGCCTGAAGATACTCTTCGCTGTTCACAGGATTCTCTAAAGTTGTCGCATTGTCGGCATCGACCGAAATGTGCACGGGCGAGTCTGACCTGTGCCCGAAAGAAGCGTCTTTCTTGTATCCTAAGCCATGTAAATTTTGTTTAAGTAAAGTTACTTGAATTATTGGCAAGTTTGTTGAACATGCCGTGTGTAATGTGAAGCCAAATTCTATATGAGCAAGTGAGGCGCTATAGGGGAGTGTAAGCTCCAACACGTGTTCATCCCAAGTGGAGGACTGCAGCCTCCAAGTTCTATTATTCTGATGATCGGATCTGGAGCGCTGCGCTGGCGACAATTCGCACCAGAATCCGGGCACTACTGCGCTATAAGGCACTGTCGTGTTCGTACCGTAGGACCCTGTTAGCGATATCATTGTTTCTAAGTCATTCACATCCAACTCAGTCTTATTAGCGATAATGACTGGTGCGGGCGTCGGGCCGCACACTTCGTCTCGAGGCGCTTTCTGTAGCATGTCGAAATCAATATTGGCGAATTCATCTTCGTCCGCATCTCCCGTGGAATCCTGCTCTCCATTGTTTAGAGCATAAAAGTATATCATGCCGTACTTCGTCGATACACTTAGACGTTCGACAGATGCGCAAAACGTAACGGAAGTAAACTGTCCCTTTGGAACTCGTTTCTCAGACAACATCCTGAAGTCCGGTAGGGAATACAACCGCAAATTACCGTCGACGCCGACCACTGCAAATGAGTACTGATCGTGCTTATCCTTAGGTAATAAACACAAGTCAACGGGGCTCTCGTTGAATGGCAACTCTTTGACTGTGACTGGATTATCCTCCAAAGTGAATACGGAAGTTTTAATGTTAATTTTATACAAAAGGAAATAGGCCTTTGTGTCAGAGCTGTCCTTGTCTGTCTGGTCGGATGTCTCATCTACATCCATCTTCGTGTCACCGTCACCATCGGTTTCTTCTTCTACTTTAACTTTATCAGGCTCTATACTAGATATTACAACTAGCAGATGTTCTTTGTCCTCTGTGGGTAACAAGTGTGTAACTTTGGAGTCATCCCTCAAGTTCAGTTTTGTTGGAAGACTTAAGCACTGAATAGCGACAGCCTGTGTCACCTCTTCCTGTGGAGGATCGCTGTCGAAGCCATCATTGTTGCTATTACTGACAGTCTGCGCCTTGACCTTTGTTCCGCCGAAAGTCGTAACCTTAATCTTTTCAGTGCCATCGCCTCCTTCATACCATTTCAGGTCTGAAATTTCTAAAGGTCCATTCATGTTAAGGTAATGAGTTATAGGATCAGCTTGGAGTACTGCGTCAGTTTGGTCTGCTAGTTTTGTGCCGACAGACTCCAGATTACCGCTTTTCCAACTCTTCAGCTGCGAGATTTTCCCTACGAAATCCAGCATGCTCCCTTGCCCCGATTCAGGTAATTCCGGCAACAGCGCCGTCGGTGGCGGCGGAGGCAGCACTTTAGAATGCTTCGTAAAATTAATCTTTTTAGGTTCCCATATTTTACAATCCTCTTTACTCGAGGACGCGTTCAAGTTTATTACGTTACTGATTTGCTCATCCATTAAACTGCTAGTGCATTGAGGAAGTTCCGTGTCTTCGTCCGAATATTGAAAATAGACTTCGTCGTAAATGTTGGCGTCGTCTTTCCTCGCTACAGTTAACACCTTCTTACTACCGCCATGTTTAGAGTTACCGCTACTATTTGATGTGTGCACTACTGTGGTAATCGAGCCGCCTAACGAGCTGTGTATGTCGTAAGTTAGAAGGAACAGCATCTTGTCTGTAGGCGTTTGATTACTCTTTGCTTCGTTTTGATCGTTCATGGCCTGTACACTTTGTTTGGATTTATCTACACCGGAATCGAACAGAGCTTTGCTCGAGTCCTCTTGAATGGGTTGGTTGGAAGGCGCCGTGTTTGTCCTAGTGATAGTGATGGCGCATATCAGAGAGGGCTTCGCTTTATTGTTAGTATTCTCCTTCTCCGTGTTTTCCGTGCTTTGTGCTTGGGGATACGCTTCTTGCTGTGACGTCATACCGACAAATGACATCGCTGTAAGCTCAAAATCGTATGTGGCTGCAAAAAATAAAATTGTTTAATTAATAAAATTATATCTTAGCCAAGTTAGGAATATTGGAAACCAACCGGCATATACATACAAGTATCTTTTTCTAATCCGGTGGACCAAACTTTATCGAGATCGGTGCACAGAATGCCGCTGAATATGGAGTCGTAGGGCGACAGATGGATGAATTTGACCAGCTTGAGGCCGCAATCGAACTTCCAAATGTTCACAATATTGTGTCCACCTTCCACAGTACCGCAGGCTATCAAGTCTCCAGAGTTGCCTTTAGAAACCACTTTTACGTTGGCACAGGGAACGGCACAAGCTGTCGCGTTTGATACCTGCCAAAAACAAGCAACATTACATCAGTAGAAGAAAAACTGAGTAGACGAACAAGAACAACACAGGATAATCCAAAATATTAATTAAGAAACGTACACATACCACTTCACTGTTTAAATTCAAGTCTTAAACAGTCATAAGACTATAAGATTTAAATCAAACCAAAATATTATCCTTCAAGAATAACTAGAAAAAGAGAGGAAAATATATATCTTATAATACGGGCCCTTCTTTTTTTTGTTTAAGTAGGCAAAACCTCTATTTACCGACACTGGCGCCCTGGCATAACAAAAAGTTTCCTAATATAATAATTGGACCACGAGGAATTTTCCTAGTTAAATGCTCAAAATTAAATTGTCTTATCCAGCATTATTTAACTCTTAATCAAGTACCATTCCTTCCACCCTCACCGATATAGGCACGTTGTGAGTGTATTCGCCCCGTACAAAGGGGCAGTTCGGCGAATGCCGCTCGTGTTCCACCCAGGGCTCGTCCGACTTCTCCCAGCACACGAGGCACACGAGACATGTGAAGCACATCGCGCGGTCGTCGCCGCTCGGCGTAGGCTGGTGGTAGAACCCGGCTTGCGCCATACGCGCTGGTAACGCCCATCTGTTGGAACAATTATATATAACCATGGAGGTATAAGAATAGAGTAGGGGAGATATAGACTCTACTACAAGTGGAAGTGTCCCTCTAATAGAAAGAGAAAGAAGATGAGAGACCGCTAGCTGTCATTATAGTTATATCTATGTCCGTTCTTTTGCCTCGACTAGACAAATGACGATGATATCCAAATTCATTCATGTTTGCAGACGATTTGAAAATATACAAGGAAATAAACTCTATTGATGATAAAACCCAAACTCCAAACAGAACAAAACACCATCTGCCTCTGGTGTAAAACAATAAAATGATGCTCAATCTCTCCAAATGCTTTGAAATAAAATTCACTCGGAGGAGGATTTCAGAGAGCATTATGTATAAAATTAATTATGTCTGACTTGAGGAAGTTACGAGCATACGTGACCTACTCTATTTCAACGAAAAACAAAATTTCGATCGAAATTTTACATGATTCTTACTCCGTTTCTTTTTCATTTCGTAATTCGTTCGTCCGAAAATAGTTTGAAAATTAAATTCTCCACATCTACTCTAATTCACAAAAAAATTTCCAACGAAAAGTTAAATTTGTTGAAAAAAGTGTTACCTTTTAATTTTCGTTTTAGGATTTTTGTTTAAATGAAGCCGCAAAAGACTGCTAGAGTATCTCATTCCATTCGTTCACGAAATTTGTTTGTGATTTCCAACTTTATGTGCATGTTCGAAAATGAAATAGAGTAAAGTCACTAACAAATTAAAATTCGTTCTTTACCGAAATTTCGTTTCAGAGAAAAAGAGTAGAGCTCCGAGGTATTATTGTGGATCATAAACTGGACATCCGTAAACATATCAACTACATATTTAAGAAGCGTGCCAAACTGTCTGGTTTTGTGATTAGACAGGCTTAAATTTTCCAAGATCCAGGAGTTCCTATTATGCTTTTTGATTGTTATGTTCGCAATCTGCTAGAATACTGCAGCTCGATCTGGAGCCCTTCTTATTCAATTCATACAAATAGAATCGAAGGTTTGCAAAAAATATTCTTATACCACCTCACCTAGGTAAACAACCGTTGTCGCTATTTGACCACCTACGCAAGTAGTCTTGGTCATTATAATATGACACCACTAGCTCCAAGGTGTAGGGTGGCTGATATTGTCTTTCTCCACAAGTTAGTGCATGGCAAGCTGGACATTTCAGCTATGCTTGAACAGTTGCGACTCAGACTGCCAGTATCAGACAGCCGCCTTAAGGATTTGCCACACTAAATGCGTTCTGCAGTCTGCGGTCAGGTCAAAGTGAATGCTGCCCGCATTATGTATGAACAATATTGTCGGTCTCTGTATATTTTGTATAGATATGCGATCCGACCGTGCGAGCATGATCAAAGAACGCGGGGGGAAGGCAGAGACGCGTATGGGCAGGTAGGCGGGCAGCGGGAAGCGGGCGGCGATCAGAGGGCGGCGATCAGAGGGCACGGATTGACGTTTCCGTTCGACAACGCCGTCGAAGACAATTGTCAATCCTATACATTTTTTATACGATGACGAAGTTCGATATCTTACCGAATACAACTTGGCTACGGGCTCTGATCACCACTGATTCACGCAGACTAATGCCGCTGTGTGCCATGCCCGCATCGCTGACAGGTTTCCCTGCCCGGACCACTGACGGATTGCCCTGACCGACAATATTGTTCATACATAATGCGGGCAGCGTTCACTTTGACCTGACCGCAGACCACAGAACGCATCCAGTGTGGCAAATCCTTTAACAACCGCAAAACATTTCTTTTGCCTCGATGTCACACAAAATACCGTCCCTTATACCGTTTATGTTCTTCATTTAATTGTCAGGATTTGACTTCAAATTCAGTAATATTGTATAGATTTTATTTTTATTTTTTGCTATTTGATTACTTGTCCTAGACGTTTCGATTTGAACCTAGTACAGAATTGAGTACGAAGATTCTTTGATTTGCATGTCGCGTTCACACTAAGAAGGCGTTCAATAACACCTAGTTTTTTTATAATATTTAATGTATTGAATATGGTTTAATGATTGTATGCCTGTTTATGAATCAGCGTTAAAAAAAATTAAGAAAGGAATCGCAAATGACGACGACTTAAGACATTCTGTCCCTCTCGCACAGCATGTGATCCTCAGTAACGTAACGCGAGGGACAGAATGTATTGCGTTGACATTTTCAATTCCTTTCGTTAATGACACGAATAATAAAGAGTAGCTATACAAAACGAGAATTAGCGGTAGTGAAATAAAAAGTCAGATTACACCGGTTGCTTATTTTTCTCAGTTAATAATAAAAGCATAAATCCACATTTTAATATTGGAAATGTTATAACTAAATAAGGTTTTATGAAAGAATAGCTGAAAGCATTAAGTCTCACAGACAGACGCGGCCTCTGGCCGCGGCCGGGTTGCCATCCAATTGTATTCGCTTGCAATGTAAGCAAGTGGACAAACTCAAGCGACCAATAAAGACAGGCCGCGTCTGTTTGTGAGACACTTAATTACAACTGAAATAAGAAGAAGAACAGATTCACAAAACCCATAAAAACATATAAACAAGAATTTATGAAATTCTATTCAACTTTTGCTGGATTTGAAATTGCTATGGCTTCAAAGCAAAAGCTATAATGTTTGTACTGACTTGTAATCCATATGAGGCCACCTCTTGAAAGTTTCTTTCCGCTCCGCCTCAGAGTACATCAACGGCCGGGCTTCCTCATCTCTGGATCGGGGCACGAGTTCGTTGGCGCGCTGGCCCACAGCTGAGGCTATCGCCAGCGCTGGAATACGCCGATTCTGACCCTTCAGTTCTTGCACTACCCCAGTAGTCACCAACCGGACGGTCGATTGTGGCAGGCAGATGGTAACTGTGCTCCACTGTAAACAACAAAAAGTCAGGTTCTATGCTCATACTGTAAGGATGTATAGAATAAATATTATAAAAATATAATATAAAAAATAAAATATTTTTTTGAAAAATATCTACTAATTTATGTAGGTACACCAGCTAAAAGAAAGTAGAACCAATGTCTGGCTATAAATATAATTATTATTATGAGATATTGTAAAAATTTTTAACTTTAAGATGATAATGAAAAAATGATGTATTAATAACAACATAATATTATATTGATTACAACAAAATGTTATGCATACAATATTAAAATGCTATAAATGAACGGAAAAGGATATGATGATAACATTTAAATAATAATTACTAATACATACTTTCAGTGATAAAAAAATTTAAATGAGTCAAAAGAAAAGGTCAAAAAAAAAATTTGTACATCATTTATTAAATACAAAAATGGAAAACTTAACACACACTTACCTTCTGTGCTTTCACTCCTTTGCGAACAGGCTCTGCATCAATGGAGTTCTTAAGTTCATTTATGAAGTCAGTGAGGCCATCAATGGAATGAGCATCAAGGCTTTGCAAGCACTGATACAACAGCACAGCCTGGAATAATTATGAATATGATAACTGCGCTCAGAGACACACACCTGGGTATGAACTTTAACAGTTCTGTAATTGTATTGCATCATCAAAGTTTCTATGATAACAAGCATCCTTACTGGACGTAAGAACAATCTGGCTACTTCTATACAAAATTTCATGACTTCAGTCAGGTACGATTTGAAAAATTAAAGAAAATCCTCATCTGTTTTAAAACAAATATGTAATTTAAAAAATTTATACCTTATATCTGGAATACTATATAATTTGATCTCAATATATTGACAATGCTTTTTTATACCAGTGCTTTTAATATTGAAGTAGGCTTTAAGATATTTATTTCTGTAAGCAGACAAATGGACAGTGAGCGCTTACTACTTAGATTCCATTTCCATCACACTTTTGGGATCACAATCATAAAAAAAAGAAAATGTTACTTCTCAATTCATATCACAATGGCAAGTGGTGTAAACACTAATGATATCAAGAAATACTTTTGATTAAGGAATGTACTAGTCTGCCTCAATGGTTTGGATACTTCGCATGATAGGATAATAGGCTGACAAGTTTTTCTTCATTTTACTAATTATTTATGTATTGGTTACGCAGATAATTCTAAAAGCAGGCAATAAGGGGTCATTCATAGAGAACATTGAATATCCAAATTAGTGATTATGTGATGTACACTAAAACCTAACAGACTGTATGTATGTGCAATGCAGTGCCTAATAAATAAATAAAACAAAAAATAATGAGCTCTGGGCAACATCAAAGATCCTAGATATATGTTTAAGTTTTTGTTTTACCTTTTTTAGGAAACAACAATGTAATAACACTACTAACTACTTGAATAAATAAAATATTACACTCTAACCATGTAAGGTACCAAGATAATGTTGTAAACTTTAATTTGAAATCTGACAAATGAGGGGTATACAATCAAAGTTGGTAAAGTCCACATTGCCAAAATGTTCAGTAAACGATAAAAACAATTATTTTAATAATTACAGGTAACTATTCTAATTTTAAACATTATTTATATGCAGAATGTAATACATTGTGGAAATACAAGTGTTCATCACATTCAGTTCAATATTTTTGAGAAAAAGCTTAAGTATAAGATGAACTTTCCGAGTTTTTTTACCAAGTTTTGGACTTTACTAAGTTTGTAACTGTAACAAAACAAAAGAGCATTACAACATCAAAGACGGCCTTGACAGCTGTTAGTGAAATGGAGGCAATGGAGCTTTCCTATTGGTGGAAAAGGACTTTACGCAAATTGAAACTCAACTCACTTGGACTTTGCTATGTTAGTTTGTAAAGTCAATTTTCAATTTGAAATAACAGTCGAGATTTCTAGAATTTTTATAAATTTATTCGATGGGATAAATATAGATACGGAAATGAATGTGTTGTATTTTAAATCCCACTTTTAAAATTTTGTGGAATTTACCAACTTTCGATTGTATACCCCTGAAATATTATATGTAAATGTATTACAAATTCCCTAGATGCATAATCTTCAAAACAATTGAGTATGATAAATGACAGTTTGTACAACTGGTAATGGAATTTTAATAGGCTTTTAACCCTTTTTAACTCATTAACATTGATATAGGAATCTGCCTACATAGATTATAAATAAAGCACATTTAAAATGTAAATTATCTATTTACAAAATCTAGGTTTCAATACTTATAATGTTTTAATTTGATAGATGAAAATGTGTTTATAGTCAAATGAAAATTGTTTGAGAATTTAGAGGGATGCAAGGTTGTGCTAATTCTTAACACATTACATTGACATGTTAATAAGTTTTAATCTCATCTTACAATTGACAACACTATATGAAATAAAAGCAGCCCTTATAGTTTTTGCTGTTTTTCAGTACAAAGTCATCTGCCATACAATGGTAAAAGAGTGGCATAGCTTTCTGATTTTCAGATGGTATTGAAAACCCAAACTAAATAAATTAATTTGTACAGGCAGAGTGATTCATTCATAAAATACATTAAAAAGTTTGTTTTTTCTACAATAACTAATATCTACCAGATATGTGTGATTTGATATTTAGGATTTTGTGCGAGTTCAAGATGTAAAGATAAAAATTTCAACATAGGTAAAACAAGGCTTTATTTTATTTTTCTTGAATCACAACTTGGACCTGAGCTAATATTTCTAGTGATACCGCAATATGAAATACATTAACATTCAGTTTTGACAATAATCTTTTGACTAACACTGTTAATATGACCTAAGGTTTGCATTCTAATTACAATAACTTCAAATAAAAAAGAAGTTAACATCTATGTGATAGCACTTGTCTTATCCATATAACTTTTGTCTTAATTATTCAACCTCTTATTGACTCTTATGGACAGCCTTTGCTACTTACTTATAATTACACCCATTGTTTGGGATTGGAACTGCACCCAATACTATTTCAAAATTAAAATATACATTTGAATAGCAATTGGTTTTAAAAGTGTAAATGTATTGTGTGATGAAAGTTCTTATAGTAATTACAGACCTCAGACAAAACTAGCTCAATGCGGATGATTTTGTCTGGTTTGGAGGATTTGAGCGGACGCTGAAGCGCCGTGTGAAGGAGGAGTACCCCATTGTAATCGGTGCGGGCGCCCACACCACTACCATCCCAAACGAAGACCCGATCCGCACCCGCCGCATACTCAACGCCGAGAGTGCCTCCGTCATCTACAACACCATGCACACAATACAAATTGTTTATCATCAACTGTCAAGACAGAACAATGTAGGGCACGGATTCGATTTCTTTGTCGGACATGGCACATCCAAAAATAATGTAACCCAAATACAGAATTTCGTCCCAAACGCATTACTAATACCACACATATTCTTTTGTTAGAGACATTTTAGCATCTAAAACTTACCCGCTGACAGGCAAGAAGACTGGAGGATCACACCAGAGTTCACATCCAAAACGTGTACACCACCTACGTCAGTCTTCACCAATATTATATTTAAATTACTATGATACGTTAATGAAGTAACAGGAAAGTTCATACGTATATAACCATCTTCTCGTAATATCAAAGAATCATCGCCCATCGTGGCCGTGAACACATCTGTCTATTCTATGTAAACGCCATTTGTAATTTATATTTTTTTACGTCAAATATCTCGCCGACCAAAGAGAAGAGTGGCCAGCACGAAAATAATCGATATTTCTACTAGAGATAGTCACATGTATACCGATAGCAGTATTTCAAAAATGTTTTCACTATTACACTTCTTTGCTTAAACTTGAACATAACTAAATAATAAAATTATAACCTTAGGTATGTACGTTTACGTTTAGTTCACTATACCGAAAATAATATCTGGCTACACATTCCCAACCGACCTAGAATGCATGGGAAACTTCAGGAGTAATATTTAGACTTCCTATTTCGCAGCCCATAATATTATGTACGGTTTACTCAAAACAAGTTTAAATAAATTGAAAAAAACTTATACCGGTAAAAAAAATCGAGTATGCTTATAACCACATGACTGAAGTGAAACATCTTTAGCTCCAATGATCTGAAAATCATAAACTTAACCTGAAGATTTGTTGATAAATAAAAAACCACCAATCACACTGGGTCCGTATCGACCTCCGATCTCCACTGGGTCCGTTATCACCAACTAATCCGTACTGGGTCCGTTATCATCCACCAATCCGCACTGGGCCCATTATCACCCACCAACCCGCGCTGGGTCCGTTATCACCCACCAATCCGTACTGGGTCCATTATCTCCCACCAATAGGCACTGTTTCCGTTATCACCCACCAATCAGCACGAGGTCGGTTATCACCCACTAATCCGCACTGGGTCCGTTATCACCTACCAATCCGCAATGTTTCCGTTGTCACCCAACAATCCACGCTGGGTCCTTTATCACCTACCAATCCGGACTGGGTCCGTTATTACCCACCAATTTGCGCTAGATCTGTTATCACCCACAAATCGCGCTGGGCCCGTTATCACCCACCAATCCGCATTGGGTCCGTTATCACCCACCAATCCGTGATGAGTCCGTTATCACCCTCCAATCCACGCTGGGTCCGTTATCACCCTCCAATCCGCACTGGGTCCGTTATTACCCACCAATCCGCGCTTGGTCCATTATCATCCATCCCGCAGATTCATGTATTTTGTGCCGGGTATTGTTCATTGTTTACCGATAAGTCACCGATGATACTAATCGTAACAAATTCGCCAGTTTACCCTCCAAGTCAAGCGTACCTAAAGAGAAGTTTCACTAAAAAATCCTACAGTGTGATCAAATACAATAAAGTGAATAGAAGTTTGAAATTGTTTAGGAAGGTTTAAATAAGCCTTTTATATTTCGTAGTACCATTTCCAAGTTATTGCGAATTATTATTTTACCCTACAGTAAAGAGTAATGATAGTCATTTGTTTTGCCAATCTGAAGATCTTGGTCTCACTCAGTGGCGTAGCTACCGCCGTATCTGCCATATCAATTACACGGGGCTCCCAGGCCACGGGGGCCTCCAACCGGCGTTAGCAAAAATTAATAAAAACTTCCCAATTTTTTTTCAGAAAGGACATAAGTCTAATAATGCAATTTCTTTTTTCCCCGCGTAAAGCGTGCGTTGGCAACACCCTACATCGGCTATCGCGCGCTGCGGGATTTCTAAACGGGGAGATCCCGCAGCCCCCGGTAACCGATGTATATATGACGTAGTTAGTCATTTACTTAAACGGAGGAATCCCACAATAATCGATGTACTTGCGATGCCATGATAAACCACGGAGTCACTATTGTCCGTTGAGGCAGAAACTTTAGGAAAACTAAAGTGATCATTATCAGTCACATAAATGATTTAATGAATCAGTTTGCCGAAAAAACGGCAACGAGAGTGTATATTTGGGTGCTTCTTCGAATATGGAATTCTTTGATGATTTTCGTGGCAGTTTTTAAATCCAATTTTTTATTAATTTGATATCAGACACTTAAAATATACATAGAAGAAATATTTAGTTTATCGCTCTCTGAGGTGCCTCTATAAAAAATAGAGGCACCTCAGAGAGCGATAAACTTACAGAGATAACCGAGTTCAAAAAATGGAGGCCACGCAAATCTCAAAATACCCGAAAATGAAAATTTTAATTTAACTTTCTCAAATGAGTTATTTAATGTAACTTCGTATTGAAAATAAGTGATTGTTTTATTGTAATGTAAAAAATAGGAAGATGAATAAGATACTTTTCAATAATTTGGTAAATATCGTATTATTCGCAGTATTGAATGGAATCGGTTCACATATAGATTCTCAGTTGAGTCGCGTTCCCATTTTTTTAAAGTTCTCTCATACCGTCTAATCTCAAACGATATCGTAACGATACAGCCATAATTTAATTTGTCTATGAATCCCATACATTGAAAATCCGTAAACAACCGGTTTCCGCTTTTCCTTCGCCTATCTGGATTAAATGTCGATCTTTACTGTTTCAATCAAGATTTAACCGTGTTTCAACAGATTTTGTACCAATATGCACAAAAATATTTAAGTTTTTCAGGTTTTCACACCCAAACACGGAGAGAACACAAATGCTGACCTATTATTTAAATAGTAGTGTTGATTATGGTATGATTCTCTGAACCTAAACTTAAATTTGGCACCAGAACATCTTTGTCATTCTTTATAATCATGCCAGAATCGATACCATTATCTACGATGGTAAATAGTGGTGTCGATACTGGCATGATTTTCTAAACTTTTAACGAAATTATCAATAAAATCCTTTGGTATACTTACTTTACTCTTTGAATAAAATATATAAAATAACATCATGAATCTCTAGAGCTAAACTTGCCTTTAGAATGAAATGGACAGACTGATGTTTAATTTAGTTTTAAGTTAAGAAATCCTGCCAGAATCGAGACCATTCTCTCCTTTTAGAGAATGACAACGTTCGGTTCGGCTGGTGATCTTTCAGTATACTTGACGCATCGTTGGGCAACGGCGATCGACATCAAGAGGGAAGCGTTAGAGGTCGGTCTGGATTTCGCAAAGGCCTTTAATTGGGTCTGGCACTAAGCGCTTCTTACGAAGCTTCCTTCTTATGGCTTTCCAGAAAATTGTGCATTTCGGTCACAAATTTTCTTGCGGATAGGAGCATCCAAGCTTAGCATCCAAGTCGTAGTTAACGGTGCATGCTCGGACTCCAAATCGCATTTATCTTTCAACCATTTTCAAACGTTATTTATTTTTATCTATAAAAGGACAAATTTTGGAAGCATTAAACGAGTAGCGGATTGCATTTTTCAACTTCCAATTTGAATGTATCATAAGTTTAAAGGAGTAAAGTTGTATTAGCTAAATTCAAGTAGAAACACTAGAATAAATTAATTTTATAGTTATTCTACTGTTTCTACTCCACGCTAGACAGCATACTTTATATTAGTTTTCGTTTTATTGTAAAAGCGTCTACTGACATGCCTACCGCAGGGACAATCTAGGGTGTAAGAGTGGGGATGACCATGAATTGCCTCCTGAATTGTGATGTGCGTAGGCAAGTTGGTGCAATTTTCTAAATCGGGCCTGCGGCAGGGCGGCAGGAGCACGCGACCACCCTTGCTCACTAGATTGTCCCAACCGCCCTGCACGTTGCCGCGTGTGTAGCGCGATTGGGCCAATTTCTCAATCAGTCGGTTAGTAGCTGTCACACGCATGCCCCACATTTTTTCTTGTAATATTTTCTTTAGATTCAAACATTGAGCAGTTACATGCTAAAAAAATTAAAATTATGACTTTAATTGCTATTTCTTCTTTTAAATGTTTAATACTTGTAAAGGTATTCATTTGATATTGTGGGTTACATATAACGTGAAGAGATGGCGCTGCTTTGCAGCTTAAGAAAGGCTAGAAACAATTCGATACGGCCGTCAGGGCCGCGGTAGCATAATTGATCAGTGCATTCGCCCGGATAGCGAAGGGTGCGGGTTCGAGTCCCGTCCCGATTTTTTTCTAATCATAAACATTACTTATTTATAATACATTTCTATCTGTTGCCAATTCTTCACCCAGTATTTCTTTTTTTACGGTAACATAGTTTTTGATAACACTGGGACCATCATCCACGCGTGTGTTTAGCTCAACATACGCCCGAACACTGAATAGCAGGCATGTGTGTAGAGACAAGCCGATATTGGGCCGACCGCCGTGCACCCTAGATTGTCCCTGCGGCAGGCATGTCAGTAGCGCGTTCACGATTGTTCAAGAGGAAAGGTTAAATTTGAATCGTCAAAAAATGTGTCTTATGTTGATTTGTTTCTTTTGTTGTTTTTTTTTTGAGTAATCGTGGTAATTTAACCTTCGTGTGTGTTATTTGGTGTTATGTGTACTAGGTATTCAATTAGAGGCGTAGCTTTAGCGTCAGCTCACCGGAATGCGACGCGACGCTGCACTAGGGTTGGGCGTTTTTAGAATAACGATGCGCAATAACGATGCCAGGTTCGGATGCGCCTACGCTCTGAGTGAAATTTTTTATATAATAATTTTGCCAGCATTCAATCTTTTCAGATACCATACCGAATAGTAAATAAATGGTTTTCGATTACATTTTCAAGTCCTGATTCAAGGAATCGAAGAGATAGACCCACACAAAACACGCATCTGTAGAAATTAATATTGCATCGTATCCTGTGATACAAGATATCGACATTCAGTTGACATCGATGCGATGCCGGCATCGATGCGGGCATCCGATGCCAATTATCTGATACCGATGCGCATTGATTTCAAAAATATCTAAAAACGCCCATCTCTACGCTGCACGCTGCACAGAGCGACTCAAAACATAACTTTATTTACTACGCGAAAAGATATACATTGAATAAATTTAAGAATAATTAAAACAAAAAATATACTATAACAATGAACCTAAAACTATAAACCTTAAAAAATAAAATATAATAGCTAAAATACATTATTAAAAGGAGTCCCTTTAGGCAAGGTTCCGAAGATACTGGCAGCGTTCCCCCTTTGGATAGCTAGACTAATTCTTTGTCCGAGGTAGCTGCCAGCTCTTCGGTCTCCTGTGATGTTGACTAATCTATTCGCTATTTCTTTAAAAAGCCTTATAGCGGTAGGACCCCACGGACCAAGGGTCTCGACACCGAATGGGACAAAATTACATTGAATTCAGATTACGCGTGGTGCAATGTATTCCGAATTCAAACAATTACGGTGATGACAGAGTGACGAGAACTTAATGCCAACAGAGAATGTACTTTTTGAAAAAAAAAAAACATCATATTTGAAGTGAAACTTCTTTATCGGCGTTGGAAAAAAATTTACCGTCACATTTTTTTCGGTTAAGCGTCACGTTTTTTGGTTACGCGCCATCTTTTTTTTAAAAGAGCACTATTTACCTCATCCGAACAATTGCTTCTTCTGTCAACTTTAAAAAAAAAAAGTATCGACAGCAAATATTCGTGTTTCACACAAGGTAAGGTAAGGTAAGGTAAGGTAAGGTAAGGTAAGGTAAGGTAAGGTAAGGTAAGGTAAGGTAAGGTAAGGTAAGGTAAGGGGTATACCCTTTAGTGGGTGAGTTTTTGAAAAATCTTAGCGCACGCCTATATATATATTTCTAGAAAGTTGCATGTAGATCATTTTTCGAAAAAAATAAGGCCATAAAGAAGTTTCACTTCTTACCTGTGTACACTAGTACACGCACACATTTTTTTATAGTTTATTTTATAAATTCGGGCGAAGAAGTAAACAGAGGATATATTTTATTTATTTTTGGCTTTTTATTGCAGTAAATAAAAGCGTGTTTTTAGTTTTTTCCAAATATTAATTTCATCATCACATAGTTACTGTTATCATTCTCTTTATATCCTTTACTCAATTAAATTCATAGTCGACCTAAACATCTTTACCTCTACCCACTGCACCCCTCCTTCTCGGAGAACACTTTCAGAGTTACCACAAGTAAAATTGCAAAGGGTTGAGTTGTCTTCAGGGATGACACAGACTGAACCTCAAACACTAATTCTAAGTCAGTTTAACGAAAAAAAGGAACACAGATTTTACAAAAATATAAAATTTTATTATAAACTCAATAAATTATGTATAAAAAAATTGTGACATTTATCTTATAACTATCGGACGGATTGTTTACATCAACATAATACATTATAATTATACATTGCATACGGGCATAAACAGACAAGGATCATTCGATAGGAATAGTTACTACAAGTAACTATACTTGTATTATATCCCATTTCCTTCTACCGGAAATTCTGAGGTCAAATAGATTGACTTACCTACTACATTTCCGGTAAAGCGGTAGCAAGAATGAGTTCATTAGATGAACTTCATTTATTTTTATTTATTCAATGAAAAAGCAAACATCATGCAAATGGATAACACTAAGAAAGGGTGGGGGAAATGTATCCAATTTCGGAGTCATTCTCTATGGTAAATATTTTTAACCTATGGTTCTCCCAGGTGGACCAGGGACAATAAGGGGTATTATCTAAGTCTTTTTTCCACATTAGCTCGAAAATTAATTGAAAATTAGACAGCAATTAAGAGAGAAAGCTTGCAAGTTAAAAGATATTAAAATTCCCAAGACTCTAGCCATTTAAGTCCTGCCATGGTAGAATTAGGCTCGTGGGCCAGAGGGCCACTCATGCCATAAGCTAGGGGCGAGAACATATAGAAACTGTAAACAGTGGTGGATATGATGACACCGATCGCGCAGTGGTACACTGTTCTGCCGAGCTCTTGACTGAGGTAGCTACTAATGCTTTTCAGCAAGTATTCTGTCAGGATACCTGCAAATAAAAATGGATAATAATTTTATTTCTGAAAAATAAACTTTAATTTCCGGCGCAAAATTGTATGTTAATATTTTTTATTAATAAATTAACGTAATAATTTTAGACTTCGGCCTATTTGTGTAACGTTAAATCTTTCCGCAATCCCATTCAGAACTAAAGAAAAGGGTCAATGTGATGTAAAGAGGCGTGAAGAATTCGTATCGTTTGCGAGTCCGAAATGTCATTGTCAAATGTGTACTGATTTTTAGTTCTCGTTACGTACTTTTTGCCACTGCTGTTCAAGTTTCCATACAAAATTTCAAATTCGACAGAGGTTCTTCCTTCCTGTGAGCATGGAGCTGAATACCAGGGCAGGGCAATAGGGGTAGAAGTATAGCACCCGTCCTATCGCCCACAAGGGACAATTAATAGGCTGATGATATTTAAATAAGATCGGTCTTGTGGTTTCCTTCCTTACCTGTGAGCATGGAGCTGAACACCAGGGCAGGGCAGTAGTGGTGGAAGTATAGCACCCGTCCTTTGATTAAAACAAAAAGGGAAGATATGGTACGCTCATACTAGCATCAAATAAAATATGATCCGACTCAACTAGATAAGCAACACGCACACTTCTATAAATAACATTCAATCGAGCGAGCGAGACAAAACTGTACCCTAGCACGAACCAATATCGAATTCGTATCGTTTGCTAGTCCGAAATGTCATTGTCAATTGTGTACTGATTTTTAGTTCTCGTTACGTACTTTTTGCCGCTGCTGTTCAAGTTACCATACAAAATTTGACATTGACATTTCGGTTTGAAAACTATTCGAATTCTATAATGGTTCGTGCTAGGGGTACAGTACACTTCAACGCAGAGAGAGCGAAACGACGAATCCGCTACCGAGTGCGAACGGCCGAGCTGTATTGTTGTCCTTTTCTTGATAACAAAATGGCGATTACGTAAATAACATTAACGACAAATCGTGATTTTTGAGAAAAGAAATATTTTAGTTTTACAAATGAGAAGTCCTGCCGAAGCATTTGTCATTTGATGTTGAACTATTCGTGTTCTTTTTAAAAGGATCAAAGGCATAGTTTTATCTTTATAACACAGAATATACGCTAAATTGTTATTTATATTGAGTGCACATGCAGTGTTTGAATGTCCAATTGTAACTACAGTGAATTGTGATCGTGCAGGGGATCACTTTTGAGCCGCGAGTGCCGTATCTTCCCTTTTTGTTTTAATCTAAGCACCCGTCCTATCTATCGCCCACAAGGGACAATAATAGGCTGATGGTAATTCAAATAAGAACGCTCTTGTGGTTTTCCTTCTTTACCTTTTTTTTTTTTTTAATGTTTAGAAAATGCATTACGCATACTTCGCCAACCAAGGGTTGCGGACGAAGCTATCGGGGACTCCTCTCCGCCGCTTCAGGGAACACAAGTGCTCCGAGAAGCAAGCGGGGCCCTACCTCGCCAAGAAGGCGACCGCCACAAGGACGACCGTAAAAACTAGACAATACTCCTGCACCGGTCACCCGGCGCGCATTATGAGGGACCGCGGTCCCTCCTAGTGCGCACCGGGAGTGCGAGTGATGTGGCGGTATCCGTTTCCGAATAGTCCGCCCACCCGCAAGGTGATTGTCCGCAAGCGGACCCGCCCTGATGAACATGCCCCGGAGTATGAGGGGCATCAACATCCAGAGAGCTTGTGCAATGCAAGCCTGGCCCCCTCAGGACAGACTCGCGGCCCTCATGAGAGTGGGAGGGAGAGCGTAGTTCTCTCCGTCCCTCTCTCGTCCCCCCTTCCTTCTTTACCTGTGAGCATGGAGCTGAACGCCAGAGCAGGGAAGTAATGGTGGAAATACAACACCCGCCCCATCGCCCAAAAGGGCACGTAGTGAAGAGCCCACCCCATGAAATTCCAACAAGCGGCATTCAGAAGATCATACTCTTTACCAGCTGAAAATAGACGAAATGCTTGAGAATAGAAAAAAAGTTGACTCATTGATTTAGATGAAGTATTATTTTTCTACTTTATTGGCGATAGCAATAGATAGACAATTTAGCTATCGCTAAAGATGTTTAAAAATGGCCAGGAATTCATGTGTTACAATTCATGTGTTGGTGTCAACCGCTAAAGGAGATGTCCTAAAATGTTAGTCTGGGCCAGCGGTCGTATTGACGACCTCCGTGGCCGAGTGGTTTGTACGCCGGGTTTCATGGTGTCGCCGACTCGAGAGGACCCGGGTTCCAATCCCGGTGGGAGCAATGTTTGTGTGATGAATACGAACATTTGTGCTCCAGTCAAGGATGTTTAATATGTATTTTCTATATGAATATGCTTATAAATGCACAGTATATGTATTCTATCCGTTACTCTAGTATCCCATTACAGTGCAAAGAAAGCGGTTGAAGCGGGATGCAGCCTCACTGTGCATATAAAAATGTCTCGCTCTAACAAACGAACTTGCATAGAGTTACGAGTTCATAATTAGGTCTCAGTTCCGTGTCCAAGAAATTGACACTGTGCATTTATATTATTTAAACTTAAATAGATACATAAATATAATTGTTCTGGATTCAAGTAACAACTTCTATTCTGTTTATTTAATTCTACCAGATTACATTGCCAAAGGGTAACAACTGTTAAAATTGCTCAGCCGTTAAACCATATCATAAAAACAAAGAGTGTAGAAACGAATGTACTAGCTTCCGCCCCCGACTTTGTCTGCGTTAAATTTTTTTTTTTGAAATTACTCAGGGACCTAACATTTGTGTGGGTAATAAACTATGCCAAATTTCATCCAAACCCGTTCAGCAATATTAGCTTAAGAGAGTAACAAACATCCACACACATCCATACACACTATCGCGTTTATAATATTAGCAGGAAGGAAGTAGAATTATGGAGGAGCTCGATGGCGCGGGTGGTTAGCGCTTTCGGCTGCGATAGTTGAACTTAAGCAACATTCGCAGTGGTCGGTCTTTGGATGGGTGGCCAATAATCTTCTCTCGAGTTCCTTCGTGCTTCGGAAGGCACGTTAAGCCGTTAGTCCAGGCTGCATCGCCAGTCGTTAACCCCCGCGCATCCGCATTGGGCCCGCGTGGTGGGTCATGGCCCAATCTTCCCATTCCATGCATAGGATGGCCTGTGCGCCAGCAGCGGGGGCATTAATAGGCTGATGATGATGATGATGAAGTAGGATTATTAATTGACACAAATAACAAATATATCACACTTACTTTGTATCGGTTTACCAAATGCTTCAGCTCTTTTCTGCCTGATGGAGTTGACGGTGTAGACCACAAAAAATATGGCCAGGAAGACCAGGTTGGTCCACCAGACCACCGGGTTGCCCAGCAGGTAGATTCTGTGAGCGCTGCCAGAGAAGAACTGACCCTATGACAAATTGAAAAAAATTACAAGCTTTATCAAGCTTAAAGACAGTTCGATGTCTCTCTCACAAATTTCTGTGTGAAACGGAGGAAGCCACAGTCACAAAAAAACAGTTTGATTAAATTATGGGACACTATCGTATTATCACATATTTTGACGACCTCCTCAGTGTAATCGTTTGTATACCGTATATATATCTTTATATATATAATTCTTCTGTGAGTGTGTATGTCACTGAACTTCTCTTAAACGACTAGACCGATTTTGATGAAATTTTTGTGTGTGTTCAAGGGGATCTGAGAATGGTTTAGATTCACAATTTTGTCCGCTGGACAACCCCTATTTTTTTAGGGCGGTACGAAGTTCGCTGGGTCAGCTAGTCAGCTATATATATATATATATATATATACTAGCTGTCCCAGCGAACTGCGTACTGCCATAAAAAAATAGGGGTTGGTGGTAGAACGGAGAAAATTTAGGGTTGTATGTATTTTTGTATGATGTATCATAAAAAAAAATTAGGGGTGGATTACCCTTCCCTTCCCCGGTGCTGGTGGAGAGGGGGGAGGGGTATGTGGCGGCACGATGGGGAGAGGTGGTGGTGGTGTCCACCTACTTCTCCCCCAACCGCAGCAGGGCCGATTTCGAACGGTTCCTCGCTGCGGTTGAAGGGGTCGTGCACCGCGCGGCCCCTCGTCAGGTGCTGGTGGCTGGGGACTTCAACGCGAAATCGACCGCGTGGGGGTCCCCCCGCACTGACGTCAGGGGTGGTGTTCTGGAGGCCTGGGTGTTCGCCCTGGGTCTCCAGATCCTCAACCAAGGAACCACCCCTACCTGCGTCCGGTGGCAGGGCACGTCACTCATTGACGTGTCCTTCGCCACCCCGCCGCTCGCGGCTCGTATCCGGGGCTGGCGGGTGGAGGCGGATGTGGAGACCCTATCGGACCACCGATACGTCCGATACGAGGTCTCCACGGCATCCCCAGGGGCCCCGGTGGGCCCCCGTGCGGGCGGCGCGCCGTTCAAACGGTGGGCGCTCGCACGCCTCCAGCCGGATGTGGCGGAGGAGGCGGCGACGGTGCGGGCCTGGGCAGAGGTCCCCGACGCCGTCGCAGGGGAAGCCGACGGCATGGCGGACCTCTTCGCGGACGACATCAACGTCGTCTGCAGCGAAGCCATGCCGAGGGCGCGAGTTGGCCCACGAAGGAGTGGGCAGGCATACTGGTGGACGCAGGAGCTCACGATCCTGCGTACCGCCAGTATGGGGGCCAGGCGCGCCTACCAGCGATGCCGCAGGCGCGCCAGACAACCGCCCGGCGAAGAGGAGGTCCTCCGCCGGGCGTACAACGAGGCCCACACGGCCCTGCGTAGAGCCATCTGCAGGGCCAAGGTCGCTGCCTGGGATCAGTTTCTGGCCATCCTGGACAGCGACCCCTGGGGGAGGCCGTACCGGATGGTGAGGGGGAAGTTCGCTTCAGCGGCCCCCTCCACGTCCGATATGGAGCCCGCGCTGGTGAGAAGGGTGCTGGGGACACTTTTCTCAGACCCCGGGCCCTTCGAACCCCCCAAGATGCTGCCCCCCGGTTCTGCTCCGGGGGCGTGGGCAGCCGGCCCCCCCGTGTCTGATGCAGAACTAGACACGGTGAGGGACCGGCTCCGGAGCCGCAATAAAGCTCCGGGGCCGGACGGGGCCCCGGCCAAGGTAATGGCCATTGCCTTGGGCCCCCTGGGAGAGCGATTCCGCGCGGTGCTCGACACATGCATCGCGACGGGTCGCTTTCCCAGGCGCTGGAGAGTGGGGCGGCTCTGCCTTCTCCGCAAGGAAGGCCGCCCGGCAGACTCCCCAGCGGGCTACCGGCCGGTGGTGTTGCTCGATGAGTCCGGGAAGGCTTTTGAGAAGATTCTCGCCTCCCGGATCATCGAGCACATCGAGGGTGAGGGGCCGGACCTGGCGGAATGCCAGTACGGCTTCCGAACCGGCCGGTCCACGGTGGACGCGGTTGGCCGTCTCAAGAGGTGGACTGAGGCGGCCACAGCTCGGGGGGAGGTGGTGATCGCGGTGTCCTTGGACATCGCGAACGCATTCAACACCATCCCCCACGAGTGCATAGAGGCGGCGCTCGAGTTCCATCGAGTGCCACTCTACCTCCGCACCCTCGTCCGGGACTACCTGCGAGACAGGTCAGTCCTGTACGAGGATGCGGAGGGCCGCGTCCAATCGTGGCCAGTGAAGGCAGGCGTACCCCAGGGTTCCGTATTAGGTCCCCTCCTATGGAACCTGGGGTACAACTGGGTCCTGCGGGGTGAGCTCTTGCCGCGCATGGATGTCGTCTGCTTTGCGGACGACACCCTTGTAGCGGCGAGAGCGAGGGGGTGGGAGGGGGCGGTCCGCCTTGCGTCGGTCGGCACCTCCATGGTCGTCCGACGCATCCGCCTCCTGGGACTGGAAGTGGCCCTCGAAAAGACGAGGGCCATGGCCTTCCACGGTCCCAGACGCAGGACCCCGCCGGGGCTCCGTGCCCGGGTAGAGGGGGTGTGGGTTCCGGTCGAGATGCACCTTAAGTATCTCGGCCTGACCCTAGACCCCCGATGGAGCTGGGAGGAGCATTTCAGGCTCCTCGCTCCCCGGCTGTGCGGCGTCGCAGCCGGACTCGGTCGCCTCCTCCCCAATGTGGGGGGGCCGAAGGCGAAGTGCCGTCGGCTTTATCACTCCGTGATAAAGTCGATGGCACTGTACGGGGCCCCGGTCTGGGCGGAGTGCCTCTCGTCCCGCACGAGGGCCCTCTTGCGAAGACCGCAGAGGGTCATCGCGATCCGGGCCGTGCGGGCTTACCGCACGGTCAGCCACGGGGCTGCCTGCGTCCTAGCAGGCACGCTCCCGTGGGAGGTTGATGCCCTGGTACTGTCCCAGGTGCATCAACACCGGGTCGCGGCGAGAGAGCGGGGCGAGCGACCCGTTCTAGAGGAGACAGAACGGGTCCGCACCGAGGCGCAGAGGGAGGCTCTGCGCCGATGGGTGGAGGCACTCGCCAACCCAGCCGCTGGCCACCGGACGATCGAGGCGATTCGTCCGGTGTTGGAGGAGTGGGTAGGGCGCCAGCGGGGCACCCTCACCTACCGCCTGGTGCAGGTACTGACCGGACATGGGTGTTTCGGTCACTACCTGCACCGAGTCGCCCGTCGGGAGGAGACGCCGCGGTGTCATCACTGCGCCTCCCCCGACGACACGGCCGAGCACACGTTGATCGTGTGCCCGGCCTGGCGAGATGAGCGCCGCGATCTGATCGCGGCGCTCGGCGGAGGGGGCCTCACGCTGCCAAGTATGGTCAGAGCCATGCTTGGTAGCGAGAGAGCCTGGAGGGTTGCCGCCTCCTTCTGCGAATCTGTGATGGCGCAGAAGGAGGCAGCGGAGAGGGAGCGGGAGGAGGACGCTCTAGCCGCCCCTCTCCGGCGTAGACGGGTGGGCCGAAGAAGGCAGGCAGCGGTGACTGCCGGTCTTCGACGGCCCTAAGGTGGCCTGGGCGCGGCCTGACCAGCCGCGCGCCCTAGGTGCCGCTCCGGCATAGGCCACCACGTCTGGGGACTGCCTAGTACCCTAGCGCAGTCCCCCTGAGGCGCGTCGCCCGGTCCACTCGTTGGGCCGGGCCTGCCCGGGGGCGGGCTCGGAGTTGTGGCGCACGCAGGTGCGTCGGCCCCGAGACGCCCCCACATGGGCGTAGGAGGGTACCGGGGGGTTTTAGTGGAGTAGGATCAGTGTGGCCTTCCGCACTGGTCCTGCTTGAGTAGGGTCGGCACTGTTTCCCGTGCCGGCGAGTCCCACACACGCCGTGCGCCTAGTCAGCGTCACGGTATGGTGCGTAACTGCATTTCCCCTCGTCACAAAAAAAAAAAAAAAAAGGGGTGGATTACCCTTAACATTTAGGGGGATGAAAAATAGATGTTGTCCGATTCTCAGACCTACCCAATATGCACACAAACTTTAATGAGAATCGGGAAAGCCGTTTCGGAGGAGTTTAACCACAAACACAGCGACACGAGAATTTTATATATTAGATGGTGTAAGGATTCGCCAACTCAGAGGTCCTGGGTTCGAATCGCTGTGGTACAAATGTTAGTCATTAGTAATATGAATCAAGAGTTTATCAGCCTTTTCAAAATTGTAATTGCGTAACAAAAAGATATCTATTTCTTCTTCAACAAATGTGTCTCTATCTAATACCATACAATGGTGTCGATTTCGGCGTGATTCTCTAAACTTAAAACTAAATTTAACATCAGTCTTTCCCTCTCATTCTGTATACAGAATGATAAAGATGCACTGTTGTCAAATTTTAGCTTTAGAGAATCATGCCAGAATCGACACCAATATTTCTGTTTTGTATGGTCAATTTGTCAATCGCCGTCGATCACTTTCTTGCAACCATCACCGAGCTGTTTACTGATCCACTACTGCTTTATTATAACGCCACTAAGGTACTTGTTCTGAAATGTATCGATGAATATACAATTTTCCCTTCAGTTACAACCCGTTAATTAAAAAAAAGTTAGCGCCGTCCTGGATGGATAGGATGGAGTTCTTTGGGGGAGGCCTATAGTCAGCAGTGGGCGTCGTATGGTTGAATGGTGATGATCTACAACTCACCCTATAGTTGATAGGCCACTGCCAGGGTTGTGACGTTACCTCCCCCTCCTTAGGTTTGAGGCCCGCGTTCCCCTGGAACATCACCGCGTGCGACTCCAAGAACCGCTCCATGAAACCAGACGCATACACTTCGAAACTCACTTTTGGCACTGCAATAAAAAACGAGCGAGCCTTACATTAGTCGCGTATGATGTGTAACATTTGAAACCTCACCTTATATTAGTAAAAAAAGAAATAAAACCTACTAGGTACAAAAGAAATAAGCCATTTGAACATTATGTTCTAAAATCAAATATAATAGCGCGCGCTTCCCAAACTTCCTGTTATCCCTGCTATCACTCCCACAAAGTGCACGAAAGCGAGAGGAAAGATGTTACACATCAACAAGTTACATGGTGAATAATGTAAGAAATTTTGTTTTAAAGACAATGTAATATTTGACATTTTCTAGACGTTTTCAAAATTTATAATTTAAAAAAAATATCGTTTAAGGATTATACCTAAGAAACATGCGAATCAACAGAAATTTCCCTCCTTATGCATAAAAGTTATTATTCATTATGGGGTTGGTGGTAGAAGGGTGAAAATTTAGGGTTGTATATGTATTTATGTATGATGTATCATGAAATTATATAAAAAAATGTCCAAAATAAAATTTAAGGGTGATGAAACATTTAGGGGGATGGAAAATAGTTTTTGTCCGATTCTCAGACCTACTGAATATGTATATAAAATTTCACGAAAATCGGTCGAGCCGTTTCGGAATAGTTAAATCACGCACACCGTGACAGGAGAATTTTATATATTAGATTATTCATATCACTCAAGTGCCATTTGAGGAGCTGGCGTACAAAACGGTATAATTACGCATCTGGTTTTGAGCCCGCTGAAACTCATTTTCAATCAAAACCGCCTAAAACAGTACTATAATAACTTAAAAAAACGTAAAGTAGGTGACTTATCCAAGCGTATTCTACGTTTATTATTAAGGCCATTTAAGCCAGACAATCTGGCGCCGTAACGCGTTACGTAACGAAGCGGTTTACGAAGTTATCACTTCAATAAGCAATGACTTAAGATATAGCACTAGAAGTTCCTATCTTACGGTCTTCGAAGACGTTATCTTCGACGTTCCACAGGGCGTTCTTATCCCTCAGGTTGGGGTTGCAGGCCACCTCCTGTTGCTCGTAGCCCCACTTCGGCAGTTGTTTACCAGTTGTTGTAAGAATACATGCCTGGTAGAAAGAATAAGGTAAGCTTTATTGATGTCATTTTTGGATTAAAGCTTGTTGCCTGCACCTCACTTGGTGTCCACCCCCTTACGTCTCATTATCCATTATCATATTACGTTCTTAACTAACTAACTTAAATTAAATAAATTAGTTATTATTAAATTAGTGACTAACGGCCAGTTCCAGTAAAAGGTAAAAATAATCTGGTTCCGTTTCTTAGCAACGGTTGTTATTAGTCTTAAGGCGCCTGTACACGTCTTGGTCGTTCGCCTGAATACGAATGCCAATGGTATTCGGGTAAACGAATATTACGACAGGTAGATTTCCTTTTGTTTACCCGACACCACCTTCCAGCCCGCAATCCAGTGTAAATATTGCTTCGGGTGCCTGAATTCGAGTAATGCTTTCGTGCACCAGAATACGGGCTATCGACCAAATATAATTGCGGCGTCAATAATAAAAATATCTTAGCAACAAAGCTCGAGTAGGCCTGCCCGAATAGTTTGCGTGCAAAATGTCACTGTAAAATGTGTACAGATTTTAAGTTCTCGTTACGTCCTTTGTGGCGCTGCTGTTCAAGGTTCCATACAAAATGTGACAATGACATTTCGCACTCGCAAACTATTCGAATTCGATATTGGTTCGTGCTAAGGGTACTAAAGTTTGATTATTGAAACTGGCCGTAAAAGGCAGCGGATAATTATCCACGAGTTCTCTGTGTAGGAATGCTGTAAACGCGCCGTTGCCTATACGTAGTCGATTACCGCAGAATTGATTTGATTAGCTCCGGTTACGTGCTTGTGTATTGCATAATTTCGTTTGAGTTTCCGATAAGATTTAGTACACCCATCTCTTATCTATTAGACAAGTCCGTCCGTCCGTCTGTGGTGCTGTTTCAGCGGCCAAACCGTAAGAGATAGATATAGAGAATGTTTAAGTTATAAGTTAAGAATAGTCTGATAAGACTACAAACCGGATGTGAGTAACGTAGCACTTCCGGTTTTCGAGAAATCACGTGATTACTATTTCAAACGAAACCACACAAAATCTCCGAAGTTCTCAATTAATTAAATACTTTTTTTTTTTTTGGTGAACATTTGTTTCACTGGTTTGCTAGTTTATTTATAATATCCATAAATGATTAAATTAAATTGTGATAAGCAGAGTATAGCGAATTAACCGCTTTGTTTCGACATCACTAATTTAAATTTTTGAGCAAAAAAAAAATGATTTTTGACGACTTCCGTGACCGAGTGGTTTGTACGCCGAGTTTCATGGTGTCGCCGACTCGAGAGGTCCCGGGTTCGAATCCCGGTGGGGGCAGATGTTTGTGTGATGAATACGAACATTCCTACTCCAGTCATGGATGTTTAATATGTATCTCTATATAAATATACTTATATATGTACAATATATGTATTCTATCCGTTACCCTGCCCTAGTATCCCATAACACAAGCCTTACAGTACTTACTGTAGGGCTAAGCTAATTGGTATGAGTGTTGAAAAAATTTATTATTTATTTTATTTAAATACCAATCTGCATATAACTGAGTAAAGAATATAAACAATCATATTTCACACTAGATATAAGTAAAGTTCTAAGAAAGTTACTTCGATCGAACATCAAGGTGCGTTTAAGAACGCTAATACTATAAAGCATTGGTTTATAATTCATAGCACGATATCGTGCACCATACCTTATAGAACATTTCAAACCGCGCTATACTATACAGATTAGTTTAAAGGCACTTTACAGAACATTACATAAAGATTGTGAAAAACGAAACGATATTAAATACCCTAGATACAACATCACGAGCAAAATGTGGCCGAATCTTGTCCAAAAGGTACATTGGACGATCCACGGGGCTCTAAGATGACCGCGTAGTCAAAATCAATATAAGGCATTATTTAAACATTGAAAGTCACTTTTAATGCATAGTATATAAGGTCTTAATTTAAACGCACGCGTCAAAGAGTTATGGCAGTTCGAAATGGAAGTTCGTAAAATTTTACGACTTGTTGCTATAGGCGCAAGAATATAGACTTTATTTTTATGACACGATATCGTAATTCTGAAAACGCTGTTAGTAATATAGCAGGTACGTAGCTCGAGGAAAAGAGACGGCTACATAACAGACCATGCATTTTAATAACACAAATATTTCCTATTTAAATCTGTTTATAGTAATACTAGCTGAGCCAGCGAACTTCGTATCGCCATAAAAATATGATGTATCATAAAAAAATAAAAAAAAATGTCCAAAAAAATAATTTAAGTGTGAAGCACCCTTAACATTTAGGGGGATGAAAAATAGATGTATACTGAATATGCATACAAAATTTCACGAAAATCGGTCGAGCCGTTTCGGAGGAGTTCAATTACGCACACAGTGACACGAGAATTTTATATATTAGAAGAGAAGATTAGAACAAAATATGCTTCAAATGCTCTAAATTAAAAAATATTCATTAGATACCTATCGAGAAAATGACACTACGTAATATAAGTATTTTTTTTCGCATTTTTTTCTTGGAGCTCTGCGACATCTTGACTTTTGAACGTGGTGTTCAAGCACGTCTTGATTGGGGACACATTTTGAGCGCACGTGGTGTATCTAGTGTTTTTAAATATCGTTGGATATATGCCCTAAGTCAAATATTTAACAAATAGGTTTTGAACGATTTGACGACCATTGTGGAGTGGTTTACATGTACATCGGTTTTCAAGGTGTCGACTACTCCGAAGTCGGATTCCAGTGGAGCAAAAGTAGATTCGTTTCCCGTATGATTCGTTAACATGTTTGTATGATGAAACAAAACAGTAACCCCCTTATTAATAAACAAGGAATAAGCTTAGACTAGTTACGCCGTGTTTTGTTCATATCACTCAAATGTCATTTGTCAATAGTCAGTGTCAAAACATGGAGTAAGTAATCCAAGCGTAGTCTTCGTTTATTAATAAGGGGGTAAGTAATGTACAAATTACCTGCAAGTAATGTACAAACATGAGTTTGCTCTTCACTGTCTGCACTTCTTCGCCGTCCTTTCCTCCCGATATTACTACTTTCCATACGTCATTTGCATCTCCGATTCCATCCTGTTTGTAGTTTAAAAGAATTGTTTAATTATAATAAAAATCAAAATTTAAGTCGTGTTTATATTACAGTTGATTTTTCACAGCGGTAGCCGTGATTAGGCTAACATTGTGAAAAGTCAGCTATCTTTTTTTCCTAATTTACATTTAGTTTGATTTCGGTAGCATGTAGCGGTCAGTGATTGCGAAAGCTGCTGGTTGGATCCCAGCCTGATACTTAAGCAGAGTTCAATTTATTGTAGTGAAATTTTCTTTGGATTAAAAAACTTTACAGTATAATTCTTAAATAAAAATTAAATAACAACACATTCAGGTCGTATCAGAGCAATATACTTTAAACATCTATTCTATTACTTACGCCTTTACAAATAGGATCATCTGAGTTATTTTTCAAAATGATACTAATTCATTTTGTTATGGTCCTTCGAGCTAGATCGTATTAAGTTTCATCAATAATTCTTGAGACCCCCTCACCACTATGTACTTGTGAGTGGTGAGCGGCGCCCTATCGTGGTATGAATGTAAGTTTCGTCCAGTGGGTGCGGGTGAGAGTCGCACTAAGTCGCCGCTACGTACGATCACTACTCCCGATACCATTTCTCTATCTATTTAGAAGCTAATGATAGTCTCTCACCTCTACGTAGCCAGTGACTTGCATATGCTTGGTAGTGAGTGGCGCCCTCTCGCGGTGTGAATGTAAGTTTCATCCAGTGGGTGCGTGTGAGAGTCGCACCAAGTCTCCGCTGCGTACGATCACTACTCCCGATACGATTTCTCTATCTATTTAGAAGTTAACAATACTCTCTCACCTCTCCGTAGCCAGTGATTTGCTTATGCTTGGTAGTGAGTGGCGCCCTCTCGCGATGCGAATGTAAGTTTCGTCCGGTGGCTGCGTGTGTTAGTCGCACTAAGTCTCCACTGCGTACGATCACTACTCCCGATACGATTTCTCTATCTATTTAAAAGTTAACGCTAGTATCTCACCTCTCCGTAGCCAGTAACTTGCATATGCTTGGTAGTGAGTGGCGCCCTCTCGCGGTGTGAATGTAAGTTTCGTCCGGTGGCTACGTGTGTTAGTCGCACTAAGTCTCCACTGCGTACGATCACTACTCCCGATACGATTTCGCGGTCGAAAGGCTTCACCAGCCAACGGTTGTTGTCGTCTTTGTGCGTGTATGTTGTGACCTAGTGTTGTTATAACTGTATGAATTATACACGAAAATACATTTATAAGCCGTTTACCAGGTGAGGTAGGCAGAGAGAACTAAACGCTATAAGACACGGTATTATACACACATCTTTTGCTAGTAACTATCAAGTAATCTGTACGTTCATGGAAAATTTGTGTAGTTTTTTATCTCTTTAGAACATCCAAGGCCGGATAAAATGATATCTACTCCGAGGTAGTGGAGGCTCTTAAATCTGGAACGGAACACTTATTGTTCCAAACCTACGCTTTGAGTGCAATTTTTCACTCTGACGTTTCAATTTTGACTTAAAATGTACGAAACTTATTTAAACATTGAAAGTCACTATTAATGCATAGTATATAAGGTCTTAATTTAAACGCACGCGTCAAAGAGTTATGGCAGTTCGAAATGGAAGTTCGTAAATTTTTTACGACTTGTTGCTATAGGCGCAAGAATATAGACTTTATTTTTATGACACGATATCGTAATTCTGTCTAATTAGTCTAATTTGACATTTGTTGCACCTGGATCCTGGTTTTTGAATGAAGCCCTGCTTATTTTGTGTGCGACAGCCTCGTGAGCAGTAGACGGCGTGTGTAGAGAACAAAGCGTATAGTGCGATTCAAATAAGAATAGGAAAGCCATTGACCTCCATTTGTCATACGTCGCTTGAAAAGTACGGTTTGCAAAAAAATCTTGGAACCCTTTTATAGCACTTAGCTAATTCTAGAATAAAAACCAAACATTTGTAAACAAAAATTAACAAATATTGATAATTAATATTGTTTGATATTTTTTTGACTGGTTGACAACTTAAATCGTCAACCAAATGTCTCTTTAAGTTGCGTTCATAAACTCGATTTAAAACTTCCGTTTACATAAAGTATGTATATTTGTATGTGAACTGGTAATAGTGTATGATTATTCATAACTACTCCGGCTGTAATGCAGAGATGAGCGGAATTGAATAGCTAGATTCTGATTAATGTTTTTTCTAACACAGTAAATAATAAATAAATAAATATTATTAAAATCGGCTGTTTTTCTCACTTAATCTTAGTAAAAAGTTTTATTAAATAAAAACTTTCTTTGCTCACTCTACTTATTTTTGACAGATTTGAATTGACAGCTATGACGTCACAATATGGCGCCCAGTCGGTTTTATTCTTAGTTGAATCAAATTATATGTGTTTTTATTGAATGTTTTTAAAAAACTTTTGCAGAAGACCTGGCTTTATTTACCTGTTGTTGCCTGGCCCCCGTTCCAGCAGGATACAGATGATGATGTGAGTGCAAGTACCCTCCGCCAGTGCGATGATTTTTCAACGTTATCTGCGCTCCGTATGCCAAAACTCTGGGAGCGCTCGCATTATGCAAGCTGTTACCTTCCAGACGAGCTTGGAATCCGGACGAATAAAAACCGTCGCCATTTCCGCTGTAATATTACGGCAGAATTTAATTTATAATAATGTGGAATTAATTATCAACACAGCCTATTAATGTCTCCATTGCTGGGGCACAGGCCTTCCCTATGGATGGATTAGGGAGATTGGGCCATGACCATAAACGCGGGCCGAGTGTGGATTGGTGGGAGCTAACGACTGCAGATGCAGCCGGGAACAACGGCTTGGCGTGCTTTCCGAAGCACGGAGGAGGAGATAATTAGATTTTGCTCACCCATCCAATGACCGACCATTGCGATAGTAGCTTAACTTCCACGATCGCAGGCCAATCCAGCTAACCACCATCGCCTCACCTTTTTTCCTCTAAATGTAATTAGATAAATATAATAAATGCAATTTTATTACCTTTTACTGAGGACAGTCAGATGTATCCAGAAAAAGAAAACATAAAGTATCATTGGCCATACAATCAATGTCACTGTCCTGCCAATCAAATGTTTAATTGTAAGACTCTGAAAAAAATATTAAACAGTTCAAATGAAGCGACGAATTAGAGAAAATGGTATCTCTGTGACATATTGTAGTGCTCTATATGTGCATTGACATTTGCATCTCTTTTAGATATTAAGTTCTCTAAAACAGTAAATCGACTCCCTAATGGCCGATTGATTGTGTTACTTTTAGTCCTATCGCCAACCATATCTAAATATATAAAAGAAGAAACTGACAGATTGACATATCAACGCACAGCCCAAACCCATAGATCGAGAGACTCCAAATTTGGCACGTAGGTTCCTTGTGATGTCTAGGGGTTGTAAGAAAGGATTTTTCAAAATTCACCCCCCAAGTGGTATAAATAGAGGATGAAAGTGTGAATGTAAAATCTTATTCCTTAAGTTAATAGACTTGATACTTAGCACAAATACTTACCTAATTAAATTATAAATTTTGTCATTTTTAGTTTTCCTACAATACCCCCTAAAAGGGGATAGGGAGAGTGTCGAAGTTTTTATATGGATTAATTTTAACGCGCTTTTCGATTAACTCTAAATTTGGTATATTTACTAAAGACCAGAAATAAAGATGAAATCGGATGCGGATGAAAATCTTATTCTCTGAGTTAATAGAATTAAAACTTTGGTAGGAATATGAAATACTTCTCTAAATAAATAATAAAGTTTGTCATTATTGGTTTGCCGTAACTACCCCTAAAAAGTGCCGAAGTTTTTATATGAATTAATTTTAACTCGCATTTGATTAACTCGAAAGATCAGAAATCAAGATGTTTGAAATTCTACCCCTCAGGGGTAATAATGTGGATGAAAGTATGTATGAAAAATCGTGTTCCTTGGGCAAATAGACTTGAAACTTGGCACAAATACTTATCTAAATAAATTATAAAATTCATCATTTTTAGTTTTCCTAAACTACCCTCTAATCCTCTCTGGATTGAGGGTGTCGAAGTTTTATATGAATGAATCTTAACGCGCGGTTCAAATAGTAAAGTCTAACATGACACATTAGCCATACAGAAGTTGTAAGCAGATTGATGAAAAAGCAGATTTGGTAAAAATTTGCTGCCTGAATCACTGAGTCCACGCGGACGAAGTCGCGGGCAAAAGCTAGATATTTCATAATTGGGAGAGAGATTAGTCGTTCTTTTATATAAAGGTCTGACAAATAACTCCACTCCACCTGATGTTAAGTGCCTGCCTGATGGTATTGCATTATTGGCATTGCTATACCATGACATATTGACACTTTTGTTTTGCTTTAATGGTATATATTTTAAAGCTACATTTAAAAAAAAATGCCTCCTGTCTTACCATGAATTATAATATAAATATACTTACAACAGGTTTTTCTAAATCGCCAAGAATGTTCCACAAGTCCGCAATAGTTCTCAGGCCTACAAATAGTACTATGAACAATCCAACAAACTTGACAGATATAGTGCTAGCAATAGCAGCTCCTAGAAATACCTGCCAAGCGAGCATTCGAATCGAGAATGGCTGTAGGCCTTCCTCAGTTAAAGTCCTGACCTGAAAATATAGAAGTTTTGAGAATTGGATGATTAATTTAATTTAAATATGCCAAAGGTTACTCTTACCTTAAAAGCGCCATATATTGAACAGCTCATAAAAAACAATAGTATTGGATCCAACAGAATATACCTGTTTAGAGTTAGAAATCCAACATCTGAAAATAGAAAGCTTTTATTAAAAACTCAATCTGAAACACTATGGGCCGTATTTTAAATGTGGCGCCCCGGCCACTGAGCTTTGCAACTTTGAGGGGTCTACCGTAACTGCTTTCCCCGTACGAGGTAGCTATTGAATCACCTTGGAACCACAACGTCCATCGGTTCGCCGAACTAAGTGACCTGCCCATTGCCACATCAGCTTGGCGATCCGTTGAGCTGCCGGTTATTCTAGTTCTTCTACGGATTTCCTTATTTTTGATTCAGTCACGTAGAGAAAACACTGAGAACAGCTCTCTCCCTGAATTGGCAAGGGTATATTTACCCTAGGGTCAAGAGAGCCATGGCGACAAGAACTGCGACGAGTGGCAGAAGCATATAAGAACCTTAATTACTGACCTATATTGATTGACTATATTGAACTACACTTGACTGAGTGGAAAACAGGTGAAGGATGCCGGCAAACGAAAAACGCAGTTCCGGCGGCAAACAAGAGACTTGTCCGCACCCTTACCAGACTTAATAGGGACATACTCCCCATAATTATAGGAACCCTAACTGGTCATTGTCCCCTAAACAAACACCTATACACAATAGGAGTAACAGACAGCCCCCTATGCAGAGGATGTATGAAGGCAGAGGAAACGCCACAGCATGTCATTATGGAATGCAGGAGTGTGGCCGACCAACGGGCACGACTTCTACAGTCATCAGCATCGCTTCCAGAAGCTTGCAGCAGTCTGCCAAGACTGCTTTCCTTCTGGACTAACCTAGGCTGGCTGGAGTAAACAGGAATGTTTCAAGACACGCACAATGGTCCAATGATTAGGACTAAGTGCGGAAACCGTCCTGAAAAACTAACTAACTATATTGATTGAATTAATTTGACTAATTCTACGACTGATTAAATTAACTAATTCTAGGGGCGGGGGGTGTGCAAACCGTTAACGACATAAGGTGCCAGATTTTAAAATGCTTTACCTTGGTTATTTGCCCTACTAAATTTCCTTTGGTCCTTAACCATTTTCTTTCTTTTCTTAACCATCTACGAAAGAAGAATTTTTATTCACTTTTTCGTAACTGGTTATGAAATAAGAATACTTTTTCCATTTTCATAATAAGTTAACAAAAACATCTAGGAAAATAAAAAAATATATATACACCAGTTAAGAAAATGACAATAAAACTGCATGTTGGTAGTTATACAATTTACTTTTTTTTCTTGATTTATAAACTAGAACCCATTGAACCAGTTATGAAAATGGAAAATAATCTTATTTCATAACCAGTTATGAAAAAGTGAATAAAAATTCATTTTTCATTAGATGGGTAAGAAAAACGGTTAAGAAAATGGACCAAAGGCATTTCACAGTATGTGTGTTACACTTACCACACAGCAACAAGACAGTGCCTATAAATGTAGATTCCAATGATTTCGTCATTTCCCATATTGTCAAAAATGTCAATGGTATCACCAGTGCTCCCAGTGTTGTACAGAACTAGAAAATATAGCATGTAAAAAGATAAGTATTCAGGATGAATTGTATATAGCGAAGCTAATAGGTTAGTATATAATTAAATTCTTACTATTCTCATTCCTTCATATTTGGCATTTTCATATTTGTCACCTGGTTTTTCAAATGGGAATGTGCCGTCATAGCCTGTCAGTTTACCAGACAAGGCTATCAGCATCTGCAAATTCATACAGTATTCAGAACAGCATAATATATTTCCCTATTTAATCCAAAAGGAAGGCCTGTGCCCCACTGCAGGGATCACCACCTTGTATTATGTATAGTATAGATACTGCTAAATCTCTAACGTTAAGAGTTTTCATACGTTTGGCAGCCGTATACGACGCGGCCTCGCCTGCGATAATACAGATTGTGGGACAGCACCTTAATACATGTGTGGTTGGATTATATGAAAATATACCTACTTTAGGCATAGAGCAATAAGATTGTTTTATATAAACATAATTATGCCATATTGACGACCACCGTGGTCGAGTGGTTTGTATGCCGGGTTTCATGGTGTCGCCGACTCGAGAGGTCCCGGGTTCGAGTCCCGGTGGGGGCAGATGTTTGTGTGATGAATACGAGCATTTGTACTCCAGTCATGGATGTTTCATATGTATTTCTATATAAATATACTTATATATGTACTGTATATGTATTCTATCCGTTACCCTAGCATCCCATAACACAAGCCTTACAGTGCTTACTTTGGGGCCAGGCTAATTGGTGTAAGTTTTGGGAAATATTTATTTAATTTTATTTATCTGCCGATGCGTTTACAAAGGGTACCGAATTATACAGGTATTAAGAAAGATCCTCATCCTTATTGAAAAAGCAAATAAAGGCAGAGTTAATAACAAGCTTTTAATGTATTACAATATGATATAAACCGTGATGAAAGTAAAAAATAATATTTATTCTATTAATTTATATATATTTTTACATATTACAGTTCTTACCTTGCCGAGTGGTGGATGCACGTCAAAGAAGAAGGTTCTGTTGATGTACCAACTAGCCATCTTTCCAAAATGTGTTTCATCCCAACTAGAAAATATATATCTTACTTAAAGTCTAAATAGAACTTCATCTATACATATAAATTAAATGGAGTGTCTCTTTGTACTATTGAAATAACTGCTTTTTACTACAGTGCAATTCAACTAAGAATAGGACCGACTGGACGCCATATTGTGACGTCATAGCTGTCAATTCAACCCAATTAGGTAGAGTGAGCAAAAAAGTTTTTCTCTAATAAAACTTATACTTAAGTGAAAAAAATATCAGATTTTTAAATGAGAAATAAAAACGTAATTTTAGAGACATAAAAATAAAATATTGATTAATGTAGGTTTTATAATGACAACTTTATTTAAAATAAAAACGGTCTTTTTATTATCTGTATTTATAATAAAACTAAAGTTCTTATATTTCCCTTTTCCAATACTCATTTGCTATACCTTCACATGATTTATTTCCTTCTTTTGATACAAATGTTTAGTTCTTATTCTAAGATTAGCTCAGTGCTAAAAAAGTATTGTAAGATTTTTTTGCAAACCGTACTTTTTAAGCGATAGTTGACAGACGGAGGTCATTGGCTTTCCTATTCTTATTTGAATCCCATTGTACATGCATATGAATATATATACAGTACATACCATAGCAAAATAACATTTTTTGCAATTTTTGTCTGTCTGTTTGTTCCGGCTAATCCCTGAAATGGCTGGACCGATTTTGACAGGACTTTTATTGGCAGGTAGCTGATGTAATAAAGAGTAACTTAGGCTACTTTATTTTTGAAAAATTCTTTTATTTTAAAAAAACAAAAAAACTAAAAGCCAACGCGAAGGAAGTCCCGGGCGGCCGCTAGTATTTATTAGAACCTGTCTACTCACTTGAAAATTATAAAACAAAGAGGGTAATTAAATACTTTAGATTAATAAAATAATAAAAATCTGTTTTAAAATTGTCGACAAACTAGATTATTTGAAAATTCAATTAATTATTATTAATATACATAATATTCATCCATCCATCCATCAGCCTTTCTCCATCCACTGCTGGACATAGGCCTCCCCCATAGAACGCCACAATGCGCGGTTCTGCGCTATCCGCATCCAGCGGCTCCCAGCACATTTGACGACACTTAATATTATTATAATCAATTAAGTTTGGGCTCGAAATCCCTTATTACGATTAAGTACTACTTACCAAACATGATCAGGTTCTAGTACTTTATAAAATCTTGTCACAAAAGTGGCTCCACAAAGTAATCCAAATGTCACCCACCAGCTACAATCGAAAAACAAAACATGTGTTATTAGTTAAAATATAAATAATATCAAAAGTTTCGAAAGTTTTATTTAATTCGATTTATGTAGCTGTATATTTTTACATTTTACTGCTGTCATTTGTAGTGTTTCTTTTCCTAATTTTGTTGGACATAATATTATAAAAATGTTTTGCGTTTACGAATAAACAGATAAAGTAAAAATATTTTCAACTTTTTAGTTAGCTTTGCAAGTTTTTAAACGGTACTTTTTGGCATTTATTCACATACAAGTGACGTGTAGAGGTAAGGCATAAATATCGGATTAGATATTTGGAACAGGTATTGGATATTGGATATTAGGTGATACTTAATCCGATGCGTTAAATATTTCGAGTAATAGGTATCACATAAAATATTTAAATGCCAAAGGAAAAAGTTGCAACAGACGCCATCTAGGATACTATTTGACAGTGGCACATGTAGACGTCGGCGACATCAAGTTCGCGAGGCCTAATTTAATTCGCAGTAAAAAACCATTAAATTAAGTGAGCCAAATTATAAAATAATGTATGAGTAAACGAGTTTTATTGTTGATAATCAAATGATGACAAATATTATTACAAACATAGAAATTTAATTACAAAACTAGTGTTACCAGACAGACGATTCTGAATACCCGTAAAATACTACTCGCTTCCATCACGCACGTGTTCGAAAATAATAAAAGTCATTATCATCTGCTTAGCTTTTTCCCCGAATTGTTCGGGGTCGGCTATCTAAGCCAATCCAGGAGAAACGAAAATAAATAGGTAACTTGTAAAAAAATTTTGCGAGGCCCCCGCAGGCGCGAGGCCGTCGGCGGTGGCCGACGTCGCCGACGCCTAGCGCCGCCACTGCTATTTGATCATTAGATAAGATGTGATGAGTAAGTATATCGCTACGCTATATAGGTAGCGTTGTTCAACGATTTATTTATTTATTTGAAAACCAACACAGCGGCGTTGCAATTTAAACTGCAGTTTACACTTAATATACTAATAACAAGGCAATAAAAGGTTTTCTGATTTAACTTAAATAAAACACTGAGCAAACGTATCTTAAATTATTTTTATTATTGCTTCATACAGAGACGATCCTGGCGGCAGCGCCAGGTTCAATTTTAAATAAGACCAAACAGAAAGTTTTCTTTCAATCAAAAAAAGCGAACATATGCTGTTCACATGCGATAAAAGTGAAACCTACAAAAATGTGAACACGTAAAAGTCCTTCATGTCAAGGTACTGTAAAATATACACAAATTGTTTCGAAAAGTAAATAATAGATTAATAAAAGAAAAAAATTAAATTAAAAATAAATAATAGCTAACAAAATCAATTAAAAATAACCGAGCTCAGAATCGAACGTTTGGCTATCTGTCTGTTACAGAAAGTTACAAAATTGCGGATACCTGGTGTCAAATACTGTTAAATTTTCGTTTCATCGAATTTCAAATAGCAACGGTGCTAAAGAAGTTTTCACTTCAAAATATTTTTCCGAATCGGTTAAAAATAAACCACACCAATAAAATCGGTAGAGCGATGGTAGCTCAGTGATTTATTTCTCACCTCACGTCCATGGGTCGTGAGTTCATATCCAAGCCCGTACTTGTGGATTTTTCGGAATCTATGTACGGAATAGTATCACTTGCTTAACGGTGATGGAAAAACATCGTGAGGAAACCTGCACATTCAGATAACGATGGATGTGTAGCCATGATCCAGAAAATGGTCTGGTTCACCTGTTCTATATATCGCTTAACAACGCAGACAGACACGTCACGGATTATCCATTTGTTGTACACCAACTTTCTTCAGAATGTAACAAATACTTTTAAGACAACCACATTAATACATACTCGTACATATATAGGTTGAAATTGAATGTTTTAATGAAACTTCATGAGATTGTTGGGTTACGTGTATAGAGTATACCTGATTTTTTTCGGATTTTTTTGAAGTATTTTGTTTTTTATGTATTTTTTTATAATTTGTGTATTTTTATGTCTTTTCCTCCTTTTGAGTAGTTATGATTTTAAACAAGCATACTTACATATCCAATAAAAAACAACTAATAAATAAGCACTTCTAAAAAATTGAAAAAGCGGGTCAACGACCGACCGCGTTTGCCAGCCGTTGAGTGAGTAGGTACCTACACAGAGCTCAGCTGACTCCTTTGATTCCACACAATACAATAAAATCTTAGATGCCTTAATTGAAATAATAAGCACAAATTTCATCTTCTCTTAAGCAGAGAAAAACTTAAAAAGTTAATAATAATTTTGTCACGATTGGAAATAGGCAAATGTACAACAAAAAGAATTACTTATTGCAGTTCAATACTTGGGTCAGAATGAAATTTATAACCAGGTATTCAAAAGTACTTACGAGACCGATGTACCTATTCATTTTTTCACTTTAACTTCCCGTATACACTTTGTAAACAGAATCAATCACCAAACCTACTTTCGTAAAGCCTTGTGGCTCTGCTGAGTATTCCGTGACACTACAATAACAACACACTGGTGTCAATTCTGACACGATTCTCTAAACCTAAACTTAAATTTGACAACAGTGTATCCTTGTTATTCTCTATACGGAATGAAAAGGAGAGACTGATGTTTAATTTAGTTTTAAGTTTAGAGAATCACGCCAGAATCGACACCATAATCCAACTTCTTATATTGAGGCCACAGAAAAAGAACTAATCAAGGCAATCTTGTCTTGTCACAAATTTAAAAGATAGGCACGCGCGGTGGATAGACTTGAGACTGCGCTCGCTCATTGCGCTTTGTACCGCGCATAGGTAGGTAGGAAGGTATTCAACGGCGGGAGCAGTCATTGCTCCCGGCCGCCCGTCTTCTGTTTTTACGTTTTTTTAGTAGTGCTTATTACTTGTTTTTTACTTACTCTGTATGCGTGTTTAAAAAGAATAATTATTTAGTACCCAAAAAGAGGAAAGGACTTAAAAAATAACAAAAAAAAACAAAAATTTATTTTAAATCGTTATTAAAAAATCCGAAAAAATTCAGAGATACTTTATATACATAACACAACAATCCCACGAAGTTTCATTAAAACATTCAATTTCACCCTATATAAAAAGTACGGGTCACATTGAGAATCTCCTTTTTTGGAGATGATCAAAAAAGTGTTATGTTACAAAGACACAAGGCCATCAAATCAAGATTAATGATATTGTATTTATATAGTAAAAAAATGGGTAACCCATGTTATCGTCATACTTCATAAAACGTGGATTAGATATCATTCAAATGCAATGCAATATTTCTATAGTATACCTAATTTGCATCGAATACACATACATACTATTAACGTATTGGATTGAGATCCTATCCGTCGATCCGTTACCCATTACACTGTGTAATTCGGAACAGGTATTTAGTTAGGTGGTATCGGATTAGGTAGGATTACATCTATGTATTAACCAGGGATGTTACGGAGCTTCGACTCCGATTCCGATAAGGCGGAACTTCCTATTATTATTACATTTTCGGTGCCGATTTCGGCTCCGAAACTTTTAAATCGGAGGTTTTAATCGGAGGTCGAAGCATAGCAAATAGCGACGGCGGCCTGCGTCGATCGTTGCGATCTGGTTCATACCCGTCGCGTTGGGAGTCTGTTGGGGCGTAAGCTGGCGAATGCGTTACGCGTTACCAAAAGTATGTTCGGGCGAGGCGAACGGGAGTTGAGTGGAGGACATAAGCAAGAGAAAGCAGTGTGCGCGCACATTTTATTTCTCTCTTTCTCTTATAGCTAGTCAATGAAATATGTATATGTACATACATGTATATACATACAGATGGAGCTACAGAAGTTTCACTTCAGTCATTTGGTCATAAGCACACTCGTTTTTTTTTTTCATGATAGATATCCAATTCATACCTTATCTACATTGAATACACGTAATATCGTATCATCGCAAGTATGGGGGATCGGCGATACTGCATAAACATTCGGATTAGTTATTTGGATTAGGTATTTTTAAATATTAGGATTAGGTGGAATAGGTATCGATTTTAGCTAATCCGACCCATCTCTAGTGACGTGTGACGTTGTGATGACGGCCGGTAGTTCAGGTACAGCTGTTCTAGGGTATATTCCGAAATATACATCAGTGTACTGGCCAGTGGTAATGACGTCATGAATCCGACGCCATATTGTACTGGTATGCTACCATATTTTTACCGAGAAAACGAATATGATGTACTTGCGTGACCGAGCGTGCGTGAGAAGTATTCAAATTTTATTTCTCTTTTAAAGAACAATTACGGCATCCGAACAAAAAGAATTCCTTTTTATTGGTGAGGTAAATAAAAATCTTCTTTATTCGCAATATTTTTAATATTTTGTCGATTTATGACGTCAGTGCACTAGCCAGTATATTTCTGAACAATTCACCAGTATAGCGTCGATTCATGACGTCATTAGCACTGGCCAGTTTACTGGTATACATTACGGAATATACCCATAGTGATGTGGGTATGGTTTTTGTTATCGGCTACGGTAAGCATTTATATTCGGAAACTAATTTTTTGAGCTATTATTTAAATATTTGAGATGTTATTATGATCAGTTTAAAAACTTACTGAGCAGTTATTTAATTTAATGGCGGTTGATTAATTATTGCGACAGTAAAACATGAACAGTAATAAAAAATCAGTTAGTCGAATATTTTAACATACAATGTCAATTCTTAAAATAATTGAGCAGTCCAATAACTGAATGAGCGGTAAAAATTATAGAATGAGCGGTTCGATAAATAGTTTGGCATATCATAGCGAGTTGTGACCCCCGAACTCAAATTAATTGAAAAGAGAGGTAAATGTTCATTATTTGGGTTTTTTAAAAACATTCCACTCGGACAAGAAGGAAGAGAGGCAGAACGTCGAAAGCCAAACCTGCTCTTATTATATTAAGTTTATTTTAGCTGCTACTAAGCAAATTCTATGTCATTTTAATGCGGGTCACGGACCCAATCTGGTGATGGCACGTCGAACGCGACCCACACATGTACACAATGCCACAAGTCTTTTAAATCTTTGAAAGGCCTCAACATACACACTTCAAAAACACACAGGCAATGTATTAGTCAAAACAATTCACCTTTAGACATCCATCCCATTATTCCGAATGCGCCTACTTATGATGCCAACGATCCAACTCCTTTCCACACATATTACATAAGTATGTTTCGAATTACGAATTAAAGTTCCTATTATTATTATACAATTTGTTTTATTTAATTCCTTCAATGAAAGCAAAAGTAATTTAATTTTTCATTACTATTGAAGTACTGTTTTTTTTTATTTTACCACCTCATTGTTTATACATTTGCTTAGAATGAGATTTCTTACCGACAAATTCCGATTTATTTAATTATTTTCTTGCTCAATTATATATTCACTGATCTATTTCATTATTTTTTATTACTCATATTCTTTACTTTACTGCTTTGTTCTAACCGCTGAACTAGTTATTAAACGTGCCATTTATAATTTTTAACTTACCAAAATTGCTATTTACAACTGCCTTTTTAAATCAGTGAATTCATATTCTACTATTTACAAATAGAATAATACTAAAAAACAATTTTTAAAGTAAATAGGCTGGTATATTAAAATTAAGCTTTTACTCCAAAGCCACATTATTTCTTCATCTTTGGTATGTCGCACAACATATTTAATATTTGCACATGGGAACAAAATGAACTTTTTTTTCTATTGCAATAAATTATAGACCTGTTCTTTACTAATTTGAGGTCACTGATTTAAATTCTACCTTTACTTTTTCTTTAGCAGCTTTACTTTTTGAGATACAGCTGCAAGGCACATTTTTGTCCTCTTCATTTAAATTTCAAATCAACCGAGCTGTTATTAAAAAAAAGTTTATTGTTTACTATGTCCACATCGAGAAATATCAGGGAAAACAATTCTACGTTATTGTTAACATCTGTGATAAATAATATACATTATAAAATTGTAGACTAAGTGCAAGTACGTATAAAATAGTCTTTTTTATACGTCCATGACTAAGTGTGTCGAAGTTCATTTGAGTAGGTACTTTTAATTCCCTTAAACACCCGTGACTAGTACCTGAGTCCCTCATATAGTATGTGAAACGTGTATGGAATCTTCAAAATTATGAATGAATAAGTGGAGAAACCATTTCAATTACCTACACAGGCCCACAAAAAAAAGAACCCTGCGCAAAAGACCAGACTACCTGAACTTTATGTTATCGGGATCGCTGAGTGCAAATATGGTGCCAGAATAGCGAAGTTGGTTCGCGTTTTGTAACAACATAAACCATATTATACGAAAAACGTAAATTACGTCCCGTCCGCTGCCTGGTCCGCGTGGATTTTTTTTTTCTAGTAAACTTTTCTTTAGATTTAAACATCTAGCAGTTAAATGCTTAAAAATATATAAAATCAAAACGTAAATTAAATTCAGCATTATTGCTGATTTCTGAAAAAACGCGAGATTGAGTCAAGTGATGAAAATGGGACAACTAATTTTATAGTTATTGTAAAAACGGTGACGGAGAAACTTTATATCCATATGAAATCTGACAGAAAACGATTTTTATTTTCGTTTTGTTTTATCTATGTCTATTTGACATCTAGTTGGCTGTATGGGCACAGTACCCTTTGCCTTCCCAGAATGGGAAAAGGAAAAAAAAATTGACATCTAGTTTGACAGATCAACAGACTTTGTTTGTTGTTGAATGAATCATCGTACAAAATGTTTTTCCCAGTAGTTTCATTCTATGTAAATATTATTAGTAACCGATTGTAAAGAAAAAGGCAGTCATCGACGCGACGCCACACTGCGCACGCACAGTCGTTTCTTTTAATAAGATGACCAGTATTTAATTATCATGGGTCGTCATATTGTGTTAATTTCACTCTTAATTGTTTTTATAATTAATTATTGTGTGTGTGAACTTTCTGTTGAGAAAAAGCAAAAGATATATAATGGTTTCGTCAGTTACTTGAAGAATTTACCTGATCAGCCCTACTATCTTCATAATGGGATTTTGAAAAATATTGTAGAAACAGTAAGTTTATTTGTAACTTGCATGGTTTTACCTCATAATATCGTCTCAATGCCATTAAATTAGCATCTAGATAAAATTTGGCCTGTCTAACTTGTATTGAAATTAATCAATAAGTATGGATTTTGGTTTTAGGTACCTATAAAATCAACAACAACAACCTTCCATTAAAAGAATAAGAAGAAACAAACCATTATTGTTTTTTTATAAAAAAGATGTGTTACTTTTGAAGTCTATATTTATATTAGTATGGTTTTCTATGCAATTTCTTATAATTATTAAAATCATTTGCAATTCCTTATAATCATTAAAATCATCAATCAATATATGCAGAAGTGTAAAAACCTTCCTAACTTGAAATATTATTATATGTTTGATTAAAATTAAGAAATACCATACTGCCTGCACATTAACTTTAAACATTCAGGGCTCAGGGCTTCAGCTTTTACAGACTGAAATAAGGAATTTTAGGAAAATGTATTTTCATTGGGCATTAAAACATAATGTTATATATAAAACACATTCAGATGTTGCAATTTATTGCAAAAATAACTTGTTATAATGTTCACTAATTTATTAATACCACTACACTGACCATTGTCTTATTTTTTTTTCATTTGGTTCATTATTAATATTATGTTTATTTCAAAGATCATATTTAATAAATCACTAAGAAGTGTGTTGTTAACCTTGAGAGTTAATAGTTTATCTATGTATGGCAGAGATAACAACTTGTAATCCAATTGAAAAGGTCAGAAAAGGTCTTAAAACTTACTGGTCTCGTCTTAAAACTAGTGTTCAGATAAATAGTATCTACACATATTACTGATTGAGATCCTTAAGGCAGTGTCTCATCACCAATGAAGAAGCGACTATCAGTCATTTTCTCACTATTTTCAAGTAACATAAAGTACATACATTAGAGTGGGGTATTTACCCATTCTTTCACTATTCCATTGAGATGTCTTGTTCTTTCAAACCTTACCAGTCTTTTCTCAAAGACATTTCTCGATGTTATTGAATAAAGATAAGATTTTTTTCGTAATTTAATAGTAAAATTGAGCAATGCCATCACCATTGCCTAATCATCTGCGTTTTCACTAAATTCCTATGATTTTTGCTATGACATATTTCAGATGACATATCCTTGGGTATTTTGGGTTTACAATGGGTTAGGACTTTCCCTATGACATTTTTCAGATGACAGCTGTTCTTGGGTTTTTGTTATGGGTTCACACTAGGTTAGGATAGTGTTATGAAATTGACGCGCGAGCGTAGCGAGATCCCCGCGGCAGGGGCCGGCGAAGCTCCAGAAATAAAACTTTAACAGTAGGATTGCCCTCGTCTAATTATTCGCGTGTTGAATCAAAAATCCCTTATGTCGTAGGATGATATAATAAATTGAATTAATTATATCAGTCTACGGAACGAAACACACATCACTCAATCTTACTGTTAACGAATCTTTTTTCTGGCACTTCGCCAGCCGCTGCTGTGGCACGCTCAGCTCGCGCGTCATGGTTACAACACTATCCTAACCCAACCTAGTGTGAACCCAAAACCCAAGAATATTTTTAATGAGCCAACTATTATTTTCGCAATCTTACTGAGGCGACTCGCGTTTTCGCAATACTCCTATCTTTTTTCAGTAAGATTGAGAAATGTATTCGCCGTTGTCTAATTATCCGCGTTTTCGCAAAATCTTCAGATTTTCGCTAAAATTTGATTAATCAAATCAGCCTCCGACAAATACATAAGTTTAACGCAGATTCTTTTGTTATAAAATTGTTAAATTGTTTTAGAGTGAAAATGGCTACAGCATTGAAGTTGACTTTAGGGGTGAAGATACGGATGCTCAAGACTTGAAGTTCGTAAAATGTTATGGCACTGTGTATGACAAGCAAGAGAGTGGTGTAGAAGTAGCCAATGGCTACCAATGCCATGTCGAATCTGACACAAGTACCCCTGCTGATAGCATTGAAGAAGTGGTCACAGAGTGGTTGACCACTGAGCCACCTGAATTACACCAGCCTATCAAACTGGACAATGAAGTCCAGACAGAACCTGTGAGTTTTTTTTTTTCATTACTCATAGTATTATAATTACACATACTCGTATATAACTAATACCTTCATCCTCGAAGATTTAGATTTACCTACATACATTTTTTGTGGATGACTTGCTTTATGTCCTGGGCTGGATTTAGACTGGAGGCCCTGGGATAACGAAGGCGTGTAGGCCGCTATCTCAACATAAGTTTTGATTGCAAAAAAGTTTATTTAAGAAAAGGCAGTAAAGTTGGTGACCCATCCAAATTTGGTTAATTTTTATCCCTGTTGTGGGGTCCCCTCTTCTGTGGAGACCCCTGGACCACAGCCCCGCTTGTACTGCCTTAAATACGGTCCTGTATATGTGAGTAAAGCAGTAAACTTTTGTAACTACCCTGCTTACACTGGATCAAGGCCTGGCGAAAGTAAGTCACGACAGTTTACGGCTCTAATTCAAGCGTCCACCTGTTGATAACGAGACAAAAGAAGTAAGGCTGCCAAGGAATAACTTGCGTTCGTTATAATATATAGTCTCTAAAAGTTGGCATGGCCGAAGTCAAGAAATTAACGCTAAGTTGTGTACATAAGACCACAGTAAAATAACTCGCTTATTTGTACATGGTCTGTTTCCTAAAATTTGATATTCTTAAAATGTGTGCTTTCCCACAACATGTGTTTTCGTTTCCTATTATGATTTCCCAAAATGTCTGCTTCCTATAGCGCCCTGCCAAGACGTCGAGACGAGCCAAAGGAAGCGCCAGGGCACTACTTACCTATTCTAGAAGTTCTTTTGAATTTTTTGAATCCTTCTAACTTATACCCAGATAAAAAAAATTGTCGGTATATGTTGTCAGTAGCGAACTTATATGCCGCCTTATTCCAAAACGGGGGCTTAAGTTAGTCTTGGTTTAAACCTAAAGCTGTTGTGTCTTCTTTTTAGAAAACATAAGTGACAGCATCAGTTTAAGTCCAGGTTTAACTTTAGTCTACCTTTTGTAATAAGGCTGATAATATTTTAACTGCATAGCTCTTATACTTACTTTAGATATTATTGATATCTAAAATAACCCTGATTTCTTCTATGAATTCACTTATGATCGTCAATATTCTTAGGTTACTCATGTCCTAGAATACTGAAATTTTGTATGGATACTAGTATTAGTACAAAAACAATAAAAAAATACATAATTTGTAACTTGTCCCGCAAACGCTAAACTAGGGGATGGAAGTTTGTATGAGACTTCCGCAATTTGGACGTTTGAAGTTTGAAAATTGAGTTATAGGTCTGAAAATTGATTGGGGAATTATTATAAATAAATAAAAGAAGAATAACAAGCAAGAAAAAAGCATGTCTCAGGTAACCTACAATAAATTAATAGTTTAAAAAATACTAGAAAAACACGCTTTTAAATGCACTTAAAAACCAAAAATAATTTATGGATCGTTCAAGTTGTCTCTGGGCTGAAGTGATTTTTTCAGCAAAATATACAAAAAAGTCTTTCCTGTTCCAGCGCCCCACGCTTTTACATTCACATATTATAATTAAAAGCACATAGTTTACACTTCAGCCCAGAAATAGAGACAACTTGAACGATACATAATTTAATTTTGGTTTTTAAGTGCATTTATAAAAGCGTGTTTTTGCTATTTTTTTAAAACTATTAATTTATTGTATACTTTTTAGTCTTCGATAACGAAATATTTTTATTATTTATACATTTATTTTAAGTGGTCGAATGAGCCCGCATCCTCTCCATCTCTGCCAATGCGTCTGTATTGCATGGTGTTTTACCTGTCAGCTTAGAACAATCTAGCTCTTTAATCTGGAGACCACTAAGTGATTTTACTCTACTTAGGGCCACATACTCCTTTCCAGCCGCAAAAGTACGGGACCCTAAGTACACCACTGCGTGGTCTACCGTACAGCCTTGCATCTTGTGCACGGTAGATGCCCAACTTAAAATCATTGGCATGCGCCTTTCCACCGTACCGTAGCTATACTTGGCCGGGAACTGGATGCCTATAGGCTGAATTAGGTGCTCACCGTCGTTTCCGAAATTAACTTTGATGGACGGTATGTCGGTTTCATACATTTGGTCGTGTCTAAAGTGCGGTCAGACGATGTCCGAGATGTATCCGATACTCCCATTCATTAGCCCCTTCTCCACGTCTATATAGGAACGCAATATAATTTTAACCCCTTTGAAAATTCTTAATTTACTCGGTAGCCCACTCGTTTTATTTTAGCATCGTGGCTTTACCAATCCATTACGTGGCCTTTCTCACAAGTGCAAACACGACTTTGATACGATATTCCATCATGGAATACCAGTGCCTATCTTCCCGCTTCCTCATCATACCTTGAAACCTAATCGTGGTTAAAGTTCATTACAAGACTTTTCTAAGAAATCCAAAAACAGCTATGATACGATGTTCCATCATGAAGTCCAGTTCATATCTTCCGGCTCCATCATCAGATCAGTTCGGCAGTAGCATATTATTGAATTGTCATCAGAATTAATACAGCTGCCGATTTTCATTACGCTACGATCCTTTAAAGATGGTTGGACCTTAGATTCCATTACATTGTCAGTTACATACAGGTCGACCTAATAAAAGCGTGTTAAAAAAAAGAAATGATATCCCACCAAAAACATGTTCATGTAAAATATTACCAAGGCGAGACCATAATAATATGACTCACACTGTCAAAATGTTTTTCATTGCTCATGTAGAACCAAGCTTCTAACTCTACACGCCCTAAATCTAAAAGGAAAGTAACCAAATTGTTTTCAGAGGGTCTCTAACGCTATTTTCAAGTATAGCTAAGGTAAAATTTGTTATAAAAGACGACCCAAAATTTAAAATAAATAAGAAAAAGCAAAACCGTTGCCAGAAAAACGTTTTGAGACGGTGCCGCTGCTGGATGTGATTGCGACAATGTCTGTTATTTCAGTTTTATATCTTCACCAGCTTATTAATGTCCCTACTGTTTATAATTTTAAAGTTTTTTTGATAAACCAACAGTAGTTTTATTGTCTTGGTTTTAATGTCTGTTTTTTTACATTTCTAAGAATTGTAATAAGTATAGGTCACTTGGTGTTGGTTTCAACTTAGTTAGTTGACATGAAATTATGACTCGCATAGTGTGCTCAAGTTATCTATGGTCTAACTAATTGTATCTACCAATTAGTGTTTCACCATGAATAATGAGTTTTGTGTATGACTAATTTGTTACTTTATTCTATTTTTATTTTAAGCATTTTAACTGCTAGATTTATAAATAAATCTAAAGTATATTTTACTAGAATATGATCCACGCGGCCCAGGCATCAGGATTCGGTCCGGCACCTTTCGCTATCCAGGGGGCAATGGCCTAACGGGATGCTATGGCTATAGCTTTCGCTTACCATTTAATTTTGTTATTTCTATTTCTAACCACCGAAAGTTTTCAAATACCACACGTTCATTTTCTTTAATATAGTTATTAACAATGTAAAAGAAAAACAAGAGCGCGAAGGATTTGAAAACCTCAGGCGGCCAAAACAAAATGAAATCGTAAGCGATAGCCATAGCAATCCCGTTAGGCGTACGGCCCCCAGGTAAATCGATCAAAAGGGTTAATTTGTTACTGACTTTGTTGTTGCGGATATGAAATGGAGATTCTCAATTTTCCGCGGTGGTCCAATGTCCTTGAATTGTTGAATTGTGAAGAAAATGTCCGCCGGGGACTTGTGATACACTCGACGCAAACGACGTTTGAATTTTGTACCCCCAAAAATTTTAAAATTGCACGCTAAGGAAGTAAATATTCTTAGATTACGTTGTGTTGTTATTAACTTTTTATTTAAGAAAAAGGGTAAAGAGAATAATTTGTGCATTTCTTTAAATCAAATCGAGTGCGCAACGTAGTCGAAAGTTCGATGTGGCGTTGCTGCGTCTGATGCAAAAAACAAGTTTTTTTCCTAAATATCCTACGTTCTGATTGAAGTATGAACGCGATAAGCACAGCGCTTTTAAATAATGTTAATTATTGAAAGTATATTGTGAAACTATTAGACAAAATATTCCTTAGTAAAACATTTATTTTTCAAAGATCATTTTCTTGAAAAAAAAAAACAACGCTCAACGCTTTTTTTTTTCTAAATGTTTTATTTTCATTTTACATCACTAGCTGCGCCTAGTCTTATGACTTCTATTTTTTTCGGGGACACCCGCGAACTTTTGTGCTGTCAGGTCATTCAGTGTTTGAGGGACTTTTTGTGCGCGGCACTTTTAACCCGACATGCGATTTACTCGATGCAGTTGTAAGCGATCTATTTCGGCAGACAAAAAATACCGCGGTCCGGACAAAATTCCCTTGTCTGCGCAGGCTATTATGGTCAAAGTGCCGTGGATCTTTGTATGAAGTAAGTGCTGGGTTATATTTTTTTCGCACCCAGTCCCAAGAATTAAACCTCATGTTAAATAAAACAAAGAACATTACTGTATGAAACACTGTTGTATGCGTATGGTTAGTATTGTGTATATACCCAAAAAATATTATATTATGATGTTTTTTACGGTAAAACGCATTGACAGACGGATGTGACCATTTACATTTTGACCGGCACAAAAAGTGTCTTGTTGTGCTTGTTTTTTTTTTATTTAATGTAAATTGTTTGTGCCGACGATAACATATCTCTCTGTTCTGCGTTTCTCGTGTTGAATTGAATTACGTTTCACCGATAATAAAGTAGGATACTGTACTATTCAACAAAGTCTGATTTTCTATCTGTTTTATTTCACACTGTCAACAATTGAAAGGGGACACCAAATTTACATCAAAACAAACTAAATGACTATTTTTTACAGTACGATAAGCACAAACTTTGACAGATCCATATTCGTATCGCCAACGTCAAAGTTTTTATGGAAACTACTTACGTCCAATAGGGGTACTGGACGAAAGAAAAATACAACTTTTTCTATAGAAACTATTACCAGTACCAGAACCGATAAGTGGTGGTGTATACGGCCTTATGCTCTAGTTCAGGGGTTCCCATACTTTTTTGTGTCGTAGACCCTTTGCATGTTTTTAGGTTTTGGGTAGACCCCTATTTACCTGATATTGATTTTTTGTATATTTCTATCTGGAGGGAAGTTAGTGTAACAAGATGATACTGGTTTATCATTATGTGAAGGTTTATACAACTTCAAAATGTATTGCGACCACAAAGCGAATGCCTACATCTTACAACTTACAAAATTTTATAAACATATATAATATCTTTTATTATTTCATAGGTACTTTTATAAATAATGTATACGTCTTTTTAATAGAAGATAGCATAATGTAAGTAAATAAGTACTATCAGTGCATGTTGAGATGCATTATCGTGGATCCCCATTTTCATTTCATGGACCCCCAAATTAGTTTTTCGCTGACGTAGACCCCTTGCAGGTCGTCATAGACCCTTAGGGGTCGATATAGACCACTTTGGGAATCACTGCTCTAGTTTCATGGGATAGCGGTGCCGTCATATAGCGGCCGTAATATTATGGACCACATGTGGAAAGTTCTACGGCCGTATTAATACACCGTTGGTCTTTTTTTTTAGTTACTTACAAGTTCTTATCAAACTACGTTATACCGTTGCTCTAGTGTTGGAAATCATTCTGTACATAAAATATGATTATAAATATAGCTGCACCGCTATCAATAATGGCCAGCGCAGACGAGGGACTTTTTTCCGCAGTGGAAAAAAGTAATTTCTAAGAATCGTGAAAAAAGTCTACGGATGACTTGTCACGGACTCAACGCACAAGGTGTGCGAACATTTGCTACCCAAAAATTTAGAGAAGCGCTCGCTATGAAAGTAGTTGTTTCAGATTACGTTGTGTTGTTATTAACATGAAGTTTAACAGCGGACAAAAGTCGCTCGTCTGCGTAGGCCATAAAACGTGCACGAACCATCCGTCACCGACAAGACGGCCGTCATGTAAATCTGCATCACGCCGCGGCTTTTTGACGTTACGGTGTCAATTACCACTCTTTAGGAAACAGGGCCATTTTGTTTACATAGACAACGTTCTAGTGACGCCATTCACCGCTGTCCTAGGAAAATCTAGTTTTACCAACCACCGCAGAACCGCCATACCACTTGATTACCAGATTAGCTTCTTTACGACTCCTCACAAAGGATTTACGTAGTTTGTGAATAATGAATACTTACCGTAAACAATCGGATGTCAATGAAACTTAAGTTATAAATAATCCATATAAATCGCCACATTTTTACGCACTTATTAATAATCAACGAATAAGCATAGACTAGTTACACCTTGTTTTGTTCATGTCGCTCAAGTTTATGTCAGCGTTACCATTGATATGGCAATTACCGTAATATACGACAATTTGAGCTCATAATTTTTAAACGAAAGGTTTGTCATTGCCGTATAATAATACTAACTACCTATAAATTTTAATAAATAAAATTAGGTAATACGGCAAAATCATGATTTTTATTTAAAAATACGGCAATCTGATGTATCGAATACGGCAACTCTTTCAAACTTGATGGCAACACTGGTTCATGTCACTCAGGTGCCATTTGTAATTCAATGAACAGAGACGAAACATAGAGTTACTAATCTAATCTTATTCGTCGTTTATTAATAAGGATTAGTTAGGTAATATAATTTAATTTTTGAATACATTATAATTTTATAAGCTTTACAAACGATTTATGTGGATTGTAAATAATGAACACTTACCGTTAATAATCAGATTTGAATCAAACAATCCTTTTGTCATACTTAATCACGACAAGATTTATTAAACTATAAATAATCAATTACAACGCGCTACGGTTTTAGTTATTTATGTTTTGATTAGATTATGTAATATAATTTGATTATTGCATACATTATTAATGTACCTTCATGTTTCATGTTAATGTTCTTTGCGGTGTTGGTTAAGTAACATAATGTGATATGACCATATGACAAGTAAAAGCTGAGTTGCTGTATTGCTTAATTTATTTAAGCCAAGTTTCAAGTCTATTAACTTTCATCCCCTATTTTCTTCTTCCCTATCCTTTCTTAGTGACCCTTGGACGTACTCACGTAGAGGACGTGCTAAATTTGGAGTCTCTAGGTAACCCAGCGTTGATATCAGTCCATCAGTCTGTCACTCAGTCAATTTCTTCTTTTATTTATTTAGACTATTAAATATGAAATGTAATGTGTAAAAAAACTACGAAATTCTCACATTCTTCAATAAAGTTCCACAATAAATAATTCTGCTTCTTCAGACCTTTAAATCTCATGTCAAGAAAATTACTGTGAGTGAGACCTGGGTATATAAAAGCCACTTTCAAGACATCAATATAATTTGTTATTGCATCTCTGACACCCCACATCACATAATTTAAATATGGTTATTCATCTAGTATAATTCCAGCTCACTCAGACTCATTTTAAAATAATGTAGGTACATTTTTAAAAGAGCTCAATATTATACTTTTATTTTTTAAGCATTTTACTAGAAAAAACTCCACGCTTCCAGGCATACTTGTAAAGGTATTCGTTTGACATTGCGGGTTACCTACAATGCGAAGAGATGGTGCAGTCTAAAAAATATTATAAGAAATTCGACACGGCTGTTAAGGCCTCGGTAGCATAATTGGTCATTGCATCCGCAGTCATTGCAGTAGCGGAGGGTTCTGGTTCGAATCCCGTCTGCTGCCTGGCTGCGTGGTATTTTTTCTAGTAAAATTTTCTTTACATCTAAGTAAATATTTTTAGTTTTCAAGCCAATTGAAATATTCGTATGAACCTATTTACGCCGCATAATAAGGGACATACCCTGACCCACAATAACAAATAGACTGATAAAATAAATGTCCCGTCTTAAAAAGAGTCCCATTACATTTTAGTGATAGTAAAGAATTTTCCGCATCTTTTGTTGTTTAAAGCGACATACGAAAGAGAAAACGCTCCTAAATCATTTTAAAATAGAAGATAAGATCAGAGATAGATGACACGTGCATGTCACACAATAAAATAAGATTACTTGCCAATAACTACGTGCAACAAAATGTTGTTTACTATTTTAGGAGTTGTTTATCTTTGAGGCGGATGATAACCGCTATTGAACTTGGGCGCGTCGGAGTGTTCCAACCCAACGCACAGTACGCACATCCTTCTTCCGGTCAATCCTCCCTACAGAAATTTCTTCCTCCATCCATCTATATTAATTATATTGAAATTTCGAAAGTGACCTTAGGCCCAAGCACGAATTTTGACAGCTCCGTAATCTTATCACATCGTCAAAGTTTCTATGGAGACTAAGCAGCGCCCAACTGGATGTAAGACCAAACTGTACCCTTAGCACGAACTTTTATCGAATTGGAATACTTGAATTTAATCTGGATAAACGTTAGGTGTGTCCTGATTTTTAGTTCTCGTTACGTCCGTTGTCGCGCTGCTGTTCAACTTTCCATACAAATATTGACACTTTGTACTTTTTGAACTCGCAAACTTTTTGAATTTGAATTCGTATTGGTTCGTGCTAAGGGTACTGGTTCGGAAAATTTTGACGATGACGATGCGATTACGCAGCTGTCAAAATTCGTGCTTGGTTGGGCCACATGTCTGCTTGTCTATCACGTTTTCACGCCTAAGCTACTGAATAATTTTAAACAAATTTTGATATAGGTACCTAGTAGGTTTATGAAAGATAAGTATACTCTACTCGTCATCATAGGGCTATGAGATTCCACGCGGGCCCATAGCATTTTGATGAGTAGGTTTTTTATGGATTAGATAGGGAGATTGGACCCTGGCCCGTCACGCGGGCCCAGTGCGGATTGGTGTGTGGTATTTTTTTGATGGAATAGACAGCTTGTGTCATCGCCACGCGGGCCTATTGCGGACTGGTGGGTGGTAAATTTCATTTTTGATGGAATAGGAAGATTGGCCCACGCGGGCCCAGTGCGGATTAGTGGGCCACCACGCGGGCCTAGTGCTGTGTGAGCCGAGTGTTCCACGATACTCACGTTTCTTTTTTAATTTACGTTTTTATTTAATTAAGCTTGATGACGCAGTTAAAATAAGTAAAAACATTAGCGATAAATGACGTAAATGTATAAATGTATTAAATGTGGACTGTGGTAGGTTTTAATGTGCCTTTACATAAAATATATGTCATTAAGGTACCTATTAGTACCCAATTATATTAATAGACAGTTTCTTCATTATCTACCTTATACAAAAGTGTTATTTGAATGCTGTCTTATGTAAGGTCCTCGAAACATCCTCCATGTGTCACTCGACCACAAGAATAATACGTACCTTTCACTTATCTTCCTATACTATACTTATGTTCGGATTTTAACAATTTTAATTTTGGGACACATGTTAACATTAATAAAATGAACAACTTCATGCACAGATTAAATTAAATAGTACATAAAGTAAGAAGAACTGAAAACTAATGTCATTTGTTTATTCTTAAAATGATTTTTGACCTTAGGTTACTTCTGGAGAACAGTTCATAGCGGTGCCGCGTGATGGTCAACCTTGTATCGGATGCGCATCTCAAGTCAATCCTGAGGCTGCTGGCGTGACTGACTTGGCTCTCCTTGGGATAAGACAGTTAGATCAGCTTGAACCTAGCGTAATTCATAGTCTCAACAAAGTCATAATGGTAGAGAGACAAGTTCAGGTAAGACCGACAACAGACAGTATTTATAATATTGCCATATCGTTATTTAATAAGAGTGAGTAAAATCTGCAATATAGGCAGGACAAAGATTAGGTACGGTGCGTGGAAGAGGGTGTCTCCCAGTCGCCGATGCGTGTACAAGGAAAAATGCCATGGAAAACATGCAACGGAAATGCGCCATGAGCGTCACCCGCGCCAATATATTATATTATATTATATATATGAGTGATGCTTGCGCTGCTCTATTCCCCTACGCCTAATACACCGCCTAATGTTAGGTTATTTAAGAAAAGAAGTTTTACTTCAGATGTGTGGTCCGCGCACCCAATTTTTTTCCTCTTTTTTAATGAATACACAGATTTGCTAAACGTACAATTAAAATAAATATGTAAAATTCAAATATGTGCATATGTAAGTACACTTTACACGTGTTTACTTTTCAGGTGGTGAACGGAGTTCGATATATTCTTACTATATTAATCGATTACAATAGTTGTTCACAAAACGTGGCAGAAGAATGTGTTGTAACTAAGACTTGTAAAGTATCTGTGCTCGATAAACCATGGGCCAAGCTCCCTGATGGGTCGAGATATAGAGTGGTGGTTGCTAATAACTGCACTGCAGATTGGATTTTTGAGGAAATTGGTGAAACACGGGATAGTGAGCGAGATAAACCTCAAAATCCTCAGCTGCCCACTCCTCATTATGGTGAAGTCCCAAATATAGGTACATTTGAAGATATTATACACTCTGTTCGCAATCCAGATGTCCAATCGCAACCAGAAATTGAAAAATCTCTAACAGATGAGGAAATTAGGAATATACAGCAACAAATAATACCAAACAGTCAATTTTCACAACAATCTCTAGAAAAACAACAATTAGAGACAAATAATGTTCATGGTAACGACTTACGTGCTCATCAAGTCGTTAACACAGAATCTCAGTCTTCTTTTGTGCATTCGAATCCTACAAATAATCTAGGAAAGATATCCCATGGCCGTAATGGTATCTCTGACGAAAAAAAGAAAGTCATTGACGATTTATTAAATTTTTTCGATTATGCTGGTTTTAAACAAAAAAATGATGGTGATAAAGAAGCCTCAAGAATGAAAAGGAGTTTCGAAAAAGAATTACATACGTTTGATCTTGCAGAAAATTTTAACAAAATGAGAAAGAATATTGACAGCGCTAAACATATATACGCACTAGCTCAATCGATGGTCGATTATTTAAATGAAATGGATATGTCAATTAAAAATAGACTTCTAAGTTCTGTTATATCAGCTGAGGAAGAGTCGGAAAATAATCATCGCTACTTTTATGTACAAGCACGAATAATAATTCCGTGTGATAAAGTTGAGTGTAATAATAAAGATGAACAGATAAAAATTTGTAATGGTGTTATTGATGGTACAAACGAAAGAAGTCCACAGGTTATGAATACTTTTTGTCATAATGAAAAAGGCAAGAAAAACAATATTGGTAAAAACAACATTGTGCCACCTGGCGATCCCATTTTATCCAAGCTAGCTTATACTGCATTGAAAACTATAGAACTTGAATCACAAGAAGACAATGCATTATACATAATTAAAATACATAATGCTAATACTCAAAAACTTTCAGGTACTTTAACCAAAATCGCAATTCTTTTAGGTCACACGAATTGTAGCAAATCTGTAGGCCTTTATAAAAGAAAAAACTGTACTAAAGTCGAAAAAATGGGAACTAAACTGTGTGATGTTGAAATCCTGGAAAAAGGCAAAGAAAAGAAAATTTCCTATATTTGTACAGACCGACCCGTGGGTGAAAGTTTTGTCAACAAGAAATTAAAATATGGCATTGATGACCCAGATGTTGATGAAATACTTGAAGAGGCATTACAATATTTAGAAATACAGTCAAATAAGAACAATAAACAGAGAGTTGTTGATGTAAAATCAGTTTCAACTAGGCTTGTGGGTGGACTTTTGACAAATATAGAGTTCTTAGTTGGTTATACCAAATGTACTAACAATAATGACATTGGTCGTGATTATTGTGAATTTCTCAAAAATGAAACATTCCGAAATTGTGAAGCTCAGATATGGCAAAGGCCTTGGTTGGAAGACGAACGACAAATGAAAGTTTTATGTGAAGATGACATTTCAAATCCCGTAACTGAAAATGGAAATGATTTTAGAATCAGAAAAAGAAGGCAAGTAGCCTCACAACCTTTATTTGGTGGACTAACTAAACAAGATAAGAATGACCCGCGTTACAAAGCCATGGCGGAAGAAAGTTTACAAAAGTATTTACAGACATCTGGCGCCACGGGACCTCACAGAGTAGTTACAATTGACAATGTAAAATCACAGGTTGTGGCCGGATCATTAACTACGATTGACTTTACCGTTTTGGCAAATAACGCTGATGTCATCAAATGCCATTCGAAGATTTGGGAACAGCCTTGGATCAATAAAAAGGAGATAGACGTGACATGTGCTTTAGCAAACGAGCAAAACAGAGGGAAGAGACAGGTTCCCGGAGGAGAAAAGCAACAAGACAAGAATGACCCGCGTTACAAAGCCATGGCGGAAGAAAGTTTACAAAAGTATTTACAGACATCTGGCGCCACGGGGCCTCACAGAGTAGTTACAATTGACAATGTAAAATCACAGGTTGTGGCCGGATCATTAACTACGATTGACTTTACCGTTTTGGCAAATAACGCTGATGTCATCAAATGTCATTCGAAGATTTGGGAACAGCCTTGGATCAATAAAAAGGAGATAGACGTGACATGTGCTTTAGCAAACGAGCAAAACAGAGAGAAGAGACAAGTTCCCGGAGGAGAAAAGCAACAAGACAAGAATGACCCGCGTTACAAAGCCATGGCGGAAGAAAGTTTACAAAAGTATTTACAGACATCTGGCGCCACGGGGCCTCACAGAGTAGTTACAATTGACAATGTAAAATCACAGGTTGTAGCCGGATCATTAACTACTATTGACTTTACCGTTTTGGCAAATAACGCTGATGTCATCAAATGCCATTCGAAGATTTGGGAACAGCCTTGGATCAATAAAAAGGAGATAGACGTGACATGTGCTTTAGCAAACGAGCAAAACAGAGGGAAGAGACAGGTTCCCGGAGGAGAAAAGCAACAAGACAAGAATGACCCGCGTTACAAAGCCATGGCGGAAGAAAGTTTACAAAAGTATTTACAGACATCTGGCGCCACGGGGCCTCACAGAGTAGTTACAATTGACAATGTAAAATCACAGGTTGTGGCCGGATCATTAACTACGATTGACTTTACCGTTTTGGCAAATAACGCTGATGTCATCAAATGTCATTCGAAGATTTGGGAACAGCCTTGGATCAATAAAAAGGAGATAGACGTGACATGTGCTTTAGCAAACGAGCAAAACAGAGAGAAGAGACAAGTTCCCGGAGGAGAAAAGCAACAAGACAAGAATGACCCGCGTTACAAAGCCATGGCGGAAGAAAGTTTACAAAAGTATTTACAGACATCTGGCGCCACGGGGCCTCACAGAGTAGTTACAATTGACAATGTAAAATCACAGGTTGTGGCCGGATCATTAACTACGATTGACTTTACCGTTTTGGCAAATAACGCTGATGTCATCAAATGTCATTCGAAGATTTGGGAACAGCCTTGGATCAATAAAAAGGAGATAGACGTGACATGTGCTTTAGCAAACGAGCAAAACAGAGAGAAGAGACAGGTTCCCGGAGGAGAAAAGCAACAAGACAAGAATGACCCGCGTTACAAAGCCATGGCGGAAGAAAGTTTACAAAAGTATTTACAGACATCTGGCGCCACGGGGCCTCACAGAGTAGTTACAATTGACAATGTAAAATCACAGGTAGTGGCCGGATCATTAACTACTATTGACTTTACCGTTTTGGCAAATAACGCTGATGTCATCAAATGTCATTCGAAGATTTGGGAACAGCCTTGGATCAATAAAAAGGAGATAGACGTGACATGTGCTTTAGCAAACGAGCAAAACAGAGAGAAGAGACAGGTTCCCGGAGGAGAAAAGCAACAAGACAAGAATGACCCGCGTTACAAAGCCATGGCGGAAGAAAGTTTACAAAAGTATTTACAGACATCTGGCGCCACGGGGCCTCACAGAGTAGTTACAATTGACAATGTAAAATCACAGGTTGTGGCCGGATCATTAACTACTATTGACTTTACCGTTTTGGCAAATAACGCTGATGTCATCAAATGTCATTCGAAGATTTGGGAACAGCCTTGGATCAATAAAAAGGAGATAGACGTGACATGTGCTTTAGCAAACGAGCAAAACAGAGAGAAGAGACAGGTTCCCGGAGGAGAAAAGCAACAAGACAAGAATGACCCGCGTTACAAAGCCATGGCGGAAGAAAGTTTACAAAAGTATTTACAGACATCTGGCGCCACGGGGCCTCACAGAGTAGTTACAATTGACAATGTAAAATCACAGGTTGTGGCCGGATCATTAACTACTATTGACTTTACCGTTTTGGCAAATAACGCTGATGTCATCAAATGTCATTCGAAGATTTGGGAACAGCCTTGGATCAATAAAAAGGAGATAGACGTGACATGTGCTTTAGCAAACGAGCAAAACAGAGGGAAGAGACAGTTTCCCGGAGGAGAAAAGCAACAAGACAAGAATGACCCGCGTTACAAAGCCATGGCGGAAGAAAGTTTACAAAAGTATTTACAGACATCTGGCGCCACGGGACCTCACAGAGTAGTTACAATTGACAATGTAAAATCACAGGTTGTGGCCGGATCATTAACTACGATTGACTTTACCGTTTTGGCAAATAACGCTGATGTCATCAAATGTCATTCGAAGATTTGGGTACAGCCTTGGATCAATAAAAAGCAGATAGACGTGACATGTGCTTTAGCAAACGAGCAAAACAGAGGGAAGAGACAGGTTCCCGGAGGAGAAAAGCAACAAGACAAGAATGACCCGCGTTACAAAGCCATGGCGGAAGAATGTTTACAAAAGTATTTACAGACATCTGGCGCCACGGGACCTCACAGAATAGTTACAATTGACAATGTAAAATCACAGGTTGTGGTCGGATCATTAACTACGATTGACTTTACCGTTTTGGCAAATAACGCTGATGTCATCAAATGTCATTCGAAGATTTGGGAACAGCCTTGGATCAATAAAAAGGAGATAGACGTGACATGTGCAAACGAGCAAAATAGAGTAAAAAGACAACTTCACGAAGAAATAAGTGGTGGGTTTTTTCTGCAAGATCCGCAGAGTCCTGAGTATACAAAATTAGCTGAGAAAAGTCTGCTTATATTTTTAAACACCTCGAATGTGATGCAACATTACAAAGTTACGAAAGTAACTAAAGTCCAGACTCAAGTAGTGTCTGGCTTTATTACAAAACTCGTCTTTCTTGTATCACCTACTAATTGCCAAATAACTGAAGATGGCAAAATGTCCGCCTCTTCTTGTGACATACAAGATAGTACAGTTGTAAAAAAATGCAATTCTAAAGTTTGGGATAAACCTTGGAGATCTTCCACAGTTTATTCGGTAAAATGTTTTCTGAATGAAGACCGACAGAGAAGAGAAATTTTAAGAAAAAGATTTAAAACGTCGAATTATAAAATGTCTTCTGCGCACAGTAAAGTTGGTTCAACAGTGGAACAGGATCCAAGTAAAAATGAATATAAAATATTGGCTGATGAAAGTCTACGAAAATACCAGCTTTTACAAAAAAGTAACATACGCCAAAAAATCTTACAAGTTAAAAGAGTTGAAACACAAGTTGTCTCAGGCACGATTTATAAAATAGAGTACACTGCAGTTCCTACAACCTGTTCTGCAAATGTTATTGACACATCTTCTTGTGACCGAACTGATGATAAAGTGATATTATATTGTCACACTGAAATATGGGACCGACCTTGGCTAAAACGAAAAAATATTGATGTTTCCTGCATAGCTAACAAACTTGATGAGGATGAAAAGGATGCAATTATATCCAAACGTAGTGTTTTAGGTGGACCAACAAGCAAAGATGTAGATAATGAGCTTTATAAAAAAATGGCCAAAACAGCTCTTGAAAAATATCAAAAATTGACAAAAACGGAGTATCTTCATAAAGTATTGACAATTACTCACGTTTCTGAAAAGGTTATACAAGGATTTCTCACAACCATAAAGTTTACTATATCTCCAACAACGTGCTTATTGAAATCTGCAACAGATGAAGAAGAAGATTGTCCGTTTCAACAACCAATTGCAAAATTAATGTGTGTTGCAGAAATACGAGAGCGACCAGTATTGGACTTAACTGATGAAGATATCACTGTAACCTGCCACCGAAAAAAGCATAAAAATATTAAACAGATAAGTAAACGAATCTCAAAATATGACAGGAATCATGATACCAGAGAAAAAAGACAAACTCGAACGGATGAAAATGAAATTGGCGATGATGCCAAATATGTGTATGCTCACCACGCTATAAAGAATATTAACCAACGCTCGGATACAGATAATTTACAGAAACTTATAACAATTTATGATGTTGTAACCACTTACCAAATGGAAACCCCAATGGTGAGCATGTATATCGAAACTGCATACACATACTGCTTAAAGCAAAATAAAGATATAGATCTGAATAGTTGCGATGAATTAGATGGGATGAACCATAGAATATGTTTTGTAAGAGTATTCCCTTCTGCCGACGATGATTTGGTCGTTCTTAAAGTTGTTACAGTTTGCGACGATGAGCCGAATTTTGTATCGGTGACACATCTATCAGTACCCGATTTATTAACTATTTCACTGGTCGCGCTTGAAAATTCACCAGATATAGGGTATAAATTAGTGCATCGAGGTGAGCCTTATGTGGTTCCCAGTTTACATTCTCATATACCCGTGAAACTTAGCTTTATTGTAGCATCTACAAATTGCTCGAAGTATGTCAAAGTCGCTACTGATGTCAATGTTCGATGTTTCGTTGATACTACGATACCAGATAAAGAATGTCATGCTAATATATGGATGATGCCAGTCACTAAAAAAATTTTACACATCAGTGCTAACTGCTCGAGACCACACCTGACCCGTACAAAGAGAACACTTACATCAGAAAATACGACTGCTAACATACAAGATATGGTGGACCAGTCACTAGAAAAGTTAGAAATGTCATCTCTTCATAGATATAAGCAGAGAGTTATAAAAATCAATAGCTATTCTACAAAACTTACGTCAGGTCGAGTGACTACCATTGACTTTGACGTTGGTTACACAAATTGTCTCAAATATGAATGGGTCGATGATGCATCGACATGCCAATTTATAGAGCATTTGCCGAGGAGACATTGTGTATCAGAAGTTTGGGAGAGGCTTTGGCTGAAAAATGGTAGAAAAATAGAAGTGACTTGCCAAGATGACGAGACACCGTTAGAAGCACATGTAGAGTTCGAAAGCGCCGATATTGCCACGCGGCTAGCGCAGCAAGCCTTGAAGCACATTGAGGCTAAGTATCCACATCCGAAAAAACAGCAACTCGTTCGGATATTTTCACTGGAGAAGCAAGTAGTGGCGGGAATACATTATAGGATGAAGATCGAGGTTGGTTTGACCGATTGCTTAGCATTAAGTGTCCAGGATAATTGTCATTTGATAAATGATGGAACACCGAATCGATTCTGTCGTGTCAATGTTTGGCTTCGACCCTGGACAGATCATCCCCCGAATTTCCGCGTGACATGTGATTATCAAGCAGGCGCAATGACGGATATGTACCACCATGTTCAGGCGGAACAATTATTTTTTAATTTCATTACCACATATAAACCTGAGTATATAAACGATCATGTAGAAATGACGAAGAGGTTCGAAATATTTAAAGAAAACGTTAAAAAAATTCATGAACTAAATACCCACGAAAGAGGTACAGGTGTTTACGCAGTTACTAGGTTTACTGATTTGACATATGAAGAATTTAAATCTAAGTATTTAGGATTAAATCCAAATCTAAAAAAGCCCAATCAGATACCGATGAGACAAGCTGAAATTCCCAAAGTGCACCAACTTCCTGCTAGTTTCGATTGGCGACCACTTGGAGCTGTCACGGAAGTGAAGGATCAAGGAGCTTGTGGTAGCTGCTGGGCCTTCAGCGTCACAGGTAATTATTTATCGTACTTTGTCTAATGCAGGATGTAACAGATTTACATATTATATTAACAGATAGACTTGGACTGCGTTCCAAACTTACGCTTCTGGTGCAACCAATGTCGAATTTGACAGAAGTTTCATACATTTTATGTCAAAATTTAAACGTCAGGGAAAAAGTTGCACTCAGAGCGTAGGTCCAGAACTCAGCCCTAAAGTGACAGGTTGCTTGTTTTGCATCAAACGGCTAACGCACCATCTGTAATGAGCTTTGCATTTTCTTCCTCATTGTTTTGATCGCATTGTAAACATAGTCCGTTAAAGTGTCCGTCTAGTAGAAAGAGAAAGAAGATGAGAGACGGCTAGCTATCTCTCTCTCTTGTGACGCATGGTATCCAATGGCATCACATCGAAATAGTAAGATGCTTACGGTTGCTAATGCGTATGCGCGGCTAGAGAGAATAGCTAGCGGTCTCTCATCTTCTTTTTTCTTTCTATAAGAGGGACACTTCCACTTGTAGTAGAGTCTATATCACCCCTACTCTATTCTTATACCTCTATGATTGTAAAATGTTTCATTAACGCTACTGTCATTTCAATGTTCGTCTTTATTATCATAGTAAGAAAATAAAAACTAAGTATACATTTTTTAATCCTGTAATGACTTGATATGATCCGAGGCCATTCGATTTCCGGCGAATATACTGGCTTGCTTTCGAGACCTCAATATGTCGAATTACTTCTAGTACCAGAGGTTGTGAAACTGCGTTATTTCTTCGCATTGCAGACAACGAAAATTTTATATATGTTTTTTACCCGGCTGCGCAATGCAAGAGCGCGAAGCGCGACGCGCAGACAGGGTTATGTGTTTAACAGTCTATATATGTATGTTTGTTCCTTTGTGGCATACTAGAGACCAAACGCCTGGACCGATTTTGATGATTCATACATCAATCGATTCGTCTCAATTATGGGAGTGCTACTAAAGAAATGATAGTAATCAAAATTCAATATGGGCAAAATTGGGCGCCATATTGTGACGAAGTAAAAAAAATAAGTTGACAAAATATGTCGAGTGGGGTATCACTGTCTAGATAATCAAAAATCATATTTAGGTTCCTAACACCATTTTTCATTTAATATGATTGTTTAGGATCTACAACGCTTTAAAGTTGTATATTAACCACTTACGCTTTTAATTTCAATCTTACGTTTGTATGGATCTTTGTTACTCTTTCACCTAAAAAATACTGAATGGATTTTAATGAAACTTAACAGTAATATAGCTCATATATGATAATTACATATATATAATAATTTATGTAGTTATTGAGTGAATTGGCCAATATATAACAATAAGTGTCACATAAGACGGAAAAAAATCTCCCATCTGCGAGCCATTTTGGCCTGCACTGCAAAAACAATAAAAGTTACATGAATGTAATGTAGAGTGAAAATGTATCTCTTAAATAGTTCTAAAAAAAGTCCGTTACACCATATATCTATTTTTAATGTGTAAGTCATTACAGCTAAAATAGTGAATCAAAACTAAAATATTATTTGATATCTATTTCCAAAATGCACATTTTGTATTAACAAATCATTTTTTATCAAAACAAATACTTTTATCGCTTTTGATATTTAAAGACGTTAAACTTTGCTTTTTACTATGTCATTTCGACAAATATTTAAAAAGTTACAACGATGACAAAGTGATAGTGCGGTGTACTAAGTAAAAGAAAAAAAAGGGCTATTCGCAGTATCTAATCCTATACGAAGCACTAACAATAAAACTGTGATACAGTTCCTTCTTATTAAATGATGAAAAATATATTATCATAATAGGTATTTATGATTATTGAATTTTAATGAAAAACTTAGAATTTTACTGTTTTTCATTTTTTTAACGATATTACTTAATGTTACAAAAAAGGTTTACTTAATATAATGACAAATAACCCATTTTTCGCCAGTAAGTACATACTTATTGGAATCCCTGTATTTATTAATCAGCTCCCGATAATATTGGTTTTGTAATTATTCTGCAAAATTCAAAGTAAATAATGTAGATTTTTATAGGTAAATCATCCCTTTCATCACCCTACGCCTATAAGTATTGCGATGTTGTAGCCAGAACCAAGTTCCCATCTACTTCTATATGGGAATTCATTATATTCGATTTAGCTATTAGGGCACGGAAGCGCAACAAATAAACTCACTTTCGCATCTATAATATTATATTATACTTACTAATGATCCACCCGGGCATTGTACGGGCGAAATTTATTTATCGGGATAAAATATAGCCTATGTCACTCGGACAAAATATATTTAAATAAAGAAAATGTAATAATAAATAATGTAGCTACCTTATGATGAATTAATATTTGAAACCGGTTCAGTAGTTTGACAGATTATTTGTTACAAACATACAAATCTTGCATCTTTATAATATTAGTATATATAGTTAGGATAAGATAAGTATTTTATTGATGAAAAAGATTTAAAAATAAAGTAAGTAATAGGTTTATTTGATTATATTTGTAAAAGTTACTTAGTATTTTTGCTTAACAGTGATACGATATTCGGTATTTTTTAAACAAAACAAAATTTGGAAAATAATTGCCATGATTGCACTACTGGGAGTACTCTTCATTCGAGCTTTACACTACCAATAAAAAAGGGTCGAACACAAAGTCTTTGACCTGTTATATGTGAACGCTTTAAAAGAAAACTACAAAGAGAACTAAAAATTGATAATAAATGCGATTGCTATGGTGCTCTACCTAACGTTATGAAAATTTTATTATGCGCCTTTGAATTGAATTATGTAGGTATATCAAATTATGACACTAGGGACTGACACTGCATTTGTGTATATCACAATCTTAGTCGTCCGGCATTGACATGACAATGCAGCCACTACCAATTTTAAATAGTCGACGAATAAAAGTAAATGAATTTTATATTTACTGCTAAACTATTAAAAAAAATATAAACAAAAGATGACTTTTTGAGTAAGTGCTAGTTTACTATAAAATTTACATACATTAGAGATATTTATGTAACGACGACGAGGAGCTCGATGGCGCAGGTGGTTAGTGCGTTCGGCTGCGATCGTTGTAGTTAAGCAACTTTCGCAGTGGTCGGTCATTGGATGGGTGATCAAAAATTTTTATCTCGAGTTCCTCCGTGCTTCGGAAGGCACGTTAAGCCGTTGGTCCCGGTTGCATCTGCAATCGTTAAAACCCGCGAATCCGCACTGGGCCCGCGTGGTGGGTCATGGCCCAATCTCCCTATTCCATCCATAGGGCCTGTGCCCCAGCAGTGGGGACATAAAGAGGCTGATGATGATGATGATGATGTAACGACTTCATTTAACTTCACACATTTTTGCGAAAATTGATTGTAGCCTTGACCTCGCTGATAAAGTCTCTATATGTCTTAATAAATCAATCTTTTAGACCGACGCAAGGTACTTAATAATTCCCGCGATATTAATTCCCTTACTGAAGTAACAAGACTACGGTATATACCGTCTTAAAATACTAACTAACTAAAAAGTGTGAAATAAAAAAGATAAATTTAAAAAATCAAAAAACCCGACTGCTTAATTATACTTCAAATAAAAACTGAAAAGAAAAAAACAAGTCCAGTAGTCTATAATTCTGTTAATAAGGAACAAAGCTACTTTAACAGTCGGGACCCACTGTTGAAAAATATTATGTATTCTTGAATATCTAATGGGTCCCGACTGTTAAAGTAGCTTTGTTCCTTATTAACAGAATTATAGACTACTGGACTTGTTTTTTTCTTTTCAGTTTTTATTTGAAGTATAATTAAGCAGTCGGGTTTTTTGATTTTTTAAATTTATCTTTTTTATATATAATATACTCATCTAGCAGTTTAATTCTAAAAATTAAAATTATTTTTTGCTATTTGTTTGGGAATCTTTGATCGCATAAGACTTTGTAGTTGCTGCATTGTAGTGTAATAACATAAAAACAGTGTCTAAGATATACTAGTTGAAATTCGACACGTACATTACATTAAGGTATCGGTAGCATGTCGGTCTTTGCTTACAACCGGTTAGCGAAATGCGGTGTGTCGAATAGCCTGTTACCTTGGCCCATTTGATTATTTTCTAATGAATATCTATATATATCAAGCAGGCTGCTAGATATTCTTTTAAATTTTTAAAATACAGTGAATCGAAGTGTTTGCAGGATAAACTATATTATTCAGTCAAAATATTCACTTTTTAGATCTTTTTCTCCTCTCTATAAGTACGACGTTTACACTCGTATTTTCAAATAAGTACAAGTAATTACTTTGTTGCTAAGAAACAAAGTTATTATCAAATAATACACTGTAGAGTGAGTTCTTAAATAAAACAAATAGTACATTATATCAACGAAATTGGTGACTATAACTTTAAAGAAGATTTTTACTAGAAAACAATTCCACGCGGGTCAGACAGCAGACGGGACTCGAACTCGCACCCTTCGATATCCGGGCGAATGCGCTACCGCGGCCCCGATGGCCGTCTCGAACTTTCTCTAGCCTTGGGCTGCAAGGCAGCGCCATTACTTCACATTGTAGGTAACCCACAATCGAGTCCCGTCTGCTGCCTGGTCCGCGTGGTTTTCTTCTAGTAAAAATTTTCTTTAGATTTAAACATATACAAGTTAAATGCTTAAAAAAATATATATGACTATAACTTTGTTATAACTTGCGCCAATAAAAAAACAAATCGCAAGATAGACTTACGACATTCTGTCCCTTTTGCACATACTATCCTAAGTAACGTGCAAGAGAGACATAATGTCTTACATCGGCATTATAAGTATGATATTAACGGGTGAAAAATGCGTACTTTAATAAAGGTTATCGAACCGTTTTTGAAAGTCCGTTAATATTAAATTTATAATGCAACGCGAAATTTTCAAATTGAAGAAATCAAAGCTTGTTGTGTTTATAACTTTTATGTGTTTCTAAAACTATTTTCATTTGATTCGTACAGGTAACATTGAAGGCCAGTGGAAGTTGAAAACTGGTAAGTTGCTGTCACTGTCGGAGCAGGAACTGGTGGACTGCGACAAAATGGATGACGGGTGCGACGGAGGATACATGGACAACGCCTATAGGTGAATATATATATTTATAATTGATTACTAGCGGCCGCCCGCGACTTCGTACGCGTGGAGTTAGTTAGAAATAAAGGTTCACTGCTCGTTCCCCGGTGATAGCGTGATAATATGTAGCCTATATGTTGACCCGACTTCTTAATAATGTTCGTGCCAAATTTGAAGTAAGTAAGTTTTTGAGTTTATCCCGGACATACATACAGACAAACATACAAAAATTCTAAAAACCTATTTTTTTGGCTTCGGTATCGATTGTAGATCACACCCCAAGTATTCTTTAAAAAAAATATTCAATGTACTTACAGTTTTGTCTTTCCTACCATTTAATTATATGTAGGTATAAATGCGTGTATTTTTTTTATAAATTTTCTAGTAGCTTTTCTAGTAGTAAAAGTTCGGTGTTGCCTTCTGTCTGCAAACTTCTCAAATTGTTTCACTTCAACTGATGTCAAGAGGAGCATGATGGCGCAAGTGGTTAGCGCGTTCGGCTGCGATTGTTGAAGTTAAGCATCTTTTGCAGTGGTCAGTCATTGGGAGGGTGACCAAAAATTTTCGATCTCGAGCTCCTCCGTGCTTCAGAAAGCACGTTTAGCCGTTGGTCTCGGCTGCATCTGCCGTCGTTAGCACTCACCAATTCGCACTGGGTTCGCATGGTAGGTCACGGCCTAATTTCTCTATTCCATCTGTAGGGAAGGCTTGTGCCCCAGCAGTGGGGACATTAATAGGCTGACGCTAATGATCTTAAGTTGAAGTGCTAATAAAATGAAGAAAACCAGGCTTGTCTTTCTGCGTGCAAAAACCTATAATTTCACTTTCGTGATCCTAAGGTATAATGCTACTCCAGAAATTAAATTTTAAACCAAAAATGTTGGTAGCAATACGATATATATAAGGAATACAATACAATCAACGGTGTGCAAAAGTTAACCTTTAATTTTCCGAATTCCTCTAATGAGTAAACTGCATAACAGTCGTTATCATGTATCAATATTTCTTTTAAATCATTCTGAATATTTTGTTTACTAAATAGCGAGAAGTCAATAAACATCGGAAATTTGAATACCAAGCGAAGAAAAATATTTCATTGCCATTCCGAACTTATAACTGTGTGTTGCTATGTTCATAAGTGACGTCATACTATTTCTTACAATAAGTAAACAATGGATGTTTCGCATCATCTTAACGATGACTACACATGACTGACAGTAGATTATAAATCGTGGGTAAATCCTTACATAAATTGCTACAGTACAATAATCAATATGTATGACCTCACCGTATTTTTGTGTTATTCAAAATCGTTCATTCAGCATAGGAATATTCTTATAAACTCTAAGGAAAGTCTTGAAGCTTGTACGGAGAGGACAAGAAACTCAGATTAATCAATTTACTCGAACGTGTATAAATATTTTCGAACACAAATATTTATAACGCTTTCAAACGCGTTATCTGTATATGTATACGTTTCTACGTTTAATATCACATACAAAGTGTATGAGTGACTTATTTTGGTCGTGTCAATGTTTGATTTTGGACCATTTTTTTATGATGTAGAATTGTGCGCATTAGCACGTGTCATGCATGGATCACATGTATCCGATGTTTTTGGCTAACGAGATAGTAAAATTTTATCGCATAATGTCTGGCACTGCAAATGGCTATTCGTATTTGCTTATGTTAATTTTACAGCAATATAAATAAAAAAAAGGTAAATTTAAAAATCAAAAAAGCCGACTGCTTCATTATACTTCAAATAAAAACTGAAAAGAAAAAAACAAGTCCAGTAGTCTATAATTCTGTTAATAAGGAACAAAGTTATTTTAACAGTCGGGACCCATTAGATATTCAAGAATACATAATATTTTTCAACAGTGGGTCCCGACTGTTAAAGTAGCTTTGTTCTTTATTAACAGAATTATAGACTACTGGACTTGTTTTTTTCTTTTCACTTTTTATTTGAAGTATAATTAAGCAGTCGGGTTTTTTGATTTTTAAATTTACCTTTTTTATTTCACACTTTTTAGTTAGTTAGTATTTTAAGACGGTATATACCGTAGTCTTGTTAAATAGTAAGGGAATTAATATCGCGGGAATTATTAAGTACCTTGCGTCGGTCTAAAAGATTGATTTATTAAGACATATAAAGACTTTACCCGCGGGGTCAAGGCTACAGATGGGTCTCAATTTTCGCAAAAATGTGTGAAGTTAAATCAAGTTGTTACATAAATATCTCTAATGTATGTAAATTTTATAGTAAACTAGCACTTACTCAAAAAGTCATCTTTTGTTTATATATTTTTTTAATAGTTTAGCAGTAAATATAAAATTCATTTACTTTTATTCGTCGACTATTTAAAATTGGCAGTGGCTGCATTGTCATATCAATGCCGGACGTCTAAGATTGTGATATACACAAATTCAGTGTCAGTCCCTAGTCTCATAATTTGATATACCTACATAATTCACAGAAAGCCAAATGTAGATGCCAGAAGTTAACTTCAAATATTTTTAATCATCCTATATACAATACCAATCAATGACGTCTATGTCACAGGTTGAAGAAAGCAGTAACTCACGTCTGTTGTTTTGGACAGTGGTGGCAACTGCCTTAGATCACTAAATTAAATAATTATACAATCACCAAAGCAAAGTTTATAATATTTGATTAAACTAAAGGCGCATAATAAAATTTTCATAACGTTAGGTAGAGCACCATAGCAATCTCATTTATTATCAATTTATAGTTCTCTTTGTAGTTTTCTTTTAAAGCGTTCACATTTAACAGGTCAAAGACTTTGTGTTCGACCCTTTTTTATTGGTAGTGTAAAGCTCGAATGAAGACTACTCCCAGTAGTGCAATCATGGCAATTATTTTCCAATTTTTTTTGTTATAAAAATACCGAATAACGTATCACTGTTAGGCACAAATGCTAAGTAACTTTTACAAATATAATCAAATAAACCTTTTACTTACTTTATTTTTTAATCTTTTTCATCAATTAAATACTTATCTTATCCTAACTATCTATACTAATATTATAAAGAAGCAAGATTTGTATGTTTGTAACAAATAATCTGTCAAACTACTGAACCGGTTTCAAATATTAATTCATCATAAGGTAGCTACATTATTTATTATAACATTTTTCTTTATTTAAATACATTTTGTCCGAGTGACATAGGCTATATTTTATCCCGATAAATAAATTTCGCCCGTACAATGCCCGGGTAGATCACTAGTAAGTATAATATAATATTATAGATGCGAAAGTGAGTTTGTTGCCCTAATAGCTAAATCGAATATAATGAATTCTCATATAGAAGTAGATGGGAACTTGGTTCTTGGCTACAACATCGCAATACTTATAGGCGTAGGGTGATGAAAGGGGTGATTTACCTATAAAAATCTACATTATTTACTTTGAATTTTGCAGAATAATTACAAAACCAATATTATCGGGAGCTGATTAATAAATACAGGGATTCCAATAAGTATGTACTTACTAGCAAAATGGGTTATTTGTCATTATATTAAGTAAACCTTTTTTGTAACATTAAGTAATATCGTTAAAAAAAATTAAAAACAGTAAAATTCTGAGTTTTTCATTAAAATTCAATAATCATAAATACTTATTATGATAATATATTTTTCATCATTCAATAAGAAGGAACTGTATCACAGTTTTATTGTTAGTACTTCGTATAGGATCAGATACTGCGAATACCCCATTTTTTTTCTTTTACATAGTACACCGCGCTATCACTTTGTCATCGTTGTTACTTTTTAAATATATGTCGAAATGACATAGTAAAAAGCAAAGTTTATCGTCTTTAAATATCAAAAGCGATAAAAGTATTTGTTTTGATAAAATATGATTTGTTAATACAAAATGTGCATTTTGGAAATAGATATCATATAATATTTTAGTTTTGAATTCACTATTTTAGCTGTAATGACAAAATAGATATATGGTGTCACGGATTTTTTTAGAACTATTTAAGAGATACATTTTCACTCTACATTACATTCATGTAACTTTTATTGTTTTTGCAGTGCAGGCCAAAATGGCTCGCACATGGGAGATTTTTTTCCGTCTTATGTGACACTTATTGTTATATATTGGCCAATTCACTCAATAACTACATAAATTATTATATATATGTAATTATCATATAAGAGCTATATTACTGTTAAGTTTCATTAAAATCCATTCAGTATTTTTTTGGTGAAAGAGCAACAAAATCAATCAATCATCACAAACGTAAGATTGAAATTAAAAGCGTAAGTGGTTAATATACAACTTTGAAGCGTTGTAGATCCTAAACAATCATATAAAATGAAAAATGGTGTTAGGAACCTAAATATGATTTTTGATTATCTAGACAGTGATACCCCACTCGACATATTTTGTCAACTTATTTTTTTTACTTCGTCACAATATGGCGCCTAATTTTGCCCATACTGAATTTTGATTACTATCATATTTTTAGTAGCACTCCCATGATTGAGACGAATCGATTGATGTATGAATCATCAAAATCGGTCCAGGCGTTTGGTCTCTAGTGTGCCACAAAGAAACAAACATACATATATAGACTAGTAAACACATAACCCTGTCTGCGCGTCGCGCTTCGCGCTCTTGCATTGCGCAGCCGGGTGAAAGTAATAAATATTTCTAACACTCACTCTCAATTAGCCCCAAAGTAAGCACTGTAAGGCTTACTAGGGTAAGATACTACGGTAACGGATAGAATACATATACTGATATATTTAAATACTTATATTTATAAAGAAATACACATAAACATCCATGTCTTAACAAATACTCATATTCATCACACAAACATTTTCCCCATCGGGTTTGAAGCCGGAACCTCTGAGCAGACGACACTTTGAAATCCGGCGTACATACACTCGGCCACGGAGGTCGTCAAATCGTGTATCCTTATCATACGCTATTGGGGAAAAGGAGATACTCCAGCCTTTACAAAAAGCATGTGACGCAAAATTGTGTGAACTGCAGCTAATCAGCAAGAGAATTGCTTAGAGAAAAATTTAAAGAAATTATTATTTTAACACTGGCATCGCAATACATTTATGAAAATTTTATATAAGTAAGAAAAAACTATGATGCATTTGCAAAAAAAGTCAAACCCATAACTTTAACACGAGATTTAAGAACAAGCTTGCCGTTCCATGTTTTAGATTTCAAAAATCAAGAGGTTCATTTCTAGGTTGTAGTATTGCATTGTTTATAAAGTTTCACAAGAGCTGAGCTTCCACTGACCAAATTTAAATCTCAGATCAAGAATACTCTTGCCGGTTCTTCTCAGTACAAGGTCTCCCGCCGTAGTTTTGCGAAACGATGGCGTAGCTTCTTGACCTTCACAAGTGCCTGTAACTAGACTGAATAAATGACTTTTCATTTCATAAAGCAAACAAGTCCGTGAACATGGTATTCTTCTGGTGTTAGGAACTTTCCGTGCTATACAGGGCGTCCCACGGGTACCTCACACGGAGGGAAAGTATATTAAATATTGAAGATAGGATATTTTACCGAAACAAGACATCATTTTGTTTTTAATTATAACTAGAACTGCATTCACAGATTTTTTTAAAATCGCCTGCTAAAACGGGGAATTAAACTCATGAAATTTTGAAAAAAAAAACACTACAAGTTTTATGATAACCATCGAAAGGGTTAATCATAACAATTACTTTTTTGCTAAATAACATAGCATTTTAAATGAAAGAAAAGTCATAAAATAACACAATTTATTAAAAATGTTCAACAAAAAGTAATAAAAAACGAAATGTATCAAACGTTCAAAATGTGATCCGATTTGTTGTATGCAAATTCTCACTCTAATGTTTTCTCTGCCTTTCGATTTCATTATCTTTGCGTGGTGAATGTTTGTAATAATTCGTCTGAGTTATTTTGTAACTCCTGCACACTGTCTTACCGGTTCTTGTATACTTCATCTGTTACATAACCCCACCAAAAAAGTCCAGTGGGGTAAGATCTGGGGACTTCACTGGCCATCTTATTAGTCCATAAGAACCAATCCAGGAAGGAAAGTGTTCATTAAGAAACTCGGCAGTTCTCCTACTGTTATGAGTCCCATTTTGCTGGAAAATGAGATTTCGTCGATTTGCATCAGGAAGATTATTGATCTCACCTCTTAAAATATTAAGTATTTCTAGATATCTTTCCGTATTTAGATTCCCTTTGTAAAAATGTATTCAGAGAACCCGGTTTTTAACTAAAATGAAAAACACAAAAAAGAACAGTACCCTTAGCACGAACTAATATCGAATTCGAATAGTTTTCGAGTGCGAAATGTCATTGTCAAATGTGTACTGATTTTTAGTTCTCGTTACGTACTTTGTGGTGCTGCTGTATAAGTTTCCATACAAAATTTGACATTGACATTTCACACTCGCAAACTATTCGAATTCGATAATGTTTCATGCTAAGGGTTCAGACGCTTGAAAATGTATGTGTTCTATTTTCGAATTTTCAGCCAATCGCATTGTTACTGAGTTCAAAAAGAAATGCATACGTACTACAGTTTGTATATCACTTTATTCTTTTTATCACGTAATAAGACATTCCTTTCATTTAAAATGCTATGTGAATTAGTAAAAAATAATCTTTATGATAAACCCTTTCGATGGTTAGCATAAAATATGTCGTATTTTTTTTTTCGAAATTTCACGAGTTTGATTCTCAGTTGTAGCAGTCGATTTTTAAAAAATCTGTGAATGCAGTTCTAGTTATTATTAAAAATGAAATGATGTCTTCTTTCAGTAAAATATCCTATCTTTAATATTTAATATACTTTCCCTCCGTATGAGGTACCCGTGGGACGCCCTGTATAGTCGGTTCTTTGTTCTGTTCTTTGTAAATTGTTTTTCGTAATGGGGAAATGCTTTATCCATATTTAGGTATAGGCTCATCTCCCTACTTTAGAATTAGGCCTAATGTTGATACTAAAAAGTTTTTTTGGATTACAGTGAATTAAATTTTTAAATTAGGGAAAGTTTTAATAATTAATGGAAAGTGACTTTATAAATCATCACATATTGTAGTCATTTTTAAATTTGAAGACAGTAAATACAGAGGCTGTTTTCCTCCCTGTATTATTATATACAGAGACTGTGTATAATCTAGACAGAAAAAAAATCGCCTTTGCCAAGTTTCTTGCCGGTTCTTGTCAGTATAAGGTCTCCCGCCATAGATTTACGAACCGATGGCGTAGCTTCTAGTCTAGACATTCATGAGTGCTTGTAACAGCCTAAACTGAAAAAACTATTTTTGATTTTGTACAGCAAAAAAATGGTTCTAATTTATAAACAAGTAGTGCAAATAAGAAGTTAAAATTATATTTTTTAATTTATCTTCTGTTGGTCGCCTTGTAATGAAAATAAACGGTAAAATAAATAAAAAAAACTAACCAAGAACAAAGTTTTAAATGCGGTATTTATGTAGTGACAAAGTTATTCAGCTCTGAATTTAATTTTGTAATTAAGACAAAGGGATGTCTCTTATCTGTGTTTAAATATTTATTTTTGTTATTTGTGTACTTATCAGAAGCTCAATTGTAACTTCCGTTAGTCTGTTATCTTAAACGAAGATATACATGAAAGATATTATGTTTATTTGTTTCTAAAAATTTCAAGCATCATTTGACAAAAAAATGTTCAACTGTCACTCTTGATTGTCGCCTTTTGAGGAGGCGAGTGACTATTTCCTCCATGTTGATTATATGTGGGGCATGTAGATGTCGCCGCCACACTATCACCATTGTCAGTTTCTATGGAAAGATCTAGTTTGTTCTTGCGTCCGGTAGGGGCGCTGCCTAGTTTCCATAGAAACTAACGATGGCGATACGAATACTTTCTCGCTAGTTGTTCGCGCTCATCCGTTTGACGTTTGAGATCATTTACTAGATAGAGGCCATGGTCGAAAGTTAATAAAGCAAGCAAGCAAGCGTTTTATACTCATTCAAAAAGTGTTTGTGAGTGAAGAGCTTGATGGCGCAAGTAGTAAGTGTATTCGGCCTGCGATCGTGAAAGTTAAGCAACTTTCGCAATGGTCGGTCATTGGATGGGTTACCGAAAAGTTATTATGTCGAGCTCCTCCGTGCTTCGGAAGGCACGTTAAGCCGTTGGTCCGGGCTGCATCTGCAGTCGTGAGCACCCACCAATCCGCATGGTGTGTCACGGCCCAGTTACATTCATAGGCTGTACCCCAGCGGTGGGGAAATATAACAAGCTGATGTTGAAAAAGTGTTTTATCAAATATTTAAGGTTTATTTGTTGTTACATTATGCAATAGATATGATGATATAATTTCTATTTGTTCTAGGGCAATTGAACAACTGGGTGGTTTAGAAACAGAGGAGGAGTACCCATACGAAGCCGAGGACGACAAGTGCTCCTTCAATAAGTCTCTGTCCAAGGTCCAAATATCTGGTGCGGTGAACATATCCTCGAACGAAACGAATATGGCGAAGTGGTTGGTGCACAATGGCCCTATATCGATTGGTGAGTTTTTTTACAATACCTAGCTTGGGCTATTTAAATTTGAATACAGTAAGAGATCTAAAAACTTCATGACATATATTACGTACATCTAGGGTATAGTAGTGCCTCCACCAAGATGACGAGACGAGCCAACAGAAGGGCAAGGGCACTACCTACCTTTTCTCGAACCGTTCGTTGGTTTTTTGAACCCTTATAACATTGCTTTGGATTATACCAGATAAAAAGAATTTTCGGGATATTTTGTAGCCATGGCCATGCCACATATTTTGACACAGGTGTAAAAAAAAAAAATATTTCCAACACTCACACCAATTAGCCTAGCCCCAAAGTAAGCACTGTAAAGGCTTGTGTTATGGGATACTAGGGTAACGGATAGAATACATATATTGTACATATATAAAGTATATTTATATGAAATACATATTAAACATCCATGACTGGAGTACAAATGCTCGTATTCATCACACAAACATCTGCCCCCACCGGGATTCGAACCCGAGACCTCTCGAGTCGGCGACGCCATGAAACCCGGCGTATAAACCACTCGGACACGGAGGTCGTCATATGTAGAATTTGTGAAGTAAGGCTTTGTAGAGTTAAGGCGTGTTGAGTGAGAAGCTTAGCTTCTCTAATAACTTTTTGACAGTAGGAGTCATATGATCTCGTCTTGGTAACACTTTATATCAATATTTTTTTGGTGGAATATTTCGTTTCAGAAAATCATATTGTTACGTGTCGGGATGGGGTTCGAAATTATATGCCAGTTCACGCTTGACAGTTCTTTATTCACCACACAGTTCACACAATTAACACCCAATGTTAATTACAAAACACTCACTAAACACTGTATTTCACTATACAAGTCTCTAAACATTCTCACTTGAACACTTTTGTTGCACTTTGATCGCCTTTGGATTCGCTCCGAAATAGCTGTTGAAACTCAACTGTCTCTGCGCGGCGCCAATCGCGCTTATATACGCCGATAGACGCATTCTAGAAAGTTCCAGTTAAATTGAGAATTAGCTAGTACCCACGAGTACAAAGTACTGTAACGTCCACTTAAATATGCCGACAACACAATTCTTTTTGTTTCCTCGTTGAAATTATTGATGGCGGCGATGATATTAAATTGACGAAAGAAATCGGTTACATCACCTTTTCCGTCGAATGTGGTCCTGGTCTCCATCTTTTTTAAAACTATTTCTTTCTTGATTTAAAAATATACTTCACTCGCGGTATTAGAATCTAACGCGGCGCGTCCACCATATAGGGTTCTGCCCAGAAGGGATAGAACCTGGGGACGTAGATGTTAATTGAAAGATACTGGTAGAGATAAGTTATTTATTTTGTATTATCATTCAGGCTAATATAAAAGTATTTTATCTAAATACGAGAGGAATTCTTGGTGCCTGAAGATCTAATAATCAATGGAACCTTCTATCAAAAGACAGACGATTCCTTATTTCAAATCTTAAAATCATGACATTAACTTTTTAATATAACTGCCAACCGTAGGCATTGCAAAAGCAAAGAGTTTACCTAAACAAGGAGGCTGCAACGTCAAGGACGTTACAGTACCTACTTATACCTACGCAGGTAACGCGCATAGCTTGTAAACAAGTGCAGTTGTCGTTGCACTTTCTTCCTTACGCGTCATTGCATAAGGCTCATTTTAGAATGAGTCGCATTACTCTACCTCTATCGCGACCCGCGGTGCTCTGGCACATTCGATCTCTAGCACTTTCACGGTTCCGTTTCGAGAGCATTTGTGACAATATTATGTATTTCAAAACCACCATTAGGAGAGGTTTACAACAAGTTTTTTTAAAAGTATACTCACTATAATAATCCCTGCACCATGAGCATGAGGAGCACGATATGAAATATATCAAGTTTTATAATGTCTAGTCTGTCAAATTATATTTTATACTCACGACGCCGTGCATGTCGAGTGGAGTTTTTGTAATAATATTTTTTTTTTGGATTTAATAATGTAGCAGTTTGACGCTTGAAGTTAAAAATAATATTTAAATAGTCATTTTTAATTCTTCTTCAAACATTTTTAATATGGTATCATTTTTAATTCGTTTTAGGTATAAACGCGAACGCAATGCAGTTCTATGTTGGTGGCGTGTCACACCCCTGGAAGGCGCTCTGCAACCCCAAGAACATTGACCATGGAGTGCTCATAGTAGGCTACGGTATCAAAGGTAACATACATCCTACTTCCTATACCAATGTTATAAATGCGAAAATTTATTAGTTTGTGTGTTTGTTACTCAATCACGTAAGAACTAGTGAACGGATTTGGATGAAATTTGGTACGCATATAGTTTATGACCTGGATTGAGACGTAGGATACTTTTTATCCGCGAAAAGTGTTAGTTTCCTGATGAATTATCAAAAAACTAAAGATGACGCAAACGAAGTCGCGGGTGGCCGCTAGTAAATTCATACACGTACACATAAAGCACGATGTATACACATAAATTTCCCTATTTCTGTACTTTACTGTGTTTTCAAGTAAAGTATTGTGTATTGTCTTTTAATGTATGGTCGAAGCAAAAATGTATAATCGTCTTAGTTGTAGCACACAAGTTGTAATAATATTAGTTTTTAAAGAGGTAGAGCATAGCGGGAAGTTAAGTGAAATCTTTGCGTCCAAATTACCTCAGTGTCTCGAGATAAAGGTCTTTGACCAGTGTGTTTTGCCCAGTGATGACTTACGGAAGCGAAACGTGGTCTCTTACTAAGTCTCATAAGAAGGCTCTAGGTCACACAGCGGGCAATGGCGAGAGCGGTGCTAGGTATTTCCCTGCGTGATAGAATCAGAAATGAGGAAATCCGCAGGGGAACCAAAGTAACTGTCATCGCTCGAAGGATTGCTCATAGCGAGAAGAACCGATGGCTGTTGGGTCGGTAAGGTTCTCGAATGGCGACCATGCACCCCTCACCGGAAAAATCATCGAAAACAATTCATCGAATTACAATTCTTCGAACACAATTTATCGAAAAAATAATTCGTCGAACAACAATTCTTCGAACGGTAATTCCCCGAAAAACAAAAAAGTAAACCATTCTGATCCAGACAACCCATTTATTGCCCCAGACGGTACTCACACGCAGAGGATCGAGTCCCAGTGGAGGGCTGTCAAAAGATATTTCAGAAAAGATAATTATAACCATCCGCACGATTTTGCAGATTCGATTGTAGAATATTTGTGGCGCAGAAACATAATTAAATATAAAAAAGACGCGTTTTTAGAAACAATTAATGCCATAAAACATGTATACAAAATAAATTAATGTGTAGAATTTCATGCTTTTTATATTTCATATTATTAGTGACAGAACCGAAGTGGGGCGAAGCCCCCCGCAATGAATAAAGTCTAAAGAGTTCATTAGGTTAGGTTAGTATGATGACCAAAAACGCGCGAGCCGAGCGAGCGGAGCGAGCGTGCCGCGGCAGCGGCCGGCGAAGCGCCAGAAACGACACTTTTGTACGTGCAACGTTTTTTTTTTCATACTTTTTCCCCTTTCCCCACCTCCCTCCTGCTAAATTTTAGCCTCCCTCCTGCTAAATTTTCATTTTTTTTTGGAATTACCGTTCGAAGAATTGTTTTTCGACGAATTGTTTTTTCGATGAATTGTGTTCGAAGAATTGTAATTCGATGAATTGTTTTCGATCAATTTTCCGCAAATCCCATGCACCAGACGACGCTCGGTGAGAAGGCCCCCCACCAGGTGGACCGACGGTCTCCACGGCTAGGCTGCTGGGTGCGGAAACGCGGAATAATCCCAATTTTTTTTTTAGCCTAGCCCCAAAGTAAGCACTGTAAGGCTTGTTTTATGGGATACTAGGTTAACGGATAGAATACATAAACTGTACATATATAAGTATATTTATAAGGATATACATATTTTACATCCATGACTGGAGAACAAATGCTCGTATTCATTACACAAACATCTGCTCCCACTGGGATTCGAACCCGGGACCTTTCGAGTCGGCGACACCATGAAACCCGGCGTACAAACCCCTTGACCACGGAGGTTGTCTAAATGGGGGGCCCGTCGCTTCGCACTAAGCAGCTTAGAGGGTATTCGCAGGGTTTTTTAGCGTATATTATGTCGTAAAGCGCCCGTAAGAGTTACGGGGTCCTCAGTGGGCAGCCACTGCAGGGGCTCGTAAAGCTTTCGGGAGCCAGGTGTGAGGTCAGTTCGGCGGTGTGCCTCTTAAAGGCGCGTCTGTAAACAGAGGTTTTGCCTGCGTTAACAAAAAAAAGGTGGACCGACGGTCTGGTGAAGATCACGGGATCGGGGGAAGCCGATGGATGCGCGTGGCACAGGATCGTTAGATGTGGAGATCCTTGGGGGAGGCCTATGCGCAGCAGTGGGCGTCCGTCTTCCGGCTCAAATGATGGTGATGATGAGGGCATAGCGGATTCCCTCTCAAATTCGACTACCCGTCTGGGGAAGTAACCTTTGCCTTACAAAATATTACAGTGAAATAACACAACTTTTTGGCGGTGTTCGTTTCTGTCGATGAGTTTTGTCCAGGGATTAATGACGTAAGGGATAAGGTCAGGGTGCTTGTTAATGAGACTATTAACAGTCGTCAGTTAAATAAATATGAGACACTATGGAGGTTTGTTAACGACACCGGCGCCTGCGACGGTTTTTGGTCGGTACAAACGCACAAACCGTGCTCGTGAACAAGATACAATCATTTGCGTTATTGCATTATAGATAAGAAATAAAATAAATAACCTATTTGGTTGATGTTCGGAATCGAGTAAAGCTGGGGACGAATGGAATTTTAGCTTTATCTCCTTCATTTTGCCACTTCAAAGCTAATGTGGTAATGTGACGTAAAATATGTCTTCCCTAACTTTCATTATTAGAAAGTACTTGAAATGAATAACAGAATCTCACAAATTAGACTCTCTAATTTCAAATACCCCCTAAAAAAATAAGCGAAAACTAAAGCGAAGATTTTTGTCTTTAAATTGTCTGAAATTTACACATAGAATTTTCAAGCATATTTTATAGAATTTAAACCCAATCCTTCTTCACAGAATATCCGCTATTCAACAAGCAGCTGCCGTACTGGGTAGTAAAGAACTCATGGGGTCCGGGATGGGGTGAGCAAGGTTACTACCGCGTATTCCGCGGTGATGGCACCTGTGGCGTAAATACCATGGCTTCTAGCGCTGTCGTATAATTAATAACCCACTAAATGTCTGATAAAATCCTATCAACTGTGTGGCAAAAACCAATGAACTGTCTGATAAAAACCCATCAAATGTCTGATAACAACCCATCACCTGTCTGAGCGCGACGGCGATGTATGCAATGCTTTCAGCGCCTCGAACTACTGCCAGCGTGCTGCAATTCATCGTGAATCTAATAACAAAATTTTGGTAAATGAACACTAGTAAATATCCAGCAAAATTGAGGATAATTGTATAAATTAATAGAACGATAGTATATAAATATATATATTGTTGTTATTCATCGTATACGTTATATTGGTGAAATATTTTTATTGTTTACATTTTCAGTTTGTCAGCGGTAGAATTTTCAGAGTAGACTGTGTTGGGCGTTTTTAAAAGCCCTTTTTATTCCCACATTTATTGAATGGATTATACCAACTCTATGATAAACATATGTCTATATTTCTATTGCCGCTTAGTAAGTGTTTAATAACATAAGGGGCTGAAACATGAACCCTGAGGCTTTCCTGATTTATATAAAAATAAAGCTACTTAAAAATAAACGATAGTAGCAAACATTGTTTATTATCTTTGTTATTTTTGGTTCGGCGACTATAAACAAATACACATATCTTAAAGCAGTGCTTATACCTTTTCTACAATATGATATGAAAGCAATTCTTGATTAATTATAATCGAAAATGTATAGTTAGGCATTTTAAAACTAGAAAAAATATATGAAGACTAACGCCATTTTACGATTTTGTTAAATATCTTTAGTATTGTGTATTTGTTTCTGTGTAGGATACAAATTTTGTAGATGTTTATTATAACAGTACCTACTTACAGAAAAAAATACTATTTTAGCTGGTCGTAATATTTGTTGCATGTGCAATGAACCAATGCCGTAAATCCAACCATTAGTCATCGCATAAAATCTGTTTGAAGTGCCTTTGTTTCAGACTAATGAGATTTTATGAGATACGACTAATTGGTGTGTTGCATAATGCAACTTTATCTATATTAAAACTGCTTTCAGGTTAAAGAAGTTTATACATAGTAAAATTTTGTAAAATTTTATGCATATAATGAACTAGAAATAAAATAATAGGTACCTGCGAAATTAAAATTAAGAGACTGTTTTTGTGCCTATTTTCTCCTTATGATTTTATATGCTTTGTGGCCTACAGATCTTTATGTGAATCTTATTATAATTATGTCTTTAATGCGAATACGCATTAGCAATATTCTTAAATTCATGACATCAGATTTATACTGAGTTATTAAATTATAAATAATAAGTTCTATACAATATCTCTCTATCTTTCTTAAATGTCTTTATATTACATTTTATTTCTCGTATTATATTATCAGCGTGATAAACGAAAATAGATACTTAAAAAAAATGTTTTTATTAAAAGTTTAATATTTCATTTATAATGGGTTTCATAAAAGTCTAAGATGCGTCATTGTGAGATATACACCGTGAATTTTGAGTTACAAAAGAAACTTAAAAATCTTGAAAATAAAAATAGTGAGATCATTTATAAACAGTCAACATACTACACCCCCATACAAAAATATTCGTTTACAAAATATCGTAAATCGGCGCTAATTTGTAAATAACATACCCATTAAGCAATTAGTATCCGTTTTAAGTACGTAGATCTTAAAAGTAAGTAGTATTATAATTTCAGAATTGAACAATTATTAAGTTTACGTGGTGATATTTTTCGAAAAAGATAACAGATTTTTTGCTGAAATATAACCTACATTATTCTAAAAGTTTCTCAGGCTACTCAAAATACACGGTGTATAGTAATTTAGTTACTGTAAGAGATCGGACATTCGATGGTGTGTATTTGTACGAATGAAGTTAAGTTGTCTAATCATTGAAATTGTGTTATGTTATAACGTATAATTTCAAAAATGCTCATATTATTGATTTTTTGAGCAGTAACAATCATCGAATTTGAAGAGTTTGCGAGTGCGTAATGTCATTGTAATTTTTTTTATGGAAAGTAGAACAGCAGCGCCATAATGGACGTAACGAGAACTAAAAATCAGTACACATTTGACAATGACATTTCGTACTCGCAAACGTTACGATGTCGATATTTGTTCGTGCTAAGGGTACAAAATAAGGATATTACGTTACTACCTACAGAAGTCCAACGAAGACGACAAAAATATAGGAATGAAAACGAGCATCATATAAAGAAAAATATCATTCTATTTGTTAGTTTTCATGTCATCTCATGAAATAATATATCCAGATCAGATTATAGTGACCGAAAGATAGCGAGGCGACATTCATTAACATGGAGGAATTTATTAAAACTTTCTATATTTATCCCTTTTAAGATACATTAGGTAAGCATGCATCCGAATATTCGATCTCTAATTATGATTATTATATAACATGTCTCCACTGAATATTTTAGCATTTTCGTGCCAATCTGTAGCAATCACTTTAATTAAAGGATTATATTTAAGTTAAAATTAATTAATTTGTAAGTCTTCGTACGTGTTTAGCCACTTCAATATCTCATTTGAAGTTTTTACTATCTATTCAGATAAATATTATTGTAAACAATTTTGTTCTTGTGCATTACTTATTAGTTGATTAGAATTCCATTGGAAATAAGTTTCGATCTATCTCACGATTTTCTTATGAATTTATTTACGTATAGTTATTTTTTTCCTTTTTATATTTTTATTGATATATTTGTTATAAAAGCCATGATATTTGACTAGTCTCACGTACCAGAGGCGACCTTAGGAGGCGAGGGGGGGGGGGGGGCAGGTGGAGTTCCTTATCATACTACAACTTAATAGAACTGGATATTGGTTGCTGTGTGAGAGCGCGGGATCCTTGCAATTCAAACACTACAAGCCATACGAAATAATTATGGTGATCGAACTTTGCTATCAGTGATAGATTACTTCTACAGTGATCCATACGGGAGAGAAACCTTATAAATGTAACGTCTGTGACAAAAGATTTACTCAAACTGGTACTTTATTCAGACATCAAAGATTCACAAGGAAGATAAAACTTATAAATGTAATGTCTGTGATAAAAGATATACTTTAAGTAGTTATTTATCCGGACATCAAAGAATTCACACAGGAGAGATACTTTATAAATGTAACGTCTGTGAAAAAATAATAATACGCGAACTGCTACTTTATTCAGACATCAAAGAATTCACTTGGAAGACGAACCTTAAATGTAATGTCTGTGATAAAAGATTTGCTGTCTTTATTTATCCACAAATCCAAGAATTCATACGTATGAGAAACCTTATAAATGTAACGTCTGTGACAAAATATTTACTCAAAAAAGTTTTTTGTCCAAACACAAAAAAGTTGACTCGAAAAAAACACACAGGAGGGAAACCTTATAAATGTAATGTCTGTGACAAATAATTTACTCAAACTGGTATTTTATTCAAATATCAGAGATTTCACAAGGGACAACAACCTTATAAATGTAATGTTTGTGATAAAATATTTATTGAAACTGGTCATTTATCCACAAATCAAAGAATTCACACTGGAGGGAAACCTTATAAATGTAACGTCTGTGATAAAGGATTTACTTTCAGTATTTTTATTTGAATGGCGCCGTATTTTTTCAATTTAAAAATAGATTTTTTTTGCATTACTTGTCAAGCATCCGTATTAAATGATTTTTTTGCGAGAATAAGAGTTTGCTATTTTTCAGAGCCAAATGAGGATCGTTACTCGGTCAGCACATCAACTCAATATCAACAGTAAAATGATTTAATAAGCTTTTTAATTAATATACCTTTAAAATCATGGAAATCGGTTCATTCGTTGCGATTTTATAACTAATTGTCATAAACAGCCAATATTCACAGGCGGCCGAAACGGGTGACATCACAGAGCTCGTCGAACTTCAGCTCTGTGACGTAACAGCCACCACACGGCCAGCCGAAAATTCGTTTAGTAATTTGGTCATAATTTTGTCGTAGAACAGGCTCCTCCTCCTTAACTATATAAATCTGGATTCTCAACTAAAATCGGATCCTCAATGAGGTGGTCAGGTATGACTTGAAATTCTGCTATTAGTACAGTGTTTAATCGCTTGAAAATAAATCACGAAAAAAGTATTTTCATAAACTTCAATAGAATGGGCAATAAGCAGAAGCGGTCCAGAGGAAGACATTTTTTATCAAAGATCTGTCGCCCGGAGCCTCGTTTGCCTAAGGCCACCTCTGAACTTATCTTATGTTTTCTTAATGATTTATGAAAATTCTAAATACATAATTAGGACATAAGGGGAATATTATATGATAAGTGAACTTAAATAACCTTCTTCAACCTTTACAATAAGATTATTGCCTATATTAAGTGATAGATTTTCACTAAATAAATACATTTTGCATAAAACTAGACTTTTTTTTCTCGTTAGACCTTTTCTAAGTATTATTTCAATCGATCTTTAGTATTACGTATGTAGTACACACATTCAAATACACAGTAAAATTTTCTAATAAGAAAATTTTAATCTTATATTGCTGTGAAGTTGCAATGGGCAGGGCACGTAGCGAGGAGAACCGATGGCTGTTGAGGTGGAAAGGTTCTGGTAAGGCGACCACGCACCGGATGACTCTCAGTAGGCGGGCTCTCCGCCAGCTAGACCGACGCGACGATCTATTGAGGGGCGCGGGAAGCTGATGAATGCAAGTGGAGCAGGACAGATCCTTGGGGGAGGCCTATGCTCAGCAGTGGGCTTCGTACGGCTGAAATGATGATGACGAAGGAGAGTATCTTGAGCATTAGTGCTAGGACCTTTAATAAAACACTAGAAATTAAATTTGTTGTCATTAGCACGTAAACTTTGGAATTATCATGGTTTAAAAAATACGTGGAAATCGCGGTACCTATTGTCGGGCGAGGTAATGAATAATTATGGTTTTATTTATTTTTAAGCATTTAACTGCTAGATGTTTAAATCTAAAGAAAAGTTTACTAGAAAAAAATCCACGCGGACCAGGCAGCGGACGGGACCTGGTCCGCGTGGATTTTTTTCTAGTAAACTTTTCTTTAGATGTAATGAATAATTACCAAAATGTGTTTGATATTAAATTAAATCATTAAAAAAACTACTTGCTACCCCTATTCATACATAATATTGAAACCTTTGCATTCAAAGATAATATTGGAATACATAGTTCAATGAGTTAGGCTTTAGATGAATTCCACTTCCTCTAAATTTGCTTTAATCGGTCGACTAAGTAACAAGGGTGATGGGGAATTTAATCTCTTCGACTTGGGAGACGATTCTCAATCTCACTACTTCAGGATGCGTTCAAGTTATAGCCGCGGGATAATTCCCGTCACTTAATGGTTTTTCGAGTACGAAAAAAACGTTAGACACAATCATTCTACTTTTTAATTTTACATGGAGATGGTGTTTTTATTGTTTTTTAATATTACCTATAAGAAAAGTTATAACCTTTTTTTATAGGTAGTTCCGACAAATGACTCCACCCCACCTGATGTTAAGTGACGGTGAAGTCCAGACGTGAAGATAGCTGGTACAGCAGTTCTACCTGCCACACCAGTCATCCTAACCTTGCCTGCATGTTGCTTCTTCACGCCTCTTATAAAGGTTCTCAGGTTGTAAGGAGGGAACACGTGAGCGGGCAGAGCATTCCATTTACGGATAGTGCGACAAAGAAATGAGTAAAAAAGTAATAACGACAAATAATCAACAAACTTCAACAATTTGTAATAGAAAAATATAAATCTGTAAAATGGAAATTTCTTAAGTTATTATGTTTTGTAGATTTTAATTAAAGTTTGTTGCCAGTATCCAGAACCAAAATCTTCTTCAAGTTGAATAAAAGATTATAACTTGAATAGAATTATTGACTTTTCGTAGAACGTATCCTTTGAGTATTTATACACAAAGAACGTATCGTGTATACATACGTTAACTGTAGACACGAAAGCTGAGTACTCATTGCGCGGTTTTCCCGCGCACCCGCATCGCCGCGGCTGCGGGGCCGCAACTCCCGCAGAATATCAAATTCTAGGTAAAACGCGAAAGCAAAACTGCATGTACAGTACAGTACCCTTAGCACGAACCATTATTGAATTCAAATAGTTTGGGAGTCCGAAATGTCATTGTCAAATGTGTACTGATTTTGAGTTCTCGTTACGTACTTTGTGCCGCTGCTGTTCAAGTTTCTTTACAAAATTTGACATTGCCATTTCGGTTTGCAAACTATTCGAATTTTTTATAGAGATTTGCACAGCAGCGGCACAAAGTACGTTAACAAAACTAAAAATCAATACACATTTGACAATGACATTTCGGACTCGATTTCGATTCGAATTCGATATTGGTTCGTGCTAAGGGTACTGTACCCCTAGCACGAACCAAAATCGAATTCGTAACGTTTGCGAGTCGGAAATGTCATTGTCAAATGTGTACTGATTTTTAGTTCCCGTTACGTCCAAAGTTACGCTGCTGTTTAAGGTTCCATACAAAATTTGACATTGACATTTCGGTTTGCAAACTATTCGAATTCGATATTGGTTCGTGCTAGGGGTACTGGTCTGGCCTGCGCGCTCTGCGATTGATATGTGGGCGCGTTCTGTTTCTGTAAGTAAATAATAATTATGTCAGTCTGCGGTCTCGCAGCCGCAGCAACTGTGGGACCGCAGAAAACTGTGCGTGATCTCGTGAGTTTTGAAATAAAGCAGCTTTCTCGCTGACGCAGCGGGCGCGGCAAAAAGTCGCGGCGTGAGTTCTTAGCCTAAGGCGATTCTCATACTGCCCCGCACTACGCTGCGGGGTGCGGGGCGACGTATCCACGCGCGTAGTTGAGGGATTACAGAACCCCAAGCACGAACAACTAGAGGGAAAGTATTCGTATCGCCAACGTCAAACTTTCTATTGAAAGAGCTAGTTTGTTCTTACGTCCGGTAGTGGCACATCTTAGTTTCCATAGGAACATAATTAATCCGTTTATTTGGGTTCCGAGTCAACTCAACAAGGAACCCTCGGTTTAGGTCTTAAGTCCGTCCGTCCGGCCGCAGTAAATTTCTTAAGAACGTACCTAGTAATGCCTTATTTTAGAGCCAAAAAAGTTTCCGTCGTTAGTTTCTATGATAATGTATAGTCGGTGTACGAGATAGTTGTGCTGTACCTAAGAAACTAGCACTATCGCTAAGAAATAGGTCACAATCACACCCGACCTCCATCCAATACAACAGTCACTGAAAGTTTCATTGAACACCAACATAGTTCTTATAACATCCACGTAAGGTACAATTTAACTACAAATGAACTTGACGTTGGCCGTACCGAGGCTTGTAAACATTGCTTTTAGAAACTTTCGAGGACTGGAGCTTTAAACATTCTTGATGGTGCTAATGTTGGTTTGTCTTACGCGATAAACTGTGAAGTTTACTTTTAGGAGAAAGTGTGATATAAATTCTACAATCTGCTAACTCATTCGGTTAACATTTAAGGAAATACAGCATTCGCATTTTCATTAGATTTCGATCTTACGTCTAGACTATAAGATACAATTTCTCTCATAGGCTTTCACCGCCGCTTGTTACGAGGCTTTAAGTTAATTCAAATTGATAAAGTATAGTCATAGAATGGGGATTTCTTAGCAGTTTGAAGGTTTTGCCGGGCATTGTTTGTTTATAACAGCAATTATGTATCAAATGGCGTTATTCCAGGATGTTTATAAAACGCTCAATTTGAAAACCAATTGCGAGGAAAATTAAGTTACTCTTGACTTCACTTTGGAATGCTATTATGCTGGAAAATTAGTTTTAAAAATCAATCAAGTTCGACGGGCCATATTTCATCAACTGAGGCGGGAATAGCTAAGGAAGCCGTTTATTTGACTTATATAACTACCATGTAAAATTTTCCGTAATAAATAACAGTGCGGGGATGTTTTTCTGAGCAGCTTTCGCTTGATTGGTGACCTCAGATATACAAAAACACACTAATTTAGTCGACTCCACCTGACTTGTTTATCACAGGAGCGTAATCCCAATCCAAGAGATTCCTTTATTCCTCCTGTATTTTTATGAAAATTCATGTAAGGTTTCATATATAAGTAACCATATTTATTTTATGGTTAATTATGCAACTTATTAATTTAATTTTCCTCCTTTTTTTGATAGTGGTAGGTCCAAGATAGTTCCGACCGATTGACTCCACCCCACCTGATGTTAAGTGACGGTGGACTCACTCTGCCGGGGTGCTAAATGCTTCTTGAATATAATAATAATCATCATAATTTCAACGGTAGTTTTTGCTCGTTTTGGTTTGATGTCCTGTCATCGTAATGTTACAGACAATAACTAAAGCCACCGCGTTCACCACTCGACTATGGCGGTTTGAAATTTAGTTTTATCCAAGTTTGTTTCCATATTGGAATGTTGTTCGTCATAATTTCTGTGTTACGTGAAAGCTGACTAGTGCAGCCAGGTAGGTATTGTTACGGGGCCGAGAAACTAGGGCATGTGATATAAATAGGCACATATGTAAAGGCATTCTGAACCGGGAGCGAAATCCACATACAACGTTGCAATTGCAAGTAGGTTTTTGTTTACGTTTATGATTACGTTACTCAAGACAAAAGTCTTTGACCAGTGTGTGTTGCCAGTGATGACTTACGGAAGCGAAACGTGGTCTCTAACTATGGGTCTCATAAGAAGGCTTACGGTCGCACAGCTGGCAATGAAGAGAGCGATACTTGGTATTTCCCTGCGTGATAGAATCAGAAATGAGGAAATCCGCAGGAGAACTAAAGTAACATCGTTCGAAGGATTGCTCAGCTAAAGTGGCAGTGGGCGGGACAAATAGCAAGAAGAACCGATGGACGTTGGGGCGTCAAGGTTCTCGGATAGTGACCACGCACCGAACGACGTTCGGTGGGAAGATCCCCCACTAGGTGGACCGACGATCTGGTGTAGGTCGCGGGAAGCCGATGGATGCGTGTGGCACAGGACCGATCGATGTGGAGATCCTTGGGGGAGGCCTATGCTCAGCAGTGGGCGTCGTACGGCTGAGAAGGTGATGATGATGATGGTATGATTACGTAATTACAAATCAAACTAACTAACTAACTCTTGTGGCACTTAGATAACATTGATCGCTGCTGGTGAATAAAAGGTGCAATGAGGGTTACTAAGTACCTAAAATCTGCGCAATAAAAGAAACTTTATAATTCATATTAACTCCGGAACAGTAATAGGAAATATAAAGGGCTTATTATGACTTTCCTATAAAATAAAGAGCTTACATATACCTTCCTAAAAGTAGTTACAATTCCGGCCACGCGCAATAGGATCTTGGAAGACACCATACAAACCAGATTCCACTGCACTTTCTTACCCTAAAATCTGGCTGGCA